AAAAATATGGAATATGAGGCAAAAGTGCTCAACCGAACAGGTATACTGTAGTTGAGGCAATGTCCCTGGTTACTAAATAGCGGCGTCTCTTCCGCTATATCGCTCTCTGAAACATTTTTCGTCAAAAATGTTTTTTTCTTGAATTTGATTGGTTTCATCATAAAAGTAAAAAAAAAGCAAAAAAAAATGCATTTCCAATTTTAAATTTTTGAGAGCGAGCGATATGGCAGCGAGACTTTGATGAGGTCGCAGCGACATGTTGACGAGATCGCAGCGAGAAGCCTTGGCTATATCGCGTGCGGCCCGCTGCGATATCGGCAATTATGTTGGGTGTATTTATGAAAAAATTTCAATCTCGCTTTTTGCGCGTGGCTTCTCATGCATCGTGTGCGCTGCGTACAACACATTTTATTTTCCGCCGTTTCGGTACACGTGGCGTCGATTTAGTGTCGTCGTGTGCCACGTGGATAAGAATGAGAGTATATAAACGAAATGCTCAGCTGATTCAGCCATTGAGAAATTTCGTCTACGAGTTTCGAAGCAGCCAGATGTCGTTCTTCGTGAGTTTGGATTCCAGCGGAGCCTGCGGAAGTGCCGGTATAGCCCGTTCACGGCTGGCTTGGGACAGCGAACAGGCGGTTTTACTTGCGCGGCGATGGTAGATCATGGCGGCCATACATGCGCCTTTATAAGAAGATCCACATTTGATGAATTTTTTTTTTATTGAATTCAATTTTTCGTTTACAATAATTTCATTAGTTTTCAGGTTTTCTTTTAATCAACGAAATACAAAATAAACAAAACTAAGTAATAAAATGAGGCTTTGATGGAAGGCACATAGATAGTCGCCATGATCTACCTTAGCCGCTAAATCAAACCGCCCGTTCGCTGTCCCAAGCTAGAGGCGCCGCTATTTATAGACCAGGGGCGTGGCTTGCCTCACCGTAATCTTGTGCGGTGGCGCGCACATACCTACTTTTTCTCAGTCATTTCCTTTATACTCGTTTTTTTTTTTTCATTTTCTTTTTCATATTTATTTTAAGTATTCCCCTTTGATTTCAATATAACTCCTTCTATTTCTTAATTTTTCGAAGATATGGTTCTTCTCAAGTATTTTTCTTTAAAAATCACTCTGCAAAAAAATATGGAGCAGCATTTATTTATTGCTTCACAATTATTAGTTTTTCTAATTGTTGGTGGAGAGAAAATTGACGAACAAATTCAAAAAAATTCAGCTATTTTAATCACTTTTTTTTGGATTCTTCAAATTATTATACACTGCGCGTAATAAGTATAGGAATCCAAATAAGTTGCGCAATTCCATACTTTAGAAATGAGTTAAGAATATTCTACCAGCGTAAGACTTTTCAGTGTACGGAAAGAACTTACCGTGCGAAAAATCTCGGACGAACTCGAATCTATATGGCAACGCGACCCAATAAAACCGAAAAAAAAAGTCGCGTCAAAAGTTTAGGGTATATGCGAAATTTCTCGAATTATAACGCAGTAAAGGATTGTCACGTAGTACTCGAAAACTTTGAAGAGGCATAAATCTCGCAAGACCTAAAAAACACTGAAAACTGCACCAATTATCTTTATTCAAATTGACTGTGCTTCATTTTGCAGGTATTTGCAGGTACACTAAGAAGAACTGCCGAGCTCGCTGGCGGTACATTGACGAATTCGTAAACATGTCGCTATATCTTCGCGCGGGTCTCGCATTTTTTTAGAAGCGGCCTCGCATTTATCTTGGCGCAACATCGCGATTTGAAAATATTCAAATATTTACTAATTCGTTAAAAAAAGCGAGATAAATGCGAGATCCGCGCGGAGACGATATTTAAATATTTGCGTGATTGTCGATGTACCGATCCCGAACTAGGTTTTATATCACGCCCGAAAAGCCAGTTATCTTTAGTGTATCTTGAACATAATATTTAATAGGGAATTTTCTTTAATTCAGATAGAATCGCTTGACAGCGTTAAGATTTTGCATGGAGATGAAGGTAAACGACGGGCATGACCAGAGGACCGAAGTTATTCGTTCAAATCCAGGAAAATGAAGCCATCGTAACACCAATCTCAAAATAGATCGTGTTAACTGCAAAATCATCATATCTGCTTTCCTTCTGAAAATGAATTTAGGCTTTTAAATCTTTACATGCGGTAGCTGCACTTCCCACAGCGGTCTATGCTTCGAGGAGATAATAAAAGCAAATAAACTATAAAACTTTTAATTCGACAAAAGAAGTAGTCGTCGACGATGTAGATTTCATCAAATAGTTGGAGTCCTCTTCCTGTGGACTTTGGACACATTCGCAAAGTGTTCAAAAAGAAACTAGAAAAAAAGGGCCTGAACTTGTCAAAATAGGACATTTTTTTCACGGAAATTAAGAGCTCACTTTTTTTATTACTCGAAAAAAATCTTTATGGGAAGGTAGAAGAACCCCGAAAATGAAATTATTCGCAATGACGTACACTCATTTAAACTAAAAACGACTTTCGGCCTCAAGAAATTCGTCTACGATACTAAAGACAGAAGAACCATGTATTCGAAAATTAAAAATTAAATTAGATAATAGAAGGAGTTATATTAAAATCAAAGGGGAATTCTTAAAAGAAATATGAAAAAGAAAATGAAAAAAAAAAATGAGGAAATATAAAGAAAATGACTGAGGAAAAGTAGGCATGTGCGCGCCACTGCACAAAATTACGGTGAGGCAAGCCACGCCCCTGGTCTAGAAATAGCGGCGCCTCCAAGCTAGCCGTCAACGGGCTCTAACTACCACCCATTCAGGCACTGGTGCGCGCACGCGGGGGTTTATACTGATTCTTTTTTTCGCCTTTTCCACTGAAATACGGTTTTGAAATATGATTTTTATATTTTTTAAATACTACCCAGTGACCCTGCTCACGTTTTTAAAGTTGTTCCGAACACTTTCGAACAAATTTATGAAAAATTGCCAAGTTAAACTTTGGTATTTCAAAAATTTTTGTGCGTTCTAATTGTTATACATGAAAAAAATATTAAATTTATAACTTTTTTTAGTTAGTTATGCGCACTTTTGGCAACGAACACGTGCCGTCTGATTTTTTATTTTAAAGATGATGAAGTGAATTCCCCACCCTGTAATTTAATTACAAATCATGAAACCAAAAAAAACTAAGAAACCGCGAGGTGAGATAGAATGCCGTGTTCAATTTGATTCCGCGAAATGCAAAATGATCTTTGATTCTCCAAAATCTGGCGATTTTTTCCTTTCTCTAACGGGTATTTTGCATTTCGCGGAATCAAATTGAACATGGCAGAAATAATTCGGATTTCCGCAAAAGAGCTACCTAGGCGTAAAATCAAGTGCGCCCTATCGCGAAGTGTTCACATATAGACGATTCACGGCTAGCTTGGGACGCAAAAAGGCGTGGCCTTTCTGCACTCTCCACTAACCAGGGCACTGTCTCGTCTCTTTTCGTGGCGGGACCCTTTTCTCGATGGCTCAAGCCAGCCGTGAATTAGATATATAATGGGTGATAATTACCGGCGCTTAGCCTGCGGGAGACTTCTGGCTCTTAAGGAGCGCTGGCGCCACTTGGGTGATCACTTGGTGTCTCGGAGAACCCTAGGGTCCGCTACGTAGTACGATATATACTCCGTTTAGTTTTTGAATGTCAAGTAGAATGACGTCATTCGAAAAAGGCTCTGTGGATGGCTCGCTCTCTGATTGGTTTTATCGCACAATTACTCGGCAAGGATGGCGCACGGTGCATTCTGCACTCTGTTGCGTAATTGGGGTCTGCACCGTGCGATTTCGGTGATTTTTTGGTGCAAAGGTGTCAAATCAGTGCTTTTAGCGTGCTGCACCAGAGCGACACCAAAAAAGCAGAATGCACCGTGCGCCATCCTTGCTGAGTAGGGGCGGAGCTTGAGCGAAGACTTGACATTTAAAATCTGAAAAGACTATAGTTGATAGTCCAATGACATCACGGCGTTCCCAAACGGGGTGGCAAGACGTCAAAAAAATTTTGGCGCGAAATTGGAAATCTACAGTACTTCAGCCGAAGGCGATCGAACAAACAAGTTATTAACGTTGAATATTCAGTGTAATTGTGACGTCACGTGACGTAATTTTATCCGTAGCGCGCACTAAATTTTTTCTGTAAATTCAGAGACTTTGACGCCTCGCTCACCTTCCCTCACCCCCCTTAGGAACGCCGTGAATATGTAGCTCGAAATCTTTTTCTTTTGATAATACTTGAAATCTGAGCAAAACTTAATCTTACCGTACAGTCTGTTCAGAGTTTGTATGTCAACTAGCTAACTCCGCCCCTGCTGAGACGGTATCTTTTCGCGTCAATATTTCATCGCGCAGGACGATTTTTGATCTTTTTTGATCTAAATGATAGAAAAAGAAGTCAAAAGTTCAACATTTTCGAAGAAAATCCACTGTTCAAACGGCGCATCCACAAAAAAAGCTAACGGTGTGCACTTTCAAATTCAGTCGGAATTTGCATACGGTCAATCAATGAATAGCATAAAGAGGCTAACTTTCTGCTATTTCAGTACTCTTTGTGTGCACTGCGATACTGTCCCTATGCCTTCTGGATTGTTGTGAAATATATAAAACTAGCATTTCCAAGAATAAAATGTCCATAAGGGGTTCAGCTGAGTCATTATAGCTGGTTCACGTCTAGCTTGAGCCGTCGAGAAAAGGGCCCTGCCACGAAAAGAGACGAGACAGTGCCCTGGTTGGTGGAGAGTGCAGAAAGGCCACGCCTTTTTGCGTCCCAAGCCAGCCGTGAATCGTCTATAATGATTCGAGGCTGTTCCAGAGAAGTTTCCAGGACTTTCTCAGATCATTATAGTTCGCAAATAAAAAAATAATAATTTTTGATCATACTGAAATGTTTTTTTGTCTGCATTTTCGATCCTTTTTTTTACAATAAATAAACTTATGATCATAAGATAAAGGTAATACTTTCAGACCAAACTGACCACTGCTAAGATGGCGAAAAGGCCTCCGGGCCCCATTCCTACTGCTACCAATAGCAAGACGGAAGAAAATGGTGAATTGTTTTTCCAAAAAAAAAAACTGCAAAAACTGCAACAAAGTATAGCTGATTCACGGCTGGCTTGAGCCATGGAAAAAATGGTCCTTGTACGATGATGCACGAGACAGCGCCTGGCTCGTGGAGAGCGCAGACAGGACACGCCCCCTTAGCGTCCCAAGCTGGCCGTGAATCAGCTATACGAAAACTGCTAACCAAAATCCCAAGCCAACTTCATACCACGAAAAGGGGCGGTTTTTCTCTAAACATGATTGAATTTTTTAGTCAGCGTTCATGAAATCCTCGTGCCCATCAAAAATGCGGCCAAACGAGAAGAAGTGAAGGTCCCAAAGGTCCCGTCATCGATAAACTTTGCTCGCAAGCTGCCTTTTTGTCATGGGTTTGTTTTCGAACTAACTTCCGCAAAAGTCTACAAATTATCGAATTCAGGTACATGCCGGCTTTGGAAGCAACCCATCTTCTCATTCGTTCCGGCGACTTTCTCATTCGTCTTCGTGAGGGTAATTCGGTGGAAACTTTCGGGACAAAGTTTCGAAAAATGACATTTTTCAGTTAAGAACGAGGTCAGAGTTGTCGTGAGCGTGGCGCTCACGTCCAGGCAATCAAGTGAGCTGAGACAGGTAAACGAGAAGGAAGACACGCGGAAAGGATGCCAGTTGGCGAAGAAGGCGGAGCAAAAAGTGGACAATGGCGGCGACGGTGGTGAGGAGACCTGAAACTACTTTGAAGCTCTTTATTTTTGGGAAAAACTGTTTCCTTTTATGTGAATCGATAGTTTTAGTATCAAAAGGCCCAATTCTAAATGGCTCTAGTGAGCAAAAAAAAAGAAATTATTTTCCTCTCCTTGTCAAAAAATTTATAGAATTTTATACGAAAAGCCATTCTAAACGCGAAGATGCTCACCGCAGTTAGAATGATTGTGTGCTGTGGTAATTTCGAAAACAACTTCGATTTCATAATTCACGATACAAATGTTAGATTATAGTCCTTATAAACCCTAACTATGAGCCTTCTTGGTTGCATTCGAAATGTCTCAAAGCCTCAGAAACCGATCAAGTCTACGAATATAAAATAAAAGACGGGTTCAACATCAATCTGATTATCTTCAGACAGAGAAAAAGGCTTGGATGCATTTTCCGAGACCCGACCTGCCCCCTTTCGCGAGACGATAGCCGTGAACTACCGGCATATGAAGTTGAGAGAGAACAAGAACGGATGTTCTCTTGATGGAGAGAAATATTTCTCAAGTTTGAAATCTCTGCTAGCGTACTACATGTTTGTGAAAATGGAGGTTAGCCATTTTAAACTTGTCATTTTTTGTTTGCAAAAATGCTTTGAAGTACTCTCGCAAACTTGTTAACACCAAGCGCCTAAATGGGGCCATGTAACATGAAATTAAAGAGAACTGAGAACAGCCCCCAGATCTTTTGAGCATCGCGACTGGAATTTCGATTTTTTCCAGATTTCATCGTTCTATTTTCATCACTGAAATCGATGAAACCAGCCGCAGAGCGCAATTTTTCAGATTTACGGAAAAAATCAGCCGTCCAAATAAAAACTGTTAAAAGCTTTCAAATTCAAATCTTCAAGAATTATGAAAAGTAGGCGTAGGGCGTAAATATTCGAATTTTTATCCTTTCCAAAACTCGATCTTTTTCAGGGAGAACAAAAATTCAATCTTCGGAACCCGATAAGTCGCCAGTACGGATCCTTCCGCCTCTCACAGATCAAGATAGTTAGAACTGTGAGGATTTTTTCAAAAAGTAATAGACCAAAAAAAAAAAGTTTTTTCGAGGCAAAAACAACTTTAAAATTTTTTTATTTGCTCCTTCTTTCTCAAAAACAATTTTTGAGCTAATATATGTTTTTTGTCGAATTGGAGTCATCGTTCTTAATATTTGCAGCTCGGGAACGGCGCGTTCGGAGAAGTGTCACTTGCGGAGATCAACCACCCGGCTTTCGAACAGGACAAGGCGGTCGTGAAAACGGTAGGCCTTGAGAAATCGAATTTATTCGGTGAAAGATCGAAAAAGACGTCTCGAGCTGGAATTCGAAATTTGTTTTGTTGATCAAGAGTTGCAACAAGTCTGAATTCTGGGAATTCTTAAAAATCTCACGACATTTTCATGGATTGGAATAAAAATAGAGATATACTTGCCACTTCGTAGAGCATCTTCTTGTGCGTCGAACGGTGTTGAAGTTTTGACCTTTGTTGAAAATTAATTAAATTGGAAGAACTTTCTCGGACTTTTGTAATGCACTTCTAGCGGTCACTTTAGCGGCGTCAGCGCTTAAGTGATCACTAGAACTTCTCAGATGTGTTTTTCAAGGTACCGAGGTCCGTCAAAAATGCAGTTTGCGATAAAAATTGCTCTGTGGACAAAAAAAACGACGCAATTTCCGGGTTTTTAAGATGAAGAAAGGCGTCCCGGAGCACCTCGAACTTGAAGAAAAGTTCCTTGTTGAAGGAGGAATCTCCATCCCGCTGGACCACCCTAATGTTGTCCGCACATTAGGGTGGTGTTACGATTCTAAACCTCTGCAGCTACTGATGGAACTGTGTCCGGGTGAGGCTTCCAAAAAGCATTTCTTCCAATCTCTATGAAAATTCTCTATGAGATCAGATAACTTTGAAAATAACTTGAAAAAGTTCCGGAATATAACTTTAAACGAAAAACACGTTAATTTTGCGATCGCTGATGTCAATTAGACTTTTTGACACATATCCGCCTAATCTTCGAAATTATGAATTACGGTTTCTTCCCGCCTAAAGCTTCGGCGGACGTCTACTTCTTTTGAGCTTATCTTCAAGTTTTGATTTATCGTCGTTTTTTGAAGGTGGCGCTCTAAGCACCTTCCTCATGACCAAGTCTGAGAAGGTGTCGAACCTGACCTTGACGAGGTTCTGTCTCGATGCCGCGAGGGGACTGGACTACCTCCATGAAGTTGGCGTCCTACACAGAGATGTAGCCGCCCGAAACTGCCAGTTGGACGAATATGGAACGGTATTTTCATAGAACCCAAATATTCATTGACCACCATTTTCAGCTAAAGATAGGTGGTTTCGGCTTGTCGCTGAAAGCATACTACTACGAGATGTCAGGACCCGAAAACCTTCCAAGCCGCTATCTTGCGCCACAGTGTTTGACGGAGTACGCTTTCAGCTCGCAGTCGGACGTCTACGCCTACGGGGTTTGCTTTTTGCTCATATCTGACTAAATCAGAACCTTCTCAGCATCTTATCTGCGAAATGTTTAATAACGGTCAGGTGCCATATGTTGGCATGTCGGGAGCAAAAGCCCGCGAAGAGGTTAGGTTTTCATTTTATTTTAAAAAAAAGTCTGTTATCTGCAGATTCTCGCCGGGAAGATTCTCAGTGTGCACGGAAGAGCACCCGAACCTCTGCGCGTCTTAGTGGAGAATAGGATTTTTGCGTTCCATCCCATATACAGGCCACCAATGAATGAGGTATACACTTTCTTTCAGGGCGAATATTTTCGACGCAAAATACCTTAAAACTAAAAAACTGTGTTTTCCAAAAGTTTTTAAGTCGATTGAAGTTACTGAGTTACCCTTTCGTAAAGTTTAAATGCTCCACGGGAAAGTTTGGGATCCCCAGTTCTTCTAACTGATCTTCGATTTTCAAAAAATGACCATGCACTTTATAACAGAATTTCGCTGCTATTTTTTCTCGATACTTGAAAAAGCTGATTAACTACAAAATAAAAATAGAGTAAAATGGAACTTTCAAAAAAAGTGATTACAAAACTTTAAAAAAAATCTTTAGATAGTCGATTTTCTCGATGCGCTCGTCAACTGTTTGGAAGAGGTTAGAAATTCAAATTTTTTTTCGAAAATGTTTTTTTTCACAGGCGAATCCGAAGGAAAACGGAGGAGTTGAAAGTGCGTTGGAGGCCGGAAATGGGGACAACCTGCAGCCGAGCAATGAAACGGAGGTGAAATTTTGGTTCAGTCTTTTTTTGTCCATTGGAGCCTAATGGTGACACTGGAAATGGTTCCAAGGACACCGATTCCTTTAAACGAACGCCCGACCGGAAACGGCTTGGGCGTGGAGACCTTAAGTACCATTGAGCCATTTCCAGTGCAACCACGTTTTTTCTAGTAGTGGGAACCTTGATATTTCTGAACTTAGTATGAAAATAGGGTAGTAAGATTCGTCAAAAGTCTAATAGGAGAAGCCAAAAAATCAACTTTTATGAGTTAACATATTTCACAGGACGTTTATGAGTTGGTCGATCCGGGCCGCACACTTGCCACCTATTAAAGCCGCAGAACATTGCCTCCATAGAGAGGAATCACGACTGATCATGTACTATTCGTATTTTCCTAAATAAACGTTTTAATTTTTTTGGTGTTCGAATTCATGACCTTCCCATTGGTTTCTTAACTCTCTAAGCGGATCGAATTAAACTTTGGTGAGCTCTTGAGAACAAGAGAGGTTCGCTGTTGTTGGCTCCATTGTTTGTAACTTTTGAGGTCGAGAAGAGCTCTTTCGAGCGCACGGTAGCTGGTACACAGGGCGGCGGTTGTCTTCATGGTGTCTGGCCCAACTTCGGGCGCGTAGGTAAGGGCGGGAATAACAAAAGCTTCGAAGATTTATGCGTGTCTACTTCATTTCAGCTTAAAGTTCTCATCATTCGTATTTCCCTACATTCATTTCGTCCGTTTGGTACTGTTATGTGAGAACATTCGAGTTCGATTCAAATTGATTCAGACATCTAAAACAAAAAAATAGCGAGCATTCCCGGCCGTCAAATGAAAACAGCTAAATTCGTCCAAGGTTCAAGCCGTCTTTCCATTTGGATCAAATTACGACCGGGAATGCTCACCATCGTCGTCGTTTTGGAGTCTCATTATCGTTTCGAAAATTCTAAAACTAAAAATTCATTAAAACTCTTATTCAAGGCGCATTTAGTCGTTACGGTTCGCCTTCGCCGTGCAAATTGATCCGCCCGTTCGATGTCCAAGGCCAGTCGTGAACGTGTTATATTTTTATTTTCAAGGAGTATTTTGCAGACACGGCTGCTCACAGTTTGAGAGAATGTGAGCGTAAGAACAAAAATCGGCTCTGAAAATGAAAAAATGAAAAAAATCGCTTTGGCTACCTTAAGAGGTTCCATATATATAAAGTGATTCAATTTATTGAAATTCTTATTTATTTTCTTAGATCCAAAATAACTTCATATAACCAAATGGACAGGCGCCGCTATTTCTAGACCAGGGGCGTGGCTTGCCTCACCGTAACCTTGTGCGGTGGCGCGCACATGCCTACTTTTCCTCAGTCATTTCCTTTACATTTCTCGCATGCTGAGCAGGGTAACCCCGCCGTGCTAACACGGGGTCTCCGCGGGTGCCCCCGTATTAAACCCGTATAAGCCCCTGGTCTAGAAATAACGGCGCCTCTTTGATAGTAAATTACGCGCCCTTTTAAGCAGTATTTCTTCGAAACCAGTTCTGAGATGATAATTTTTAGGGGCGATAGTCAACCACTTTTTCTGATGATACGCGAAGTTGGCTCCCCAGAATGCGCCAGAAGCGAAAACCGATTTTTTGTTTCTTTTTTCAACGGCCCAACAAAACAGTCACCTGCTGGACTCCTTCGGTTGTTAAAGCCTCTTAGAAGGTAGGTTCTTTCCGTTAATCATGGTTTTTTTAATCTTTTCACAAAAGTCGTGGAATGCGAGGAAAATTCGATGAAAATTGAAAATGAAAATTTTTTTCTGACTGCAAATTTTATTTTTTCTTACTTTTCACTCAGTAATCATCAACCCCGGTTACTTTTCAATGAAATTAAATTGCTTTTTTTCTACCACGCGGAGTGCGCAAGGGCGAGGTATTGGAAACTCGATGAAACTTTGTGTATAGGCATTTTCGAACCCTCAATCCTAATAATTCGAAAAAAATTGCGCCTTTTTGGTTCTAGTCGAGTTATGGCGCCTCAAAGTTTGCACGCAAAAAACGTATTGGAAGGAGGGAATCTCTGCGACGACTAATTCTATAGGTCATTCCGCGCCAGCTTGTCACGATTTTAAATTTCCTCAAAGCTAGAGAGCCCATTTCGGCGCTTCGCTTCGATGCTCTCGGTGTGCCCTCTTACGTGCGCCTTTAGTAAAACTCATTATTTCCGAATTTTTAGAATTTTTCTTATTTTTACAAAAAAACAGTTGTAACATCAAATTTTTATATCAAACTAACCCAAAAATTATATGCAAGAAAAGCTCGAACAGTCGGTTTCCTTAATAACAATTACAAAATAATAATTCAATCTTTTTGATTTTCTTTTTACAAATCCAGCACAGAATCTGAGTGTGTATAGTTAAAGCGAAAAATGAAATCAATCCATTAAAAACAATCTCGTAAATTAATAAAAGAGATAGAGGAAATTGAAGCAATATCTTAATCAGAAATAATTTTTGATTAAAGGCGCACGCAAGGGGGAACACCGAGAGCATCGAAGCGAAGCGCCGAAATAGGTTCTCTAGCTCCAAGGAAATTTAAAATCGTGACAAGCTGGCGCGGAATGACCTATAGCTGCCAGTAGGCGGCGTGGCGTAGTGGCTAGCGGCCTTGCTCTGTGGAACCTATGATGCAGGTTCGAACCCTTTTTGGTGCAATTTTTTTCTCTTGGAAAAAATAATGCAGTTTTAAATATGGGTTGAAACTCACCATTTTATGTCGTTTCGAGCAAGATTTTCGACAAAAAAAATTTTTCGTCCCATATTTTTTTTTCAGACTTAATGGACTTTAATGAACAGTAAGAATGTTTTCATCACTAACTTTTGTCGGAAAGTAAGAAATAAAAAGATATTGCATACAACTTTGAATTTTTTATTCATTAAACTTTTTTCAAGAAAGACTGACAAAAGGAAAGATGGAGCAAATATTTTTTTTTGTCGAAAATCTTGTTCAAACCGAAATAAAAGGGTGGATTTCAACCTTTTGAGCGATTTTTTTTCAGTCCATCTTTAAAAATTCATTATTTTTTCCAAGATAAAAATAGCACCAAAAAGGACTCGAACCTGCATCATAGGTTCCACAGCGCAAGACCGCCAGCCACTACTCCTCGCCGCCTGCTTACAGCTAGAGTCAGCCGCTGCAAGACACTTCCCTTCCTTCCGCCCAATGCGTTTTTTTGCGTGCAAACTTTGAGGCGCCATAACTCGACTAAAACCGAGAAAAAGGGCGTCGTTTCGGTTTTATCCTTTAAGGATCCTCAAAGGAACTTTTGAGGATCCTTAAAGGATCCTGAGAGGGAGATAAAAAGCTTCCTCTAAAAGCTCCTAAAATGATGCAAAAAAGCTTTTGAGCACCTTTTTCATAGCCTCAGAGGATCCTTTTTGAATCCCCTCGGATCTTTTTAGTTGCTTTCCAGCATCCTTTTTGTCAGAGGATGTGAAAAAGATGCAAAAAAGAACTGAAATGATGTAAAAAAGATCTGCTGGGGATTCTTTCAAGGTCTTTTTTTGAGGAAAGCTTTTGGGGAGCTTTTCAGTTTTGCCCGAGTCTTGGGTTTGATTAAAATGAAACTTCTTTGAATTCAGGGTGTTCGAAAGAACCTAATATTCAAAGTTTCATCAAATTCGAATACCTCAACCTTTCGCACTTCCCGTGTTAGCATTTTTCTCAAGGATCACCCGAACCACAAGTTTGGGACTTTTGAGCAGTATAGTCAATGTTTCCCGCCTTGAAAGGCGAGATAGGCGGGGCAAGGTGCGGGACGCGTAGCGTGTGCGTACGCGGTTCTTGGAGCCAGTTCAATTCATTCGCCGCCGACTATTTAAAAGGCTCGGAAACCGTTCTTTTTCTGTATTTTTTACTATTTCTTGATGCACACATGAACATATCAATAAATAATTGAAAAAGGAGTGAAAAGAGCAATACTCGGGCCAAACTGAAAAGATCCCCAAAAGCTTTTCTCAAAAAAAGACCTTGAAAGGGTCCCCAGCAGATCTTTTTTACATCATTTCAATTCTTTCTGCGTCTTTTTCACATCCTCTGACAAAAAGGATGCTGGAAAGCAACTAAAAAGTTCCGAGAGGATTCAAAAAGGAATCTCTGAGGCTATGAAAAAGGTGCTCAAAAGCTTTTTTACATCATTTTAGGAGCTTTTAGAGGAAGCTTTTTATCTGCCTCTCAGGATCCTTTGAGGATCCTCAAAGGAACTTTTCAGTTTTACCTATGTTCGCTTGCGGTTGAATTGAACTCGTGCCAAGAACCGCGTACGCACACGCTACGCGTCCCGCCTCTTGCCCCGCATATCGTCGAATAGATTCAAAGCGAAATAAATCAAAACCAGATTTTTTCTGTGATTGGTTAAGGTTATCAAAAGTTGTAAGATGACCCTTTTTCAAAAAAAGTACAAAAAAGCTATTATAAAAATCATTCTCTCAGGAAAAAGTTCTTCGAAGCGGTACTGATTCGACCTAGAACTTCGAATGTAGAAGAAAAGGCTCCTTTTACCTAAAATTGTTTCCAAACAGTTACTTCGATCTATTTTTCATGTTGTTAAAATCTTTAATCGTTCAAAAAGAAAAAAATTCTGGATAAGTAGCTTTCTTTCCGTATTCTATTTTTTTTGTCTATGTATGCCATGGAGAAAGAGGTCGCCTACTTCGTCGGCCTCCTTCTCTTTTTGGTATGAGCAATTGTGAATCGAATCTTTTTTTCCTAGTAACCTATGACCTCTTATTCATCAAAATTTTGTTCGGGCTCCTTGAAAAATTTTTTTAAAGAATTTTCAGAAAATATATGATTAAAAAAAGTTTTTGTAAAAAAAGATAATGTTTCTTAATTTTTTTCCACCTTTTTCATCTTTGCATATTTCTTTATCTTCTAGAAGATATATTGTACAATAATTGAATATCAATAATTATCATAATACAATATTGTGAGAATGGTTATTTTTTTGTATAAAGTTGTATGATTTTTGTTTATAAAACGAATAAATTTCTGAAAATAACTATCTTGTTGAATATTGGGGTTCGAAAAAAATTGGTAGTGTGAAAAAAACCAGCAATTTTTTTGAACGGCGATTTCTCCGATTTTTTTCATATCGCTAGGGAACTTTCGCTAGGGAAAAAAAATATTTCAGACTATTTCCTTTCTGACTTTTTCTTATTTTTTTCGTTTTATGAAATATCTGTTAACAATTTGTTTCCAATTTCTTCATCTTTCAATCATGAATCAACTACCTACTTTATATAGGAAGATTCAAAACGAAGAGTTAATCGAGAAGAAAAGTCGGAAAAGGATTAGTTCGGAAACTTCTTCGTCGCGATATGAAAAAATCGGAAAAGTCGCCATTCGAACTTTGGTTTTTCTTTTTTTTTATACCAGCGAAAAGTTGTTTAATTGGCGTTGTTTGAAAGAGTAAGGGACGAATATGAGGAAGCGAATTTCAGTGAAAATTTGACCCTACCCCTATAGGGGCCCCTTTTAGTTCAACCCCTATAGGGGGCCCTAAACCAGATTTTCGGGGCCTGGATAGGGGTTGAGTTAGGGTCCCCACCGGGGGCCTCTCCAAGGGACCTCATTTGTCCTCTTTAGGGGCCCCCTAAACTTTTCTCAGCAGGGCAAAAAAATCCCTGCGCTCGCTTCGGGATCCTAAATGAAAACCGCTTCGCGGGCCGGGGCGCGTCGCGGTCGGGTTGGGGCGGGTCGGGGTAGATAGGTAGAGCAGATCGTTTATTTCATGCGCATAATAAGACTAATGAATAGGATGAAAAGATAAGCAAAGAAACTAATATGCAAATGGCGCTCCCCAACAGAGAGAAAGTAGGAAAAGTTGATAACAAATTCAAAGTTGAGGAGAAAAAATAACAGTAATAATCACGGATGGGAAATTACAAATCAATGCAAACTACAGAAAAAAAGAAAATCTCTTTTCTATTCACAAAAGTTAGAATGTGGTGGAAGGATGCGATGTTGGTATGTTCTTTCCTTCCTCTGCGTCTCTGCCCACAGGCACGTCTCTCCCTTCCACTCTAGCCCAACTAGGGTTGGTATTTTTGCCCAAAGGGAAGGGAGAAAAAAGAAGGGAATTCCCCTAGAGAAGGGAAGCATTTCCCTTCCCCCAAAGGGCCAGGGTGTCATAGTTTAGATAAAGGACTCCCCCGTAGCGGAAAAAAACTAATAAATGAATGGGAAAAAAAGAGCACATTTCTCCTAAACAGAAAAAAATAAATTTTTTTATTTTTATAACAAAAAAAATTTTACAGCAAATGTCTCAAAATGGAAATGTCGAAATCGGAAAATTAGATAATTCTCTACAAAAAAAAGGTAAAAAAAATTTTTAAAAGGAAAAAAAAAATTCAGATCTTCTGTGTGGAGCTTATAGCAGAAAATCGGCGTTTGAGTGATTGATTGATATAGTGGATTCAACTAATCTTGATGTAAAAAAATTGTAACATATTTAGTAAACGTAAATTTTTCAGATATCGTTTATTATCGGAACAACTAAACTCGGCCCATTTGCTAGAAGAAGGAAATAACAATTCGATTTTTTTCCCCTATGATGTGACCTCGTTTAAATTTTTTTTAAACTAATTTTAGGAATCAGAAGATATTTTTGACAATTAAAATATTATATTTTTATCTGTAATATATTTTCGTGTCTTGTTTAGCTTTTCTTTGATATTAATTTTTTCCGGGTTCAATAATATTTTTGTGCTATATTCTTAATTCTGTGATTAAAGTTGAAAAATTTTTTTGTGCTTTTTTTGTGAAAAAGTTGTATAACCACAGTGATGTGTATTGATCTATTTGAAATGTTGACAACTCGATGACTGATTTTTTATCTTTTGCCTAAGCAAAGCTTCCTAGAAGTGTTAGAAGTACATCCTTTCAAATACTCTTGAAGTTCTAATGGAGGATCTAAACCGAAGGAATCAAAATAATAAGTCTTCTTGTTACTCTTAAAGTAAAATACCCAATGAGTACCTCGACCATCTAAAGAATCTAAATTTACTATGCCTACTTCTTCTTCTCCAATTCCTTGTGGTGGCAAAGTGTCTCTCATAAATACACCTCTGAAGTTTTTTTTATCTTTGATAATTTTACTAGTTCTAAGAGATCTAGATTTGTTAGTGGTTTCAAATTTTCCTCTAGCTTCACCATTTATTGAACATTATTTTTCTTCAAAATTGTTAGCGCAATATTTCGACCATTTCGACCACATTTTTTTATAACGCAATTTTCGACCATTTCCCCATTTTTGAAAATTGTTTAAAATGACACATTTTTGAAAAGTTCGGACAAAAAATCAATGAAAATAAGCCTTAAAATGGCTTAAAAATGAGAAAATGGAGAGTGGTCGAAAAGGTGCGCTTGAACGGCAAAATACATATTATTTGCTTTAATCATTTTGACGTGACCGCGGAACGTAATCCTGATAAAAAACTAATGTCCTAAATATCGGAACTTTTCTGTTAGATTTAACTTTTTAATTGAGTATAATCAGCTGAACTTTCGAATGCTTGTTTTTTCGTGAGACTAATTTCATGTTTCTATGCTCCTTCAAAAAAGCAAATCGCTGTGGATGAAGTGGGCGACTTTTCTATCTAATGGTTTTCATGATTGTTGTTTTAGCTAGTTTCCAAAGGGTCATCCTGAATTGGCAAAACCGTTATTCCAGTCCTAAATGTCTTCCTCGGTCGAACGTTTCTGAGCCCTTCAAGTAATTGCTTAAGAGTGTTAACGCTGAAGGGTTCACTAGAAATGTCCATAAATATCCTCGACGTGATTTTTAAATCAGATCGAAAAAAAAACTGGCTTCAAGCTCATTTTTTTTTTTGCGTTTCCAAAGGTTCAAGCATATTGAACTCTCAAACTGTATTAACTGTATTAAATGTAAACTGTATTAAATGTATTAAACTATTAAATGGTTTTCAATAAAAGAGCTTGTGAAAATAAGAGGTTCAGAAATGTTTGCAGTTCAGCTATGGATGAGAGAAGTCTACTTTTAACTTCCGATTCATTAGAGTTAAGTTACGCATAATTAGATCCCACATTAAGGAACAGTTAATGAAAGTATGATTAGCAGCAGTAAATTCATCTCCGCACATAGTCATTTGTAAGGATATATTCAACCGATCCTCTTTTTACATTCCATGCCAAGCAATATTTATTATACAAGCTTTACACTACTTCCAGCGTTTCAACGGGGTATTTAGGGTATAATGTACATCTGATTGTTAGAAGGTTAGTGTATATCAATATATTTTCCATTCAATCTGAGTTAGTGGTGGCATTGAGGGACCTCGTCAGAGATGATGCATGTTCCATTGTTGATGGCGAAGACAGCACCGGCGTTGCATGTGAATGGAATCAGAGTTCCCGACGTACACAGACCGAATCTTTGAGAGCATTCGTTGCTGACCAAGATCCCGTCGATCTCACACTTGACAGTACTTGGTCTCAATGCCGTGATAGCCTCTGGAGAAAAAAAAATGGTTCCATTTCAATGGGAATACCAAAACCTTGTTCGATGAGGTCAGTGCAGTCGGAAGACTTGGATGGGAAATCGCAATACTTCTTCTCGTCGTTGAAAACGAGGTGTGACGGGCAGTCGAGGCGATCAGTTTGCGACTTTGAGCAGGCGTAAACTAGCGAACCGCATCCTCAAAATGAACAATGAGATAAAATGTAGCTGCAGGAGAAAATGTACAAAACATACCAGCCGAGTAGAATCCGTCATCCTTGCTCTTGCAGAACTCAGCCGTTTCTTGACCAGAAGATTCGCCAGAGCTTTCTCCGGAAGACTCTCCGGAAGACTCGCCGGAGGACTCACCAGAGAATTCTCCGGATTGTTCGATGAAAGATTCGCCAGAGCTTTCACCAGAGCCTGAACCTTTCAGCCTTGAAAATTCAAAAACAGACGATTACCAGTCGAGTTTTCACATTCCTTGACTTCTTTGGGGTAATTGCAGGTCTGCTCTGATTCATCAAAAGCCAGAGAACTGGGGCAGAACATGAGGATGGCTCGTCCGTTGACGCAAGACGTGAACTGAGTTGAGCATTTTCCGAAGGAGAAAAGTCCGTCTTTCTGAAAGAAACTGAAGGTGTGTTTAGAATCACTTGTTGTGAAAACCTTGCACTCGGTGACAGGAGCGACCGAGCATCCGAGGACTTCGGACCTCACTCCGCAGACCATCTTGCTTGGGTCGTAGAACAGCGAAGAAGGACAGTCCATGATCTTGGCGAGTCTTCCAGAGCATGTCAAAAACTTGGAGGAGCAGGCTCCGTTAGGATAAAGTCCGTCAGGCAGGTTCTCGCATTCTAGAAAAAACAGATAACCTTGAAAAAAAAAATCTACAAACTGTCGCCTCCATCGACCCATGAAATAACGCCGGCGATTTGTCCGGAAGATTCTCCAGAAACCTCGCCCGAAGATTCAGTCGAGTTATCCCCAGATGATTCGCCCGAAGACTCAGAAGACCCCTCTTCGATGATCTTCTCCAAGCAACCCTCGAGTTTGAAGGGGAACTCGCAGACAGCGTTCAGAGGGTCGAAGAAAAGAGCCGCAGGGCATCGCATCAAACGTCCAGATCCGGAGGAGCAAGTCAGGAAGTGAGGTTCGCAAATGCCGATTGGGTAGAGTCCGTCGGGAATATCATTGCAAACTGAAAAAAAAATCATAAACTTTGATTGAATGAAAATGAAAACTAACCTTCCCCAGCATCAACCCAGTCATTTTCGCCAGAGCCTTCACCGGAGCCTTCACCGGAGCCTTCACCAGAGCTCTCACCAGAAGATTCTCCGGAGCTTCCAGATCCTTCGCAGCCGATGACGTTGGTTTCCCAGTCGCACACCAAAATTTGAGGGTTGAAGAAGAGCGTTGCCGGACAGTTCATGATTCGAGCGATGCCGCCAGAACACGTCAAGAAGTTGGACTCACACGTTCCTCGAGCATAAATTCCATCGGGCAATTTTTGGCAAACTTGAAAACTGTGATTTAAAAAAAAGTTAGATTGTTCAAACCATCGCCTCCATCGATCCATTCGCCGGAACCTTCGCCCGAAGCTTCTCCGGAGCTTTCGCCCGAAGCTTCTCCGGAATTTTCACCCGAAGCTTCTCCAGAGAACTCTCCAGAGGCTTCTCGTGCAGCTTCGAGAACGGTTTTCGAACATTCGGCGACGTTGTGCTTCCAATCGCAGATTTTCGAAAGCTTATCGTAGAAGAGTCCAGACGGGCACTCCATAAGTCGAGCAACTCCCCCCGAACAGGTCAGAAACTCTGTAGCGCAAGGAGCCACCGGATATAACCCATCGAGAAGGTTTTTGCAAGCTGAAAAATAACTTTTTATTGAAATACAACTTCATAAAATTACTCACCATCCCCTCCATCCTTCCATGGCAGCTCCGACTTCTTCTCCGAATCAGCTAAAATCGCCTTTCAAGATTAAGAACCTTTTTTTCTACAAACCTTGACACAGAGCCGAAGTTGTGAGTGCTGCTGCGACTAAGAAACACGTCAACTTCATTTAATCCCTTAAAAGTTACATTATTTGATCGATTTTTCAACTCCTATTTTGAACGTGAAAAGTGGCACATAAAATGTGTTAACGTGTGGGAATTCTCAACTGAAAAGAAAAAAGTCCCGGGCTAGCTGTTTCGAAAAATGAGAGGAATCGGTCCTAGATGAAACATTTTGAATGAAAGTTTTTCAAAATACCATGTGTTCTATAAAGAGAAAATCTACAAAATCGTTTTAAAATCTATGTTCTGAAATAATTCTCTGAAAAGCCCCGAAAGATGACCCTACAAAAGAAAGAACCTTCGGATCTGCAGCCAGTAAAATGAATAAGTGACGACTGAGCGCTTTGAGAAATTCATTGCATCAAGTTCGCGCCATTGTAGATCTTCCGCCAAAATTTGATCTGTGAAAAATTTTTACGCCAGATCAATTCATTTCTCATATCTTTTTTCTCTATTATGTCGTTTTCAAAGTAGTTCGCAGAAGACCGATCATCAGAAAGGGAAAAAGATAACAAAACTGTCAAATATTATTTCAATTTTCGAGAAATTATGTCAAGCTTGGTATTATAATAATATGATTCATAAATAAATTTGACTTCTTAAAATTTTTACAATTTGTTATTTTTTTCAAAACAGGTTAATTTTTTTAAATTTAGACTGTAGTTTCAATAGTTATGTCTTGAAGAAATAAATGGGACCTGAAAACTTCTAGCGTAAGAAAATGATTTACTTCTCAAAATTTTATATATAAAATAAGTTTCTTCCTTCTTATTGAAACTGAAAGAAAAAATCAGAAAGAAAAATCTCAAAAAAAAAATTTTAGCCGTGGAGCACACTTTCGCTGAACTCTAGCGCCTGTTACGGCTCTTTTTTCGAGATTATTTTGTCTCGGCCTTTTTTCTGAGTTAATTTTTTTAACTGATGTTTTGACTGTGGCTAATAATGACGAGCTATTTCCTCATATACTCTAGTATTTATCAGCGATCAGTCTGCTTCACATCTGTTCCTTTAAATCTTTCTTTTTCTTTTTTTATATAATTTATTGTTCTAAATAAGGCTGGATTCAGAAATTCATTAAATCGAAAAAAATTCGTTTATTGATTTATATAAAACACGAAACAAAAAATAAAGGTATATATAAAAAAGTTTGAATGGTCGATAGGTTAGATGGGCATACGGAAGCAGCCAAGCTTGACTCGAACAACTCGCAAATGAATCAGTTCGATCTCGAATTCGATACATCCAGACAGGATCCCTTCCTTCTTGTCCAAATCCAGCTGTTAATCGATAAAATATTTGGTTCAAAATTTGAATCCTCACCTCACTTAGTCCGATACATAAGCCGGCAATGTCACTTGCTCCAGGTATCGGTACGGTGAAGCAGATCGGTGGAGGGTTTCTGACTGAAAATGATGAATTTGTCAAAAAATTAAATTAAAAATAACTTGAAATTTCTTGAGAGAAGTAGTGCCCATCGACACCGATAGATAGGTCAAGTCCAATAGTTACGGGGTTGTAGGTGGCATTCACACAAACTGTAAAAGTTGAATAACAAGAAACCATTTTTCAACCTCACAAGAATGCTTGAAGCCAGGTAGGTCTACTCCCGCGCAACATGCACAGTTTTTCTTTTTGCAAAAACAACCGTTCTCTTGAAGCATCACTTCGTCTGAATTCTGGGAGTCGACAACCAAAGTACTGGGAAAATTTAATCACCAACTGCCACGGTTTTTATTTGTGAGGACATCTTCAGTTTGTAGTCTGAGGTTTCAATTTTCAAAGCTTGAGGTGATTTTTCGAAGCTAACAACCGCATATCCTGAACTCTCGCTTTTTTCCAAAAAATATTAGGTCCACTCACGTTGATCGAATCTGTCGGGTAACTCCAAAAGCACATAGTTTCCTTCTAACTTTCTGAACAAAGTGCCGACAAATCTTTCGTGGTCGAACTTCCTCGCAATCACAGTAACGCCTTTCTCTTGCCCGGCAAATGTAGCCGTGAAAGGAATAGAGTTGTTAGCTCCTTTCAAGATGAGTGGCCGGAATATAAATTTAAGATGACCAAATGTTTCTGCTTGGCCGCCGTAAACAGTAAATATTAGAAGTATGTTGAAAAGGAGAAGCACACGTCGCATTCTCAAAGCAACTGACTCTCAGGAACATCTGTTCGATAGATAGAGAGACTCATTGAGAGCCCAGTAGATCAAAGAAAAAGAAGTTCGAAAGACTCTCCAATAAATACAAGTATAGTATACTCTATACTGTATATATTATTAATTTTTTTAAAATCAATCCAAATTAAAAAAATTTCTCGACCATTCGAGATACTTTTGGATTGGACGTACGGCGGCTTCCGCAAACAATTTTTTTAAAGCTGGAGTTAATTTCTGTTTTTCTATCTTTCGATCTCAAATATAATATTTTTTTCGACAAACTTATTAATTCACCGTTAACTTCCAACTATTTACGACGGTCTCAGCTCTACACGATTCGAGGAAAAGTGTACAGAAAGTGATTCATACGTTCTGCAACAGTACTTTCTCGAACTATCGGTGAATGATATAGCTTTGACAGTATTCAAAGTTTTTTTAATGATGAAAACATAATTAACTTTTTACTTGACAAGCGCGAAAAACTTTTTATACTTCAATACGTTATCATGGCTGAAACAACCTTCTAGTTAATCCTTGTAATTAAGTTTGTTGTAAAATTTTCTTGCCAAATTTTTCTGGAGATTCAATTCCCTTAATCATACAAAACAAAAAAATTATGTAGTTTTTCATTTGGATTTAAAAAAAACGAAAGTGTTTTTGAAAAAGTCGAAATTTGCACAGCTCACGTGTAGATACAGTAACCCCGGTCCTTTGAGCTCTGTTGAATTTCTATTTCCTATTTTTCTTTTTTTCCATTTATATATTTTTTTAATTTTAATTTTACATACTTTATTCAATAATTAAATTTAAACTTGTTTTCATTTGCTTTGAACTCTTCCAGTTATCCACGGTTTCTCAAATGAAGTAGTTTACTCAAATTTTTTTTTTGGACATTTAATCCCTCACTTCTTCTTATTCAAAAAAAGTCGGATTTTTTTTTGTTATTTTCACTTAAAATTTTCTGAGCAATTTAAGATCCCGATTTATTTTACAACTGCCGTTATTTTGTGCCTCTGACAATCAATTTTTTTTTCAGAAATCTTGCTGTGGTAATAGCAGGACAAGATGAGGTGAGTTCTTTTTTTTCTTTTTCTTTAAGGACGGGTTGATAAATGCAAGCGCTTTTTTATTGCGCAAGTTTTCTTTTGCACAAGAGGTAATATGCAAAAACGTTTCAAAACATATTTTATCGAAAACGAAAACTTTTACAGATGCTTATAGACTTTATGCCGTGTTCAAAGTAAATTCCGCGAAATGCGAAATGGTCTCTGACCCTCCAAAATTCAGTTATCTTTCTCTTTCTCTGACGGCTATTTTGAATTTCGCGGAGTCACTTTAAACACGGCATTAGGATGGTAGAGTTGTGGTTTGTTTCAAATATTTTACATGATTCCGTCAAATAAAAGTTTACGCTGCGTGTAAAGCGAGTTTGATTCGCGTAGTGAAAGAGTTTTCAGTTAAGCGACTCGAGCCCAAACGCAGTGGATTCCCACAGCGTGATTAGACGCCTCCGCTTTTTTTGAGTAATGTCCAGTGTAAATTTACTTTTAAAATTTCTATCTCGCCAAATGGACAGAGCCAACTAATCACGTACTTTAGAACGAGGAGAACTGTTTTTGCACGCACGTCAAACTTTTAAACGCGGTTAGATATTAAAAGTTCTCCTAAGGGATGCTAAGTATGCTATAATTATAAATGAGTAGATCATTTTGAAAGACTCCAACCTCTTTTTCCGAGTCTGCTTAGCTATAACTCGGTGACACATAGGGGTAAACATCTAGGTTTTTTTTTTCGGTCACTATAAACTCTTAGAAGACAAAACTCATAATCACTCCTTTTTTTTCTCTCAAAACTTTTATCAGTCAACTACATCTCCTGAACTTCTGGAGCTCTGTACTTTCCCACGAATGGCTATGATGATAAACATTGGTCTAAATTTCGCAATCAACTCGAAGCAACTCAAAACACATCATTATAAAGCTCATCTTTTGTTAAGTGTCATCGAAAGCTTGGTTCCTATCATCATTTTCAGTGAACCTTTTCGTAGTTATATATATTAGCCAACTGTCAAATATATAAGTCTTTGTTTGAAATTTTGGAAAAAAAAATGGTTTAAAACTATTGCGGAAGTTTGCATTCAATAGGAAACAATGAAAAATGTCTCAACATCGTCTTTCAGTAACTTGCGCCTGCAGAAACGCCTTGCATCGGCGGTCTTGAAATGCGGAAAGAACCGCATATGGCTTGACCCCAACGAGGTCAGCGAAATTTCCGGTGCCAACTCTCGTCAGAGCATTCGTCGCCTCGTCAACGACGGATTGATTATCAGAAAGCCCGAAGCTGTCCACACTCGATTCCGCGCAAGAAAGTACTTGGAAGCTCGACGAAAGGTTTTTTTTTTTGTCATCTTTCTAATTTCAAATATCAAAGGTTTGGCATACTCTTTTTAATATTTGAAATGGTTTCAAATGAGTCCAATAATCTCTTTTTCTAAGTTTTGAAAGAGATAGGATCGATCGTTTGAAAACTTTGCTTGTCGAGAGCAGTTTAAAGTTTCGTTTCTCCTAGAGAGAAATAATTCTAGAGAAGATTTTTTTTAGAAAACTTTTCTCTCAGTCTGACTAAAGGGCTCGCACATGCTCTGAGTGGGGATATAATCCATTAATTTTAATTAGTTCTGTACAAATATTTCGATAGATAGTGATCCAATGGCTCGGTAGGACTGTCGTAAAGTTTTTTTCTAAGTAGCCTCCTTTTTTGAGAATCTCTCAAGTTACCTCTGAAGCTGTATAAGAATTTACGTGTTCGAAGTGATTCCACAAAATACGAAATAGCTATCAGAAAGTGAAAAAAAAAACTGAATTTTGGAAATTCAGAGATAATTTTTGATTTTGCGGAAATTACTTTGATCACGGCATAATAAATTTCGAGACTTTGTTTTTCAAAAACGAAGTTTTCAACTTCCTGTCAGTTGCATTGGACATCGTGAAAAAAAATTTTTATAGGGACGACACACTGGTCTTGGTAAGCGACGTGGTACAGCCAATGCCCGTATGCCGGAAAAGACCATGTGGATTCGACGCATGCGAGTACTGAGAAACTTGCTCCGTCGTTACCGTGACGCTAAGAAGCTTGACAAGCATTTGTACCACGAGTTGTATTTGCGTTCGAAGGGTAACAACTTCAAGAACAAGAAGAATCTCATCGAGTACATCTTCAAGAAGAAGACTGAGAACAAGCGTGCTAAGCAATTGGCGTAAGTTATTGTTGATTCATTTGTGAAGTTTGCAAGCCGTCTTTGAATATGGATGTTCTTTTCATTTTTCTCATTTCAGTGATCAAGCCCAGGCTCGCCGTGACAGAAACAAGGAGACCCGCAAGCGACGAGAAGAACGCCAACAGATTAAGCGAGCTGAACTTATCAGCAAGATTTCCCAAAGTGAAAAGACGGCGTCCAAGTAATTGTTATCGTTTTTGTTGCTTTGTGATGTCAATAAAGTTATTATTGTTTGAAACTTCGATTTTTTTTTCATAAAAGACCGGTATAAAGAATTGGGGATCCTACTACGTTTACTTCAAGAGTCCTAAGTGTTTTTCAGATTTGATGAACTAATTTTCCATCCCGAAAAAAGGTTTCTTTAGGTGGTCAAGTGTTATTATATTTAAAAAGGGTTTTTTTTTTGCTGTACACGTTTTTTTTATCAAATGTTAATATTAATATAATCTTTTGGGCCACTTCATAGTAATATAATGCATTAAGAAATTGAACTCTGGTTTTTCTTGCTGAAAAATTTATGTGAGAAACAGATGATAAATTGATGGTAACAAAAAAAATTCGAATCATCAGTATTTCATGAAAATTTGATAAAAAAATTAGAGTATTTCCCATTAAAAGTATACCCACAATAGTTGATTTTATGCAAAAAAAAGTTTATTTTCCAAAGTCTTACGTAAGACTACTGCCCAGACTCATAAGGTGTAATCGGGAGTGTCTGCCCTTGCCACTTGAGTAGAGGTGTTAAGGGGGCACTAGAGTGGTCCTAATTCCTCCTGAAGATTCTTTCATACTAAATTTACATTAAAGTTTTCTCACGGGTTTTTGTATATCAAAAATATTTCATGCATCCGCGCTCCCAAAGTCTGCGGTTTTCCCTTAATCAATATGCAGTGGGCGCGTATTCAGAAAGGAAACAACGCGTTCATAAACTATAGTCTAATTACAACAATTGATTAGAAAGCTTTGACGCGATTCGGAATGTTCTCTAGAACCCGGCTCAGTTATAGTATCCCAAACTTTTGAAAAATATTCTTTTCAGGTTAGTTACTGCTATATTACTTTTGCTCATCAAAGCCGGATCTAAACATCTTATTTGCCAATTTTTAGGGTTCGGCAAGATGCGGGTAGATCTTCATCAATTATTTAATGTGAACATAACTTTATGCGAGTTTTTCAACGTTGATCTTGATGAACGCGGGTATTATCAGGTACATATCATGATTGATACAATAATTAGAGAACAATTGTCAAGATTCGGTTGGTTCCCAAGCAAACACCGGACTTTCTAGCCCTCGACATTGTTAGCACCAGTGGTCAGCCGGCTTCTACTCTCAAGTTTCTTTTCCCTAACAAGTTTTCTAGCGCTATCCATAGGCTTTAGTGAATCCAACAACTCCGCGCAAAGCAAGGCCTCATCTTCCTCAGAACTTTTGCCTGCATCAGTTCTGCATCCGAACATCGGAATCAGCAGGACAGTTGAAGTCACCTACGTCGATGAAAAATTCATTATAGGTATAGTTGAGAAGGAGCTTTCTGGGTTTTTTGAATTGCAGTAATTGGTTATTGACCGAATTTTATAAGATAGCGTTCGGTTTTGCGACAGGACTGGTGTCTGACTCCTCTTTGCCATTTCAGATACCCCAGAAAGTTGAAACCGGCATTTTTTTTCTCGTATAGTATATACTGATTTATTTGTAGACGGCTCAAAGTATTCTAAAGCCTTTTAAATGTTCTAAGTGAAGCCGTTCTTATTTTCTAAGTTTCCTATTCGTCTTCCAGATGACGCCTTCACGATATCGGCGCAGGTCAACGCCACCGTCGACCTTTCTGTTCCAGTCGAGTTGAACGTGGATTTCGAACTGTGGTTCATGGACCGGTACCGACCTCCTCGTATGGACCTTTTCGAATTGCAGTCCAGGCGCACGATACAGGTATCTGCTTATAGAGAAAGTGCAAGGGTTGATTCAAAATAAAGGAAATCTCAATTTTTTTTTTATGATATTCATTGTTTTTATACACTACCATAATGAATAGTAAGTGATTTTTCTCATCAAGAGATTGTTTGAAAAAAAAAGCTTATCAACCGTTTTCTTCAAATTCTGTGCAATGAATTTTTAGTCCAGAGGGAGCTCTAGTCCAAAAAATTCAAACACAGAAATCGAGTGGAAGAAATTTCAAAAGGTTTTTTTTTCATTCAGTTTGAATTTGGAAAGCGTTCTCGAGCTGAGCCTGCGACCAAACATTTCAAACATATTCCAAGAAATTCATATTTATTTTGAGCAAGAAAATTTATCTTCAGACAACTTGATATATAAAGTTCTTCTGTATTAGTAAAATTTCAGATAACTCTTGATCCAACTCGAATTTGCTCTGCTGCTAGACCTATATATTTCGATTGTACGGATGTGGCCGCGATTACCGTTGCGATACATTCGGCAATGATATCCATCCTTCCGAGAAGGAGAAAACCACCTCCTGACTCGGTAGTTTTGGAAAGATCTCTTGTTGAAAATGACAAAGTCTTAGGCTTTGTCGCCCAAGCTGCGGAACTACCACAGTTCTGCATGTCGCGCGCTTCTCTCGGCCACCGAATCCATCCAGCAATTCATAAGCAGACACTCGAGGCTTCTTTCAACTCCAATATGCTTTGGTTTCTTTGTATTCTTTGTGTCTTCTATTTTGCGATACAGAAAACGTGGAAGTCGAAGCAGAGATGGGATCTCTGCGCGAACGGCTCGAGTGCTCGGAACGGCCTTGGGCGACTCTCGAAGCCGAGTGCGTCTCACTCAGCTCAAGGCTCACTACTGTTTTTTCACAGATGCTCCAGCTCTTTGCAAAATGCGAACGTAAGTTTTTTTGGTCTTTCAATTCCACAAAATTCTCAAACTTCTAGCATTGAAAGACTTTCTGTTTGTGGAGTATGATAAATGGCGCCGGGGACTTCTGGGCGAAGCTTTTTTCTACCTGGAAAGAACAAAAGACGAAGTTTTATTGCCACGGCACCTCAATACTCACGATGTAATACGAAACTGTTTATATGTCAAATCATCCATTCCAGCTTCTCTCATTGGTCACCAAGGGAAAATATCTTTCCCGACTGCCACGGTTTCCTTTATTCTGTGCTGCCACCGACTGCCCTGCCGAGAGCTGGTTTTACAATTTTCCATCTGAAAACGTCGATTTTCTTTAATTTCAGTCCGGTCGTTTTTGAGGAACGTTTTGCCAAACCTTTGAATGTGTCTTCTGTTCTAGAGCGTTTAACTTTGGATGGATCTAATTGCACCAACAATTCTGCTCAGTCTTCGGTGTGTTGCGATTTTTCTTTCGTTCAAAAAAAAAGCATAATTTCTCTTTGACCTTCGAAAAAGGATTTCTGATGAATTCTGATGAACTGATGATTTCTGATGAACTGCAACTCGCATTTTTTTCTAAAAAAAAATGATTTTAAAGGCTTCTCGTACGTGTAACCAGAGAATGGCGTCGCCGACGCTGGGCGATCGGATCCGTGGCGAAGCGACGCGCTCATTGCGACTGATCAAAAGTCGCAGGAAAAGCGCCGACTGCTCTCAGTCGATGGCCGTCCGTCGTAAACAGGCACTTTTCGCTTTTCGAGATCGTAAATCAATTTCCTCTCGCTGTTTAGGTTCGACCTCGGACTACCACCATCGCTGCGTGCGAAGGCCTTCTGCGCAGGACCGAGGGAGGTGACGGTGCGTCTAGATTTAGTTTTGATAGCGTGCTTACTAGGGAACTACGCGAAACTTTAGTAGCTTATAGACTTGAGTCAGAATACTTGAAAAGAGAGAATATCTGTTAAACCCGATATAGAAATGAAAAAAAATTCGTAGAAAATGTGCAGATTGGGCCTGAAAATTTTCAAAAAAACTGCTTTTCACCTTATTTTATATTCTAATACCATCGCCTTGAAGGAACCGGCTATATTAAACACTAAAAAGCTTTAGAGGAAAGCAGAAATTTGATAATTTTCAAGCCATAACAGTTCATTTTCAAAAAATTTTTTCTTGGTACCTTATTGGGTTTAGCAGATAATATTGCCTGTTTTCAAGTACCAATACCTAGATCTTCAAAACTCGACCCATGAATACGAGTTCGCGTAGTTTTCTAGTTAGAGTGAACCCCAACATACATCGGCTGCATTCCACGTCAACCTTTTGCGCGCGAAAATAAAATTTGAAAATTTACTCAAACAAGTCGAAGTTTACGGGGGATCGGCCGCACTCCGGGGTGGAATATGAACCCCAAAAAAACTCGGCAAAGTTTTGAGGGAAATTTTTTTCGATCACGAATTTGTAATCAGATAGATAAGAGATTCGGCTTAAAAATGTTTCGAGTTTTTTTTTGTAGCGCCAAGTATGCCCTCTTCACATGATTTTTGGCTTTTTCATTTTTTTTTGCTTGTCATAAAGTTGATTTTCAAGTTTTAACCGAGTGGCACTGTAGTCCATATTTTATATCGTGTTGAAATTTGATGAAAAAGCATTTTTCTGCATTTTACTGTGCTTATCATCAACTCTAACGCTGGGCAGTAGCACCCGTTGGGCCCAGGCATAATTTTGAAGTGTGCTACCACCGACCATCCAGTGTTTTTTAACGTTTCGGGCGATCGGGGACTCGGCGCGTGAACTGGGCTTAAGCGGCGTCTATGCGCGGCTAAAAATTGCGTTTCGGGTGATCGGCGGTAGCATCCGCTGGTGCTACTGGCTGACATGAGAAAACCTTCCTACAACTTTTCGTCACTTTACCATTTTCAATTTTAGGTCAAAGTACCTTTACTGTTGGGAGTGAGAGTGCAAGAAGTGCTCGAGAGAAGCCAAACGACTCCTCTGGAGAGAATGTCCCTGACGACCTTCTGACCAGAAGCAATTCTGCAAGCGCTCTCCCAACTTCTCCGGCCGATGAAGACGTCGTTTCTGTGCCGTCGCCTTCAGCTTCTGTGACGTCACCGCTTCTTCTCAATGAAGGTTCGCCTTTTCAATCATACATGGGCAGCCCAATTTAAAAGGCTGCTGAACCCTTCTCCCAAATTTTCTCAAATTAAAGTTAATAATATCTTCCTCATGCTGCAACTCGTTTTTCTATGGCCAAAAGTACCTCCGTGAGGTTGAAAATGGATTTTATGTATACCTAATTATTTCAAATACTTGTAAGACAATCCCTCCTCCCGGACTGAATGAGTTCTGTACTTGCCCATCTATATTTTCATTCAGTAAAAATAAAAAGAAAAATTGTCTTCTGACTGCTCATTTTCTTTTTCTAGCCCATCCCAAGGATTTGCAAACGGCCGTTGAGTTCGTACGAGAGCGAGAAGCGATGAAGCAACGCCTCCGGTTGCAAGGAGGTTACGAAGGCTGTCTCTACAGGTTAATCAACTTTCTGCTTTATATTCTTTTTTTATCGGCTTGAAACAGTGAAGTAATTCCTCTAACAAAAATGAGGGTGTAGCCCGCAGTGAACCTTGAAAAAAGTGAACTTTTCGTTGATATTCTCGGTTCACCCCGCGTTGGACCTGGATGGCGTGCACAACCGGACGAAAAAAGAGCTTTTTTGAGCTACCGTAGCAGCCTGAGATGAAACTGTAGGAAAGGATGATATTGGGAAACAAAAAACTTCGAAATCATATACGGAATCAATACCTAAATAGGAATTTAAAGCTTAACGGGGTACACCCTTAGTTAGTCCGGGGTGCACCGCAACTTTTTGTTAGAGCATTGAAAATGCCAAATCTCGTCGTTTCAAGCGAGAAGAATGACTAGGATTTGTTTAGTGAAAGTGCGGTGACACTGGTGATGCCACTTCGATGTTGTCCGCTGACGACCTCGTCTCTGTCCAAAGCTCCTCCCAAAACTGCGACTCACCTCATAGTCTTTGTCCACGGTCTCGAAGGTATATTTCGGATTGATTTTATCGTGTTGAAATATGTCTTTCCATTCATAATCTGTTTCTCAAGGATCGCACGAGGATTTGTCACCTTACCGTTGGGCACTCCGCCAAGCGGCTTTCGCCTACGAGTTCTGTGAAGAGAAGGAGAAACATGCGCGGAAAGAGCCGGTTGAAAAGTTCGAGCTCGCCTATCTGATGAGTCGGGCCAACCAGAGCGAAACCTGGGCTGATATAACTTCCATGGCGCACAATCTTCTCAACGAAGTCTGCGAGTTCTGCGAAGAACACGGGAATCGCGTGAAAAGGATCAGGTGTGATATCATAATTAACTAGAATTTTTTTTCCTTCGTGCAGTCGTATTGCTCTAAACGATTATGAATACATGTATTATATGAACTGCAGAAGTAATCGAGTAGTAACGAGATAAAAATTATTGTTTATCTATTGCGAAAAACTGATAACAACACATTTTTTTCTTCTTTAAAGAATTTGTGACATTCTCTTCAATGAAGCAGTATTAGAGAAGAGAACAATGGTTGTCAGAAGTTCGAAGATCATGCTCTATCTCAGTTATCAGTTGCTCATTTTTTCGATGAATGTAGGACACCTACGTCCCATTTGACTTCTTTGACAATCTATGTTTTATATGGAGACATATTTGGTTAGCTTCGCGATTATTTCCCCCTTTTAATTCAATTTTTTTCATCATTTTTATTATTTCGAGATGGTTTTTTATGAGCCTTTGAAAGCTTGGTAGAATATTTGAGTCTCACTAAAAGTTGGATGAGTTGTGTTCCAGCTTCGTAGCGCACTCACTGGGCGGCGTGATCGTCCGTTCGGCGGTGGGACTGGCGACGGCAGCGGGGATGCCTTGGCTGTTGCCGATCCTCCACACCCTCATGACCATCAACACACCGCATCTCGGCCTCGCCTACGTCGGTCGCCATGTTCACTGGGGAGTGCAGCTCGTTCAATGGTGCTTCGCTTCTTCCTTTTCGCGTAATCCGATTGGTATCCACAGGTGGAAACGATCGCGTTCTATGGAGCAGCTTGCACTCCGAGACGCTCTCAATTTCAACGAGTCTTTTCTCTTTTCCCTCTCCGCCAATCAATCGTTTGGCAATTTTCGTCACATTCTTCTCATTGGAACGCCCAGTTAGTAGTCTTCTTCCTTAGAGTTCATAAAATCTTCCTTAGAGACATAAATTGGTATTGCAGACTTTTTTGTCTATCAAAATACCCTATTTTTGAAAAGTTCTGTACACTCATCTTGATAGAAAACCCTCTGAAAGTTTAATGCGAATTTCAGACGATCTCTTTGTTCCTGCGCATTCTGCTCTTATTGAACCTTCAAAAAGCTCTTCGCGAGATCCCTCGGCTCTTGGGTCGGCGTATAGGTACGTGTAGAAATATTAATTTCAAGTTTTTTTGGTGTGATTTTGAGGGAGATGATGAACAACGTACTCTCCAATATCAATTCGAGCGCGAAGACAGAAACTTTCATCCGTTACACAACTTTTCACAAAGTTGCTACCGCCCATTCGAACAGGTTAACTGGGCGTGCCGGTTGGTTGTTTTTCCTTGAATCAAAAAAGACAAGAAAAGTTCTTCAAATTTTTTTTTGTTATGAAGAAAAAAGTTTACAGCCCACATCGCAGCAGTCGAAGACGCCATTTTCATCGAGAAACTTCTTTCGATTTCGGCCCTGAAATATTTCATATAACCAATTTTACTTCACAGGCAAAGTCCGAAAGGGTGAAAAAAGGCTTCATAAAAATGTTCCTTTTTTGCTACGTTTTTGCGCCATTTCATCGCCCCTTATGAACCATTTTTGCTGCCTCTCCCTTTTTCCACCATTTCTGGAGCCTTTAAAATCTTAGAAAGAATGGAAGGCTCGAAAAAGGGACCTTTCTGCGGCTTTTTTTGAGCCTCTTCCTTTTAGCGGCCATTATCCAGCATTCCGACTTTGCCCGAGTTTTTTCCCAATTTCTTTCTTTATCTGTATTTCTGTTTTTTTTGTAGATAGTCAGTTTTGTTAAAGATCTGTGTTAGTTAAGAATCTCTCGAAACAGACGGTGATTTTATGTGTTGTGTGCTTTTTTTTTCTCGAAGTCTGTATTTACTAGTCTTGTTCATATCTATGTCTAACATATCTCTAATCCTGAATCTTTTTTTGCCTTTCCTTCCTTTATCAAAACTGCTGTGGTTGATCATTCTTGCCATAAACATATCACGGTTCGGTTGTGAAATTTTTGTAATGACTGTTTGATAAATAATTTTTTTAATAAGTTTCAAGGTTCATCGAGGTAGTTTTCTCTATTCTATATACCATTTCAAATAGAAATTTCTGATAATCCATTCATTTTCAGAAGTCATGAAGCCTCATAAATTCAAAACCAAGGTCAGCTCGTTACTGAAGATGGCTAACAAGAAAAAGTTAGGATCTGAATTCTGGAATCTTCCAAATTGTTGGAATATTTAGGAAAGAAATGCGATCGAAAGTTAAAAAGAAGCGATCGAAGAAAGGGGGAGAAACAGTGGTTGGTTTTGCAATCAGAACAAATAGTTTGGAATCATGTTTTTGAGGTCAGAGTAGGTAGCATGATAGGCGCGGATCAGGACGCCGTTCTTCTGGAAGCGGACAAACTGGCTGAGGTTCGAAAATTTGAAATGATTGACATTTTAAACTCAGGCTTGGGAAGGTGTTCGGAATATCTGCTTTCGGTTCTTTGGAAGGAGTTTGAAAGGGCAAGTGGTCAAACGCCTTCTACGTACCTTCCGGAAGCCTGCCAGTAACCTGCTGGAAGGCTTCCGGCAAGTTGCCAAAAATTTTCAATTTTTTACCTTACAAGGACCTTCTAACTACCTTCCGAAGACTTTTTCAAGACCTTCCAACCTCCTTCCCATCATAGCCGATTCACGGCTAACATGGGACGCGAAGGGGGCGTGGCCTGTCTGCGCTCTCCACGTGCCAGGCACTATCTCTTGCTTTATCGTGCCAGGACCCTTTTTTCAATGCCTCAAGCCAACCGTGATTCTGCCATACCTCCCCATTATCTTCCCAGAGTTTGCCTGGGAACATTTTTCAAGAAAAACATTTCAAACTCGTTTTTTTGTTTGAAAAAAGCATTTTTTTAATTCAGAAAACTGAAGCTGACGAAAATTTTTCTCGAGGAGCGCAAACCTCACGGATGGCGCGACCGCAGCTGCCGATCGACCTCGTCGAGTACCAGTTGATGGCGAGCATAGCCTCCAACGACACGATCATCGTGATCGGCGAGACTGGCTCCGGGAAAAGCACGCAGTTGCCACAGGTCGCCGCTCGCTGCCTACGAGTCGCAGCCATCAATCGCTTCAGATCTGCTATCGGCTTCTCAACCAGCAGAAGACAATCGCGGTGACGCAGCCGCGACGCGTCGCCGCCATCGCCCTGGCCACTCGCGTCGCCAAGGAAATGGGCACCGAACTTGGGGACGAGGTCACTTTTTTGAAAGAGAACTTGAGAATCGAACTGATTCCGAGAAACAGAATTCCATGAGAAAAAGAGAAACTTGCTTTTTTGAGTGTCTTTTCTTTTTCAATTCTAAACTTTTGTATAGGGCATTCCGGCACAGCTCGTCACGATTTTCGTTTCCCTCTAAGCTTGAAAATCTTTCCGTTCGAAGCTCGCGAGATGTTTCTCTGTCTGCGTCTTTCATTTGGCCAAAAAGTTCCGTTATATTAAAGACGCATGTAGATATAATATCACGCGCATCGAAGGGAAGGGTTCTGTAGTTCAAAGGAAGACGAAAACCGTAACAAGCTAGCGCGGTTTGGGCTATATACCTACTCTAACAGAAGTTGCGGTGCACCCCGCGTCGAACTATCGGTGAACCCCGAAGTTTAACCAGCGGTGTACCTCGTTTAGCTTTAAATACCTATTAAGGTACTTATTCCGTACACGATTCAGAAGTGGTTTTTTCCCCAATATCACCATTTTCTACAGTCTCCTCTTAGGCGGTTACTGTACCTCAAAATAAACTTTTTTTTTTGTCCGGTTGCGCCAGGGGTGCGCGTCATCCAGCTCCAACCCGGGGTGCACCAAAAAAATAATCGAAAAGTTCACCTTTTTTTGGTTCCCTGCGGGGTACACCCTCATTTTTGTTAGAGTACTGAAACACGGAATGCCAAAATACTCGAAAAAAAGTCTATTTCGACACCATTTTTTTGTCATTTCAAATGTTTATTCGTCATTCCGCAATCTGCACGATAAATACAAAAAATAAAACATCAAAAAAATCAAATGAATCTAACAGCTGATCTGTGGAAATCAATCATACTCTATCTTACAGGCCGGCTATCATATCCGATTCGAAAAAATGACCTCGTCAAAAACTAAGATTGAGTACATGACGGATGGAATACTGCTTAGGTTACATTTCGCCCGGACTTTCATCCGGAACAACTGGAATTTACAGAAAAGCGTTGACGAGCCCTCTTCTCAACCAATATTCTGTGATTATTGTGGACGAAGCTCACGAGCGGAGCATGCACACTGACGTTTTGATGTGTTAGTTGCCTTAATCATTGACAGCGTTCATTTAACGACATCAGGTATGCTGAAGACGTGCCAGCGCCAGAGAGACTCCTCCAAGAACCCGCTGAAGCTCATTATCATGTCTGCAACGCTAAAAGTCATTCCATACCCAACTCTTGCTACAAATCCAACTTTTCTTCTAGGCCAAAAAGTTCAAAGACTACTTCGACGGCGCTCCTGTGATGGTTATACCAGGAAGGCCCCACCCAATCGACGTGAGTCATGTCAAGTTTCTTGGGATTTCATTGAACATATAGATCCTCTATCTGATGGAAAACGAAAAGGATACGAGTTATTTGAGAAACTCCCTCGTAACGGTGAAGCAAGTGCATCTGAAAGCTGAAAAAGGGTAACAAATAACCTTCCAAAGTGGTTTCTTATCAATTTTTCCTCAGCCAGGGCATTCTTCTTTTCCTAACCGGTGCAGAAGAAATCGAGGTCTGTTCTGAAACAACCAAAACATAACTGAGATCATTCTAGGAGTCTGTGAAACAACTGGAGAAGTTGAACAAGTCGTTGCCACCTTCGGCCGATCGTATATTCCCGATCCCGCTCTACTCGGCACAGAGGCCTGAGCAGCAACGAGAAGCGTTCCTTCCCGCCCCTCCGGTTACCAAAATACTCGAAATGAAAACCTTCTTTCTGTTCAGGGTACACGAAAAGTGATACTGTCAACAAACATCGCGGAGACTTCACTGACTATCCCCGGAATCCGCATTGTCATCGACTGTCTCCATGCGAAGATCAAGTAGACTTCAAGAGCTACAAACTCAAAATTATTGAAATTAATCAGAAACTATAATTCCGTGGAGAGATACGAAGAGCTGAACGTTCAGCTAATCAGCAAAGCTCAAGCTACTCAAAGAGCAGGCAGAGCGGGTCGAGAAGCTCATGGAACATGCTACAGGTTCGAATCCCGGAATTTTCCATAATCTCTTTCAAAGTGAAGAATCACAGGCTGATACAGCACAGCAAGTACGAGAAACTGCAAGAGGATTCCGTGCCGGAAATTTTGAGAAGCAACCTGGCCGCAACCTTTTTGGAACTGCTCAAGGTCGGCATGCAGAACCCGCACAAGCTGAAGTTGATCGACATGCCGTCTGCCGACAGCATCAGCGCCTCTATGCGAGAACTCAAGGTGCCTAATCACTACTGGAATAAAGTGTGATGATCTTTTAGGCTATGGGTGCCATAGCTCCAATACGTGAAGGATCGAGTCGCTTCCAGTTGACGGAACACGGCGAAACTCTGTGCGCCTTCCCTTTGCCTCCTGACCATGCCCGGTTTGCAGAAACGCTGGCCTCCGCTTCACCGTCGTTTTTAGAATCGTGACGATGGCAGAAAAGGAGGGATGTGTGTCCGAAGTGTTGAAGATCGTCGCGGCGATGCAGGCCGAATGGATCATGTACCCGTACGCCCCGTATGGAACTTCTGATGAGGAGTTCGCGAGGGCTCGAGCACGGTTTCAGTAGCCCTTTTACCTAAATTCATGAACTGGTCTTCAGGTTTGAAACCAGAGAAGGTGACCATCTCACAATTTTGAAAGTGATGCTGGCTACCCATCACTTCATGAAGCAGGTTTTGAAAACGTTTTTTTTGAAAGCCTATTTTCACTTGGTAGCGGCCAAACGGTGAGAAGGTTCTGAATGGCGGCATGAACGATCCCAGGAAGATCCCGATGGCTAATTTGAAGGTTTGTATGTGAGAAAACTTTCGCAGAGAGTTTTTTAGAACTATTGTGACGAGAATATCATAAATATGCGCAATCTCAAAACGGCGACGCTAATCGAAAAGCAACTCAGAGATATTGTCGTCGAGCGCGGCGGCAAAGTAACTTCTTGTGGGGTCGACTTTACTAGCATACGGTAATTCGATAGTGTAAAAGCCAAACAAATTATATATTTATTTCAGAAAATGCTTGGCACACGGTTTGTTCCTCAACAGTTGTGAGTACGACCGACAAGAGGATCGTTATAGACTGATGGTTAATCCTTCAGTCACTTTACGGATACATCCTTCCTCAGTTCTTTCAAGGGTACTCGTTCGAACATTTATTCGCCAAATTATTCAATTTCAGTCCAAACCGAATTGTATCGTTTTCACAGAACTGCTACGAAACGAAGATCTCTATGCCTTGTATGGAATTATATTATTTTTCTTTTATAACTTCGAGAGCTTTAGACATGCCACGTTAATCGATTCCGACTGGGTACGTCCGCTGATTACAGCATACCGTAAAACTACGTTGAAATAATTTTGTTATTTTCGCATTTTTTTTTCCATTCTGTTGTTGTCTGTTACATTATTGGAATACATTTTTCATTCAATTATAACCAATTTACAGTTAACAAACTTTAAAAAAACATTTTAGGCGAGTTAACCCGCTTAAAAATAAACCAAACAAAAGCTAATCTTTCTCTACAACAAACACTGACTAAGAATAAGATCTGTCGCGATTGTGTCCCGACGGAGTGCCGGACATGTAAGCTTCTCCATCATTCGGATAGGAATAACCGGAGGATCCTCCATATTTTCCAGAGTCAGCAGGCGCTCCTCCTAGAAACTACCGCTTGAGACCTGCGCAAATGCTCGAAATACCTGTCATGTCGAAACTGTATGGGTTGGAGGCGAAAGCTGCCGCGTATGAATCTTTCATGACAGGAGCTTCATGACTCAGTTGTGCTGGACCCCTCACCTCAGCAACTTCAGGGATCGGAGTTGAATAGGGATCGTACACGCGGGAAGTTGGAATATGCTGCAAAAATATCTGAATCACGAAGTTCAAATCCGCTTACCGTTGTGTTCGCATTTTCTGCAGTCTGGCGATTTTGTCTGCGGAGGTCGTCATAGTTCACTCTGGATTTGCTCAACTTGTACTGAAATTGCATATCATACAGTTATATCAAGGATTTTGAAACCTTTTCCCATAATTCTGCAACTTTCGGCTGGACACGATCACGACAAGTTCCCATAGAGAACAAGTTGGCGACAGTCATCGACCTTTGAGCCGATTAGCGGATGGATTTCTCTCTTCTCTCATACATACCCAATACCCATAATCACGTAGAAAGGCCAGCCTTTCGGTCCGAACTGGTATTGTGGCGGCAAACGGGTTCGAGCAAAGTACAAGGAGCCCAGAACGAGGGCTGTCGCAGGGAGCCCTCGAGTCGTCGCCATCTTCATTTTATCAAATACATAACTCTGAATTAAGAACTAAACCTCGGTGGTACAGTTTTTCATGATATCCGTAAGCTCTTTTTGCTCATCACTCGACATTTTATTGAAGAGATATTGCAGCTGCTCATTATTCAGTTGCAAACGTGAGTTGGAGCTCGATGGAGAGGAAATATCAGCCATTTTTTTGTATTTCTAAATTTAACTGTTAATTTAAATGGTTTGAGATTTTTTTATTTATGAAAATATTTTTATTAAAAATACAAATATAATTGATGAAATTATGATGGAAAATGGAAAAAGAGGTCAAGGAATCGTATGCCGTGTTCAAAACAATCTCCGCGAAATGCAAAATTATCTCTGACTCTCCAAAATTTAGTTATTTTTTTCTTTCTCTGACGACTCTTTTGAATTTTGCTTAAATTACTTTGAGCACGGCATGAACTAATGCGTACGTTGGAAAAAAGGTACATTTTTTTCTTAATGGCGTGTTCATCGGACAAAACGAAAATTGCTCCAAAACAAACATTAGCACTGTTTCGGAGCAACTTTCGTGCGCCGATGAACCCGTTTTTGCGTTTTGAAACATGTTCCGTTTTCCCGGTGAACACGCCATAATTATATGCTTTGAGTCACGTGAAACAAGAAGAATAAATAAAAATATAAACAGCGGTCGTCCAGGTGTCCGTAAAACCCAGTTTGCGATTCTAGGCCGCGATTGGATTACGAAACATCGACCTTGCCGCCGAGTTCAAAATTGCCGTTTTTCATCGTGTCATGATTAATCGTCGGTTTTTTTTTCTTGAAGGAAATTTTAATTTCGCGTTCAAAGAGATTTTTTGCTTGCGCTCGGTTCATTCAAATTTTTATTGAAGAATGTTTCATTTGAGCTCATAGTTTTCTCTTAGAAGAGTTTTAAATTTCATGAAGACGCACTTTTATGCAGAATATTCAATTCGAAAAAGATTTCAGTTTAAAAGTGAATTCAAAGTACTATCTTCACTGACAGTATCTTCACACAAATGTTATAAAGTCTTCCTTAGTCAGAACTTCAGCTAAACTATTTTTATTAAAATTATTTTGGATGGGCACTTTACGTGCGTGTTATAGAAGTTTATTTTTCACCAATACTTTATTTAGAATCGAATTGAAAAAAAAACGAGTTTGCGCATCTTAATTGCAAGGTCGTTCGAAATACGCTCCGTTCTCGTGATTTCGTTTTTTTTCTGTCTTTTAGAATTTCGAAGGCTTCAATAACTTAAGTGCAATACCTATTGAATGGCATGGCCTCTTCGGGTTTTTTTTTGTATTGACAAATTTGAAATTTCAATTATGTAGGTCAAACCAGAGCAAATATTTTATTTCTGTGAACAAGTTGATAACTTGGCAGCATCGGCAGACTATCTGATTTCGAATTGAAATTTGAATAAGACCGGAGTAGTTTTTTGTAACTTGTCGAGAAGCAGCAAGGTGATGTTATATACCGGTTGCCGAGATGAATCAGATGGAGCTGATCAATCGATGGGGGAGGATTCGGAAAAAAAAGACAAAGTGAAAGGCGTATAGGTGGAGGCGGATGAGAAATCGGCGGCGGAGAGCGTGCGTCCCTGGTAAAGGGAACCGGAGGAGGAAGAATTGTCCTTGTTCAGCAGGCGCGTGCTTCGTCTCGCGCGCGAGCCCGCGGTCACTCAATTCTCTTTGTCTTCCGCTGATTCAGCCCAATCTTTTTCATTTTTTCTTCTTCCCTATTTACCGTTTCTTTACTCTAATTTACCATACGTTGCAAAATTCTTAGTATGAAGATGGTCCGTTTCTTCAATAACAAAACTTCTGGAAGGCTCAAAATCATAATTAATATTAAAAAAGGATTTTTCTTCAGCTTTTCCCTTATCTTAAAAATCATTACAGCGTACATTATCGTATAAATTCCTGTTTTTAATATGTTTTTTTAGACTTTTTAACAATAATCTTTATTATTTTGTGGAATAATTCGTCGAAGATATTTTCTCTGATCAAAATTAATGAAACATATATTGTTAAATGGCCAAAGTTTTTTATTCTCACAAAAAAATGGTTCTTAGTTTTCCTTCCTACATTTTCTTTTTTTCCACTATACGGTGTCGATTCATCTGGTTTGAATGTTACATGAAACCTATACGTTTCGAACTTTTTTTGTAGAATTCGATTTCTTTTTTATGCCACACTTCTCGCAATTTTTCGTTCTTAGTCACTGTATTATTTCCAGAAATCGTGTCGGTGCGTCTTCTCATGCCATCTTGCAGTGTACAGTGAAACCTCTCATATAAGTTTTTTCCTTAGGGTTTGATCAAGCTTTATTTTGATTATTCCTCACATTTTTTTAGGTTTACAATGCATGCCGGCTGCCTTTTATTTATAGGCTTTTCAATTTTCTGTGATACAGGTAGTTAGAATTTTCGTGGCTTCGATTTGATAATTTTATTTTAGCATATTCTTTGAGCAATTTCATAGATAGTTACCAAACGCTGAACTATCGTACCAAAAATCTCATTTCGCATTTGAATCGAAAAAAGAGGTCAATTTCGGAAGATGAGCCACTGGACGTGCGGTTTCATGCCTATAACAGGTGTTTTTAACTTTTTTTTTTTTGTTCTTTCAATTTGTTTCATTCAATTTTCCTAATGTCTTGTGAATAGAATTGAAAAATATATTGTATTGATTGGTTGAATTGAAGTTGGTGACTTTCCAGAAGCTTCAATTTGATGCTGAGTCCAGTAGACGATTTTTTCGGTCCATTCGATTCAAATCACGTGGCCGACATTGATGGCGAGTACGTTGACCTGAAGCCTGCCAATTTTCTGTTTGAAGGATATTTGAAAGGTTTCCATTTTCACGTCTTGCAATTTTTTCTATGTTCCTATTAAATTTCGTAAAGTTTTGCTTTTTTCCATCGGCAAAGTCAAAAAAGGCTCCATAGAATTTAGGGTAAGAAAGGCTTCTTTTGCGCCATTTTCGCTGCCTCTAACTTTTCTACTGTTTCTTGACCTTTTGAAATCTCAGAAAAAAAAAATGGAAGGGACTCTTTTTGTTGCCTTTATGCGAATTTTTTTTTTGGACCCTGTGTGCGGCTATTATTAACCAATCTGACTTCGCCTTAATCACAGGTTATACAAAGAACAAATTTATCTCCTGTTTTTTTTTTCAATGTGTTTTAAGTGTTTGAGCGTCGAGATCCAACAGGAGAAAGAAAAAAACTTCAGTTAAAAATAGCTGTATGATCAAGAAAAGTTCACAACTATTCTTTGTATTCCAGGGGATCCTTACTCAAAAGTGTACGGGTCTGTGTTGGACGGCGTGTTCGAGGGCCACATTCGCGATGGCGCCGGCCACGCTTTCACCGTCGATAAAGCGTCCAAGTACTTTGACCACTCGGAACGGCCGTCTCATTACCATTCGATCATCTACCGCGACGACGAGATCAACCATCAAAAGTGGAGAGTCAAACGGTAGCCTTCTTTCCATTGTTCTCCGGATAGTTTGATGGAAAAAGTTCCAGAGATGCCGAGAGAATGGCTTCTTCGGTTCACGGCTGTGGGATGAGCGATCGAGTGCGTCGCGATATGGAAAAAGTCCAAAGTTCTGCGGAAAAGACGGATTTTTACTCCAACTTTATGACAATGTTCCATTTTTCCCCCCCGATCTTGGTGGTACATGTCCTGTTCAGGCCTGGAAGAACGAAGAGGGCGACGCGCGACGAAGCCGGCCGCTACTCGGTCAGAACTTGCTCCCTGTACATGCAAGCCGACCACAAGCTCTACCAGCACATCCGTATGAAGGAGGGGAATAATGATCCCATCAGGTCCTTTCACCCATAAAAGACCACTTGAAAATATTGTCCGGCTTTATTTGCACCTTCGAAAAGTAAATAGCCAAGTATTGATCAGATGGATGAAAAAAAGAAAACCCGCAAGGATTTGTTTAAATAATCATGGTTAACGAGAGCATTTTTTTGAAATTTTGAATGAACCTTCATAATTACCTAGGGAACGTTTTTTAGCCCCCAGTTAAACTTTTGCTGAAACTTGAGTGTACTTTAGGTCCTGATTGAAGAACAAGAAAAAAAAAATTCTCACAATAAATCTTGTTTTCGAATTAAGACGCCTCAAAAGCTTGAAATTTTTGTCATAAATAGCGTATTTTGCAAACTTTGAAGATTCAAAACTCGAAAAAACGATTTATCGGAAACATTTTTTACTCGTTCTGCAAAAAGTAAGTGTTTTCTTTCGGTGGCGTAAAAGAAACCAGCGAAATTTCGAACGGCCACTTTTCTTTCATATCGTGTTCTATTTTTTTGTTTCCTTTTTCTTTGCGCTTCAATCATGAACCAACTACCTCTTTTATGTAGACAAGTTCAAAACGAAGATTTTAACGAGAAAAAAAAATTTGAAAGACCCCTAGTGACATGAAAAAGTCGCCGTTCGAAGTTTCGATGATTTTTTTTATATCATCTCTTATTCTGCATTCTACCATAAATTCTTAACTTCATTGCATTTTATTGAAGTTCAACTCCGCATTTTCAGAACTCGCGAAGAGATTGTCAGCTTGTTCTACAACCACATAAAAGCCGTCAATGAGATCTACGAAAATACGGATTTCAATGGTATTCGCGGTCTCCACTTTGTTATCCAAAGAACATCGGTTCCTTTTTCCTATACTTCAAAATCATTCCCTTAACTTTTTCAGATTTACACTCCCGATTCTTGTGAACGAGGCAGAGCAAAAGCCGATTCGGACAATCCATTTTGTGAAGAGGTTTTTGGCAAAAAGTCGGGTGAAAAGTAACTTTTTCTCAGAATGTCGACGTCTCCAATTTTTTGAACCTCAATTCCCAGCGCAATCATTCGGCCTTCTGCCTTGCCTACGCTCTCACTTTCCGAGATTTCGTCGGCGGAACCCTCGGTCTCGCTTGGGTCGCCAGTCCTCAGTACAGTTCGTTTAGACATTATCAGAAATTTTTTTTGAAAAAAGTCCGGAATCGAAATTAAACGCGTCCGTATCCATTTTTGAGATCCTGTTACTGAATAGGGCGCAGGCCAAGCCTAATCCGGAATCGAAATTTAAAATTTTAAAGACCTTCTGGTGGGGGCTGAATTAAATGAGAGAGGGGGGCTATATTCCATAAAAAAATCCCCCAAATGCTACGATTCTAGAATTCCTAGACAATCTTCAAGAACCGCTCCACGCAAATTTGGAATAAGCATTGCAAGCATTGTCCGGATACTCTTTTTGCTGCCTTTTTTGAGCCCCTTCATTTTGAATTTAGTAATAAAATCAATTCAAATAGACCTCAATACACTTCATGAAAACCTTTTTTTGTAAAAGTCCTCATTGAAGATACTGCCGGAGGCATCTGCCAAGTACACCAAAGGTACAACGAAGGCAGTCGAGGCTGGGTTTTCCGTTCGCTCAACACCGGAATCGTCACCCTTGTCAATTATGGAAACAGAGTGCCTGCGCGAGTTTCTCAGCTTACATTGGCCCATGAGATTGGCCACAATTTTGGGTCTCCGCACGATTTTCCGCTCGGTTTCCCTTCTCTCTTCAGTTCATAGTATTATCCTTCATTGTCAGAATGCCAGCCTGGACTGCCCGATGGCAACTTCATAATGTTCGCCTCGGCGACGTCAGGAGACAAACCCAACAACGGCAAGTTCTCGCCGTGCTCCGTCGCCAACATCTCCGCCGTGCTGCACGTCGTCCTTCAGTCGGTTCCGGTCGACCCGACGCGCAACGCGAATCCGGTCGGGTTCGGCAAAAGAAACTGCTTCCAGGGTATCTTTTTTTCGCAAACATAAAAAAGCAAAGTGCCTCTCTTATAGAAAGAACCTCGGCTTTCTGTGGCAATCAGATTTTCGAGCCGGGTGAGGAATGCGATTGTGGATTCTCGCAGGTTAAAACTCTGTGAACGAAAAAGAGATGAACAAAACCTTTCAGGCTGATTGCGACCAAATGGGCGATAAGTGCTGTGTTCCTCACGAGAACCGCGGCACCGGAGGCCCTGGTCCCTGCAAGAGAAAGGTTTCAGAACAGTTTGGTGTTATGTGACCAGTGGGGACGTTGTAGTAGAAGATTTATCAGTAACAAGAAATTAGGCTAGACTATAACAAACGAGGGTTATATAGTGCTAAGGGAAGAGATCCCGAAGATTAGGGAAGGTTCCAGAAAAGGTGAAGTTTAGAAAGTATTAAGATTAGAATCAAAGATGGAACATTCCAGAATTTTAAAAATCCTTTCCGAAATCAATAATATTCGAGAAACCTTCTAGAAAGTTATAGAACAATTGAGAAGATTGTAGAACTTTGTAGGAGGGAAACCATTACAAAGGATTCCTACGATCTGATAAGACTAGAAATGTATGGAATACTATAAATAGGTAAAACTGGAAAGTTCTTTTGAGGATCCGGAGAAGCAGCTAAAAAGATTCCTCTAATGGCTCCTGAAATCATGTGAAAAAAGCTTTTGAGCCCCTTTTTCATAGCCTCGGCGGATCCTTTTTGAATCCCCTCGAATCTTTTCAGTTGCTTTCCAGCATCATTTTTGTTAAAGGATGTGAAAAAATGCAAAAGTTGAATAAAAAAGATCTGTTGGGGACCCTAAAAAGGTCTTTTTTTGAGAAAAGCTTTTGAGGAGTTTTTTCGTTTTGCCCGAGTAAAACATTCTAGAATCAGCTTGACATATGCGTTATGGTCCAACATTTTGAAAGACTTGATTCATCCATTTGCTGCAGCGTGGAGCGATGTGTTCGCCGTCCGAAGGATACTGCTGCAATCCCGACACCTGCACTCTTCATTTAGACCGCGAAGACAAAATTTGCCGACAGGTTTTTTTTTCTTGTGAAGATTCGGGCCTTTAGATCAGTTTGATTGGATCCTAAATCGATAACTTCACTTTTTTTTCAATATTTTCACCTGAAATGCAAAATTGTCTCTGACTCTCCAAAATTTAGTTATATTTTCCTTTCTCTGAAGGCCATTTGGCGTAGGAAGAAGGTTTCATGAATTTTCATTGACTACCTCTTTCTTAAGAAATAATACGATTTTCTGGATTAAGGAGGATTTATAGGAATCGGAGTGCAGCCACCAGCAGACGTGCGACGGCCACACCGCTCAATGTCCAGCCTCGCCGCCCAAATTCGACGGTCTTCCTTGTCAGGACAGTACAAAGGCATGGACCCAACATCGCTTTTTCCACTCATTATTGTTTTTTTCTAAAGGTGTGCTCGGCTGGTAGTTGCAACGGCTCGGTTTGCGAGATGTTCGGTCTGAAAGATTGCTTCCTGACGGAAGGAAAACCGGAGGAGCTATGCTACCTCGCTTGCATCAAAGACGGAAGTTCGTTTGTACTATTCTTGACCGGTTCAGTTTCGGTATAGTCTGTTCGTCGCAGTTTTTGAGTGTCTGCGTCTCTCTGTTCCCTCTCAGAAAAGCGAAAATAGCTCCTCAAAAAGAGAGAGTCGTCGAGAGAAGAGGAGAGCGCAGAGAAGTCCCGCAATTTCAAGTCGCGAAAAACCGACTATATAGCTGATTCACAGCTGGCTTCAGCCATCGAAAAAAGGATCCTGACACGATAATGCACAAGATAGCGCCTGGCTCGTGGAGAGCGCAGACAGGACACGCCCCCTTAGCGTCCCCACCTAGCCGTGAATCAGCTATAGCTGACGTAAAAAAAAGAAAAAGAGAAAAATATCAATTTTTTTTCTGATCTGATCTTTCGACTAATAGGAAATGCATCAGCAGTCAAAAAATAATATACACATTTAAAAAAAACCCGTTTAGAATGCACTTCAAGCGTCAATTTGCCTGAGTTCGCCGCGAATAGAACTACGTTTTTGCAATCTGGACGCAAAGGAAAAACTGGCCTCATCCTTCATCCGGGCTCCCCTTGCAACAACTACAAAGGTGATTTTGTACACTTACCGGAAGAATATTCTACTTTCAGGATATTGTGACATCTTCCGCAAGTGCCGGAGTGTCGATGCCAACGGACCTTTGGCCCGACTCAAGAATCTGCTCTTCGATAAAAGGACCATCGAAACTCTGACCCAATGGATTCAAGTTAGTCATTTTGATATAGTTAGAGCTTGAAAGCCAATGCAGTCAATCTGATTTATTCAAAGTTTTCACATAGCATCATCAAAGGGTCCGGAGAAGTAGCTAAAAAATTCCTCTAAAGCTTCTAAAATGATGTGAAAAAGCTTTTGAGCTCCTTTTTTTAGCCTCGGCGGATCCTTTTTGAATCCGCTTGAATCTTTCCAGCATTTTTGTTGCAGGATTTGTAAAAGACGCAAAAATTAAATATAAAAAGATCTGCTGGAGACCCTTAAAAGATCTTTTTTGAGAAAAGCTTTTGAGAAGCTTTTCATTTTGGGAGCTCGGGAGAATTGCCAGCTATTTTCAGTCTTGATCTATAATTTAGGACAACTGGTGGGTCGTGATGACCGGCGGCCTCGGACTCCTCTGCTTCATGGCGCTCTTCGTCAAATGCTGCGCCGTCCACACTCCGAGCACCAACCCCAACAAACCGCCCGCTTTGAACATCTACCAGACGCTCACTCGTCCTGGAACTCTCATAGTTAGCCTTTTTATCTCTCTCTTTCTAAAACTACAGGCTGACTTTTAAATATGAAGCAAAAGCTTGATTTTGGAATCACAGCGTCTAGAGAAATCAAGGTCTTTATAAAAAGACTTCTACTTGGTTTTATCATCGAGTTACTTGTGAAAATCATTTATAGATATAACAGAAAAAAATTTCTTGAAATTACTGTCGGCATGTCGTTTTCACTGGAGGTTATTTTGGTGGCCAGCTTTCCTTATATCAATCCGTTTCGAAGCCGTAAGATTTCTTTTCCAGAGACAGCGGCGTCAACGTCACCGTGCAGCAGCCTCGAACGGCTCGGCGTCCGCGTCGGCGGCTCCGAGGGCCGTGAGCAACTCCGCGCCGCCGACGGCGAGGCCAGTGGCTCCGCGGCCGTCGGCTCCGCCCCTGATCGTTCCTCCGCCGGTCATGGCCCCGCCTCCCATTCCGCTAGTACCTGCCGGTCAGCCTTTTAATAGTTTCTTGTGACTCAGCCTAATCAAAATTCCGCTTTTTTTTTCCATGTTTCTCACCTTTAAAAAAATTATTATTTCGAAGATCCTCTTGAGATTTTTCAAGGGTTTTGATCAAAGTCCACTGTACAAAACTTTGCATGTAATTTTATAGCCGATTCACAGATAGCTTGGGCGTGGCCTGTCTGTGCTCTCCACCAACCAAACATTATTTCTTTAATTATCGTGACAGGACCCTGCTCGAGCCAGACGTGAATCAACTATAACCGTTCTAGAAAAAATTTTTTTGAAACAGTCCCAAAATTTGAAAAACTGAAGGTTTTCAACAATTTGAACGTAGGATCTACTGAAGAATTTTTGAGCATTTTGGGTGTAGCAAAAAGATTTCGAAGGAGATTTCGATAAGAAGTTGAAAAAAAAAGATTTTTCGAAAACATAGAAGTCTGCGTTATATTTTGCTTACTACTTACTTACTTACTTAGATACTTAGATGGTCCATCTTCGCTTTCGACCTTTTATTGCCTTTTAGTGCCTTTTATTGATCGAAGCGTGGACCACACGTTTTCCAGGAGGTCTTATGCAATCGGTCATCCAGTGTTGTCGTCCTGGTTGACTGGTATTCTTGCGAAAAAGTTCCATCCGTGGTGTTGAACGTGTTATAGCATAATTGTGGTCTTATTATCCTTTTTGCCTTGCCAGGGCTAAAAAAGACCGCCCATTCTGTTAGCAGAAGCAAGCCGAATTGCGTGACCGGTGTACCGTTAGCCGCCATAAATGGCGTTGCCTCCCCATCACCGCGTAGAGGTGGTACTTGAAGGGGATTTTGCTTACTGAACGAAAAAATTCAAACATTCAGACTTGAATAAATTAAGAATAGTTTTCAACTTTCAACGTGGTGAAAATTTCGTGCAAGTTGGGTGAGACTTTAGTATGAATATAAGTTGTCGTTCAGGAAGCGGTCCTCCCCCAGCGGCGGTTATCGTAATGGAACCCCCACCGCCTTATACGGCGGCAGACCCTGGAAGTGCCCTGGGCGGACCCCGTCGTGGACACCGCAACAACAAACGACAGACGGCCAGCGACGCTCGTCAGCCCAACGCCGGAAAGAAGAAATCTGGAAAATAAACCCCTTTCTCCTTTTTTGTACAGTTTTATCATCTTTACGCACCTTTCCAATTTTTTGAATATGTCAGACTTCACGTACGGTTAAATTGCGTGTATTTTTGTTTCATCGAACTCTTAAAAAATGTTCTAGGCGACTTTCTGATCAATTTTGCCTCATTTTCTTGCCTTCTATCGTTTCTTTCAGTACTATCGTCAAACTCCTCAAGCGGTGCTTTCGTAATTTTCATATTTACTTCATAAAATTCCTTATGCCTTGGCTTCTTCGATTGAAAACACTCCTGGTATCTCACTTATCTCACCTCGCATCTTTTTTTTCCTTGCATAACAGCTGCCAAAAAGTTCTTTTTTTAAAGTTTTGCCTTCGTTTGTAAAGTTCTCGCCTTATCTCATTATGTTACAACAATTTTTCAACCTGGTAGTTGAAAAATTTCCTCATATTTTGAGCACGCTGGACTTGGTGATATTTGGTCTCGTCATTCCTAGCTAATAAATTCTTGATTAATTATTTTTGTCGGATTTTCTTTCCAAAAATCGATTGAGAAAAAAAAAGAGACGAATTGATGTTTTGTTGGCCGTAAACGCTTCGACCCGGACGATCCAATATTCATGGCCGCCGCAGTCGTTGAAAGACTGCTGTCTTTTTTTTTCGAATTTGGCGCCTTTTTCCTGCGGTCAGCACGAGCCTGTCTGTTCAAATTTCGAACTGCCACGCCCATCACTCGCTTGTTCCCTCGTCATTTTTTTCACTGGCTTCTCTGATTAGGAACTCCAGAGTGGCCCCTATAGGGACATTGCTAATCGGTCGTTGTACTCTAATAATATACAAAATTTAATAAATAAGCACTTTTAAAAAGAAGGTGAAAGACCCCTATAGTGACCACTTAAGCTTTACGGGCTAACGGCCAGGCCCTAAACCCCTATAGGGACCACCTTTTTATTTACTATATTTTTCATCATATCACGTTTTTTTTTTTCAACAAATTCTCTGAAATGAAATCCTTCGTAGATTTCTCCGAATCTGGAACACGTAAATATTATTCGTAAACATTTTTTTATATTTGCGTCTGCAAGAAAATTTGAGCTTCGCCACCAACGAAGGAAGCCGTGCAAAAATGGATCAAAATATTTATGTAGCGTTAAAAATTTTCGGTTTTTCCATGATTTCCAATTATTCCAATGATTCCAAAAAAAAAAACCTACACAATTCCGGCAACGAATACCAATACCAGCCTACTTTTCGAAAGAGCTCACATTGTTTTCCTTTTTCTCCCATTTCTTCCGTTGTTTTACCAGCCAACTCTCACCCGTGCACAACTTAAAAGATTGGAAGGCCGCTGAGACCCTTGTGCGACGAGAACGTGCGGAAACGGACCTGAGTAGCAGAAGCTGGGGAAAGAAGAAAAGCCCTGGGCTAGTGTATCGACGTTCGATGGGGCACACATCGAACGGAGCGCACTCGGCTTTCGCAACCTCTGCGGAGACCCTCCAAACCATTTTCGTCGTCAATTTCATCTCAAAAAAAGGTTTTCTCTAAGGACAGCTTCTTCATTTTTGCACTTTATTCTATATTTTTCGAGCTGTTGTTGATTTTCCATGAACTTCTATCTGTTCTTCACAAAATTAATATTATTCAAATAACGGAACACAGTTTCTTTCCTCTTTCCTTTCGGTAACTTACTCGATTTGAAAAAAAGCGTAAAATTTTTTCAAATTTCAACTTGAAAAAAATTTATTTATGCAAAGATTTCTGCTTCAATGTGAAATTTTTGTGTGTGGAGCAGTTTTTTTGATTTTTCAATTAAAATTTCATAGAGCTTCTAATTTTGAAAAAACCCGAAATTTCTTCAAGATAAGCACGTGTGTGAGTCACGGGCCCCTTTTTTTGTCCATGCTACACAAAACAGCCGTTCTTCCAGCGGCAATTTGCTTTTTCAGAAACTCGCACCTCTGGACTTTGAAAAAAACTTTCTGAAACTCTTCTTCATTCTTTTTTTCTATTTCTCAAATTTTTAGAGATAATTATAATTGACTTATTCCTCGAAAGCGGAACAGAATTTTTTTAAATAAGTGTAAAACTTTAAAAAGTATTGATTTCATGTGAAGAATGATCATTCACGGTGTTTCTTTTTGCGACGCCCCGCCCACTTTTTCTCCGTCAATTAGGACGTGTTTAGTGCATGCACAAAAAATTTGGAAAATAAGGTTAACCGATGATATAAGTGTGAGAAACGAATGAACATTGAAGAAAAAAGACGAGGAAATTAAAAGAGATTAAATAAAAATATATTGCTGTGGAGAAACAAAAAAAGATGTTTTTACAGCAAGTACTTTTTTTATTATAAAAAGTTGACGGAATATCCGGATATAAATGAATTCCGGAACATACTTTCTCAACTTCACAGACTTTTTTTCATGTAACTTCATCTCATTGATGTCCACAACCTAGGAATCTGAACAATCGACAAAAAAATATAATAAGAAAACATAAAATGGGGTGAAACATGTTCTATACAAACAGGTGGAGATTTTCAAAACGCTTCTTCATCACGAGTTTTAAAGTTAGCCTCACAGAACTACTTTCAAAAAACGTCTAACAGCCCAGAGTATACCCCGATCGTGGTCCCGCAATACTATCAGCAATCTACGAAAAGAAAAAGTGAAAAAATATGAAAAAATTGACAAAAAATCAAAAATAAAGCCACTTTTTCAAATTTCGCGGGCGAATTTCGAGAAGTGCGCAGACTTTGCCGAGTTTCAAATTCCTTGAATTTTCTTCAACTGGCAGAAACGCCGTAATGCATTATAATGAGGAAATTTATCGATTTCTGAGAACCTTGTTAAAAATTGGAAAAGTTTTGTCTGACCGTTTTCTCTAACAGAAGTTTCGGTACCGAACCGCGTTCCAACACTAAGAATAACTGACGAGATAAATGCGAGGTCGGTGGCGGTACATTGACGAACTCGCAAAAATGTCGCTTTTTTCTAGGCGCGATCTCGCATTTTTCTCGGCGCGACCTCGCATTTTTCTCGGCGCGACCTCGCATTTATCTTGCATTTCGGAAATTTTCAAATTGCGAGAGAAATGCGAGCTCGCGCCTAGAAAAGTGCGAGCTGGCGCCCAGAAAAAAGCGAGACCGGCGCGAGAAAAAATGCGAGATGTTTGCGAGCTCGTCAATGTACCGCCAGTGTCTCGCGTTTATCTCGGCAGTTATTCTTAGTGAAAAGGAAACCTCGCAATGGAGAAAAATGAGAGAGAAAGTATCGCGCCACAATTGCAGAAAACTGGGCGTGGTTTAATTTTGTACTGGAAATTCAAAACCATACTACTTTTTGAATGTTTATTTCTGAGTGTTAAATTTGTGTTCATATTTTTCGTCAGCTTTGACTCTATATAACTTGCGTTTATTATCTCGCTTCTTGGCCGTATACTGCGTTATTTGAGAAAAAACGAAAAACAATAATTCGCGAGTTTACATACTTTTCGCCATGTATTTGACGTCTTCTCACTTGATTTCTGTGTGAAATGTGTTGAACCTCGCAGTGTTACCAGGGATATTCTCATTTTCGAATCGTTTTGTGTCCAAATGCCACCATTTTCTACAGTTTCACCCAAAAGAGCAGCTCTAATTATGCATACTAAGCGCAATACTTGACGACAATTTCTATATATAGTCTGTTCAGATTTTGAATGTCAAGTCGTCGCTCAAGTCCCGCCCATAATGGTGCGACAAACCAATCAGAGAGCGAGCCATCCACAGAGTGTTTTTGAATGACGTCATTGCACTTGACATTAAAAATCTGAACAGACTATATGCGCGCTGACCTGCCGAATGTGCGAGATTCCAGAAATTGCGGGAAACTGTTCAATGCGATCTCTGACATGGGGCGCCAAAAGATCGCCATATCTCTTTCTCTGACCTACACTGTTTCGTCGTTATCTAGTTGCAAGAAAACGACGAAATAGTGCGTGTCAGAGAAAGAGCTGTGGCGAACTTTCGGCGCCGGCTAGCTAGGTACCTATAGTCTGTTCAGATTGTGGATGTCAAGTTGTCGCTCAAGCTCCGCCCCTAATGGTGCGATGAACCAATCAGAGAGCAAGCCATCCACAGAGTATTTTTGAATGACGTCATTGCACTTGACATTAAAAATCTGAACAGACTGTAGGTAGGAGGGTCTTTAGAAACAAAAACCCTTAAGAGGACCCTTTCCTACACACTCTCAAAAAAAATGTTCTTTTGCACGATGTTCAATGCACATTCTTTCGGTCAATTTTAAGTCCTACTGCATAAATGCATTGAGTTGCATTCGGGGAGTCATCTCAAATTTCAACTCCTTCTACCCCAAAACCCGCATCTTCTTCCTAATTGATCTCATTCTTTTTTGCATTAAATCGCGTTGGCTCTTCCCAGAAATAAAAAAAAAATGTTATACGCGTGTTTGAAAATACCTTCATTTTTAACAATACTCGCGTTTTTTCATTAGCTATTTTGGTACTGGCTAAATTTTAAAACTGATACTTAAGCTCAACGCCATGAACAATGCAGCGTTGCGCATCAACGTTGGGATGCACGTCGAGATTAAAAGGTTTTTTTTTTCTGTTTTTCCAATGAAAATTTATTTTTCAGATCCGACGGCCGGATACATGGCGCCGTTGTGTCGGAAATAAAAGCCGCGTCAGGAAAGTACATGGTCGAATGGTATGAAAAGGTTTGTAATTGAATATTCGCTGTATTTAATGGTCAATTTGATGTTAGGGATATTTTGCAATGGCCGCGCTAAAAATGAAAATTCTAATCTTTCTTGCCGCACTCATTAGTGTCCGCGATTATCAGGGGATTTTAATTCGTGTCCACTCAGCGCGCAATCAGGTCAATGCCAGTTGAGCTTCATTTATGCGCGCAGAAACATCTTTTCCTGTGTTTGTCTGCCGGTTATTCAATTCTATTGTTTTAAATATAGTATACCTAACAAGAAAGGTCATTTTACTCTCCTTAAAATCTGTCAGAACACTCCTCAAAAAACTAATAAAGGATTCTGAAATTCTCAAGCTGCACAAGTTCCTAGTTTTTCAGAAATAACGTCTCTTAGTCAAAGAAAACCTTCAAAATCAGTTAAAAAGGCCATTTTTGGAGCTTCGAAGCCTTATTTCTTGAAATTGTTGTGCAGATTGAGACTTTCAAGACCTTACTTTGGTACTCCAAGGGATATTTTGACAAGTTTTCAGAAAATTTCCAACCGCAAAAGTAAAATGAAATTTTCGAAGGGTTCTACCGTATTCCTTTGAGCCACCGTATCTCGAAAAACGGCTCGAGTGATGATATTCAGTTTTTCAAAAAAATCCTAAAAAAATCGTGTTCTACAACATATTTGATTTAGAGAAAATTTCACCCTAACGCTCATTTTTTCCAACTCATCCTAAACCCAAATGGCGCAGAACAAGTCTGCGCCTAATTGAAAAACTAATTAGCTTATAATATTTTTTTAAAGTAATATGCAGTCTTAAGCTAACTAGGGAACGTTTTTTTAGTGTACTTTAAACCTCCTGGTTGCAAAACAAAAAGTTTGCTGGAAAAAAATGGCGTCGTTGTGAAAACTTCCTTTTCTCAGAATATTATTTCAAAATGTAATTTTCGATCTGTTTTTATTATCATTAATTTTCAGGGAGACACGAAAGGTAAAGAAGTGACGTTGGACGAGTTGGTGACCATCAATCCGACGCTTTTCCGGCAAGCGGCGCCGACACCCACAGCCCCACAGCCGCCGGTCACCACGCGGTCTCGTGCTTCCATCATGCCGAACACTGCCATCGTCTGTTTCACCGCACTCTCAGTACGACACGTAAATCAATTCAGATGTTTCCCGAGTCGGAAGACGACGATTTTTTGCTCACGTCAGCTGCTCCAGTTCCTCAGAAGCCGGCCCCCAAAAAGACTGTTCCCAAGTCTTCAAACCCTAAGCGTGAGAGTAAGATCGGAAAAAGAAATTGAGCGAGAATTTTAGAAGCCTTGAACGAAACGATCGCCATAGCGGCTCCCCCTCCGGCCTCAGTTCCCTTCCGACCGCTCAACTCGAATGGAGGAGCCGTTGACGTCGCGAGCCGCACTCGCCAACGTTCAATGTCGCCCGTTGAAGCCCCGCCGACGACCCGAGCCACCGACGCCCTCAATGGGAACTGTACGCGAGATTCCGAGCTCTTCTCAACGTTTTGCTTGTTCCAGCGAAGCGACAGTCGATGCAATTACCCCGACCCGCGGCCAACGGCGCCAGTACACTGACGTCGCTCTCCCACGTCAGCTCGTCTCCTTCTGTAGCGCAACCGGCTCCATCTTCTAAGGTACTAAGAAATAAAATTTTTGTTGGTAAACTGTTTGAAGCGTTTTTAATTAGGTTAATTTAAAAAAAAATTGGTTTAAATTTGAAAAGTACACTCGGGCAAAGTCAGAATGATGGATAATGGCCGCAAAAAAAGCAAAAAGAGTCCCTTTATCGAGCGTTCCATTTTTCCTAGGACTTGAAAGGCTTGAGAAATGGTGGAAAAAAGGATGCATAGGAGCCGAAAAAATGGCGCAAAAAGGCGAAAAAAAAGGACCTTTTTCATCCTAAAAGGAAATATTATATAGAGCACTTTCCGACTTTGCCTATTCATGTCTTTTTCATTTTTTCAAAAAGGAATAATTTTTTATAAAGCTAGAATGAGCTCCTGTTCCCATAAATAATTGATTTCCCATCAAGAAAAAATTGGGATTAGATTTTTAAAGGGCGCTACCCTTTTTTATGTGAACACTTGACCGATTTCTAGCCGACGTTATTCATTTTTTTTTAATAGCTTTGAAATATAAGGAAGCTGTTTCAATCAATCAATCATTCATTTTGTTGTTTTAGTCATAGATAAAATTGACTAGGCGGTTTAAAAGACACTTTTGAAGCTATAACGAATGACTTGGCGAACTAGAAGTACAAACGTGTAGTTGATCAAGTGAAAAGCATGGTCTTACGGTCCTTCGTTTCGCTCATCTGCGCGTAGTCCCTTAAGCTAAACCTTGACGAGCTCAGAATGTAGCGGTCGTTGTTCTGGAGCTCGGAGATCTAGGTGGAAGCCTCGAAAAACTTTACACGGAATGATTCTTGATAAACGTGGTAACAAATAGGAACGACCTGAGCTGAGGAAGCCGGTTTCTATGCCAGCAATCGCCGAGCTGGACCAAAGTCATCCCCACTACGCGTTCTCGCAAATGATCCGCGAGTACCGGACCCAGGTTCTCGTCCTCCTCCTTCAGTCCGGAGAGTGAATCCGCGGCGGTTTAGGTCGACTACAGACCTCTGTGCATGAACGACGCCGTCGCCGAAAATCGCATCTCGGTTTGTGTCCGCAAGCGGCCGCTCAGCAAAAAGGAAGTCACACGGGGCGAAATTGAGGTTCTTTTTTTAAATTTTTTGTTCATAACAAATCGACTTTTTTGAAAAAATTCTACATTTGATCAACATTTCCAACGTTTTGGTAGTCAAAGGGAAATTATGCAGAGTTTGAAGCCATCTTTTTTTTTTCTGTAATACTTTACTTACTTTGAGAAGAGAAAGAAAAGATAACTAAATTTTGGAGAGTCAAAGAAAATTTTGCATCACTTTGAATACGGCATGAAGCAACTGAGCACTTCGATGAGAAATTGAGGTTCAATGTCCATAAAAATGGTTTTTGGCGTGAATTCTCGGAAATTTTTTCAAATCCCACAAAGGCCGTAATCAAAATGATCCCGCGAAACTCAAAATAGCCGTCAGAGAAAGGAAAAGATAACTAATTTTTGGAGAGTCAGAGATAGTTTTATTACTTCCAACACGGCATAAATTGCAAGAATTTTCAATATTCTTTTCCATTTTTAGGTCGTGACAATACCCAACAAAGACCACATCATCCTTCATCAACCCCAAGTGAAAGTCGACCTCACCAAGTACCTAGAAAATCAAAAGTTCCGCTTTGACTACACCTTTGATGAGAATTCGACGAATGAGCTGGTCTACAGGTGACTTTTTTTTTTCATTTTCGATAGTCGTTTCCCTGTTCTTGCTCATGACTTTATAAGCTTACTCTGAAGTTTGCTGGGAAAATTTTTAGTGGCCACTGTAGAGGTTCGCCAAGGACTACTAAGAGAGGACACTATAGTGGCCACTATAGAGGTTTCCGTTTTAGTGGCCACTTCAGCAGTTTTTCATCCAGTATTCATTCAAATAACTGATAATTTTAAAACAAACAGATTGGACCAGTTAAGTGAATTCATTGACCCCTAAAGTGGCCACTAAATTTTTTGTGGTCTAGTAGTAGCACTTAGACCTCTATAGTGACCACTAAATTTTAACCCCTTAAGTGGCCACTAATTCGACTACTATTGTGGCCACTTAAACTTCAAAACCCTATAGTGGCAACTCAAAATTTTCCCAGTGATACTCAGTATTTTCGGACTTTGAAGCACAGTCAGTCTCTTGTGACTCAGCTCAAAATCTGCAGATTCACAGCCCAACCCCTGGTGAAGACGATATTCGAGCAGGGAACGGCGACCTGCTTCGCCTACGGACAAACCGGCTCCGGAAAAACGCACACGATGGGTGGCGACTTCACTGGAAAAAAGCAGGTCGACTCGGATTTTTTGTATCTATTCAATCCATTCATGGACAGACTATTTTTTTAATGGTTTTCCTTGAAAAATAGCGATTTTAGAAAGAAAATGGCTATCAAACTTATTTGGAACGGTTATACTCATAAAATTTTCATATTCTCATCAGAATTCTCAAAAATAAAAATGGCAAAAAAAATGAAGCGGCAAAAGGATTCGAACCTTCGTCCGCAGCCAAGCACGCTAGCCACTGCACCACCCTCCTAGCTGCCATGCAATGGTTGGTGGCGCGGTCAGATACCTACCAAACGGCGTCACATTATTAAACAATTCCCATTCCTTCAAAGATTGTTTGAGCAAATTTATAATAGAAAATCCTGAACCTCAAGCTAAAATGACCTCCCATGTCAAAGTTTTCATTTGTAGAAACAGTAGAAAAAAGATCACTTATAAGATTATAATTGAAAAGAAAATTTGTTAGCGATTATAAGGAGATGAAAAAATATAATTTTCTCGTCTGAAAGTTGCCTTCCTTGTAGAACGCCTCGATGGGAATTTACGCATTGACGGCCCGCGACGTCTTCCGATTGGTCAGCTCCGACTACCGTCGTCAGCATCTCACTGTCCACTGCTCCTTCTTCGAAATATACGGCGCTAAGGTCGTATTTGTTATATAAAAAAACCGTGAAATATTTAAACGTTTTTTTAAATGTCTTTGAGAAGTCTTCGATGACATAATGCAACGACTTTTTGTAGGTCTACGATTTGTTGGCCAACAAGGCAGTCCTTCGAGTTCTGGAAGACGGGAAAAGTCAGGTGCAAGTGGTAGGACTCAAGGTTATGGACGTGGATTCCGAGCAGATGGTATTTTCTGTAACTTTACCGAGTATGCCCTATGAGAGCTTCAGGTCCTGGAGTTGATCAACCAAGGAGCCGCCGTCAGGACGGCCGGAACGACGTCGGCCAACAGCAATTCGTCGCGTTCCCACGCCGTCTTCCAAATCATCCTCAGGCAGTACGTTCGCTCCCAGAAGAGAAAAGAGAATGATTTCTCCACTTTTCAGAGGAAAGAAACAATGGGGCAAGTTCTCACTCATCGACCTGGCCGGAAACGAACGTGGACAGGACACGCGAGACTGCGACCGGGAGACGAGACTCGAAGGCGCTGAGATCAACAAATCTTTGCTGGCTCTCAAAGTTTTTTTTTTCGAGAAAACGGGACCCTAGAAACATTGGTACGCTCAGGAATGCATCCGCGCCATGTCCAACAACAACTCGCACGTGCCGTTCCGCTCCTCGAAGTTGACCCTCGTGCTCCGGGACTCGTTCGTCGGCGACAAAGCTCGGACTGTGATGGTGAGGCCATTATCTCAGAAACATGAATTGGACAGTCGCGGCCTCTTCTCAAAAGCTTTCTCTTATAATCTGTTCATATTTTTAATGTCAAGTGCAATGACGTCATTCAAAAACACTCTGTGGATGGCTCGCTCTCTGATTGGTTTATCGCGCCATTAGAGGCGGACCTTTAGCGACGAATTGACATTCAAAATCTGAACAGATTATATCTCTTTTTGTTCACCCTTTCACTTCCGATGGAAGACGCGGTTTTCCTCACTTAGGAACTTCAGAGTGGTCCCTGTAGGGGCAACCTTATGGATCCCTGGAGGGGCCACTTTACGGACTACTTTACCAACCTTCATAGGGGCCACTAGAGCCACTAGAGCTGCGAAATTGTTCCCTATAGGGGTTTGCTAGTCGATAATTCTAATTAAAGGAGCATTTTCTTGGGAAAAACTGAATAAATAAACGGTTTTTGAATGAAATTGAAAGACCCCTGTAAGGTCCACTTGAGCTTTTGAGGATCAACGGTGCAGGGACCTTTAACCCCTATAGGGTCCACCTTGATTTTACCTTATAGGGACCACTTTGTCAGTCCCTATTGTTTTCCATCCTAACCCTATAGGGACCACTCTGGAATTCCTGTACGTCTCATTTCAGTGACTGAAATTTTTCTTTTAGGGATAATATCTTTAAAAAAAATCAATGGGCAGTGGTTAACATTAACCTTGAAAATCGCCTAACAAGTTTCCATCATTAAACAGAAAAAAGAAGAAACAGGATCAAACTTTCAGATTTCGATGATATCGCCAGGTTTGTCGTCCTGCGAACACTCGCTGAACACGCTTCGATACGCAAACAGGTGTGTTAAAACTGAGGATCATCTTTTTTTAAATGATACATCTTCCAGAGTGAAAGAACTCGGAGCGGATGGAACCGATGAACGATTTTCTCCAATGGAGGACGCGGCCTTCATGTTGGCGCCCGAGGAGTTTGACTACGACGACCAAGAGACGCTCGTCGACATGTCCTCCGTCGAACAGACGGCTGATGACGTCATCTCGACGATCGTCGACGTGAGAAGCTGTTGCCAGTGAAGAAGATGAACCGACGACGTTTGCAGGATTTGACGAAAAAAGGAAAGGATGGCCGCCGACTGAAAGAGTTGATCGCCCAGGGATACGTCTCGCAGGCCATCGATGGCGCCGTCGCTCTCGTCGAAGAGCAGATGACGTCACTGCAAAAGGCGCACGGTTTGTCGGCTTTCTGACCTCAAACACGTCTCTTTTACAGAGAAACTGATGTCAACAAGAAGGGCTCTCGACGGAGCATAATTTATTTGCATGTTCTTTTCACTAACCACGTTTTATCAATTTCTTGTGAATATCTTTATTACGGGTAAAATAAACCGCTTTTGATTTATATGGGTTTCCATTGCAGAGAATGAAATCACGGTCTGGAAATCGATTTACTCAAAATTAAGTGGATTAAATCTCCAACAAGAAAGAATCAAATTTTTTTTATTTCACTTAACGACGTTAAAAAATTACCGGAAATACAAGAAATAAATAGAAAAATGGGTTTGAAGCGACCGGAATTGCTCATTCGTATTGACAGTTGGTCTCGGCGATCGACCAGTCTCCAATGATGGTTTCCTGTAGAAACAGTAGAAAAATGAAAAAATACACTTTTTCATTTCACTCAAAAAATTCAAACTCTCGGTGAGATATTTGGACAAAACTATGCGAGCTTAGGAATTTTAGAGTGATCCCTATAGGGGTTGAGGGAAAAACAGCTAAAAGGGGTAAAATCAAGGCGACCCCAATAGAGGTTTAGGGTCTGACCCCTCAGCCCTGAAGCTTAAGTGGTCCCCATAGGGGTCTTTCAAATTTTATTCAATAACGCTTTTTTCACTTTTCGCAACAATTATCAACTAGCATGCCCCCTATAGGGGCCACTTTCGAGAGTTCGCTTATATCACAAAATAATGACTCCGTTATTCAATTTCTGTCATCTCAAAAGCGCCGCAAGGATCCAATAAATTCATTTCGACTGACCTCCTTGCCAAGGTTGACGCCATCTTCGGAGTCAACGGAGCCGATTTCGAAATCGTTGTCGGCGGTGCAATCGTGGTAGATGGTGAGCTCAAGGGCCTTCTTCAGGACGGCCTCCGCCTCGGCACGCGTGATGTCTCCGCCCTTGCGAACAAGACGTCAAATCACTCTTTCGAGCTTTTCAAACCTTTTTTCTCCACGAGTCTTCAACAGCTTGGTTTAAAAGCATGGCACCGATTCCAGTAGCGACGTGCTTCACCTGGTAGGCGCACCCCTACAAATTCATTATTGTTCTCTGCTCCTTTCAAACTCGTTTTCGAAAATGTCTCTAGTATTGAATTTTTTGAAAGTTTTACTATCATTCCAAAAAAAAGAGTTTCAATTATGCATCGGTTAGAGTTTGTCAGCTCTCTTGTTTCATTCAATGGGAAGGTTTCACGAAACTTCGCTGAAATATTCTTTAGAAAAGGCTGATCAGATATAAAGAATTTTCGACTTCTGCCTTTGAGTCGAGTTCTCTAACAAAAATCGAGGTGTACCCCGCAGTGAACGAGTTTTTTTTTTGAGCTACCATAACAGCCTACGATGAAACTGTATGAAATGGTGATATTTGAAAACAAACCCCTTCAAAATCGCGTACGGAACAAGTACCTTGATAGGCATTTAAAGTTACAGGGTAGTCCCCGGATTACACTGCACTGCGGGGTGCACCGAGAGTTCGACGCGGGGTGCACCGCAACTAGACTACTTAACCTTTAAGTCACATCAAATTCTCAAATTGGTTCCAAATGCCCTTCAAAATTCCGGAGAAGAACAATCCATTAAGAGAAACGGACCTTCTGAGTGATGACACCGATGAAAGGCGTGCTGGTTTCCTTGTTGTTCTTCTCCTCTTCTTCGATTCCAGCCACGATCAACGTGTTCCAGAGCGGGTTCATCTTGCAGCGACTGCAAAATCGCAAAGCTCTTGGAAATTTCGACGTCTCTTTGAATACCGAGCGTAGAGGAGGCTGGTGAGGTAGCCGTGCAAGGCCTTGGGGCCGATTTCCTGGTCGAAGCGTTTCCAGAAGAGGGCTTGTCTCTCGATCACATTCTGAAGCCACTGGAAATCGGCGTGGTCGCCGCCGAAAGCCACCAGAACGTTGTCGTTGACCTTGTACTGGCGAGAGACGTTCTGAAACGATCCGTAGTACAGCAAAAAGAGAGGAATTCGAGCCTTGTAGCGCGCAGTTTTTCCATAGGAAACGACGCGATCTGTCATCACTACAACGCCGGTTTTGTACTGCATCGCGATGACGGATGTTCCGGTGCAAGTTGGGTTACTGGAAGTTCGGTCGAGCTGATTGAGGAAACAACGTATGAAAAATCTTACAGGGTTCTTTGGAGTTCATCGTGGTGCATCATAGTGAACCTCAAAAAAAACTATAGAAGAAGGTTGGCGAATGAATGAAATAAGTATGAGGTTGGATACTCGAATAAAAAATAAAAACTGATTGAAAAAAAAAATTGAAGAATTTATTATAAAAGTTTGATCAACAAAGAGTATAGTCCGTTTTTCGCGACTTGAAAGGCTTCTCTGCGCCCTCCTCGTCTCTCGACGACCCTCTCTTATTGACGCGCTGTTTTCGCGTTTCTGTGACCTATCCGGTGAGGGAACAGAGAGACGCAGACACTCGAAAGCAGTCAAGTCGCGGCGGACGGACTGCACACATAAGTAACAACAATTTCAACAACAACATAGAATTTCGTGTACAGTACACGTTTACCCTAAGGCAGGCCGGAGAACAGAAATTAATCATAGGAAAGAGGTTGAGAGAGTTTATAACAGAGGAGTTGAGAAAACCAAAACATTCTGATTTTCTTCAACCTCGTTTTCTAAAGACAAAAAAGACCAAATTTAAATAGGATTCAATTGTTCAATCAATCCATTTCTGTCATCTTCGGAGAATGCATATCGATGAGCTGAAAACTCTGTTTTGAATACACTTTTCTGCTGTTTCGAACGAACATTTGCAGTTCTTCTTCTCGTGCCGACAGACGTAACGACAGCACTTTTTGCACATGAAATGTGAACAGCCTTGGCCGCCAGGTTGTGAACATCGCGCACAAGGATCAAACTTCAACTGTAAAAAAAAGAATATTTGGTTTTCGAGCCGAAGAAAAAACTCAACTCTTTTAACGGAGAGAATTTTTTTCTCTGTCAACTGCCTCCGTTCTCGTTTTCTAGCCTGTCTGAAAAACGTGGAGTTTCTATGCGATTCGAGTTATAGCCAATTTTTCCCGACTTGAAAGGTGAAGGGGCGGGGGGCGGTTCTTGGCACGAGTTTGATTCAACCGCCAGCGACTATTTGAAGAGCTCCTTTCATTCATTTTTGACTATGCATTGACCTCTTTCATGTGTTAATTGAAATAGTAGATCAGATAAAAAAAGAGCAGGGATCGGGCTTTTTCAAAATTCAGTAGCGCTTGTAAGAACCTCAGACTGTGACCATCAAACCAAGCGTTCCAGAAGCTTTTAGGAACCTTTCAGACACTTTTTCAAGGGTTCGTTCCAAGATTTCGCGTCCCGCCCCCTTTCTCTGCCTCCGACTCGGGATTATATTTTTCGAACAAACTTGAGAGAGACGCCCATCTCCTTGGCTGCTTTTTCGAGCCTTTCCCGTCGTTGTTCCTTGAACGTCTTCTCCCCTTCCGCCACCAAAGTTTCCTTGGCGACTTCTGACAGACGGAAGTAAGGCTTGGATATCCAATGAGGGGCGCGAGACACTTCCAGAGGGTCCATCTCGATTGCTCCCGTCCTTGAATCACAAAACGAATGGAATGAGGTGCTAGGTCACACCTTATGTCTTCGAAAAGCTTCAAGGCGTTCCTCTCCCGCTCTACGCCCTGTTCGGTCGCCGCCTCTTCAGATGCTCTTTTTTCGAGCTCATCAACCACTGACTCGAAATCTTCCAAACGATGCTCCATGGAAACGCGCATGCGAAGGTCACTGTACTCCAGTAAACTGAAAGCAACAAATAAGTGGACTCAGAAAAGAGATTTTCGAAAAGAAACCTATGATGGCAGATGCGGAAAACGTGTGCCCTCATTGCACTGACACCTGCATGATACTTTCTCGCATAGTGCAGGTATTCTCTGGCCACTTTCCACGTTTCCCGATGCGCCAGCTCGCTCTGGAACGAAATCAATGAGTGTTCAAAGAAAAGAAGGAGGAATTACCGAGAAAATCAAAGGGTTATAAAGAAGACCTTCAGCGGACATGACGGCGACGGCGCCGGTGGCTCTCATGCATCGCTCGACATCGCCGGGAAACTGGTTGACGATAGAGCGCAGTTGAGGCTACCGGCCAACCTGGATGTTTCCGTTGGCGATCACTGGAACATCTACGGCTTCGACGACGTCGCGAATTCTCGTCCAGTCAGCCAAACCCGTCTCAGCTCCCTTCATTTCTCTCGTCCGTCCATGTACCGTCAGCCTTGAAGTTTCTCCGTTGAATGAAAACTGATAACCGTTTTGAATATAAAAAATTCGAGATTCATTGACCAACTTAGAAAAAAAAAAGAAGCTAGAGGTGAGTTTAAAAAAAAATAGAGTTTGTAGTCCATCCGCCGCGACTTCACAGTTTTCGAGTGTCTGCGTCTCTCTTTTCTCTCACCGGCGAGGTCACAGATAGGCGAAAATAGCGCGTCAACAAGAGAGGGCCGTCGAGAGACGAGGAGGGTGCAGAAAAGTCCCGGCATTTCAAGTCGCCAAAAACGGACTATACTAATTGGAGACTGACAGCAAAAAGAAGACCAATTTTCTTCCTATCGACTTAGAATAACTCCTTCGTGAAAGAAATATCCATCAAAGCCCACAAATTTATATAATTCTCAATATTTATAGAAACCAACATTGCAGCACCCGCTTCGACGAGCCTTCTAGCGTAGTTCACCGTTTGCTGTCGATCTTCCCGAATGCGAATTTTGCAGGAAACAGGGATACTACAGTAGTCGCGGACCGCCTCCACCATCTTGCAGATGAGGTCGACTTCATCCTAAAGCTACAGGATATCGAGAAAGCTATATTGCTGCACACTTGTAGGTATGAGCCGTAGCGACCCCGTTTGGCGACCATTTGTGGACATCCAAGGTTTAGATCAACGCCGTCGCAAAATCCTTCAACGAGTCTGCAAGCCGATAGAAATGTATCCACTTTGTTCGCACAAAACTGCAAAAAAGGATATCGTCGAGAGGGACGGTGAATCGAAACGGACTTGAACAATCAAAGGCCTGTCGGTTGGGCACAGAGCCAAGGAGTTGCGTCGGTAGGTGGAGTCGTTGACGAATAAATGTGCGTGGATCATAGGTGTGTAGGTGAGCTGAGTCCCGTGCTGCCGGTTGAACATCCGGAACGCCAACTCGCTGCAACCGCCGCCTTATCAAGAAATTCGCTTCAAAAAATGTATAGACTTGCCTTTGATCGACCATTGGAGCAGCTACGTTTGTGATCTTACTTTCAGAAAGCTTCAACTTCCAAAAATCTCGGTTTTCTTTTATCTGAAATATCCATTTTACAAGAAGAGGATTGAATGCTTACTTTTTCCAAAGAATTGAGAACAGGTTCGGTCAAAACCATTTTCTTTGGTAATCGAAAAAAGTCTTCTTGCTTCTGAAAAAAATACTAATATAATTTCAACAAGTTGTTTCTCACCTCAACAGTTTCTTCCAAAACTTCACATTCTCCACTGCTTTCTAGAACATAGCCGTCCGGTGTAGTATCCCCTTCCATCTCAAAGATAAACTAAAAATAATAAAATAGAAAATTAGAAAACCCACAGAATTTTAAAATATAATCAAACGTTCAATGCGTTTTCACAACCAGAAAAACTGTTAAAAGAAATGAAATTTCATTGAAGAATGAGAATATTCCACAAACTATACAAATGAACTCTTCAGACAGCAAGAAGTTTGAAAGGTAAAAAAAAGGGAAAAACTGAGAACATGAGGTCAGTTGAATTGGAAAAAATTATGACAGACAGCATAGCACTATTCTCGTCTAGAAAAGAAAGGAGAAATAAATAGGATAATAACTTTTCCCAACGGTAAACGAAATTAAAAGCGACCACGTTGTCCTCCTGGAGGCCATCGACCGCCGCGAAATGACCGACCTCCCCGGAAACCTCGTTGATTTTGGTCACTGCAAAAATGATCTAGTTCATCAGATGAGATTTTCTGTGACCTATTCCAGCCTTGCCCACGGTTGCCTCGGAAGCCGCCGTCTCTCTGCTGGTACTGGTTGGAATAACTATCGCTTCGGTGCCGATTTTCATACCCTTAAGCAGATTTTTCCCCTTCATTCATTCATGTGAGGTCAGACCTCTTGTTTTTGGCGGGAAATCGTTTTGATAATTCCTGTTGTAGTTCCGTCCGTAGCCTTGCTGATCTTCGGCTGAGGAATTGTACGAATCGTTGCTCTCCATCGGATATTGAGAAGCTTGCGGCGGATTGTACCCATTAGACGGCGGTCGCACACGATCATCAGAGTCGGTTGGCAACTAGAAAGCATAAAATCGAGTCTTAACACGGTTTTGTTGATAAAGTTTATCAGTTACATCAAATAATTCCTAAAGAATTTTTGTCGTTTTATATTGAATAAATGCAGATAATTTCGATAAACTTTCAAAATGGTTTAAAAACGCATTTTACACGAACTGCAAACTCCGGACCTTGATTTTGAAAAAATTTGCGAAAGAAGATCGGAGAATCAGCCGGAGTAAGTTTAAAAAAATCAGTTAATCAATTGGAAAATCCTTATTTTTTGGCTTCAGTTGAAAATAAAGAATAGTTTAATTTAAACAACTTGAAGCCTAAAAAAATTTCCTGCTCTTATACTGTACTTCTAGCGAAATGAACAGTGATGAAAAAATTTTTTGGAAATAATCTCAACATATGTGATTGAAAAACTTACCGCAGACGAAGTGTTTGGATTCCCATACATCGAAGGTTGAGGCATGAAGGGCTGTTTTGGTGGAAGACCCATGCCAGAAGGATTCGTAACGTAGTCAGGCATGGCCGTGTAGGCCTCGGTTTGGTTGTCGCTCGGCCGCAGCTCACGAGTCGGGACGTGAGCTCGAGGAGGCTCAAAAGATGGGAGCCTCGGGGGCGGTTGCATGTGGAAGCCATCGTCGTGCGGAGCTGACATCGGCGGTCGCAAAGGTAGATTCTTCAGGAGGGCTTGGATGTTGGCCTGTTGAGACGGGGGGATAGAAACTGGCGGTGGGAGGTTGATCGTGGCGGGAGGAATATGCTGCTCGGGGTATGGACGAGTTTCCGCAGCTGGCTTTGATTCCGGCATGACTGTCGGAGGGACTGGCGGTGCTGCGAGGAACTGAAGAGGTGGTGGAAAGCCGGGAGGCGGAACCGAAAAGTCTCCCATCGCTGGCGGCGGCATTGTGAAGCTCATCGGAGGAGGTGCCATAATACGAGCTCCGGTAACGAGTCCGACACCAGGTAGAGCTAGAAAAACATATTTCTTGAAATTCGTGAAAATCATGTCGCAATTAGAGGTTTTTTGCAACGTGTTGGTTAAAAATAGCTTCAAATTCGTGTTTCTTAAAAACACAAAAAAAAAATTAACTACTAGAAGTGAATGAAAAGAAAAACTTTAAAAGACACCTTAGGAGCTCCAGAGTGGTCCCAAAAGGCCACGAAAGCTTGCAAAAATAGTCCCAATAAGATTTTTAGTTAGTGGCCCCTATAGGGGACATTATAGTCGATATTTTTTTTATGAATTTTGAGCGAAGAAACATTTTCATGCAAGAAGCTAAAAAAACAACTTTTTTGAGTAAAATTGAACGACCCCTATAGGGACCACCTTGATTTTACCCTTGTAAGGACTACTTTTTCGGTCCCTGCAGGGGCTGTTTTCACCCTTACCTCTATAGGGACCACTCCTAAGACAAATGATAAAAAATCACACAACAGAAAGATGCAAGAAAAAACACAAATAGTTATTTTCAAGCAAAAGTTTAGCGTAAGAGTTTTAAACCTGAGTTAAAAATTACCTGGCGGGCTTGTGATATTCGGGTTGTTATTAGTTATAGATGCGGCCGAGGATGTGGCAGATACCTTTAAATACAACATCAGAACATACTCTTTCCAGGTGAGCTCACTTCGTCTTTGTTTTTGGGTTTCATAAGGCCTAACTCAGCGATGCGCGATTGCAGCGATTGTTGAGGAATTGACGGCGGAGCTTGAAACTTAACCGGAAAATTGAATCAGACAGAAAGAATCATACAAAACCTGTAAACGGGCGGAAGAAGCGGCATTTTGAATATTGCCGAATTTCTGGAAGGAGGTCGTCGCGGCGGAATCTTCTTCGTCGTCGCCAATCTCCATGTCCGTCTCTTCTCTGTTATCTCTACTTGTAGGTGCTCGCAGGTCTGAAACTTTTTGATTTCCTTCCGGTTTTTCATGATCTCTCACTCTGCAAGACAACTTCGACTCCCGTCGCGTAAATGTCATCGTTTGCCGTGGGGGAAGGAGCATCGCGAGGAGGGGTCATTCCTGGATAGGAGCCAGTCCTCTCCATCTCCTGGAAGCCGAAACAGCATTTATAACATGATGAACGAGACATACCATCACTTCTGAGCGAACTTCCTTGACGCCTTGACCGAACTTTTGGTAGGCCTGTAAACACTTGTGTAACTCAAGAATTTCAGAATGGTCCCTAAAGGGGTTAGGGGAAAAACAGCCCCTATGGAGGCCGAAAAGTGGTCCCTATATGGGTAAAACGGAGGCATAGCGTTCATAAAAACTAATGACTAGCACGTCCTCTATAGGAGACACCAACTAAAACCCTTATCGGACCACTTGCAAGCTTTAGTGGCTCCTATAGGGGTTGATAAAGTGGTCCTTCAAGGGACCCTTCTTAGGTCCCTAAGAACAAGAATAAAAAAGAAGTTCTCACATCCTCAACAATCGTGACTTCACGAAGTTGATGGCCATACACGCGTTTGGCCAACTCGGCAGTCTCGATCAGTTCGATCATTCTTTTCTTATGCGCCTCCATTGCGTGTCGCACGTTTACTACTGCACTTATCGCCTCGCGGACCTCCTCCAGAACCGCAGCACCCACAGAGCGGTCTGAAGACATGTGTATGTATATCGGAAATTGAAATACCTTTCATGTGAGTTCGAATCTTTTCCCGATAGTTGAAATCGGAATCTTCGAGTGTCCTACTCATATCGTTGATCAAGTCGCGTTCCTCAAAAAGTTACAGCATAAGCCGAGGAGATTTCGTATCTCATACCTGCATGAAATCTTCAATCTTTCGTTGAATCTCGTCACTGTCAATGTCTAAAGCGTTCTCTTCGGCTTCCAGAGTGTCCTCGACATCTGAAAACGACGTTGTGTCTTGAAAACCTTCGGTTCCTCTACCCAGGAGGTTCTTCATCGCAGTCACGCTGGCCGTTGTGAAAACGTGCCGGTCTCCAAATATGTTGATACATTTGCGCATGACCACTTTGACACTGTCATACTTCCTTGAAAGTTCCTAACCGTTTGCAAACTTCTCCGTGACACTCACTTTCCTATGCCGACGACTGTTAGAACCGCCGGTTGAAAGGCAGGAATCAACGTATCGACGTGTTTGCTTTTGGCTCTCTGCACTACGTCGTTCATCACATAGAATAGAGCGATTCTCTGTTGGTCGGTCGAAGCTGACAGAAAAAATTTACATGGTGGAAAGATGATAAAATTGCATAAATATGTCAAAAGAGTTTAGAAAAAACCCCTCATGAACTTTTCAAAAAAAGAGCTTACCAATTTTAAAAGCGTTCAGCCATCCTTCGACGATTACGTCTATCGAAGCTTTGTCCTTGTAGTGCATTATCCACAGGGACATAGTTTCGATAGCTTCTTGAGTCGGATTTTGTATCTGTACAATTTATGTGGGAAATTGATCCGAGAAATATAAACAAAAAACTTACATCCTGCAATCTGCGTAAAACGACATCTTGTGATAGTATTACCATAACTTCATAGGTTCCGCGATAACTGACTCTAAATCACATTTCATTTAAAAACAGGAACAAAAAAATACAGCAATGAAAGTTCTCGTATGGAAAAAAAGTAACACCGGGGGAATGTCACGAAGTTTTCAAATATTTTTTTAGAATTATTTCACTTTATCTTCAATAATTTACTGAAAACCACTTTGAAGGAGGCAATTCAAACTTTTAAAATAAAAAAATTTCCAAACAAAATATGTCGCATTTGAAAATCATCCTCTATTTGTGTTACTCGGACACACGATCGCGGCCTGGAAAAACGTAATTCACCGTCGTCCAAACTTGCGCTCAGAATTTTCCGCTTTTTTGTTTTTGTTTATTTGAACGTTTTTTTTTAAATAAAATCTTTCCCGTGTTTAATGCCGTGTTTGAAGTGATCCCGCGAAATGCTAAATTGTCGTCAGAGAAAGAAAAAGATAACTAATTTTTGGAGAGTCAGAGATCATTTTGAATTTCTTTTTGGAGAGTCAGATCATTTTGAAAATCACTCTCAACACGGCATAATCTTTCGCAGTTTATAGGCCAAGGTTAGGATGTTAGAAAGCAAAAAATACTATCGGGTAAATCTATTAAGGTATTGAGAAAAAAATAGCGTTGAAAAATGGACAGATTGAAAAATTTCAGTTATTTTTATCTTATTTTATCTTTAATTACAATCGCCTTAAATAATTTGGCTACATAAAAAATCAAAAAAATGAAAGTGTCTATCCAGCAATAAATTTGGAGAAAACCAGTATTTTGAAAAGTTTCGAGCCTAATCTGCCCTTTTTAATTATCTTTTCTTGACAGAAATTACTACCATATCGAGTGGCCGTTTCTTGAACAATACGTTAAAGTTACTTCCGCTGCGAAGATTTTTATCAAAAATGCCGCTCTCGGACGTTCCCGACGTCGAAATCGATCCTAAGGGTGTCTTCAAATATATTCTCATAAAGGTCAGGGTCTCCTCGACACGGCTTTTTGAGAAGGTCCTTTTTGAGGTGACGGACAAGGCAACGGATGAAAATAAGTTCATTGTACGTGGGGACCATCGCCACACCTTCCACGCAGACATATTTGATGCTACAAAGGTGGTTTCACATGAAGACGTCTTATTTTTTTCCATTCCAGGAAGCCACGCCAAAAGATTTCAAGTTGAAGTGTGTAGGTGGCGGCAGAATCAACCACGAGGATTCTAAAAAGGATATTCTGGTGTATGGCTACTCCCAGGTTGAAGAAAAACCGAAGTCTGTTTCACTATTCTGTTATTCAGGGCTACGGACAAGCTGATCACACCATTTCCGTAGAGCTGCTCAAAAAGGCCTACCCTGACTACAACGTACACTTCTCAAACGATGGATATTAAAGAAAATCGCGCAAAATGTTTGTCTTTGTTTATTTTGAAAAAGTTGAGAAAAATGTAGTGGCTATGTATAAATTATTTAGAGATTTGTGTTTGAACTCATCGAAAAAAAAAACATTTAAGAAGAATTTTAAAAAATTATTTAGAAGAGTGGGATGAGTCAGTAATTATTTATTTATTTTGGTTTTTTTCGGAGTTAGCCATAAGTTCTATATAAATTCTTGCACAAATAGCTAGTTTTTTTTTTCATTCTGTTTAAGTTTTCTCGTTCTGAAACAGACCCTTTGCCTTAATAATAATAAAAAAACCTTGAGAATTAGGAAAAGTTATATTTTTCTTCATTGTGTTGGCTTCAAAGTTTTTCGATCTTTTCTGGTCGATAATATTTTGGCACATGACTTGTACATAGTTCAATGTGTCATCAAACTTTGGATTATTCCCAGGAGCAAACATCAAAGTTTGCTATCAAAAAATATGTAGTTTCTCCGTGACCATAATGTGTTCAGAGAGCAAGGTACACGCTGTATGTTCCTTTCGAAAACGTGGAGAAACTTTGAAAGATGATAAATGAGCTGATATGTCATGAGTTTGTATAATTAAATATATTCTAGCCGGGAAAGGTACTCCCATGCTGAACAGGGTAACCCAGCCGTGCTAAAACGGGGTCTCAGCGGGTGTTCCCGTATTAAACCCGTGTTAGCACTGTTGGCAGAACTTTTGGCAATTTTTAGCCCAACTGAGACTCCGATTTAGCAGAGCTGAGCTACATATTTTTCTTACACCCGTTGTTCCCCCGTTTAAGCCCAACAGGCTAAAAAAAACCTCAGAAACACGGGTTTAATACGGGTACACCCGTTGAGACGCCTGGCCAGTATGCGAGTACTTTTTATGGCCTCTGCAAGGTAAATGTTTGAAGATTTGCCGAAAATCAAACGAAAAGCTTGAAATATGGTGCCAGCGTACTGTGTGAATCATACCATAAAAAGGTTCCTTTAGGTTTTTTTTTTATTCGTGTAATCAGAAACACTTGTAAAGTATTGAGAGAAATGGTGCTTTTTTCAATGCTTTTCCTCGTATTTTTGTTATGTCGTGTTCAATTTCGCGAAATGCAAATCAACCTTCAGAGTATGAAAAAGATAGCTATTTTGGACATTCAGCCTTGAAATTCGCAGAAGTTACTGTGAATTAAATACAGCCGATTTATGGCTAGCTTGGGACGCTAAGGGGGCGTGGCCTCTCTGCGCTCTCCACCAGCCAGGCCTGTCTCTTTCATTATTGTGTCAGGACCTTTTTCTCGATGGCTCAAGTCAGCCCTAGCTATAGCTGTTTTCAACGCAATGAAAAAAAGCGAGAAGCTTTTTTTAATGGCCATGAGTGTTTCGCTAGTTTCCTATCAGTTTACTGTGGCCGAAACCACTGAACGCGTCAAAAATCAAGCTGCCACGACACTCGCCGCTATCAGTAGCGACCAATCGTTACATGGCACGCCTCTTATCGCTGCCCAGGATTCCCATTTAGTGCGCTGGTTTCCTCGATAAGAGGGCAGTCCACTCAGTTTTTTAGAACTTCTCCTTTTTCTAGAGCTCCTAGTGGGTTGGAATAGGCCGGCCTTGTATTTTCGGTTATACTTTTTCGTCTTGGACGTGAATTTTTCATATTTCCAGACTCTCAATACATTTTTTAAGTTTGTAGGAAACTCTAGAAAAACTTAGGAAGTATGAGAAACGATCTATCAATTTTCTTGGACATTTTGTAACCAGAATAGCGCAAACTTGTTCTGGAGAGGTGAAGCTTTGTTATCTGCGATATATCTTCATTTATCCAGAATTTTTTGTCAAATGAGGTTTTTTGGGTTCCATTCTCCATAAAAAACTATTTGAGCAAATCGACCCGAAGTTGTAAATCTGTTGCGCACCGTACATTTCATCGAAAATTCGTGCAGTTCAAACAGTTCCGCTTCCAGAAACCTAGTTGCAATGGCCTCCGCTATCGAAGGACGCTGGAAGCTCGTCGATTCCGATAACTTCGACGAGTACATGAAGGTAGGATCGCGAGGGTGCGCTAGAAACGAGGTCGGACTTGCAGGAAGTCGGAGTCGGACTCATCACCCGCAAGGCTGCCGGCGCTCTCAAGCCCACCATCGAGATCAAGCACGTCGGCGGCGACACCTGGCAGATCAACCAGTTCTCCACCTTCAAGAACACCACCCTCGAGTTCACGCTCAACAAGGTGCGGTGATTTCAATGTCAAAAATTACATAAGCACTTCTAGTGGCTGTAATCTCACTTTATATCCCGTCAGCAGAATAGTAAAGACGACCAAATAATCCATATACGTCAGGGAAACAAAGATTGCGGAGTTTGGACTGTGATAAGCAGCCACGATGGCCCGATTTTATCTTTTTTAGCTCTTGATAATTTTTATGTTGAAATCTGGAACACGTAAACATGTTTGTTCTCTGTAATAAGATTGAGGAAGGCGATCTTTTGGAAAACATTTCTTCCTAGTGAGTCATTGAGAACCGTAGATGAAGCTTTTAGTGCTTTTGGGGAAATGGTTTGCGAGAAATCAAAAATTCGTAAACATATTTTTCGTCGATAGGCGAATTCTTGAAACTGTGATAAAAGTTGTATAGTGTTCTGAGCGGAATAAAGCGCTCATGTTTAAATTTTTGAATTGAATTTTAGGTTTTTCTTTTTATTGAGAACATATTATGAGAGTGTTGATTAGGATTTTCAATTTTTCACTGAACCTTCGACGGTAAAAACCCTTCAATTTGGGTGACTTCGAAAAATATTTAGCCTATTCTTGGGACGGCAAAAGCATGACCTGTCTGCGCTCTCCATCAGCCAAACACTATCGCTTTTCTAATCGTATCAGGACCCATTTTTCGATGGCTCAAGCCAGCCGTGAATCAGCTATACAAGATTTTTTGGAACGGCGAAGAAATCCAAAGATTCAGGAGTTCGACGAGACGACCCCCGACGGCCGCACTCTCCGCTCGATCTTGGAGCTCAAGGACGGCAAGCTGATCCACACCCAGAAGAAGATCAAGCCCGAGGACAAGGATTCGCTCATCACTCGCTGGATCGAAGGAGACAAGCTCCACGTCACCCTCCAGAGCGGCAACGTCGTCTCTCATCGGGCCTACGAGCGCGAATAGACTTTTCAAAGCAATCTTTCATAATATATTTTCACGTTTTTCCGGTATCAGTAAATGTTTGCCTCTTTGGCGTTTCATCAACGGCACAAAAAGCAGTGTTCCTACGGAATGCAATGGGGGCGCGGCTTATTGCAATAGGGGCGCGATACTGAAAGCCGATTTTTGTGCGTTTACTGGATGGAATTACAGCGTTTAATTTTTTCAAAACCTTCATAAACTTTTAGAATAACTTGAATGTATCTCTTGAAAAACTTATTCTGAGTATTTTGAAACAAAAAGCATAAACTATAGTAACTAATAATTCACATTAAAAACTATTTATTAATTTTAATGCCCTCATCATTATTACCATTATTATAAAAATGATACAATGATGCGCACAAGAAGGAACATCCATGGGTATAAAAAGCGCAACCAGTTAGTGCATAAGACAATCGTGCTATCATTATACAATGTGCGAGGCTTTCACTTTTTAGAGTTTCAGCCAGCGGGAATATTAGTGGATCTCCAAATTTGGGGACAATATATATTTTACATCAGCATGCATTACAATGAATAAAAACAGGAAAGTTCTTCAAAATTACAGCTTGGCGAGGATCGCCAAGTTTCCTGAGAAAGTTGTAGGGGAGAGGGAGAGAGAGGAAGGCATCTATGCGCGACCGAAGTAAAGCAGCGAGGACGGAGCCTGCTTGAGGCCGCAAGAGAACGAAGAGTCTCTGGAGTCGTCGCTGAGGCCGGCGTTCGCCTGGCACATGCTCCAGAAGTTGCTGTCCATCTTGTTCAATGCGCTGATGATCTTTTTGCCAGACGAAAATCTGAAACTTCCGAGTTGATCGGATCTTCTTTGCAATTACCAACCGTTCTAGACGAACGATGTTCTTGGCGACGCGGTTTTTGATGCGCTCGAGCCAGTCTCGGTGCATCTGCAGGTCTCCTTCGTCCATTTTGCGCTCTCTGAATTCCATTTACTCATTACAGTCGTTGGAGGAGGTCCAACTTGTGTCCAAGGATGGCCGAGCAACAGATGTGGATCATCTGCTGGATGACAAAGTTGCCGAACTGATGGAAGAGCAAGATGTCGAGAGCATCGCGGTTAGTGTCTCTAAAAGACCATTTGTGTGTTGAATGATACGGGGGAAACTCACGGATGAGGCACGTAGCCGTCGAAGACCTCCTCCATCATCTCGCGTAGAAGATTCGGCGGCGCGAAAAGAAAAGCTCCTTCGACGACGTGAGACGCGTACTTCTCCTGCGACATCGACAGCAAATTGCGCCTAAATGCTCAATTTCAATGATGCCTGGTGTCAGAGTTCACTCAGGAGGACCACCAGAGCGCATGAATCAGTTTAGAGATCACGGTAAACTCGGAGAGACCAGACTCGAGACATGCCAAATTAAAAAAAAAAAGGCAGACCAGCGGGCAGGTCCTCAGACAGGGTGTAAAGAGAGGAGAGTACGAGTCTGGTCTCTCCAAGTTTACCGTACTCTCTAAACTGATGCATGCGCGCTGGTCTGTCGTTTCTTTTTTCACTCGGACATCGGTAACGCGAAACGGATGTGCTCCGGACTTTTCTGGGCATTTCTAGGGATCACTTAAGAGCGCTGAGGCTACTATAGGAGTCACTTGAAATGCCCCGACACGTCTGATTTGCGTTACCAATGTCCGAGTAGATGCGCGCTGGCATGCCGTTCTTCCCCTGAGCAATATTCCGAGAATCTGTCCATTTCTCAACTTACAGAAGGCACTTCTCGATGATAGTGTTACGGTAGCCTTCCATGACGCCGCCAGCCTTGATGATGTGCTGGATGACGTAGTTGGCGAACTCATTGGCCGAGAGTTGACCGCAGTTTTTCGTGATGCCGATCATCAGGCCGTGAAGAAGCCGAGTGCGTTGAGAGTAGCAAGGCGACTGAAGACGACGTCAACACCTCGTCTAGCTCTCTCTCGGCTCACCTTGGGATTGTCGGAGAGCTTCTCGATGGTCGACTGCACGACGCGACAGCCGTACTTGTCTTGGCAAACGCTGATCAGCTGGTCGTCCTTGCAGAAGAATTCCACGATGAAAGACCACGCCGAGATCGGCAGCGTCTTGATTATCTGAAGAATATATGGTCGTTTTTCGATAGGATAAAAGTTTTTGGAAATTTCAAAGAAGGCCCTTGGAGGTTCCTCTCTAGGGAGCTCTTTACCTACCCCTATAAGGACTACTAAAGCTGCAAAAGTGATCCCTATAGGGGTTTTAGTTAGTAGCCCCTATAGGGGACATGCCAATAGATCTTTTTTTTGTACTCCAAGAATTTTCATGCAAAATAAATGAGCGTTTTAAAAAGAAATTTTAAGACCCCTATAGGGATCACTTAAGCTTTAGGGGCTAAGCGGTCCGACCCTGAACGGCTATAGTAACCTCGTTTATATCAACCCTATAGAAATCACTTTTTCGGCCCCTACAGAGGCTGGTTTCTCCCCCAACCCTATAGGGACCCCTCTAGAAATTCCAAGTTCTTTCAAAACGTGACCGTCTCACAAAATAGTATAAATATTCTTTTAAAAGAATTTTCTGAGAACCTTTTGGATGACGTGGTTGCCATTTTGATCAGAACACATAACGCGAAGGTCCGAGTTGCGAAGTTCGCCGGCCAGTGACGACGCCAGATTGACGTCCAACTTCTGAGATCAGGTAGTTGATTTTCCTTCTTAAAATTGAAACAAGGAACCTGAATGGCGATTTGGACAACACGGCAAGCGCACTTGTCGAGACACAGAATGGACATGTCGTCGGAAAGATGCACCTTGATGATCTCCTGCTCCGACGGACGGGAGCACTCGATCACGCGTTGGATGAAAAAGTTGCCGAAGATGTTTTGGCACATGGCCTGAACGATGAAGATCGAAATATCACTTCAGTTGGATCATACCAAGAATGTTTCTTTGTTTTCGACGATCTTGTGAAAGATCTCATCGCGGATGGAGCCGTCGGCATCGTCAGGATAGCTCTTCTGGAGGAAGCTGAAAAATTCAAGTTCTAGACATAAATTCACGTCTTCAATCATTTTTGAAACTGACTGGCAACCAGCTTTGTCAGAAGCAAAAGCGACGATGTCATCTTGGATGAGGATGCTGCGAAGATTGACAGTCGAGCGGATGTTGCCCACGTCGTCCACGGCCCAAGCAGGGAGAGACGCCGATCGAGAGATCATACTCCTAGTAACTCATATACAAATCCCAAATGGAAAGGATACTTGGAAGCAGGACTTGGGATGTCCGAGGTGTTCAGCGACGCTTGGGACATGAGTGAGACGAAAGAGTCATCCTCGAACGTCGGGATTCCAAATTTGGGACGCAGCTCCGTCTCAGGAGTGCCTCTCGCCCAGCTTTTCGTTCCATTTCTACCAAACGCCGGCTAAAAAGATGAAAATCTCCGAAAGCGCGAGAGCAAACCTTGATTAAAGGTTGTGGAGAATAAGAGTCCTGTCCAAACTGCAAGAAACCGGAGAGACTCTGGTTGAAACTTGCGTTGGGATCCACAGAAGAGTTGAAGTTGAGAGGGTACGAGCCGGCAGCTGGGATTATCATTTATGCTCAAAAAGGTAGAAATCATTCGAACCGCTGTAGGGCGACGAGTTGAAAAGCCCAGGACTAGAGTACAAGAATCGGCCAGCCGCCTGTCCATTAAGGTAGTGCTCGAACTCAGTCGGCGATGCGTTCAAGTCCGCGGCTCCGTTGATGTCGTTATTTTCCATTTCGACAAGAAGACGTTAGTAAAACAGGTTAGCTTGACCCTGAAACAACTAAAGGTAACAAAAGAAACAGAAAAATTCAAATAAAAATCGAAAAATTTCCGTTTGAAGGTATTTCAAATACCATCCTTGCGCCTTTTAATGCTTCTTTCGAAAGTTCAAAATTTTTAACAAAAAACCAACACAAAAGAAGAAAAAAGAATTTTTTTCAACAGGAGGCTAGAGAGAGTCCCGATTTGCAAGAAAATAAGGAAAAATTATTCGAAAGGAGTTTTTGCTCCTTTTGCGACGTTTAAAAAAACTTAACTCAACATTAAAATTAAAAAAAAGAAGTTCTAGATATTGACTATGAAACAGAAACAAAGTGGAAAACGGCAAAAAGTAAAAACAAGACGAAGGAATATAGCCCCCTGTATATCCTCAACAGTCGCGCCAAATCTTTTGATCTACCCGTTGTCCTCCATTTTTTGACTCCCCCCTCAAATTCATTTCCTTCCATTCATCTTTATCCAACTTTATTTTTGAACTCAAATTTATAACAACTTCATGAATACCGTGAATATTGAAAACTTTTATTTTTCTTGCGACTTAAAATAAGAACCCGTAAGCTTGAATAAATAGAAAGCTGGAAAAAAATTCAAGTTATTTGTGGATTGAGAATGTCGCAATGGAGAAGCCTTTCAAAGAGACTTCCAACGAGCATTTGGTCCGCGGCGAAAGTCTGAAATAAACTTTGGGCTGATTTCAGAGAAATACACTAAAACCACAGCGTTGCTCCCAGAGATGGTTGCTCCGTCGTTGGCGTAGGGCTCCGTGACGACCCAAGAGATGCCATCTTCCTGAAGTTTCTACTCTAAGAACTATTTAAAAAAGAAAAGAAACCTGTATTCTGACTCGCAAAACCTGACTTGGACTTTTCATCGCTTTGTCTGAGGGATTCATCTGATGAATGAAGGCCTGTAGCAGAACTGGATGACACGCCGCCCACAAATCTCCTAAATTCGAACTCATTTTTCGAAAAATTACGAGCACACCAGTGGCGTAGTCGACATGAAGGCCCACGGGCGAGGCCAGAAGCGAAATGTCCACTTTTTGCTTCAAAGTATTGTCGCGCCCAATCTCGTAGACTCGGACAAACTGCAAAGCCAGCAGTTTCGTGCCAAAATTAGAACTTAGGGAAACAAAACCTCATTTAATAAGGATGAAACATAGAGCAAGCGTTTCTTTTCGTCAATTGCTAAAGCAGAGGGCGTCGGAAAATTGGAGACAGCCACAGAAAAGTTGCGGCCGTCGTAGAAGTATATTAAACCGAGACTGCTCTGCAAAAAGCACTTGCTAGATCTGTGGGAATTTCTCTGAGTTTTTCAGCGGACTATTTTTTCACGATCGCGTGGTTTTAAATTTTCTAGGAACTTGAAAAAAAAGGTTGTTTCCAGTAGCGTAAAAATATTGTTTTTATCAGTGAATTTTCTATTTGCCGCTCATTTTTAGATTTTCTACTTTTCAATAGACCTCTACGGTTTTGAACTTATGTTTAGTATCAGCTTAAACCCAAAATCAATTCATCCCATTATTCCAACAGCGTCAAGCTATAAATTTGAAGAAATCATACCTGCAGAGCTAACTCGACTGTTTGTAAATGGCCTTGAGAAAAATATCCCAAGTTGGTAACGAAGAATCGGTCCGCGTCCACAGCCGCGATGTCGCGCAAACTAAAAATAAACATTCAATCAATCTTCAAAAAAAAAAAATCGGTCTTTTCATAGGAAGCTACGAGTAAATGATTCAATCAATCAAATAGTGAACAAGAATAACCTGGTGAAGCGGGAGTCGCACAATGCTTTTCTGTGCTGTAGTGAAGACTTCACAAGTGTGAAAAAGTGGACGCATTGAGCTTTTGGATGAGAATTGACGACGTAAGTGAGAACCCTGCCGTTGTTTTCGAAAGCGGTAAGTCCTAACGGTGCGAAATGCTTCTAAATACAAAAATTTTCGTTTATAATTCATAAGAAAAGACTCACTGGAACGTGCTCATTCCAACTTATGTCCAGTTTTTTGAGTCGGTGATGCGTTTGCTCTTCGCCTTTCTTGAATTCAAAACTGGCCAATCCACTTGGAACACTCCCGTTCTCAAAAGCTGCAATAAGTTCAGTTCGTTAGAATTAACTTCAAACTGAAACCGTTGGCGTAGCCGTAAGTGATTAGAGCTAGATTTCGCCCACGAACAAAATGGATACCTGCTGATCCATCAACATCTTTGCCATCTAAATATCTTTAAATATAACATTTTTTTTAAATGAGGTCACCTTCGTCGAAAACAATCCGACAAGGTCCAGGTGTGTGATTATAAACACGTTTATTTATGTCCAACATCAATCTGCCAAAGAAAAATAAACAAAGAAACTTTGTAAAGCTCAAACATAAGCCTGATGACGGCGCTAGCGAAAAAAGCGAGTAGAATCCAGAAAGCAACCCGATGGACGGCCGCAAGAAGAAGCTCCATTTAAGAAGGCGTTGGTGGAAGTCGAAGAGGTCGAACCCAAAGGTCGAGATCCGAAGAAGCTTGAGAGATCGATTTTCGTTGTGTCGTGCCATAGAGACGACGACTGGACAGATGGCAACCGCGAGGCGGCCGAGGACAATGAGGAGGGTCCAGACGCGTTTCTGACGCGGCTCTTTCATAATGCACGGGTCGAGTTTCCAAAAGAATGTTCGGAGCTTGAAGCAAACAACAATATAAGTATTTACACCTTTTCCGAGTCTTACAGGACAAACACGCCCATTCAAAGTTTCACCATTCAAGGCAGCCTTTTTTTTTAATTTTTGTGAGAAACTGAACCTTTTTGAAGCGTCCACCCTGAAGACGACAGCCTTTAAAACAATTTTTCGCAGGTATTATCATTTTTTAAGCTTACTTTTGCAGCCAACTCGCAGTTTCATTTAGTTGAAGAAAAATCCATATTGCCGTCATTTTGTAAGTCTAAATATTTCGTCTTTTTTTCACGCAGTCAAAAGAGTAACGAACCATGTACTTCAAGCTTTTAGGTACGTTCTCACTGTAAAAATTTTTATTCAAAGACTGAATCAAAAAACTTGAAACGTCTTTATATTTTAAATTTTCAAAAAAAATTGTGCATTCCGACGTGTTTGTGAGAGCACATTTTCATTAGAGCGCGCCAGCGCAGTATGGTTTACGGCGGAAAGTTAAATTTTTTTGGATATTTCCCGTTGAACGTGAGTTTTACTGATTTTTTTAATGTTTTTTTATTTAGTAAATATTCTACTGGATCGTTCTTCTTTGTGTATCTGACATTTTTCCGGTTTGATAGAACCGCAGATAACCCAAAAATTCGAGTTCAAATAATAATTTATTTTTTTCTCTATTCAAAAAAATTGTGTTTTTTTGAGTTCGTTATTGGACCTGAAATTTTTTTGTGCTGAAAATTTCACCAGCCATGTATAAAGCTAATTTGTCGTAGCATACATTATTTTAAATACGGTTTCATAAAAAGCCCCAGAAGCCCAAGAAATATGAATTACATGGTGAAACTCCTTTTTCGTTTTTCCGACACACTCTCTCGCTTTTGAACCAAATTCACAATGCAAGCACGAGTCCGAAAAATAAACAATTCCATTCAAACCTCAAACTGATAGTACTACGGGCATTCAATTTTCATATTCGCTACCTTTCTCTCTTTCGCTTCTCCAAATCTTTTTGGTTTTGAAAGTTATATACTTCAGTAACGCCATATATCCCATATGCTTTATTATTAAAACAGCAAAAAAAACTCTAGAAAGTTTTCGTTTACTTTGTCGATATATTGGGCGTGCTCCATGTATTTGTTTTGCCACTTTGTCTGGGTGCACTTCACACAAATATCTTCCTGTTTTATATTCATGTAAACTTTTTAAAGGTTTTTATCGAGTTATAGTCACAAGGAAAGCTCATCAAGGAAAACGGATATTCGGAATTATTAATCGACCTTTTTTTCCAACACGATCATGAGTACATATAATATTAAAAATATTTTTTGTGCGTGTCTATTCTCATTTTTTTATCTTTTTTTCTTCGTATAAACGAATAAATTCCGCTTTTTTTCCACCTTTTTGCACCTTTTTTTCATCGTGACGCTCTTGTTACAAAAAAATTTAACGGATGAAACTCGAAGAATTTAAAAATGATTCTTTGGAAACTTGCACAAAAGTGCTTAAAACCGGTTATAAAAGTGGAAATATCGAATTTTGAAAAAGTTTTTTTTCGACTCAAAAGACAAAAAGAAGAGCCAGAATCCCGGCGCCTTCTCCACTATGATTTTGATTTAAAAAATGTTTTCCATTTTCTCCTTTGATAAGGCTTCATCGGACGGACCTTTTTTTTTCTTCCTTATCTTTTTCCAACTGACGAATTTTTTTCGACATTACTTCGCGCATGGTAACATCAAGATCTTAATTTTATCAATATATTCAGTTTTCGCTGTAGAATGACGGTAGCGATTGGATTGCTGGCATGTGGGATATCGTCCTTATTTTTCGGCTCCATGTTCGTCCCTTTGAAAAATTTCGATGCCAGTGACGGTATTATTGATTTTGATTTTTGTTTTTTTCTTATTTTTGGGTTCAGGAATATTTGCTCAATGGATGATGTCTCTGGCTATTTTGATAATTGGTTTCGTAGCTTTTATCTTTTCCAATTTTCCTGGATTTTACCCATTGGCAATGCTTGGAGGCATGTCCTGGACACTAGGTATAATAATAACCCTTGAGGTTTGAAAAATAAAGGAGAAATTTCAGGAAACGCGACAGCGATTCCTATCATTTCTCGCCTAGGAATGGCTTTGTCGATGCTCATCTGGAACACGACGAATTGCGTCGTCGGCTGGGCTGGCGGCCGTTTTGGCCTTTTTGGCATGAAGGTAACACCTCTTTAGGAACTCCAGAGTGCTCCTTATAGGGGCAACTTACAGGGTCGCCTCTAGGGAACATTTCACCAATCCCTATGGAGGCCACTAAAGCTTGCAAAGGTGGTCCCTATAGGGGTTTTAGTTTGTGGCCCCTATAGGATAAATGTTAGCGGATAATCTATACAAGCTCTACTTAGGAACTCCAGAATGGTCCCTATAGGGGCAACCATAGGGGCCCTCTCAGGGTCGCCTTTAGAGACCACTTTGCCAACCCCTATAGGGGCCACTGAAGCTTGCAAAAGTGATGCCTATAGGGGAAATGCTAGTCGATAATTGTTAGGAATCACCTTGATTTTACCCCTATAGGGACCCCTCTGGAATTCCTAAGTATGCGAAGAAGTAAATAAAAACCTTTTTTGAATAAAATTGAACGACTCCTATAGAAATCACTTAAGCTTTAGCGGCTAAGTGGTCAGACCCTGAAATCCTATAGGGACCCTCTTAATTTTACCCTTATAGGGACTACTTTTTTGGTCTCTAAAGGGGCTGTTCTTGCTTCTATCTTCTGTAGGGATCACCTTGATTTTACCCCTATAGTGACCGTTTATCTCGGTCCTTACAGAGGCTGTTTTTCTCCTTAACCCCTGTAGGGGCCATTCTAAAAGCCACTATTCATTTTTCGTTGCTTTTCCGATTTCTGTGTCTCAAGTTCTTCTTCCAGGCTCAGCCTCCAGCAAGTCCTGTTCTGAACTATGCAGGCCTTATCTGCGTTATTATTGGGTTTGCCATAACCCTACTCGTGACATGATAAAGATACTTAAGAGGGTTCCTGTTCTCCCGAATAAGGAGCACAAAAGTGGTCGCGGAGCACAGAAGAGTTTCCCTGCGTCTCGAACCTCGAAGCAACGCGGACGACGCCGAAAAAGTCGCTCTGAACCCGTCGGTTGCTGCTTTCATTGCTCATAGTCATATAAAACAGCAGTTTACAGCTTTCCCCAGATGACGCGGTCACCAAAGAAGTTACCGAAGTTTCGATGGAAAAAGCCGAAGGAAATCAACGCGCCATGTGCGTTTCAACCTTTTTCTTAAAGAAAATACCCTTTTGTTTAGTGGATTCTTGATGGCGATGGGCGCAGGAGTTTTCTATGGAATGACTTTCGTACCTGTTATTTACATGATCGACAATCCCGAAAAGTATGTGGTGACGGTATTTTTCGATACGCTAATCTTGTTTTTCTGTTGATGTCTTTATTTTCAAAAGCATCACTTACTAGTTAGAAATTTACTGTCAAACAGAAAATAATTCAGCCCATTTTTTTTTTTCAAAACAGTGAGTTATCATCAGAGCAGCTGATTTAAAACTGTCTTGAATTCATTTTTGATTCTCAACTCCCTTAGGAACTCCAGAGCGGTCCCTATAGGGGTCCTTGGAAGGACTACAACCCCTCTAGGGGCCATCAACGCTTGAAAAAGTGGCCCCTATAGGGGACATGCTAGTCGATAATCGTTATGAACTCTAAGCGAAGAAGCATTTCCATGATAAAACTGAACAAACAAGCGTTTTTCGAATAAAATTGAAAGAACCCTGGAGGGTCCACTTGAGCTTTAGGGGCTAAGGGGTCAGACCTTAAAATCCTCTAAGGATCACCTCAACTTTCCCCTATAGGGACTACTTTTTCGGCACCGATAAGGATTGTTTTCCCCTCTAACCCCTATAGGGACCGCTCTGGACTTTTTAAGCCCGATTATGAGAGAGCATTCGAACTTCACAGAAGCAAAAGCATATTTAACGTCAGTTCGATCAAAATTCCTGAAATCCCTTTTTTTTTCTAAATGATATTTTCCGCCAAAATCCTTGCCCTGACTAAGCATCGTCAATGGTTGAGGTTCCCCGGTCAACCATCTGAAGGACTTGCCTACGTCTTCTCGCACTATTTTGGAATCTTCCTCACGGCGACGACTCTTTTCGTCATCTACGCCATCTTCAAGTAGGAGTCCTCTCCAGACAGTTTCTGGAAAACCGAGTTGAAGGAAGAATCGACCGACGGTCAACGGCCAGTTGTGTCTGCCGGCTCTCGCCTCCGGAACGCTTTGGGGCATCGCGCAGACGTCCTTCTTCGTCGCCAATCAGAACCTCTCTCAGACGGTCACGTTCCCCATCATCGCCATGACGCCAGGCTGTATAGCTTCCGCTTGGAGCATATTTTACTACAAAGACATTCAGGTTCTTTATAAAGTATGCTGTTTATAAACAACCAAAAGCTAATGAAAAACCCTCTGCCCTTAAACAACTTTTCCGAGCTCTTCAGGGTCGCCGCAACTTCATCACCCTCGCCATCGCGATGTGCTTCACCTTCACCGGGGCAATTCTGGTCGGCCTGTCCAAGGCTATCGAACTTTAAGAGAACTTCTCCCAAACAACTTCTTGTTTTATATGTACTTATTTTTGTTATAGGATCACATAATGCCTTCCGACAACGGTTGTGTCCCTTCAACGGTTTATAGTCGATACAAAACTATATTTTACCACCAAAAGTTTTTTTCTAGAAAAGTGATGATTGAAATCGACTTTTTTGTTGTAATTGTTACGTAATCGAAGATTTTTATGAACCGAATGAAATTGAGTGACAAAATTTATGCGTCCAAAAAACTGGAAAGTGTTTTGTGATCGAGAGGCGGCACCGGCAGTCAGATTATGGAAACGACGGTTTCTCGTCGGGGTAAAAAGGTCCCCATGACCGACTCACTCCATTTTTGGCTGACCCACCGAGATGATCGTCGGATTCGCGGCGTGCGTCGTCGCCTCGCTGCTTTTCGGCTCCGTTTTCGTCCCGATAAAGCAGTTCCCCCCGAGCGACGGCTTCATGTCGCAGTTCTTCATGAGCCTCGGAGCATTCATCGTCTCGATCGGCTTTCAAGCCTTTCTCTCGTTTCCTCCAGTCTTCCCGCTCGCCATGCTTGGTGGAATGCTTTGGTGTGTCGGTCAGTTGTTTGTTTAGAGAAATATTGCTCTACTCAGGAACTCCAGAGTGATCCCTATAAGGACAACTTTACCAACCCCTATAGGGGCCACTAAAGCTTGCAAAAGTGGTCCCTATAGGCGACGTGCTAGTCAATAATTGTTATGAACTCTAAGCGAAGAAGCATTTCCATGAGAAAAATTGAATAAATAAGCGTTTTTTGAATGATATAGAGAGACCCCTGTAGTGACCACTTGAGCTTTAGAGGCTAAGGGGTCAGATCCTAAACCCCTAAAGGGACCACTTTAATTTTACCCCTATACGGACCACTTCTTTGACCCCTATAGGGATTTCCTCCCTAACCCCTATAGGAACCACTTTAATTGTACTCATTTACGGACCGCTTCATTGACCCCTATAGGAACCACTTTAATTGTACTCATTTACGGACCGCTTCATTGACCCCTATAGGAACCACTTTAATTGTACTCCTATACGGACCACTTCTTTGACCCCTATAGCAGTTGTTTTCCTTCCTAACCCCTGTAAGGACCACTTCTTTGACCCCTATAAGGATTTTTTTTCCCCTAACCCCTATAGGGACCACTTTAGCTTTACCCCTATACGGACCGCTTCTTTGACCCCTACAGGGATTGTTTCCCCCCCCCTAACCCCTTTAGGGATCACTCTGGAATTCCTCTCTAACCTCGAAAGGACTATTCCAGCGAACAGCACGGCTTTCCTCATCATGAACCGACTGGGAATGGCTCTAGGAGTGCTCATCTGGAACACGTTTTCTTGCACGATCGGTTGGGCTACAGCCAGGTGTAGTTTTCGACGTAGACTCCTTAAAATCCCTCTTCTAGGTACGGTCTTTTCGGTGTTCCTCAGTCGCTCCCCAACAGCATCACCCTCAATTACATCGGAATCGTGCTGTTGCTTGCGGGGTTCACCTTATTTGAAATGCCTTTTTATTATCCAATGGCAGAAGCACATTCTACCTGTTCATCAAGAGCAATCTGGACCCAGGATTGCCTTCAACGGCAAGCAAAGTGGCGTTGAAAGAAGCGGAAGAACAGGTGAGATCGGAAGAATCTTGGCAAAGTCCAAGAAAGAATAGGTTCAAAAGATGGATTTGACTGAGGAAGAAGCTGCGCCACCGTCTGTTTCCACTCTCGAGCGATTTATGCAAGTTTCTTTGATTCTTATTTTTGAAGATATCATTTTTCAGGTCCCCTCTAGGGACCACTTCACCAACCCCTATAGGGTCCACTAAAGCTTGCAAAAGTGGTCCCTATAGGGGTTTCAGTTAGTGGTCCCTATAGGGGAGATGCTAGTGGATAATTTGAGCATTTTTTGAATATACTTGAAAAACCCTTATAGGATAAGGACCACCTTGATTTTCCCCTGTAGGGATCACTTTTTCGGTGCCTACAGAGGCTGTTTTTCTCCCTAACCCCTATAGCGACCACTCTAAAATTTCTGATTTCAGCTGCGTTTGCGCCGCCGTCGTCAATGGCTGCTTCTTCGGATCTATGTGTACTCCCGTTGCATACCTACAAGTAGGGACCACAGATCTATTTTTCGAACTCGCATCACTATTCTGTACGAAACTCCGTTGAAACACATGGAAAGTACCTAAAAATCTTTTCAACGGAAAGAGGAACCTTTTCTACATGTATGCTGAAATTTTTATCATTTTTCATTGTTTCTATCGGTCGTACGAAATAATCAAAGACGGAATACCAAAAAAATGGCATTTTTTCCATCGCGAAAAGGGGCGGGGCTTTGCGGTCGCTACCTACAAGTGAGTCTATTTTGAAAAGCTTCAGCATCCCCTTCAAATTCCTCCTCGACCAGAAAAACTTCTAAAGTCATGCTGACTTCTGTATTGGTATGCGATACAATTTTTCAAGCTTCTTTCAAATCTCTAGGGTGGCAGATTTTGTAAAAAATAGTCGGGATGTTTTCAAATTCGGACGATCAGTCTCGGCTTCATACACTTTTTTGCAGGCACTCTTAGGAATTTTAGAGCGGTCCCTATAGGGGTTTAAACTCTGACATCGTGGCCCCTAAAGCTTAAGGGGTCCCTGTAGGGGCTCGATCAATTCTATTCAAAAAAGGTTATTTTTAGTTTTCTTCACTTCGTCGCATAGAGTTCATAAAAAGTATCGATTAGAATGACCCCTATAGAGACCCCTTTTACAAGCTTTAGTAGGCCCTATAGGGTTGGTAAAGTTTGGCAACCTTAGGGACCCTTCAAGAGCCTCTAAAGTTGCCCCTATAGGGATCACTCTGGAGTTCCTACATGTGTTAACTTCTACGTAAACAGATATTGCTTCCTTACGGAGTTTTTTTTTCAAAAACCCAGCGTTTTTCATCGTTTTTCGAAAACCTGAAGCATTTAGAGCCGTCGTGACGTGTATCCGGATGCGCCGACCACCGGCTTGCCTTATCTTTTCTCCTTTTTCCTCGGCGTCATCGTCACATCAACCTTCATTTTGATCATTTATTCAATCGTCAAGTAGGTTTCCCGGGTTTTCTTCAGCTCGCATAGATGTTCTACAAGGGATTTCTGATTAAAACTTTCGTTTTGTTGGGAATTTCCCTTTCCAGAAGGAACTCACCGACGATGCCGCCAACGCTGGTGCTTCCGTCTCTGACGAGCGGCGTCATTTTCGGATTTTCGGTGGCCGCATTTTTCGTGGGCAACGAGAGACTCTCGCAGACGATCGCCTATCCGATCTGTGCCATGGCTCCAGGTCTTGTCGTGTCCCTCTGGAGCGTCCTCTACTTCAAAGAAATCACGGTCAGTGTGTGGCATTCGATTGGAACTTTTTGTCTCACTGCTTAGGAACTCCAGAGTGGTCACTGTAGGAGTGACTTTAGGGGCCCTTGGAGGGTCTTGGGACCACTTTACCAACTCTTATTGGGGCCACTCAAGCTCGCAAAAGTGATTTCTAAGTAGTGGCCCTATAGGGACCATGCTAGTCGAACTCTAAGCGAAGAAGCATTGGGAAAACTGAATAAGTAAGCGTTTATTGAATGAAATTGAAAGACCCCTATAGGGAGCACTTAAGCTTTAGGGGCTAAGGGGTCAGACCCTAAACCCGCATAGGGACCATCTTAATTTTACCCCTAGAAGGACCACTTTTTCGGCCCCTATAGCGGTTGTTTTCCTTCCTAACCCCTATAGGGACCCCTCTTAAATCCCTAAGTGTTTCAGGGAACGAAGAACCTAATTCTTCTGTGCATTGCCTACGGAGCGACGGTGGTTGGAGTGGCGATGGTGACCGTTTCCAAAGACATCAATCTTTGATTCCGAATCGCCTTTTTTTTGCTACTTTGAACATCCCTCAGCTTGATCATCGCGGGTCCATCAAGAAAACAAAAAAATAAATATTTTTTTGTTTATTTTTCGTTTTTTTAACTGGTGATGAAGCGGCAACAAAAACAAGAATTATTATTTCTAGAAGAAAAAAATTTTTTTCTGTTCAAAAAAATGTTGATACTAAGAAACTTCAAAGTGGTCCTTATAGGTTCCCACTTTACCCACCCCTATAGGGGCCACTAAAGCTTGCAAAAGTGGTCCCTATAGGGAACATGCTAGTCGATAATTGGTATGAACTCTAAGCGAAGAAGCATTTCCATGAGAAAAAACTGAATGAATCTGTTAGACCCCTATAGGGTCCACTTGAGCTTTTGAGGGTAAGTGGTCAGTAAGGAGGACCACTAGAGTTCTCAAAAGTAAATGTTTGAACGAACGTTCAACCAAACATTTTCTGAACGTTTGATGAATTCGACCAATTAGTTAAATTTCACATGAACCGTTTGTTAAAAACTTCATTTTGGTTAAATTTCATAACTGAGCATTTAAAAAAAAATGAACAATTACTTATTTTTCGAAAAAAATTTTGGTTAAAAAAATGAACATTTAAATTTCATTTTGAAATTTTTGGTCAAAAAAGTAAACATTTAAAAATTCATTTCGGAAATTTTGGTCGAAAAAGTGAACATTTAAATTTTTACTTTTTGAAAATTTTTGGTCAGAAAAAGTAAACATTTAAAGTTCATTTTAGAAATTTTGGTCAAAATAGTGACCATTCAAATTTCACTTTGAAAATTTCTTTCAAAAAGGTAAACATTTATTCATTAATTAATTCATTACTATTACGGCACTTGGCAGTATCTGTGCCAGAGTCAATTCTATCTCAGTCTTCTCCAAATGAAATCTTGAATCGATTACTTCGAAATTCAAACTAATTTCTGGTTAAAATTAAAAATCTGTTGGAAAACAGTGATCTGGATGGTCAAGGGCAAAGCTAAAAGTCGGTTAAGGACGAGAAAAATTATACGGAACCGGTCAAAAATGAGCAGACCGGAAGAAAGGTTCTATCTGGAGAATTAATTGAATGAGGAAAAAGGAAAAGTATAGATTTGGATTTTGGTTCGGAAAATCCAGGTTAGGAAAAATTATCGGCCAAAAAAATGAACATTTAATTTTTCACAGTTGAAAAAAAAATTTTTTTCTACGAAAAAAAGTAAACATTTAAAAATTCGTTTTGAAAATTTTTGGTCAAAAAAATGAACATTTAAATTTCACTTTTGAAAAATTTTTGGTCAAAAAAAGTAAACATTTAAAATTCACTTTGAAAAATTTCTTTCAAAAAGGTAAACATTTATTCATTAATTAATTCATTACTATTACGGCACTTGGCAGTATCTGTGCCAGAGTCAATTCTATCTCAGTCTTCTCCAAATGAAATCTTGAATCGATTACTTCGAAATTCAAACTAATTTCTGGTTAAAATTAAAAAAATCTGTTGGAAAAACAGTGATCTGGATGGTCAAGGGCAAAGCTAAAAAGTCGGTTAAGGACGAGAAAAAAATTATACGGAACCGGTCAAAAAAATGAGCAGACCGGAAGAAAGGTTCTATCTGGAGAATTAATTGAATGAGGAAAAAAAGGAAAAGTATAGATTTGGATTTTTGGTTCGGAAAAATCCAGGTTAGGAAAAATTATCGGCCAAAAAAATGAACATTTAATTTTTCACAGTTGAAAAAAATTTTTTTCTACGAAAAAAAGTAAACATTTAAAATTCGTTTTGAAAATTTTTGGTCAAAAAAATGAACATTTAAATTTCACTTTTTGAAAATTTTTGGTCAAAAAAAGTAAACATTTAAAAATTCATTTTTGAAAAATTTTGTTCAAAAAAATGAACATTTAAAAATTCGTTTCGAAAATTTTGCCCAAAAAAAGTGACCATTTACTTTTTCACTTTCAAAAAAATTTGGTCATTAGGACGAACATTTATTTACTAGTCAGAATATGATTGTTTAGAAAATGACCATTCATTTTTTTCAGTCATTATTTGAAAAGTCACAAAATGAAAAAGAATGAAAGTGATCAATTTTTGGTTGATCTTTCAAAAAAACGACATTCGTTTGAAATGTCAAAAAGAAAAATTTTTTTCGTTTTTTTGAAAAAAATATCATTTTTTTCAATTGGTCATTTTGAGAACTCTAAGGACCACTTATTCGACCCCTATGGGAGTTTTTTTGCCTCTAACAAAGAGAATCTCGAACTTTACTTGCCTTGTACCTCAAAGAATGTTGATTTCGGCTTCATTCTTCAGTTTCATCATCTTCAAACAACGTCCCATGAAAACAAAAAGAAAAATGCTGGCCGAGATAGAACCTTAAGCTGGGCGGTTTCGGTAAAACAACAGCGTTCCTCGATAATTGTTTTGGAGTGGAGTACAAGTCGAGACTTGTTTTCCCCCCATTCAACTGCTCCCTATCGTTACCATTACTTTTTCGTGCAGGCAATAAGGTTTTTTCTCAGTTTTTAAGCCCTTTTTATCATCATTTTGTAGGGTCATATGTTTCTCGGGATTTGCATCTGTTTGTGCGCCGCATTCTGCTTGGGATCCGTGTTCGTGCCTCTCAAAAAGTTCCCGCCGAGCGATGGTCGGTCTCAAGTTCAAAGAAACTTATGAGTTCCAGAGTGCTCCCTATAGGGGCCGAAAAGAAGTCCGTTTAGGGGTTTTGGGTCTGACCTCTTTCTCGCTTAGAGTTCATAAAAATTATCAAGTAGCATGTCCCCTATAGGGACCACTTTTTCAAGCTTTAGTCGCCCGTATAGGGATTGGTCAGTTTTCTAATTCAAAACTACTTTGAAATTCCTAGGGGGTCCCTATAGGGGTTAGGGGCCGAAAATTCGGGTTAAATACCTGTAGGGGTACAATCAAGGTGGTCCCTTTAGGGGTTTAGAGTCTGATTCCTTAGCCCCTGAAGCTTAAGTGGTCTCTATAGGGATAAAATAAAGGTGGTCCCTACAGGGGCCTTTCAACTTCTTTTTAAAAAACGCTCCTTTTTTTAAATTTACGGAAATAATTCTACGCATAGAGATACTAACTAAAACCCCTATAGGGACCATTTTTGCAAGCTTTAGTGGCACCTATAGGGGTTGGTAAAGTGATCTCTAAGGTTGCCCCTATAGGGACCACTTTGAAGTTCCCATAGATTTTAATCAACTTCGGCAAAATATCTTGGTATGATGCTTGTTCCAACCCCCTCCTTGGAAAAATAAAACTACGTATGAAAGTTGAAATAAGAATCAACTACTCAGGAGGGCATCCAGGTTTTTTTTTTCGATAATGCTGACCTAGGCTTCACGACGCAGTTGTTCATGGCGATCGGAGCATTCGCGGTGGCGTGTGTGACCAGCGTCCTCATCAACTTTCCTCCCGTCTACCCGGTCGCCCTGCTTGGCGGCGTCGTCTGGAGCTCTGGTGCAGTTTGAAGCCTTTTTCGGACTCTGGTTTTTTTCAGGAAATGCGCTCGCCGTGCCGATTCTGAGTCGCCTTGGTATGGCTCTAGGGATCCTCATTTGGAACTCGGTGGCCTGTGTCGTGGGCTGGGCTACAGCTAGGTTCGACTCACCACATCCATGGACTTGTTGATGACCATTTTTGAGATTCGGCCTGTTCGGGGTACCTCAGATGCTACCTGATAGCCACATCCTTAACTACATGGGCATCGTAGTTCTCGTCGTAGGGTAGGTGCTGTTGGCGGCCTTCTGAAGGACTTGTTCTTTCAGGAGCGTCTTCTACTTGTTTGTCAAAAGTAACGTCGTCGAGGACGAGACCGGCGAGTCCAACGTCGACGCCAAGGACGCCGAGGAGCCGGCCGTCCCAGCCACCGAACGTTTGATGTCAGATGGGAACTCTTCCGAGGTGCTAACCATCAACTTGCAGTGCCATCGGTGGAGCGATGCTCAGCGGCTTCTTCTACGGCTCCATGTGCACGCCGATAACCATGCTTCAAGTATGATCAAAAAAATCTCCCGGAAGTCAGAAATGCTCAACACTTCAGACGAGAAAAGACCTGTACCCCGGGATGCCAAGCCAAGGACTTCCCTACCACTTCTCCTTCTTCACCGGCGTCATGTTCACTTCTGGTCTGATATTCGCCGGCTACTGCGTATTCAAGTGTCGCCTTTATTAAGTGGCTGATCATCAACAGTTTTTTTCAGACGCAACCAGCCCTACATGTCGTGGAATCTGGCACTGCCGGCCATGTGCAGCGGCGCCATTTTCTCTTCGGCCATGGGTTTTCTTTTTGTGGCCAACGGGTTGCTGTCCCAGACGATCGCCTTCCCAATATGCATGATGGCGCCAGGGATCGTCGCCGCCGCTTGGAGCGTTCTCTACTTCCGCGAAATCTCGGTTAGGAGCCATAGAGTGGTCCCTATAAGGGCAGTCTTTGGGTCCTTGAAGGGTCCCCTCAACCCCTATAGGGGCCACTAAAGCTTGCAAAAGTGGTTCCTATAGGGGTCATCTTAGTGGATAATTGCTATGAACTCTAAGCGAAAAATCATTTCCATGAGAAAAATTGAATAAGTAGGCGTTTTTTGAAGGAAGCTGAAAGACCCCTATAGGGTCCACTTAGGGGTCAATGCCCCTATAGGAACCACTTCAATCTTACCACTATAAAGACCACTTTTTCAGCCCCCATAGGGTTTTTTGTTTCCCCTAACCCCTATAGGGACCACTCTGGAATTCCTAAGTTGAACGAAGGTGCCGCATTTTATGAAAAGTACGGTAACAGTATGGACTCCTTCAAGACATTGGAAATCCCAACTTTCAAATTGACCTTCAGACTCGCTTTTCGTCTCATTTTCTACGTTCTGGGAGTTTCAGGGCCGTCGCAACCTGATTTTTCTCGGCGTCGCCTCCACGTTCACCTTCGTCGGCGTCACCATGGTCACCGTATCCAAAGACACATCACATTGAAAAATTTTTTATTTTTTTTCCGGAATTTGAAGAAAGAATTTATATTGGCCGGATAGCATGCTGGAACAAAATGGAAAGTTCTAAGGGAAAAATGCCTTATCCTTATTTTGATTCCACTCACAAGAAAGGCCGTCTAACTCTGGATGAAAATCCTGGGATTTTTCAAAGATTCACGGAAACAAAACTTCTTCACGACGTTAAGAATCTCGGCCCAATGCACCAAAGAGTATTACAGCAAAGTTTTTTGACTGTTTCGGAATTTAAAAAAAAACAATTATGTTTCTTGCTGAGCCGAGTATCCCTTCTACCATCTATAAAGTTTAAAAAATTGACTGTTAAAATCGTTCTTTTCTTATCAAATATGTTCAAGCCTAGGGAACTAGAGTTTCCCACGATGATAGAAATACGAAAATTGTTCCCCAGTCTGGGAAAAAGCTGGATGACCGGGCATTCCGGAGAGGCATATACCGAAGAAAGTGCGCCCGGGGGGACAAAGAGCCGGCCGGCAACTCACTCGATTGGCGGCTTTTGCTCCGCCGCTTTTTCTCGTAACTCCATTAGCCAGGACGGCGGGGCGGGCGCGTCGCGGCTCGATGAAGCATCCGCCGTCGAGTCGCCTCCTCTTTTTCCGCCCCTTGGCCGAATACTCGATTTCTCTGTTTTCTCACGGCTGCTCCCAGTCACATAGTCTCTCCCCTAAGTAAACCGCATATTTCCATCTCCTGCTATTGTTAATTTCTCGCGTTTTTTCCGTTGAAACCGCGATCTTCTCTGGATAATCTCAATTCAATCCTTATTTTGTTTTCTCTCCAACCAAATCAAACTTGAAAGCTTCAGTGCAAAAAAATGTATTTTTTTAATTCTATTCGAATTCTTTAAGAAATTTTTCTTTTTTTCACAAGAAATCAGGCTTGCACGAGACTCGATCTAGTGCAATTTCTCTAAATTTTTGAGGAAAGACCAAATTTTGGCATTGAATGTGATGCATCAAGAGCAAATTAATACTGGATTTGACGAATAAATGACGAAAATGATCGAAAAACAGTTTTTTTTTCATGACTCGATCAAAGCGACTCCGCGAAGCTCAAAATAGCCGTCAGAGAAAGAAAAAAATAACTGAATTTTGGAGGGTTAGAGATAATTTAGCATTTCGCGGAAATTACTAAAACACGGCATGAAAAAAAGCCTGAAGTTTAAAAATTTCGCTTTTTTTGAAAAATTTTTTTATTGTGAGTCTTGATATTATATCTTGTTTCTTTTTCTGGCTATCTCGATAATGTTACGAAAAAAATTTTTTTGCCTTTTTTTAATCGTTTTAAAGTTTTTTTCACGTAGAGTTATTAATTTTATTTCTCGATCTCGTCGAAATTTTTTTCGGGAACGTTTTTCTCGTCTCGGCTCAAAAAAAATCATTTTTTTCGTGCAACCCCGCCAAAAAAATCATAAAAAAATTTTTTTACAGACTTGTGAGAAAAATTTTTCTTCGGTTTTTCTCAACGATCCAGCTTTTTGCCTTAAAAAAAGCCATTTTTTTCCTGAATTTTAATTTTTTTCCCTTTTTGAAAAAAATATAACTCATCGATCTCATTTTTTTCATTTCTTAGACAATATTTCGTGAGGGTCTCGCCACGATTAGCAAATCGAAGTAGTGCGCAAAAAAATTCTCATTACTTTTCAAGTGCTAGCGTTAAAATAATAATCTTATTTTCATTCGTATTTCCGAGATTCGAACATGAAGAAAAACGGGAGAAGTTGAGAAAAAAACGGACCGAGTTCATGAATAACCGATAACCTTGCGGCCGATGCCGGCCAATTCCAAATTCAATTCAGCATGTCGGGTTCTCTTTTTTCGGCTCTTGATCCATTTACAAGCGCTCTTTCAGCTATTTTTACCAGCTCTCTGACGTAATCAGCTTTCCTCCACCTGCCCTTTGGCCCTTTTGAAACATTTTCGTCCAGTTTTTCTTGCATAAATCGCAAAAGAAGACGTCCACTTAAGGTCTAATTGGCGTCTTCGGCCTGACTCTGCCTACGCTAAAAATCTTTCCCCCAACAAATGGTTTCATTCTTGTATCACGGCGTTTTTTGACGACCCATATTCCTTCCGTAAAGTGTAGTGTGTAGTGTGCATGCACTGCGACACTCTCGCACATGTTCAAAGAAATTTTCGAATTTCCGAAGTTCAGTTTAATTTTTCATTTTCTGGGTGCTGTTTTGAATTTTGCAGCATCACTTTAAAGAGGGCAACAGAAAGATTGCGATTTTTTAAAATGAGAGAACGATTCGTCTCATGACCCATTGAATATGCGCCTTTAACATCCCCTATTTTTACGCTTGTTTTATCTGTACTTTTTCTTCTTGAGCCGTTTTGTATGAAGAGGAGCTTGTTTAGTTAGACATTTTTTCAAAAAAAAAAATTTTGAGGTCCGAAAAGGGGAGGCTGAGTCTTGTCGCGTACAGCCCCACCGCAGATGGCATTCCGACGGCGGGTTAGAACCTTTTTGATTTTTTTTTTCCTATTTTTTTAAAGATGTCAAATTGCTCGTGAAAAACCTTTATTCAATGCGCTAAACGAAAATTTTTAAAATTTTCTTTGAAGTTAGCTACGTGCCTTAGATACTTCAGAGTGGTCCCTACAGGGCAAACTTAGGATGGTGCCCTCTAGGGACCACTTCAACAACCCTTATAGGAGTCACTAAAACTTGAAAAAGTTGTCCCTATAGGGATTTATTTAGTGGCTCCTCTAGGGGACATGCTAATCGAACTCTGTGCGAAGTAGCATTTTCATGGGAAAAACTGAAAAAAAACAAGCGTTTTTTGAAGGAAATCGAAAGAACCCTATAGAGCCCTTAAACCCGTATAAAGACCACTTTAATTTTACCCCTATAGGGACCAATTTTTCGGCTTCTGTAGGAGTTGTCTTCCCCCCTGACCAAGGACCACTCTGGAATTCCTAGGTATATTTTTTTCCAATGATTATTCGTAGAGATGTTAATTTTTTAGTATGAGAGGTTGGTACAGTCAAAAGTGTGGTTTTTCCGATTTTTTTTCTAAATTACGAAAATTTCCAGGGAAGTGGCGACTCGAACTTCAGCCACCATGACGATCTCGACTTGGAGGCCGGTAATCGGGAGACGATGCGTCGCGACGCAGAGCGACAGGCAGCGCTTCAGCTCGAACGAGCCAAGGTTCTGACGACGGCTCGGCGGTTATTGAGAAGTCTTATTTTCAGTACAAGCCGGTCGCTTTCGCTGTCTGCACCAACGTTGAGTACGACGGCAGCGTCGACGACGATTCGCCGGTCCATGGCTGCGCCGTCTCTTTCAAGATCAAAGACTTCCTTCACATCAAGGAGGTAACGCCATAAGTTTGAGCTGAGAATGAGCTTTTTGCAGAAGTACAACAACGACTGGTGGATCGGACGGCTGGTGAAGGAAGGTCACGACCTGGGTTTCATCCCTTCGCCGGTGAAGCTCGAGTCTTTGCGGCAGCAGACGGCCAAGGCTGGCAAATTGTAAGTCCGAGTGGCTGAAAACGAAAAAAGTCGTTGTGTGAAGCAAGCAGTCGACATCTGCATCCAATCTAGGCGCACTGGACAGCATGATGCCGCGCAGTGGATCTCGCGGCTCAACTCCTCCAACTCCAGGTTTTCTTTTTTCTTAGTTTTCCTTTCAAAAAAACTGATTGGATATCTACCTCGTTTGAAATTTTTTTCTCCCCAAAAAAAGATGAACGGATTCATTCTAACTAAAAAAAGTGGAAACGGTTTCCTTTTTATTGCCTTTTTCCGCCCTTTCATCGGCCTTCATCCACCCTTTTGGACCCTTTTGAAAAAAAAATTCCTTAAATTGAGAATAATTTTCACCAGTAACTATATATCAACCAAAATGTGCTACAGTAATAAAATCGGAAATAATGAATGGCCGAGTCTTTCAGCACCCTTTTTGCACCCTTTTTCGGCTTTTTTGCCCACCAAGAAAGAAAGGCTCAAAAAAGGCCTCAAAACAGAACCCTTTCAGTGGCCATTTCGCACCCGTTTTCCCCACTTCCGACTTTGGCAGTGATAGAGTATCCTTGGGCAAAGTCGGAATGGTTAATAATGGCCGCTAAAAGGGAGATGTTCAAAAAAGGTTGCAAAAAGGTAGCAAAGAGAATCCCTTTTCATTTTTCTGGAATTTCGAAGGCTCAAGAAGTCGTGGGAAAAGGAAGAGACAGCAAAAAATGATGCATAATAGCCGATGAAATGGCGCAAAACGGCAGCAAAAAGGAGCCTTTTTCCACCCTTTCCAACTTTTCCCATGTATTAAGTTCTGCGATTTCCAACAAATGATATAGAAAAACTTGAATTTTTCAATTTTTTCAAAGTAGAATCTTATTCTATATTCTAAAAACCAGAAGACGACGAATACGGCGCAAAAAAGCTGACCAACATCGTAACGACACCTCCGACCAAAGAGAAAAAGAAGCTAATATTCAAGAAGGTGAGTCTAAGTGGTAAGAATGAACTGAGCGAAGATTCAGCAAGAGAACGTGCCTCCGTACGACGTGGTGCCTTCGATGCGGCCCGTCGTCCTCGTGGGACCTTCGCTCAAGGGCTACGAGGTGACGGACATGATGCAGAAGGCCGTCTTCGACTACCTGAAACATCGCTTCGAGGGCCGGTCTGTCCGGAGGCGGCTCCTAGCGACAACGAACCCTTCAGAATCATCATCACCCGAGTCACCGCCGACATCTCTCTGGCCAAAAGGTCGCTGCTCAACAACCCCAACAAGCGCGCCATGATGGAACGAGCCAACTCGCGGACCAGCAATAGCCTTGGTGAGACTCCTTCCCTCGGAACTGGGCTGATTAGGGTGTCTTCAGCCGAGATACAGACGGAGATCGAGCGGATCTTCGAACTGGCGCGCTCGATGCAGCTCGTCGTACTCGACTGCGACACCATCAACCATCCGTCGCAGTTGGCCAAAACCTCGTTGGCCCCGATCCATGTCTACATCAAGATTTCCTCACCAAAGGTTTGCCGAATTGAAAAAAAAAATCTTGATGGTATGGTCACTGGAGACATGTAAAGTGTTCAAAAATTAATTTTCGCTTGCTTTTTCTTCAAAAATTCTTTATTTTTTGATATTTTCCGTTTTTTTTTTTTGATTCATCACTGACCTAGGAGTTTTAGAGTGGTCCCTATAGGGGGAAAACAGTCACTGTAGGGGCCAAACAAAAGGTCCCTATAGGGTTTTGGAGTCTGATCCCGTAGATCTTGAAACTTAAGTGGTCCCTGTAGGGGCTAGGGGGCAAAACATCAATATAGGGGTCGAAAAAGTGGTCCCTATAGGGGTCTTTCAACTTCTCTTAAAAAACGCTTATTTATTCAGCTTTCCCATAGAAATGCTTCTTCGCTTAGAGTATATGAAAATTATCGATTAGCATGACCCCTATAGGGACCACTTCGCAAGTTTTAGTGGACCCTAGAGGTGACTCTCCAAAAGTCCTTAAAGTTGCCCCTATAGAGACCGTTTTGAAGCTCCTAAGGAAAGTGAATTTCTGAAAACGCAAAATCCAATAAATTTTAAATAAAGATTTTTTTTCATGGTGAATAATTTTCGGGAGCATAGTTCATTCACTCCTTAAAACTCGCCTGCGCTCTCTTTTCCCTCACCGCAGCTTTTGAAAGCACGCAAATGAAGAGAGAACGTCGGGTGAAAGAAAAGAGCTCAATTGATGCTCCTTTGAACTGAGAAAGGCCCCAACTGTTTGAAACACGGCAGAAAGGAAGTTCAGGTCCTGCAAAGACTGATCAAGTCGCGAGGCAAGTCTCAGAGCCGCAACATGAACGTGCAGATGGTGGCCGCGGAGAAGCTCGCCCAGTGTCCGCCGGTGAGTCTTCCTTCTCCGTCCCTCGCACTTCCAGCCTCCTAGGAGCTGTTCGATGTGCTTCTTGACGAGAACCAGCTGGAGGACGCCTGCGAACACCTCGCCGACTTCATGGAGGCCTACTGGCGCGCCACTCATCCGCCAGTCCGCTCGCCGCCCAGAATCAAGAGGAATCCCATGGAGAATCGGGGCCCGTCGACGCTGTTCACCCCGGCGCAGATGATGCAGGGGATGGGCATGCCGCCGACGCTGCAGACTCAGCCGTCGGTCGCCTCCATGTCTCAGATGCTGCCCAACAACACAGGTATCCCACGTCTTCAATGGAATCAGCGAATGATTATCTAACAAGATCTTCTTGAGCCAAGTCGGAATAGGCGCTAAAAGGGAAAGGCTCCAAAAAGGCAGCAAAAAGAGTCCCTTTATCGAGCCTTCTTATTTTTCTGACATTTTAAAGGCTCGAGAAATGGTGGAACAAGAGAGAGACAACAAAAATGGTGCATAAGAGCCGATGAAATGGCGCAAAAAGGCAGCAAAAAAGGAACCTTTGTCACCATAAAAGAAACATTTCTATGCGGCCTTTTCCCACCTTTTCCGAATTTCCCTATGGAAGGACTATACTTTGTATAAAAAATATAAAATTTTCCCCAAGATTTTTTCAATTTTGCAATTTAAACCGATTCGTGACTTTCTTAGAAAACTTTCTAGAAAAATTTAAAGGGAACTATCACTCTTTGATTTTCAGGAGGCCCACCCTATTTGGCCCCGCCACAACCAGGACGACCTTCGATGGGTGTTCAACAGGTAAAAGTTTGAAAACGTTTCCTTTTTTTCACGGCGTTTTTTCGACAACTTCACTTCTTTCCGTAAAGTGTAGTGTGTCGTGTGCACGCACTGCGCCGCATTCGCGCAGAAAAATGCGTTTATGTAGAGATAATTTCATTCGTCTCAAAAGTCTCTGGAAATACGGCGGTTTGTGCCTTTAATGTTCCCGGTTATGTACGCTCTTTGCCGGTCTTATGACGTCATATGGGAACGGCAGAGTTTTTGACTCCGCCCACCAAGATTTTTTTTTGTAAAACTCGCGAGAAATAGCTCGACGTGTACTGTTACTTTGGGGTGTACAGCTGATTCACGGCTGGCTTGAGCCATCGAAAAAAAGGTCCTGACACGATAATGCACGAGATATAGTCTGTTCAGATCTTTAATGTCAAGTGCAATGACGTCATTCAAAAACACTCTGTGGATGGCTCGCTCTCTGATTGGTTCATCGCACCATTAGGGGCGGAGCTTGAGCGACGACTTGACATTCGAAATCTGAACAGAATATAGAGCTTGGCTCGTGGAGGGCGCAGAGGGCCCGAGTTTCAAATGTGAAACGAATGAAAAGAATCGTTTCCCTTCGAAAATGTCTTTATATTCCAGCCGACGACGAGCTACGGACTTGCGCCTTCATCGCTGGGCCACCAGGCGAGGCCGAACTTCGGCGGCAACGTCGCCCAGACGCAGGACAGACACGGCTTCGACGAGTACGACGACATGGACATGTCGCACACCTACGAGCGCGGCACGTACCGCTACTGAACCGTCTTCCCACAAATTGGCCTTTGATTCGGCCACAACAAGGGTACTAGAGAGCTCATACTTCGGTGTAACTATTAATGTCTTTCCATTCTGAAGACTCTTATTCAAACCTCTGATAATTTTCCGCAAAAAGATCAAACTTTTCTGAGTTTTTTTCACCTTAATTGATCAGAGAGAATCACTATCTTCTATCGTTGACGAGTATTTTGCATTACTGTAGGATATATCACATTGTAAAGTCTGTTGTTATATTTATTTTTGTCGATCTTTAACATGGCATTAAAAACTATTTTTTCCCGCTATTTTGATTTTTCTACAATGTCTCTAGGTCACGTTCGCAAAATCAATTTTCACAGAAATTTATTTAGAAGCATCACAATAAAGATTTTCATAACTTACAATCGAATCGAAAGCTCACCGATAACTCGAAGGACAACAGGGGAAACAATACCAATTTGAATAAATTTTACACGCGCTAAAGTATTGAAATTAACATGCTAATGTTAGTACATGAACGATTCTTGATCCTTTTTCAATTTTTTTGAAAGAGTATGAAAAAAAACGCCTTCGAACATAATATGAAAAACTATCAGCGTTACTGCAAAAAATGAGCAATGAGCTATTTTGTGCATTTAAATACAAATGGGCAAGCAGTTGTGCGAAATGTGTATAGAAATTGAGAAAAAGAGTACGGAATGAACATCTAGTCTGATGACAACTACTATCAAACGAATGGCAAACTGGGGGAAAAAAATTTGAACACCGGGACATCAAATGTACTCAGAACAACCGAAGAATCAAGAACTGTAATCTAGTAATATAAAGTTAGGTATACAAATAAATATTTCACAAGTACAGAAAAAAAGCTAAATCTTCAAGCAAAAAAACCTATTCGAATCGACGTCAAGCTTTTTTGCAAAGGGATTAAATTTGTTCCAGAAAAAGAAAGAACCAATAATTTTTTTAATAGCATCGGAAACAAAACAAAACTTCAACTTATCGACTTTTGAAAACAAGAAAACAAGAAATTGTTCAAAAATTAAGTCAACCAAATTCATTACCTATCTTCGATATTCAGAAAAAAAAAAGTGGGAATTTTCATCGATTCTTATAGTGAGGTTCTACTTAGGGAACATTCCATATTGTTGTTGTTGTTGGATAGCTGGAATATTTTCGATAATCTCGAGCAATACTCAAATAGGACAAACCTTGTAACGCCGCGATCAGGTCCGGTTGGTTACCAAGCTGAAAGATAAAAAGGACGTTAAATGGTCGGAAACCGCAATCAATAGTTGCCGAATTGATTTTTTTCAACTTCTTTTTAATCATACATGGGATGAGCATGATTGGCAACAGCCAAGCCATCGCCCCCCTTTGAAGAAAAACCGAGCCATTCTCTGGAGCCTATTCATGCACTAGTTGACATTGAAAGGTCGAACTAGACTAATTCGATTGTTCTGAATCCGAAAATGGAAAACATTTTTTTTCCGACCACTTTAAAAAAAGACAATCAATTGAACTTTACAAAATGAATGTTTGATCTTTTTCTATAAAATCGGACGTAATAATTTATTTACAGATCAGCGTGAACCCTATCCCATGTTTGATTGCCAGAGCTTTCCACTAGTTTCAACTGACCTGAAAGCCACGGTTGACAGCTGCCAACTGCTGTTGCTGCATCTGCTGATGTAACTGCTGCATGTGGAGTTGCTGCATGATGGGATTCGAGGGGTTGGCTGACGTCTGCTGCATCAGCGGCGGCCCCATGAACTGAGGCCTCTGCGTGACCTGCTGCGGGTTCTGAGGCGCCAGCGAGGTCGACGGAGGAGCCGCCGCCGGCGACGACATTCCTCTCTGGGCGCCTCCGTTCTTGTCATTCATAACTCCTAGAGAACTTCTTTTGATTTGATGTCCTTACAGCGCCTGAACCTTCTTTCGCCTTGAGTTCGTGTATTTTGTGATCTCTAGAGGGCGTTCGAGCCACACCGCCGCCCTGGCCCACGTTCATCATTCCAGAGCTCGAGCCAGGCATCGTCGGCATGAACTGCGGAATGTAGGGGTACGTAGGAATGAACATCCCAGGCGAAGCTCCACTTTGAATGGCTCCTGTCAAACAGAAGTAATTTGTAAATTTTTGTATAATAAAAACAAGAATTTGAAATATCTGAAAATACCTTAATATCTCTGTGAAAAAAAGATTCTTTCCCAAAGATTTGTTAAAAAAACTTTTTTTGCCAATATATGTGAAAAAAACTCACAGGAATTTCTCAGAGAAAAACTCAAAGGAGTTGTTTTTAAAGAACATGAAAAATTCGCTTCTATTTTTCAAAGAAAAAAACAAGAAAAATGAAGCGAAACGACTTGAAATTATAAAAAGAATAGAACAACGGACGCTTCTTTCATTTTAAAAAAACTTTCCCTTTTTCTTTCTTAATTTCTTTAAACCTTTTTGCAATAAGTCGAATAATGCAATTTTTAGATTTCGATCTGTATTACTGTAATCCTAAAAGCTTAGAAAAATCACTAGAATCGCTAACTTACAGTGCTCATAAAGCTTTTTTTGAAACCAGAATATTGATGAATGTTTTTTTTTTCTGAACGACTAAGTGAAACTGTTTCGAAACGATGTAAAAACAGTAAAAAATTGAAACAAGAAAGTTTTTTCTACACCATAAACTGATTGGATACAAAACAAGTCAGAAAAAAGCCATTATACTTGTGATAAAAAATAACATCGGAACTTCAAATTAAAAGAAATCTACTGACTAGTGAGTAAAATTTTTTTTGTTTGAACTAACCTTTTGATGCGAAAAAATAAGTTACATTTTTGCAACAACAAGAATATTTTTCTATAAATAACAAGTTTTTCATATTTCCACTTTTCAACGCTTTTAGGAACTGACTAGGAAGGTTATTTCACATTTTGGTTGGAAATATTCTAAAAATTGACCAGGACACTCCTGGATGTACCAGAAGAAGATAATGAAAGTCTCGACCTGCAGTTCTTCAAAAATAAGGGTTTATAACCCCAAAACAGCTCATTTTAATGGACTTTTTGCAGTTCAGGACTTAAAGTGTGGTAGATGTATCCTGGCAAGTTTTTCGGAAAATTTCAAACGCAAAGTAAAAAGACCTGCCTTGCGAGTAAAGCTGTTAACCTATTTGAAGAGTCGCTTTTATGAATATAGTAAGAGGATTTAAGAAAAAACCTTAAACATCAGAACTTTTCTCAAAATTGTTCATCAAAATAAAAAAGAACCTCTCGGAGATCCACCAATGAGAACATGTTGCGACTGAACGCTAGTGGGGACTCGGGAGCCGATTTGTGGATTCGACGGACCCGGTCTGTGTTCTGAAAAGACAACATAAATGGATACGCAATGGCTATCGGGAACCTGAGTAGGCAATGGTCGGGGGCGGGTCGAGGGGAGATCCGATGCGTGGCTGAATGGCGGCCACCAGCGTCGGCGGGACCGATCCTGACGTTGATGGCATTCCGGTGGAGATTCCGATGACAGAGCTGCCGGGCGGCAAAGTCTTGCTCGATGATGCAGAAGAGGACCGTTTCAGCTCTCAATCCGACACAAATTCAACAGATTCATCACGAAACTCACCATTCTCTTTGGTGAACACAACGTTGGGTTTTATCTTCATCGGCTGCTCTTGCTGAAAAAAAGGACATTGTCAATCTCCTTCTAGGCGTCCACAAGTACCCTTTCTACATAGGCAAAGTCGGAAAGGGTGGAAAATAATCCATAAAATGTTCCTTTTAGGGTGACAAAGGCTCCTTTTTGCTGCCTTTTTGCGCCATTTTATCAGCTTTTATGCCCCATTTTTGCTGCCTCGCCCTTTTTCACCATTTCTTGAGCCTTAAAAATCCCAGAAAAATGGAAGGCTCGATAAAGGGACTATTTTTGCTGCCTTTCTTTTTTTTTTGAGCCTCTCCTATTTTAGGGGCCATGATCCACCATTCCGACTTTGCTTGAGTAGATTAATTAATACAAACGATTTTCTCATGTGTGAAAAGACGCGCAGCGATTCTCATTCAGTAAAGCTTCCCACGAAAAATTTCTAATGTCGTGTTCAAAGTAATTTCCGCGAAATGCAAAATGATCTCTGACTCTCCAAAATTTAGTGATCTTTTCCTTTCTCTAACGGGTATTTTGCATTTCGCGGAAATTACTTTGAACACGGCATAATATTTTCTGTTCTGGACATTATAGCTGATTCACGGCTGGCTTGAACCATTGAGAAAAGGGTCCTGCCACGAAGAGAAAAGACAGTGCGTGGTTGATGGAGAGTGCAGACAGGCCACGCCTTTTTGCGTCCCAAGCTAGCCGTGATTCGTCTATACCATATAAAGCTTTTTTTCTCTTTGTAACTTCAGTTTTAGCTTCAATAACTCGAACCTGTACCTTTAACAAGTTGGGAGGATTATCGTCTGAATCAGAGAGATCGGAAAAGTCTTCAGTAGCTTGCTGCTTGACGACTTCTTTCGTCTGAAAACAGTCGTGATGATTGATTGATACGTCGGATGGCTATACTTCGACTGGCGTTAGTCCCGAAATGTCCGTAGCCTTATCAATGCGATCAAACAAGGACTCCTCGGTCTGGCAGCAGATTGATTCGTACACGAGCTGGAAGGAAACTGTGAGATAAGTATCTAGTCGATCGAGGAACCTTCTTTTTCGCGTGGTTCTTGGTTATGTGGTACTCGAGTTCGGAAGAAGAGGGATATCGGTGTTGACAGCCGTCATAGTGACAAAGGTGCATTGTCTGTCTGCACAAAACACATTTTTTACTATTTGAAAACGATTTTGTTTACAAGAAAATCAACTTTATTGATCTTTGCAAAAGTTTGGAAAACTGTTTACCTTATATACTTCACTAGGGAGGTCATTTTTTTCTAAATTTTTGCTCAAACACTCTCTGAAGGTCTAGATGAAAATCTTCAATATTCGCTACCTGCGCAAACTTCTAGCTTTTGAGATACGATTTTTCAAAGTTGTGAAACACAATTTTTAATGCTAACTTTTCAAGCTTTAAAATTAACTATCTTAAAAACTAGAAGCTGGCGCGAGTTGCAACTTTGATGATTCTTGATATAAACCTTCAGAGTATATTAGAGCGAAATTGTAGAAAATTCCAAGTCGCATATTAAAATGACCTCCTTGTGCGGTCTATTTCTGAGTTAAACGCATACTTTAAAAAATAATATCTCAAAAACTAGAAGTTTGCACAGAAAGAGACTATGTGCGATATTAATCTAGATATTCGGAGGGTTTTTGAGCATATTTGCAGAAAAGCCAAGAAAAATTACTTTCCATGTCAGTTGACTCAATTTTTCGATTCTTTCAAAGCAAAACATCAAATGAAATAATAGTCAATTAGGAATCCTGTCAAAGTGCTTTACAATCAATTTTGACGCATACTTAACTTTTTTATATTTTTACATGTCGTCTTAAAAAAACATACGGATCAACTTCCATGAGGTCGAGGTCCCCTTTCACATACGATGTCGAATCGCACGCTGTGACGTCAACGTCGTCTTCCTCTGAAGAGCGATGTCCATATTGAGAAAGAACGAAGAAAAACCTTCTTTCGTAGCATAGGACAGCTTTCGCCGACTTTCAGAGAGCGAAGTGTTGCGCTGTGCGCCGCGTTTCGTGGAGGTGGGAACCTGAGATCCGGCGCGAAATCCCTTCGCCGGGGTGCTGCTCGTGCTCGCCGCCGACAGACTTCTGCAGAAAGTGATTCGGATGAAAGATTGAACATACAGTAACGTCAGGAAAGATCCGAAAAAAAAAAACGGGGTTTCGGTCACAACTTTCTTGTAAAGAATTCAATCTTTCTGAAACTTTCTGGAGTTGTGATGACGGTTATTTTTAACACTCAGAAAGTTTCAGTTCACAGAAAAATAAACGCAGTTTCAGAAACTTGCAGAAAAATTGAAATGCTTAAAAGAAACTTATGACCAAAATCGCGTTTCTTTTTGAAGACCGAAAAAGTTCCCTTATTCTCAAATCACTGTTCTTGAATACCTCCAATCTTTTTCACTATCGTCATTGTAAATACGGCGAAATTTGGAAAAAAAAAATATCGCAAAAATCATAGAAATAGAGGCTGAAAAAATGATGCTTCAAAACCTTAAAAATTGAAAAGGTAGTCAGAAACCGTATTCATTCAGAAAATCCGTTCAAAATTAAAAACTTTCAGAAGCCATCGAAAAAAATAATTGAACTGACCTTTCTTTCGAATCGTCGACAGAATTGGGGGCCAAAGTTCTGAGATAAGAAAAGTTAAGAGCAGGAAAAAATAAGGACAAAAAAACCTTTTGCGATTCAAAGCTGCCATCATGGGAGGCTGTCCGTCAGACAAAACACCCGTCAATTGCTCGTTTTTCAAGGTGACAAACACAGAATTCGCTGAAAAATGACAGTTTTTTCTCTGTTATTGCAAATTTTTATGATGATAGATGGTTGTAAAAGCAAAAGGACAAGTTTCGCTCTTAATCATCATCTAACTACAAAACTAATAAGAAACTTTTTTTTAAAGTTTAGAGTGATCCCTATATAGTTAGGGGGAAAAACAGCTCCTATAGGGATCGAAAAAGTCGTCCCTATAAAGTCAAAATCAAGGTGGTCCCTATAGAACTTGAGGGTATGACCATTTAGCCTCATAAACTTAAGTGGTCCCTATAGGGATCGTTCAATTTTATTCAAAAAAAAATGGTTGGACATGTCCCTCATAGAGGCCACTAACTGAAAATCTTTATAGGGACCAATTTTGAAAGCTTTAGTGGACCCTTATAGGTGTTGGTAAAGTGTCCCTAAGGTGCCCCTATAGGGACCACTCTGGAGTTCCTAAGTTCCATATTTGTATTCAAAATTTCAATTTTCTTCAACATTTTGATTTTTAAACTTTAAAAGAACATTTTATTCCAATTTTCAAATGCAGAAACACTCAACTGAATAGAAAAGAAGTTATGCTAAGAAAAAAAAACCGAACAGAAATAAACTCACGGCCGGCTTTACAGACGACTTGCAGCTCAACCAAAATAGTTGTCCCCGGCGGGGCTTCCAGTAAACTCGTCGTTTCAGATATGTCTGAAGTGTCTACACCACGAGTTAGTTTCACGTTTGTACTCGCATCTTTCTGAAAAAAAAATTGAAAAAATCGATTTTTGTCGAAAAATGGCGATTTCTCAGCAGAAAAAAAAAGTCAATACTTCTATTTAATTTTCTGATAAACCTGGTCTTACTGACAAGAGAAAGATTGAATATGAACCTTGGCTTTTTTAGGAAGATAGATAGCTTCAACGGGCAGTTTGCAGGGATTTTCCTCGCTGTCCGTCAAGCAGGCCGTGATAGCCATGGTGGCCAGTTGGTGGCTCGCCCGCTTCGACCTCCCGCTGCTCGGAGGCTCCAGGAAGTTCTTGCTTCCTTTCTCTGTACGATCTGCATCATAAATGAGTACGAGAAGTGGAGGCGTTATTCACAAAATTCGTTCAAACACACATATAAAACTATTTCCAAAAAGTTAACTCACTTTCTTTTCTTTTCCGCCCAGAAGATTGTTTGGTGTCGAAATCTTCCGGGCTGTTTCTGAAAACGAAAAATTACAATCAAAACTAATGAAATTTACGAATAGTTAGAAACTCACGTTGATTCTCCATTTCTGAACTTCTCACTTAACCCAACAGTGCTATTTTTCTGACCTCGTGAAAGCTCCTCTGAGACATGAAATTTTCAAAAAACAAAAATTTTGATACAAACCTTGTGAATTGGAAGGGTTTGAAGAGTAACCAGAAGTTCTCGCTTCAGGAGTTTTGTGGCGATAGGTATTAGGTGTCGTATAAACATTTTCTTCTTCGATTTCTCCTTCCTCTTTCGTGTCATCTGAACCAACGAAAAACTTTGCTCGTTCACACATCCAGAAAGTGTATTTTCGGCTACTTGATAAAAATACGATACTGCACATCAATAAATGCACAAAATTCATCTTCGTGGAGCAACCGCAAAAATTCATTTTAAACCAGTATTCCTATATAAATGGTAATAAAACTCAAAAATAATCCTATTTTACAACAAAAAAAGTTCACGAGAATTCATGAAGTTCTACAACAAAAACTAAGAATCGATAGTTTGAATGAACAGATACGTAATCAAAATCAATATTCAGTCCAAGTTTAAAGTGGTAAGAATTGAAAATTTCTACCTGTCATAGATATTGTGTTTGCTGGGCTTGCCACTGAGGAAAAAAACTTTGAAAAAGAACTTGACGACGCCGGTTGGTATCCAGTTGCTGTAAAACCGATGAGGTCAGAAATAGGACAGAAGTTTTAAAATGAAAACCTGTCGGTATATCTTCGTCGGCATTTTCATCGATTCTTAACAGCCCTTCCTCATCATCCGACATTGTCTTCCAATCGCAAGCTTCAAAAAAGCAAGGTTTTCGAAATAATGTTTGAATAATTATCAAGATTCAAAATAAGACCACGAAACAGTATGAAAACCTGATTTTCAATAAAAATTTCGCTTCTCTGCTATGTTATGCCTCTCATGATATTAATTGAGTCTTCAAAAATGAACTTTGAGCAAAAATAATCAATAAAACAGTTTTCCTGTTGTCCGTGACGCGAATAAAAAAAAAGATATGCTGATCGTTTTAGGACCCTTTCTTGGGCGCGTATATTTCGCGCGCTAATGCGAATTTTGCTGAGTTTATTTCTTATTAATTTATTTTTGTTTAAAAGGAATTTCACGTTCAAAAAGTTACTTTCAATGCTTTCAGGTGGCGTTCCCATGATGTTTTAGAAGTAAGTGACGATTCTGGTAGCTTTATATCAATCTCAAATTGCGAAGTTATAATATTTTAAATACATCATTTGATATTTTAGTTTTAGATGGGTGGAAGAAAGTCGAGTAAACGGAATAAAACAAAAACTAATACTATCAATACAAAAAAAGGAAGCGAGAATTCTAAAACGTCGCTGCTACGAGGTTCTGGCGTTTTCGAGTAAGTTAAAGAGCTTACCGTTTTTTTTTTTGATGTTTCAACTAAAACTCTCATTCAGATTCTCTAATGGAATGAAGCAAAAGCTTAATGAAGCGGCTGTTGACGTTAAAGAAAATATTCCAATTTCTCGAACAGCTTTAAATACAAAACTCCCTGAAGACGTTAACACTTTTCCGAGAAGGAAGCGTCGATCTTCTCAGGTTCGTATAACAGGGTTTTACTGTTTTCTGATTCTGTAAAGTTTTCACTATTAAGCATTTTACAGTGGAAGACTTTTGCGAAATATTGGTTTTAGGCGCGATTGTGATAATCGAAAACTTTGAAATCATATTCAGCTTTATAGAAGACGTAGTCGCTTTTCAAGTTTGGTAAAGGAATAGTCTCTAATGCTGTTTATGATAAACTGAACATCCTTTTTCCCATTGATTCTATTTTTTGCATCGAAAATTTTGAAGACGTAGAATTTTCGTTTTCTCTACTGCTTTTTTTATTCCTGAAAACCTCGAAACTGCTCAATTGCCGTTTTCCAAGTAATTTCGCGGAATCAAAATATATTTCTAGATTTCCAAAATTTAATTTTTTTTATTGAAAAAAATTTTTTTATTATTCTTTGACGGGTATTTTAAATTTAGCGGAATCAGTTTAATCATAGAAAATTTCTTATATTTTTGATAACTTCAAACTAAAATTTAGTTTAGAATACGAAAAAAAGTATATATTATATATTTGCTCTACAATTATATTGTTTTCAGATGGGCCCAGCTCCTAAAAGACCTTCAATAGAGAAGGAGGAGGAAGAGGAAAGCAAGATAATCGGAGATTCCCTTCTTCAAGCTGTGAACAGCGTAAAAACGACTGATTCTTCTTGTTCAAGTAATTTCTTCCATGTTGAATTCGAATTTTTATCAACTGCAATAATTTTTTCAGCATCCAAAACGAAAGAAATAGTCTCCAGACGCCGCCCACCTAGTCGTCCTTTACCAATTGTTGAAGAAGACGAGGTTTTGAAGATTTCTCTCACATATAGTATGATAAAAAGTATTTTCTGTGTTTGAAAATAACGGCGAATTTTGAGCGAACGGCTTCTTATAGTTCTGAAAAGGCGTGAATTTAATCAGATAGCCTTGATTTTTCTCAAAACTCCAACAGTTTCTTATTTTTCAAAAAGCAAAAAAAAGGGGGACAAACAATGTATAAATGATAAATAGAATCAAGGACATGGCAAAACACTCATTAAAGCAAATTTTCATTTGAATGTTTAAGGTTTTCTCTGGAGAAAACGAAGATTGTGTAGAGGAAAGGCGTGAAGGACTCTCGTCCAGCTTGAGCACCGAGGATGTTGAAGAAGAGCATCTGGAAGATGAGGATGACGAACCGCCTGGTCACATTTTTTTTCCTTTTCAACCAATAAATTTGCTTTCTCGTCTTTCAGAACCTCTACAGAACCCAAATTTCGAAAAAATGGAACGCGCTTTGAACGAGGAAAGGAAGGGCGAAGTTCTTTTCGTCCCACCTCAACTCTCCCGAGTTCAGAGCTACGGTTCTCCCAAAAAGGTGACCTAAAATGAGATTTCCCCTATGGAAAATACGCTCCCCAGGTCTGGTCGCTTTTGGTGCGTCGTGATGAAATTCCGAGGCCGACGCAGAATCTGATGAGAGATCACCCCCAAATGAGCCCCAACACGAGAGCCGTTCTGGTCGATTGGATGATGGAAGTGAGTATTTCAGTTATTGCTCTCCACGCCGTTTTTGTTAGTGGGAAAAAAAAACCAAAAATGAAGAAAGCGGACCCGAAACACTCATGTGACGTCATGTGAAAAAAGCGTAAACAGCAGGGAATATTAAAGGCGCATGTCCAATGGGTCATGAGACGAATCTTTTTGTCATTTGAAAAAAAAAATGCAATTTTTCTGTTGCTGTTTTCAAAGTGATTCCGCGAAATCCAAAATAGCCGTTAGAAAGTGAAAAATGTAACGGAATTTCGGAAATTCAGAGAGCATTTTGAACTTTCCGAAAATTACTTTGAACACGGCATGTGCGAGAGCGTCGCGGTGCATGCACACGATACACTACACTTTGCGGAAAAATTTGGGCGTGGTGTCGTCAAAAAAACGCCGTGCCTCCATATCACAAAAGACTGAAATGATCATTTTTATTCGATCTCAATTTTTTTTTTCCAATTTGAGGTTTGCGAAACTGAACGACAGCATCGTGAGACGTTCCACTTGGCGGTTGATTACGTAGACAGATTTTTGGAATCAGGAATCCAAGAAGTCACCCCGAAAACCTTCCAATTGGTCGGAACCACCGCTCTGTTCATTGCGAGCAAATACGAAGTTGGCGATCTTTTATTCGCATATTAAGAAACGTTTCCTTCAGGAAATTTATCCACCCAAATGCCAGGAATTCGCAGGCTACACGGACGGTGCCTTTTCATCACAGGCGGTTTTTTTCTTTGAAAAGTAGAAGTTTGACGCAAAATAATTTTTTAAGGTGCGTCAGATGGAAACGATAATGGTTCGGGCACTCAATTGGGCCCTGTCCTCCTTAACTTCTGTTCATTGGCTCGCCACTTACATGCAACTGCTAGGGAAAAAAGAGGTACGTACAAAAATCTTTTAGCGAAAAATATCGAGGCGAGTTTTCGTCTTTTGCTGCGAAACAGTACAAATTGTTGCTTGTGAACAGTTTTTTGCATTTCGGAGCAAGTGACATTTTGTTCGATGCCACAAAAAAAATGATACGATTCTCCTCTTATAGCTGATTCACGGCTGGCTTGAACCATTAAAAAAAGGTCCTGAGACGATAAGAAAAGAGATACTGAATGGTCTGTGGAGAGCGCAGACAGGCTTTTTGTGTCTCAAGCTACCCATGAATTGGCTATACTCCTTGGTCTTCAAAAGCTTCAATTGATTCAATTAGCTCTCTATGGGACAAAGTTTTATTTTTTCGAATTTTCATCATCCAAATTAAGGTGGAACAAGAGTTGTGTGGCGACGAGCATATAGTTGAAGAAAGAAGTTCGATCCCCAACTTTATGCGCGAAGACTTTATCCACATGGCAAAGGTAAGATGAAAATGTTCAATTTCCTTTCTCAGAACGCTCTTAAGATTCTCGATCTTCTCCTCTTGGATACGGGTTCCTTCAAGTTTTCCTACCGCACCGTGGCTGCTGCCGTCCTTTTTGCGTGCTACGAACCTCATCGCATGGTCGAACAAGTCACAGGTTGATCGTACATTTATTTTTTCAATGAAAAGTATAGCTGATTCACGGCTGGCTTGAACCATCAAAATAAAAGGTCCTGACACGATTAGAAAATAAATAGTGTCTGGTTAGTGGAGAGCTCAGACACGTCACGCCCAAGTCAGCGGTGAATTGGCTATATCTGTCTTTTTAATAGAACGATTATTTACCACTTTTCTATTTCAGGTTATAGCTACGAGCGTCTATACTCGGCTATTCAATTTGTCGAACCGTATGTTGCGGTTTTAGAAGCCCGTCGACTACCTGGGGATCCTCTTCCTCAAGTTGACAAGGTTATTTTCTCATTATCTCCTTTATCTCGTTTTTTATCCAACCTCAAATTTATTTATTCTCGTAAAATTCACACGAAAAAAACTAGGAACAAGAAGAAAAATAAACTACTTAGAAAATAACCTCATTTTTTCCCAGATTCCGTCGAGCGAGGTTCATCGTTATCAGACGCGGATGGATTTCGATGGCCTTGACGATATTATGGTAAAATATTATTTTCTCTCGAAGCATGAAATAATCGGTAGTGCTTAGGAACTCCAGAGTTATCCCTATAGGGGGCAACCTTAAGGACCCCTCTGGGGACAACTGAAGCTTGTAAAAGTGGTCCCCTTAGGAATTTTGGTAGTGTAGGGCGAATTCTTATCGATAATTTTTATGAACGCCATGGGAAGCATTTCCATGCCAAAAATTAAATAAATGAGCGTTTTTGGTCTAAAAATTGAAAGACCCCTATAGGGGCCACTTAAGCTTTAGGGCTGAGGGGTCAGAACAAAAAAAAATGGGGGCTGTTTTTTCCTCTAACTCCTCGGGGCCACTCTGGAATTTATAACGCTCCGAATTCCGGAGTCGAGATTTTTTTCAGATTTTTTGTATTTGTATATTTCTTTTTCCTTTTGCTGTTGTCTGTCACAGGGAATAAGACCTCATTATTTGAATCACTTGGAATCACTCAGATTCACCGAATATTTTTTTCAGATTGAAAGAAAGCCACTTTTTAAAAGTTAAGACACCCCAGATCTAAAACAAGCTTTTTATCTTTAACTTTTCTCGAACTTTCGCTGTTAAATCCTTCTTTTTTTGTTACTGTAATTTTTCTACTTAAAGGTCTCACTCTGAATGTTCTAAAAACTGATGAGTTTACATCTTGATCACGACGAAAATCAATCATTCTTTTGCAGCGTCTGGTGGAAGAAGAAAGAAAAAACCGCGTTCCGTTTCCGACGCCGAGAAGGGTCCTCCCTACTGGTTATTCCAACTTGGCTTAGACCTTCTCACGCTGCTCTATCACATTATTATTCTCTACAAATCTCAAATTCCTTACATGTCCAACAGTTTCCGTTTTCTATTTCCCAGAATTACAGGTAAAAAAAAAACGCTCTTTCATCTTTTTTAATCCCTTGTATAGAACGGGTACTTATTCTTTCTTAACTGGCACATCCGTGCGAATTTTTTTATTCTGGTCATCAACTAAATCTGAAGTGCTAAACCAAGTTTGCTCTATCCTTTTGATCTATTTTGTTTGACTCTATATTTACGTGTTTGATTTGGAAGTTATGTTCCTGAAGGAAATGCCGCGGGTGTTACACTACTGTATCTTTCTTCTTTCTTTCTTTCTGTTTGTCTTTGTCAAGACCGCATTGTACCATCATATTCACGCATTCTACTCGAGTATCGCGTTTCGGAAGCGAAACCGCTGCTGTTCCATAAATTTTCGATATCGAAAAAAGCTTCATTCCGGCTTAAAAGACAAGTTCGAAGACTTTTGCTGTGTTGAACCCGTAGTGCTCTCGGATGACATATCCAGGAAGCGAATACTCGGCCACTAATCGTTTTTCGAATTTTGTCCTATAACTGAAAGTTTATTGCTTGTACAACCTCGACGATTAAATATATTTCAAACCTCTCAAGACTTCTTTTCTCTGTTAGAGGGTGACGGTCTGGGTCTCCAACGAAAACTCGAGTACCCGAAGATTTTTGTGACCTACAGTTGGTTTTTTCGTTTCATAGTATTAAGGTATAGTTCAGATTTTTAATGTCAAGTGCAATGACGTCATTTAAAAACACTGCGGATGCCTCGCTCTGATTGGTTTATCGCACCATTATGGGCGGATCTTGAGCGACGACTTGACATTCAAAATCTGAACAGACTATATATGTACCTTTTTAAGAACGCAAATAACGAAGCAGCGAAGTCACTGTCGTAGAACATATCCCCCAGGATAATGAACTTCTCTTCATCCTAAAAATCATGTTCAGCTTCTTATAGGCTTCTAGCGCACCGATTCGGCGAAAAAATTTTTGACCACTAGATCCTTTTCAAGAAGATTTTCTTGCGAGAACGAGACGTTGTTCACAGAAACGCCGTTCAATCGAAAGTTGAGTAAAGTTGCGAGAAGCGCATCTGAAACATCAATATCAGAAGCCACCGGTACGGCTTCGCGAACATTGGTCGATGTCGTTGACCAGGACTCGGCTGGCCCCGACCAAAGAGGCGGCAATGCTCGCGGAGCCGCAACCGGCCCCAAAGTCGATCACGTGTTTTCCGCCGAAAGTTTTCCGGTGGTCCAGAATGAATCTGGAATGGAAACAACGTCAGCGGGGTGCGATCTCAATGAAAAAGCAGAAGTTCACCTGGTCATGGCTTGTCCGCCAGGCCAGTAGAACGCCCAATACGGGTCTGCCATGGGACACGCTTCGGGAGTGCTCATCCAAAGGGGACTTGCGATCGTAATCAATCTCAGCTTCAACTCCGGCGTCAAGCTTTCCGTTGAAATCAAGGTATTCTTCATAATCCATCTGGCTGCTTTCTTATCAATCCTTTTAACAAGGGAGGTCATTTCGCTGAGAAAAAATATGGTTATTTTCTGTTCCAGTTGAGGATCCTGATAAGATATTTATTCAGACACGTCAAGGGAATATCCACCAAACATCCTTATCTGATTGTTGGAATCTACTTGGAACAACCATAGCAATGTGTAGAATTTCAAGTAAAAAACCAGAAAAATTTTATTCTCACTGGTTTATATAACAAAGAAAATAACAACAATTTAATCAAAGAGACCGAAGCCCATATCCTCGTCTGATTCTTCTTTGACTTCTTCCTTCTTCTTCTCTTCAGCTAAATTTAAACTTGGGTCCAAAAAACGCTAGCGCCACTGACCTTTCGGAGCTGCCGCACCTGCGGAAGCAGCAGCAGCGGGGGCAGCGGAGCCACCACCGGAGGGGACGGACGAAAGCTTCGTCTTTCCTGCCGCGATAACTTCAGAAATTGTTTTGCCCGAAAGAGCAGAAACGACTTTGTTAGCATCATCCATGTCACAGTCGAGACCTCCGGCTCCTAAAAACGTGACTTAATGATCCAGGAATCTAATTGCAAACGTTTTTGAAAAATGGGTAAGCTAGTATCAATTTATTAAGACCACGTATAAAATTTTTAACAAATCGAAGATATTTCGTGTGAAGATTTAATAACAGGTCAAAACACCCATGCCAATTCATTTATTACGGGAGCCTTGTTATCAAATCTACTGCCGTGTTCAAAGTGATTTCCAGAAAATTCAAAATTATCTCTGACTATCCAAAACTTAGTTTTCTTTTTCTTTCTCTGACGACTATTTTGGATTTCGCGGAATCAATTTGAAGACGGCATAACTTGACGCGCGTAGCGGAAGTTTTTCTGGTTCAAAGGCTCGATTGGGTGCTTGCGCCTTTTTGGCAAATGTTCAATATAATTTATAACTTCTTTTTTGTTAAGTAACAGAGCCGACAAATAATGCTGTACGAGCCTGCCGCGTTTCCCTGCGATTCGGGCTAATTTTTTTTAACGGGAAACACTGTTTTACTACGTCAAAACAGGTTTAAACGCGGAATAAAAGAGCGAAATGAAATTTTATAGTACGAAAAAATCTCGAGTCCGTGTACGTAATTCTCAGAGCCCACAATCTTGGAAACCAAAATACCAAAACCTTGATAACCACAATCTTAAAAAGCTAAAGCTCTCATTTATGTTTTTTTTTCTTCTTATATACTCTCTTGCTTCGCTTCGATCACCGAACACAATTTCTTGTGACATCTCTTTTGTTTTTCAAGATTGTGGTTCCAAAAATTCGGTTTCCAAGATTATGGGCTTTGAGATGTGCTTACACAGGTTTACGGTCCATTCATAGTTTTGGCTTGTTTACTTAGTTGAAAAATAAAAATGATAGATGTAAATTCGCAAATAAGACAGAAGTCAATAAAAAATATTTCTCAGGTTGCTTAAATGACGACCTGGGTAATATCAAGAACAAAACCATTAAACGCTTCGGCAATGTATGGCGTCGCGGCCACTCCATCCGAAATTTACTCATTCGGATTCAAATTAATAGCGGGTAAACTATCCCTAACATTTCTAATGAACTATCGTCAATAAAGAAATGATTTTTTAAAGGGAAGCACATAATGAAGTAGTATAATTAATATAGTCAATGTTTCCCGACTTGAAAGGCGAAAGAGGCGGGGCAAGGGGCGGGACGCGTAACGTGTGCGTTCGCGGTTCTTGGCACGAGTTCAATTCAATTGTCGCCGACTATTTAAAAAGCTCGGTAACCGCTCTTTTTTTCAATGTTTTTCTACTATTTTTTTGATGAACTCATGAACATAATCAATAAATAATTGAAAAAAAGGAGTGAAAAGAGCGAAAAAAACAGGATTTCCAAAGAGTCGATGGCGGTTAAATTGAGCTCGTGCCAAGAACCGCGTACGCACACGCTACGCGTTCCGCCCCCTGCTCCGCCTCCCTCGCCTTTCAAGTCGGGAAACATTGACTATATGTAGATTATGAATTTTACGAAATACACATGTAGAAAAAGAAAGTAAGAGAATTCATTAGAAAAACTTTAAAAAATTTTTTTTTGAATGAAAATTGGCGCCATCAACAGGGTTGTTTGAAATATGATTTTTGAAATCGAGATCTCGTCTCGAAATAATTCCAGATTTCATGCCGTGTTCAAAGTAATTTCCGCGAAATGCAAAATGATCTCTGACTCTCCAAAATTTAGTGATCTTTTCCTTTCTCTAACGGGTATTTTGCATTTCGCGGAAATTACTTTGAACACGGCATCAAAAATTGCAATTTCCACCAATAAAAAACGACATTTTCGTCTCGAAATCGTCTCAAACAAAAAGAGAATTGGTCTTGCAAAATCGATACATTTTAAGACGTAGGAGATTTACCTCGATCTCGTACAATCCTGGCGGTTGATGAGCACGTTTTTTTTTCTTAGACATAATCCGTCTAACTGCTAAACACACCATGACAGTTCGAAAAAAAGCTCAAAACAAACATATTCGAATGACCTCATGAATAAAAGAATTGATATGTGCAACAGTTAAATTTTTTAAAACTAATTGTGTTGTCCGAAGAATTAAAAAAAAAGGTTCGAAATACCTAGGATCTTGAGCAGATCTTGAGCGGAAGGAGAGTCGTTGCCTCCGAGGCTGGCGAGCAGATAAGCCCCCAAGTATTTCATCTCTGCAATTTGATCTTGACGCATTTTTATAGCACATTTCCAACAACAAAAAATTCACATAGTCGAAAAGAGTATGGATACAAAAAACCAGAAAGAAAAATTTTTGATATTAAGTTCTGTTTATGTGATTAAAACAGTATAATATAATCCACGCAACATAAACGAGAAAAAAAAGACTGAACAAAAAGAGAAAATTGACAATCTGGAAAAAAATTTGTGTTTCCGTGAATCCCTATGGCTTTCTTTTTCTTTTTAACTCATTTAGTTCAAAATAGTTTTTTTTTTCAAATCGCTTTCAATGTCACGTTCAAAGCTGATCTGACGCGCGCAGCGAAAGTTTTTTTCTGGTTCAACGGTTCGAGTCGAAACTCAGGGGATTCCCAGTGTGATTGGACGGCTTCGCCTTGTTGGTAAGAGTCTAATGTTTATTTCCTTTCTAAAATTTTTTTTTTTCTTGCCAAGTGAGCGAAGCCAACCACGCTGTGGGAAACTGTCGCGCATTTTTCTATAACTTTTGAACGAGAAAATATTAGCCACGCGCGTCAAGTTACCTTTAAACGCAGCAATATAAAAAATGAGTGCACTTCAACGTGAACGGCGATTTACAGAAAAACAGATAAGATGAAAAAGCTTGAGACGATAGGAAAATATGATTAAGTTCGAAATATGCTTCTAATATGAATAGAAAATAATTTAAAAGGTGAAAAAGCCAAGAAATGTTTATTTTCGAATACCTAGATTGACTTTTGAAAAGTGAAGTAGGTTGAAATAACGCCGTGTTCAAAGTAATTTCAGGTATTTCAAAGTTGACGCGTTATTCATTAGAATTTATTTCGCAAATGAGGCAAAATTAGATTTCCGAGAGCTGTAAAAAAAATGGGTACCACAAAGATACATGGCGATATGCAACTTTTCACGGTTACGTTTACGTGCAAATTTTAGAATTATGTAGACACTTTCATCAAAAAGTTCAAATTTGCACTTAAAAATCACGAAATAGTTGTAAACATACAATGCATCTTTAGAAAAAGCCGTTTCGTTCTACTTCGTCTTAGAATCACTGATCGTTGATACCCGAGACGCCATTATAGATAGCACTCCCAAAAGTCTCCTCTTGGCGCATTCCGCGTGCGTGCGCGCGCCAATTCAAATTTTGTCTCTTGAACTAGATTTACAGGCTTCCAGTATATGGTTCTTTTTTGTATAATTTTTTTCTTGCATTAAAAAAACATCCAATTAATTTTTACCCGGGTATCATATCTATGATAACTGGATATACGAGGCAGAGTACCTGAAATTTTTTTGATTGCTACCGAGTAGCCTGGAAATGCTTCCTAGGTTTTTTTATTATTATTATTTTTTTAGTCACTTCGGTTTTCTAATTTTTTTATTCATTTTGTTTTCAGACTTCCTTTGAAATTTGTATAAGCTGTACACGTTGTTCTCCATTCGCTCATGAGAAACGAAAAATGAATTTTCAGCAGCACATTTCCTTATCATGCGAGGAGCTTTGAAAAATCGTATCTCCGCTCAAAAACTTTTCCAAAAAAAAAATTTTTTTCACGGACCTGCGCGGCATTTTTTGAGAACAGATTTGGAAACAGCATGAAAAACTTCATTTAGTGAACTGGGTTTCATTCTGAAATCCAACTGCGACCAGACACCATTCCCTGGGCAGCTAGAGCTAAAATTTATGCTCGACGTCTCATGATGGACACGTTATGGAATATTCAAGATTCATTTTAAGAGGTATATTTGTGGGCACATTATGGTACCTTCCCCATTTGCCTGTGCAAGTGAGTGAAGGCGAAAATTCGAATTTGCGCTAAAACAAGAAAAAAAACTTTCTTAAATAAAGTTAGATTCGCTAAATGAGTCAATATTAAATAAAAAGAAAACTGGAAATGAATAAGTAAGAAAAAAATTATACAAAAAAACAACCATATACTGGAAGCCTGTAAATCTAGTCCAAGAGACGAAATTTGAATTGGCGCGCGCACGCACGCGGAATGCGCCAAGAGGAGACTTTTGGGAGTGCTATCTATAATGGCGTCTTGATACCCGCAATGTGAGTTTTCTAGAACTCTTCCAGCTTTAGAAAAAAAAAAAAGAAAAACCGGTCGCGAAAAATGTATATGAAGGTTTTAGAACTTCCTTAATGGAGTAGAAAAAGAAAGCTATATGAAACGCAAAAAAATGAATTAAAAATAATTACAAATTTCATTCAAACGAATACAAAAAAAACTTTCGATTTTTTCTTCAAATTCAAAATTAACCTCCGAAAACTTGACACATGATTTCAGATAAAAAATAAACAAGAATGGAGCTGTGCAGACAACTTTAATAATGGAAAGAAAGCCCAACAAATGGAAAAAAAAATTTTTTTCTGAAAAAAATCATGAAAAGAATTAAATGTATATATCAATTCAAGCAGAAACACATGAAGCTCAGAATAAAAAAAAGACTTCAGTAGTATTTTTTTTTCATGAATAAAACTTGGGAAATAATGAAAATAGAAAAAATTTGATCAACGAAGGAGTGTAGGGTTACGGTAGAGAAAATTTTCGTGTACAAACAGGCAAAATTGAAATATAATTTAATTTTGTTCTACGCTGTGTTTATAATAGGAAGTTTGTGTTTTGGTTTTTCTGAAAAGTTCCGATGTCAACAAGCATATCATATAGAGAAAGCTTTTAGAGATGCTTGCAGTGCTTTTCTCAAAAATAGTGAGTTTCACTGAGTGCAATTTCGCGGATGGCTACTACAAATACCATCAAGTTTGATACTGTAAAACATACTGGAACGAAGTTCGATGAGTGGAATTATGATATTCAAAACAAATTTAGACGGAAGAAATCGAGATTAGGTTCGGGATCAATGCTGCCGCCACGCACCCGTACGCGTCGCGGTCGCGTTACGACTGTGAGCGTACCCTTGCCCTTAATATACTTAAATTAGCTTTTACTTTTTAAATTGGTCTTTATCATTACTGATATGAGTAGATCAATAAAGGCACCAAGAATAAAATAAATTTTTCAAAATTTTTTTCTTTCCGTTGAAATAAAGGGGGGTTTTCACTAAAGTGTTTCATATTGTAGATCATTCTTCACATGATAATTTCAGGAAATAGGGCATTCTTCGGTTAAAGTGAAAAGGCCAAATAGTACAATTTGTACCGGGGAGGTCCGCCTTCAGTTAATTTATTTACTAAGACTTTTTTTCAAAAAATATATTCACGGTATTGCCCAGATATTGGTTTTTATAAAAAAAAACACTGTTTTCAAAATGTGCTGCGCTCATGAATAGACATTTTTAGTTTCTCGTTTATCAAAAGAAGATTTTGTGTTCTCAGGTTTTTTCGCCCTGTGTCAGAACATGCTTCTTAAAAAAAAGCGTTTGTTTTTAAATAGTTTCCTTGATTTCGGACCCGGTAGAATAGATTCGATTATATTAAAATAGACTTGCCCGGTTTATTATTATTTTTTCTCTCTTGTTCTACCTTACACTGACCAAAATTTCGTATCTCTCTGTGTCTTCACTTTTTCTTCATAATATTCCTTCAAACTCTTATTCAAATTTTTCGTTCGAATTTCTTCAATTTTTTTATGCTTTTTAGAAAAATTAGGTGTTTTTCAAGATTTTATCGCTTATTTTTGTGTATGATTTGTGTTATTGAGTTGCTCTAGTTTCAATGTGGCTTTTTTTGATTTTTTATATTCGAAGCAGTTCGATTTTTTTTATCGTATTGGTGTAACAAAAATATGCAAGAGGAATAGTCACTTTTTTCTTTTTTTATAGTATGAAAAAAAAAAAATCAACTTTTTGGTTCTCGCTTGCTTTAAAATATTTTTCGAATCTTCGTTCATGGTTTCTGATGAAATATCTTCTGACACAGTTAATGCTAGTGCATATCGGACACATTGTTGTATATTTTCTGAATGAAACATCTATATTTCATCGTTTTTAGTTTGTGAAAACTTTATTTATACAATCGGATTTCTTTCAGATATAGTTGGCCCTGAATGGTCGACGCCGTCGATGCGGGGAGCGTCTGCCTCATCAGCCACATCATCATCTTCTCCGTGGCCACATCCTACTACGCAAACTAGTGAGCTTTAAAGGGAAATTCGTAATCCAAGACTTTTGTAGATATACTCAACACGGAGATTGACTCTACCGCTTCGCCACGGTCATCCATCGCTCGCTCCACTCCAAGCTCAGAACCTGACCGTTCCGTTTGGGGCGCCACAACGATAATTGAGACGGTTAAGAGCACAATTGTCCCTTCGGCAACTCACCCTCGTGATGAGTTTGTAGATGCGAGCCGTGTTGAAATATCCTGCAGCGGTCAGTTCTTTTCATTCATTATTACATTTTGTTGTTTTTTTTTCTAGTTATTAAAGGAAAAGGATTTGACTGATTTTTCTTAATGCCGTGTTCGAAGCAATATCCGCGAAGTGCAAAATTAACTATTCAAATTTCAGTCATTTTTTCTTTCTCTGACGGCCATTTTCAGTTTCGCGGAATCACTTTGAACACGGCATAAAATAAAATAATTGCATTTTCTTCTTCAAAATGATGCAAAATAGGATTTATTTTGGAGAGTCAGATATAACTTCAAATTTCGGCGAGTTAATTTGAACACTGCTTAAACCAAGATATCGCAACAAAAAACTAAAAAAAAAATACGGCTTATCAGAATTAATAAAGTTTTGGACATTATGCCGCCTTCGAAGTAATTTCTGCAAAAATTAAAAATCTGTGACCCTCCAAAATTTAGTTTTCTTTTTCACTCTCTGACGGCTGTTTCGAAAAATCACTTCGAAAACGGCAATAAAATTTTCAGCCTTGAATCTTGTCTGAAATTATCTAGATTTGACTTTTCTTCTATTTTTCAAATCCACGTTTTTGCATTTTTCAGGAACTCCTTCTACTAGTAAGCAACAGCCGTCGTCTTCGAAAGAATCTTCTCCACGCAAAGCTGGAGTAAAAGAAGAAGCAGAAGAAGAAGAAGGAGAAAATTCTAAAAAGGAGGATTGCACTCCAGAGAAACCTTCTCCCTCGAAAAGCGTCGACGACATCCCCAAAAAGGAAGCCGAAGGTCCTGACTTAGGTCAGGACGAGCCGAGTACCTCTTCTAAAGGTGGGTATCTTTTTCTGATTATTTGAAAATTGATTGCTTTCAAGAGGATATGACCTCTTCGTCTCGTACACCAAATCGACGGATACGGTGTACGTTTCGACTACCCCTGAAGACTGGCCTCCGATTAAAAAGGCTTGCTAGTGTTCAACCGAACACGTTGCGATCTTTAGGTGATTAAACTCTCCCACTTTTCGAGTAAATTTGTATTCGTTAAGGTCTGAGTGCAATAAAGTTGGGGGACAACGAGGTGATACGGATGGCGGATTTACCTGTCACAGCGGCCATAGTCCCCAATGTGGCAGCGACGACGACCACCACCACGGTGACGCCTCCCACCGTGACGACGTCGCAGCCGGCGACTTCTGTCCAGACGACGCCGACGCCGGCCGCTTCCATCGTCACCGTCAAACAGGAACCTCAGGCGCTTGCTCCTGCTCAGCAGTCGACAGCGCAGCCGTCTCCTCATCCCACTCTGACGACGCCAGTAGCGCAACAACCGCCGCCGGCTGCTGCTGGAGTCATGAGACAGCCTCTCGATCCTGCAGAGTATGCAGCGATGCGAGCTCGTGGCATGCCGCCAGAAGCTTTCGAAAGAATGTGAGTGAGAAAAAGTTCATTGGGTTGACCTCTGAAACAAAAAAATTTAGCGTCAGGCTTCATTTTGGAAAATTCAGAAAAGAAGATGTTTCAACATTGAACAAATAGTATTTTTATATGCGGAAAATCATATTTCTCTTCATTTCATATAGCGGATTCATGGCTGGCTTGAGCCATCGAAAATAGGGTCCTGGCACGATAAGAAAAGAGACACTTCCTAGTTAGTAGAGAGCGCAGACATTCCACGACTTTTTGCGTCCCAAACTAGCCGTGATTCAGCTATACGGTTGCTGACCTCTATGTTTGAGTTTAACGAGCAAATATCTATTCAGAAATTTTCAGGGGTTTGCCGCCCTATCATGCGGTCCCAGAAGGCATGCAGATGCACGCGATACCTGGCCACCCCGTTCAACAAGTTCAGCCCGGTCAGCAGCCGCATCCAAGTATGCTGGTTCAAAGATTGCAGCCGACTGTTTCCAGTAACAGTAACAGTCCACTGTTGGTGAATCTGCTAAGGTTTTCCCGAAATTTTTGGAACAAACCTCTACGATATGTTCTTCTCAGCTCTCAACAACAGCAACAGCTCCAGCAGCAGCAGTCTCAGAACCCACCGGCGGCCCAACCTGCCCCAGCTCAACCACAGCAATTGCCACACGCGCCCCAACAGCCAGGAACCACGGCACAAGCTGCGCCTTACGGGTATCCTCAACATGGGGCTGGAGTTGACCCCCAACATCTTGCTGCGATGCAACAACAGCATCAGGTAACACTTTCAAGCTCAAAAAAACTAAAAGTGCGAAAAACTGAAAAAAAGGTTGGAAAAGAGTTTCGTGAAGCTTTTTTTCTAGGCTTTGTGATTAGTTCAACATACACGGCCACAATCCAAAAGGTCTCAAAAAGGACTTTTGGAAGAAAGGCCTCAGAGATACTCTTTTTTTTTGACCTTTTTCTGAAAAGAACCTTCTAAGGAGGAAAAAAAGGATGAGGCGGAAAAAATGAAACAAGGAGGTTTCGAAAAACATTTCACTTCTTAGCAGCCCAAAAAGGAGCTTTAAACTCTTCTTTTTGAGGTCTTTTGGACTTTGTCTTGTATTGGCGTACAACGAAGAGAAAACTAAGGCATAGATTTTAAAAGAAAAATTTTATAACATTTTCTTTTTCATAATTTTCATAACTGTTGCCATCTTACAGATGAAAAAGAAAGAATTTCAGAAAACTGAACAAATAAGTTGTAGAGAACGTAAAATTGTATTTTTGCAAACATTATCCATACAGGACATTTTTTTTCAGTCATTTAAGTTTTGGAATGTATTCCCTGAGGTGAAAAAAAAACTGTTTCAGATCCAGCACCAGAGAATGATCCAACAACAACAAGCCGCTCATGCCGCTGCAATGCACCAACAGCAGCAAATGGGCGCAGGACCGTCTCAGCCCGCTGTTCAGCAGCCGCCGACGACTCCGACTGCCGGCGGAGGCTACTATCCGCCGCCGCAGCCAGGGACTCCGCAAAGACCGCCCATGGTAGTTATCATACATTTTTTCTCTAAAAAAGCATATAACGAACTTTCTTCATGAAGAATGATGACTTAAAGCGTGAATTTCCTTTTTTTTTTATCCCTTTAGGTCTGAGGTTTTTCTTTTAATTTTTGTGCACTGGCTTTTATTACAAATTATAATAAAAAAATGCAAACGTATTTTTCTCAAGCCACTCGTTTTCGTGATGTTTCTAGAATTTATTAGAAGTCCCAATTTGCCTCCTATAGTCTGCTCAAATTGTGAATGTCAAGTCGGCGCTCATGCTCCGCACCTCAAATCTTTGAAAGAGTTTTCTCATCTTGAAAAATTTTTGAAAGTTTCGTCTCGATATCAAAAAAAAAAGTGTCTCAAAAAATTCTGATTACTTCTTTTTGAATATAATTTGCCTTTTCAAACAGTTGATTTTTCAATTTTTAAGCCGTTTCACTTGCAAGAACACGGCTTCATAAATTTTTTTTTACACGGTTTTTTGATTTTTTTTTTTTTGAGGGACAACCAAACATCCTTATAACGATAGAAATATATGGAAGAGTGTAAAACCATGATTACAGGTGTATGGATTGGCACCTGGTCCAGGAATGTATCCTCCTGGGCATCCAGTCGCCGTCCAACGGATGCAGTCTTATCCACCGCCGGCACAACAGCAAGTTCAGCCGCAATATCGCCCCGCCGCTCCTCAAGAGGTTTTTTTCTTACCTTCTCGTTCTTTTTTTGACACGAAGAAAACGGTTTAGATCTACTTTTGGAGTTGAGACGCTTCAAATGGTTAAAATAACAGTTTTCGTCAATTTTTTTTTGTCGTTTTTTTCAAACTCTGGAGCTTCAAAAATCACGTTCTATTGGAGGCCCTAAGGTACAATTCAACAAAGTTTCATCAAAAGCTCAATAATGGGCCTAATTTGATTCTTTTTTCTCGGTCAAACTTTCATTAAACGAAAGAGAGGCTTGCAAGCACGAGAAAATGCATCGTTTTTCAAGCTATCACTGAAAAAAAGCTCTTTTTTTCTTTTCCAATCAGGAGCCTCAACCTGCACCGCCACCGAAGAAGAAGAAAAGACCGACGAAAAAGCAGCAAAAAGAGGCGGAAATGGCCGCAGCCGCGGCGGCCGCCCAACAGCAGACGCTGGCGGCGCAGCAGCAACAGCAGCAACAGTCGATGGCCGCCCAACAGCAGCAGCAACAGCAGGGCTACTACGGCGAGCGGATGATGCACCACATGCCTGTAAGTTTTCTCTTACCATCAAGGAAAAAGTAAGAATAGTCTCGGGCAGCGTCGGAATGGTGCATAATGGCCGCTGAGAGGGGAGAGGCTCGAAAAAGGCAGTAAAAAGAGTCCCTTTATTGAGCCTACCATTTTTTCTAGGATTTTAAAGGCTCCAGGAACAGTGGAAAAATGTATAGGCAGCAAAAATGGTGTATAAGAGCCTAATAGAGCAAAAAGGCAGCAAAAAAGGAAAATTGGTCACCCTGAAAGGAACATTTCTATGGAGCTTTTTTTCATCCTTCCTACTTTGTTTCTTTGAAAAAAAAAAGCGATATATCACCGTCAGCGTAATTTAAATAATTAAAAAGTCGCTGTCAGCTCGACAAAAGGGTCCTGACACGATAAGAAAAGAGACGGTGTCTGTTTTTTGCGTCCCAAGTTAGCCGTGAATCGGTTATACTTTAAATAAAATAGCTTAAAAACAAAAACTATTAGACTAAATGAGAAGAAAAAAGCTTCTAGATTGAAGCGAAAGTTCTTCGGAGTAAAGGAGTTCAGAAAAAAAAAATAATGACGCAAGTGATGTGATTTTAGCCGGCTGGAATGCACATGATGCCTGGTACACCCCACGGCTACCCCCCGGGCTACGGACCTCCCGCTGGTCATCCACATGGAGCCGTTCCTCCAGCTCCTGGCTATCCTGGCTACTCGCCGCAAAACGCCGCCGCGCAGCAACAAATGTGGCATCAGCATGTATGGAAACCTATTCTCTTTGATTATTCTTCACTGACGCCTATTCAGATGCAGCAACAGCAGCGAATGCAGATGTTTCACCAACAGCAACAACAGCAGCAGCAGCAACAGCAGCAACAACAGCAGCAGCAGCAGCAACAGCAACAGCAGCATCAACAACAACAGCAGCCAGGATGGCCTCAACAAAGGCCGCCTCCCGTCGCGTATCCTGCTCCGGGCAGTCATTCCGCCGTTCCACAAGGTTCTCTTTCTTTTGGCGATTAGGGGAGATTTTTTTCATATAAAGGTCTTCTCTCAAGATTTTTTCTATTAATTTGGTAATTATTAAATAGTTCTGGTAACAACGATTAGTATGAGACGATTTTTGGAATAATATTATTGAATTTCTCGAAAGTCGAAAAAAAAGCTTTAAAAATTGTTCTCAAAATCAAATAATTTATTTTGTTGTTTTATAGATAGATCAAATTGACTAGGAGGTGAACAAGAACTTTAGAAGCTATAACGAACAACTTGCGGTGAACTAGAAGCCCAAATGTGTAGTTGATCAAGTTGGTAACATGTTCTTACCCTCGTTCTTCTGCGCGTAGTCCCTCCAGTTGCACCTTGACGAGCTCAGAATGTAGCGAACCGTGTGCTGGAGCCCGTAGATCTAGGTGGAAGCTTCGGATTAAGAACGGCCACTTCGAGTGAAGACTTCACGAAATATAAAAAAAATCTCTCAATAAAGAACATTTCTTACAAGCTCTTCGAATTCTTCGACCTTATTTAAATTTTTACAGGAGAATATCCTCCTGAGTCTCAAGCTCATGCATATGGTGCACACGGCGGTCCTCAACCGCAAATTGGGGTATGTTTTAATCATTTGTATGCTCCTTCATTTCATTGAGTGTACAGGCGCCTTTTGTTCGTAGCGACTCGGCTGCCAGTATGTACAGCGGATTTGGAAGCCAACAACACGCTCCACAATCGGCTGCACCCCGGGAAATCGACGTTGACGCCGTCGATCAGCTTTTCGCTCCCTCTGAACATTGTGAGCTATCAATTTTGCTAGAGAACGATATAAGCTAGAGCGGGCGGATGAAACTTGACAATTCTTTCTAAGAACATCTTTTTGGGAGTGTCATTTTACTTTTATGAGGTTTTCAAGAAAATTATATAGAGCTAATTTTGCACAACAAGCCGGATTTTTTTTTTGGTCTTAAAATTTAACGACTCAAAAGGAGCAAAAATGCTGTTTTCAGAGGCTCAATTTTCGAGGAGTTTTACCAACATTCAATTGAGACAGGGATTTGAAAAATTTCGAGCTTAATCTATAAGACGATCGGTCTTGGTTCAGTTTATATCTTCAGCTAAATGTTGAGAAAAAAAAAATAGACGAAGGAGGCCGGAAAGAAGCTGTAAAGCAGTCACTTGAGCGACGCTTGGCGTGTATATCCTCTTCACATCAATTTTTTACCTCTTCAATGTAGGGGGAGATTCAATTTTCCGATTTCAGTAGCCGATCTTGGACCAGATCTTGGCGATCTGGACGACATCGAGCCGATGAACGTGCTGAGCGGCGGCGACCCGATGTTGAGCGGCGCCTCGACGCATCTCGCATTGGAATCCATCCTACCCAGCACTTCTCAGTCTCATTCCCAACAACAGAGTCAATCCACCGACACACCTACAAAGTCTAACGGCGATCATATTGGTTCGTTTTTGCTGCATTTCTGCTTCCTAGCCTTCTTTTCCCTATTTTCATGGCGCTAAACTCGTTTATCGGAGAAAAAAAAATAGTAAGAAAGGAAGGTAAATCAACCTATTTTGGCATGAAAAAAAAATAGCCAATTTTTAACTACGACTTTTCCAATTTTTTCATATCGCTAGGGAACCCCATAGATGGGCAAGTGCAGAGCCGTTCAGCCCGGGAGGAGGGTGTGGCTTACGAAAATCTTAAAAATTAGGAATAAAATCAAGTTCCAACCTCAAGGAGATCGTTTGGTCATAATAATGCAAGTTTCCGTTTAAGGGAGGTAGTATCATCTTTAGTTCAGGAAAACTTGGGAAGAAGGGGCTTTAAAAATTGTTCTGCTCATGTATTTTTTCGAATTTTTTCCCCTTTCGGTTCATAAAAGATCTATCAACATTTTTTTCCTCTTTCTTCGTGTTTTAATCATAAATCATAAACCTATTTTTATATAGGAAAATTCAAAAATGAAAAAGTTTATCGAGAAAAAAATAGTCGGAAACTTTGTCAGAAAGCTCCCCTAGCGATATGAAAAAAACTGTAAAAGTCGCCGTTCGAAATTTCGCATTACGCTCATAGAACCAAATCTTTCATTTTTTTCATAATAGATCACAATAAACTCATATTCAAAAAGCAGTTTGACGATTTACAGAGTCTTCCATAACCGAAGTTGTCGAAATGGTAGCTAGGACCGGTGGAACAACGCAAAAAGACTTCGGCTCGCAAAGAAGATCGAGTAATCCTCACATGCCTGGTACATCTAGTCCTGGAGGTACCTTTGGAAACAAATTTTAGTCCTGGAATGAAATTAGGATTTTGTTTTTCAGGGAACTTGTCTCACGAGCACAACATGAGAGCTCATGCATTTCACGGAGGAATGCGCGGAGGGATGGAAAATGGAAGAGTTGTGAACGGCCATGAACAGGTGACTTTTTTCAGTGGTTAAGGTCGTACGAATCTGAAGTTAACAATTTTTATAAAGCTACGAAGCTTTCTGACGATCAAAGATTGGATAGGTATACTCGTGGTAACATGTTGAAAATGCAATCCATCGTGATGCCTTTTTCCGATTAGTTAGTGTTGATTGGAAGAAGTAGTTGTAAGCGAATCTACTCTTAAGGTAAGAATTTCGTTTGAAGAACTATAGTTATGTCATTTTTTGAACTTGGTACTTACTAGGGAATGTTTTTCAGCCCCTTCCAGTTGATTTTTGATGAAACTTCGCTAAACGTGTACTTTAGGAACTCCTGATTGCAGAACAAGCAAAAAAATTTTCGCAATAGATTTGTTTTTCGACTCACGACACTACAAAAGCTTGAAATAGCGCTTTTTGTCATAATTCATGTACTTTTCGGACTTTGAAGCTTCATACAAAGTTTCAACGAAAGTTCAACGTTCCCTAGTTAGTATTGCAAGATATTCCTTTTTCTGAGAATTTTTGTCACTCTTTCAACTTCATTTTTTTCCCCTAGTGATATGAAAAAAACGGAAGTCGCCGTAGAAAAGTTCGTTAACTCTTACTAAACAAAAAGTTATTCCATGCGTAAGACTTTTTTCTTTTCTAGCCAAATGGTGCGCGAAGGGCACAGTCACAACTGGACCTCGAAATGGCGGACGCACAAATCGCGGAATTCGCCAAGACTGTTGGAGAGCACGACAAGAAGATCAAAGCGGCTGCCGCTGAGCAAAAAGCGAAACAACCCAGAAAAGCGCGGCGGAAAAACGAGAAAGAACCTGGGAATCGCAAGGAGGAAACCGAGGCGTTTTTTCAGGAAGGTACGTACAGAAATTATATTTTTTCGGTCAAATTAGGAGAATCGGATTCTTTTTTATACAAAATGGAATGAATTACAGAATAATTAGTCCATACTTTTTCATTCAAAACTTTCTTATCTTCATTTTTTTCTTTTCTCTGGTTCTTCTTATTCTTTTTTTGAGAAGTTGAAAAAAATAATAAAGGAGATCCGTCACTTGGCACGTTCTTTGCAATGCTGCAATTTTAAGAAAACCCGATTTTCACTTGTATCTTTTAGTTGTTGTACACAAAAAAAAAATCTTACAGATTTTATGTTTTTCAGGAGCGCCTATAGGGTACCAAAGGCCAAACATGATGAATGCTCCGCCTATGAATCAACCCCCGCAGCATCATCAGCAGTAGTCTTTTCCAAGTAATATATCCCTTGTTGTCCCATTTCTCCACTGACATTTGCAGTCTACCTTGTGGTTCTCCCCTGATGAAGATCTCGTAGATGTCGAAGAATTTGGCGTTTAACGTCGCTACTCGATCCTTCCCGATGGTTTTTCTCGCCCAAGAGGCTCTAGTCATTTCGTACGTTTTTCTTTTCCGTACGTCATTTTTTCATACAACGAAATCCTTTCTTCTTTTCTTCCCAGAGTGCTTCTATTTCATATATTTAGTTTATTACTTGTCGAGAGTGTGAGAATGCTTAAGATTGATGTTTTGAACGAAATTCCGAACAAAACAGCAGTTTTTGCTCACGATTCGTTTTTTTTTCCTTTTTACTTTTTCTTCTGGGTATTACTGATCCATGCCCGTCGAATACCGGTTCATTGACTAAATTTTTACAACTGTTGCTATATTTGAAGTCACATCGTTTGTCCTGATGATTATTATTATTTATTGAAAATTATATCCTTGAACTTCGTCGCATTAATCTTGTTTTTCATTACTTAAAAATGAGTCGTTCGGCGCGTTTTGCTGCTGGGTCGGCTTGTTCGTCTTGTGAATCGCAATTTGCTCAATTTTTCTTCCTCAACCTTCCAATCCCTTCCTTTTCTTTTCTCTTCTGAACTTCTCCCCTTTCCTTTTCCGTTGCACATCACGTATAAATAGGTTCTAGTAGATAGTGTTGAAGAATCAAGCAGAAGAGGCATAATTGTTTTTTAGGTGCAAGAGAAATGTGAACACACTGATCTTTTTCAAATGTTTTATAAGGAAATCGACAAAAAATGTTCAGTTGTTCACATTTCCAACATTTCCCGGCTCTCTCTCTCTCTTTCACAAACGCTTCTTGTTTCTAACACGCCTTGAGACAATTTGAGACTTCCCCACTAACAACTAACATTTAGACTTTTTTTTCTAAATGATTTGGATCGAATTTAAAGTCTTAGATATTGTCCAAAGGCAAACTGGCTTGTTACCTCAGTTCAGACGGCACTAAAAATTTCATCAGAAGACGAAATTTTCGTCAAAATTCTGTAATGAGATGTTTGGAAATGAATACTACGAAAAAAATAGTTCAACGCCTGTTTCTTGCCCGATAAAAGTTGAAAGCTTCCGATTAATAGGGTTGTCTGAATAGGAAATGAGCTCCCCGCACTGCATTCTACTCCTTTCTCACCTCTCTAAACTATTTACGAACTTAATCGTACTTCTATAGCTCAACTTAGTCGACTCACTTGTACTTCTCCATTTTCACACTCTGTTGTTGACCTATTCGTTGGAAGGAAGCCTTTGTACAAATTTCTCAAATTTGACTCTCGTCTATTCTTCTTAAATGTTTCTTTGAATAATTCTCTTCTTTGTAATATAGTATATAGCGTAAGTTATTATTATAAAAAGTTTTATCATACAGTTTTTTTGTTCCGTGATTTGAAACAATTATGTGGATGAATATGGTCACAAATTGGAACACGAAGGCGTAAATTGTCGTCAATATGCAAGTCATCGGTGACTCGGTTATATGAAAGAACGGAAAAAGCGAATTTATTCGAAAGATGAGTGTCTTTTTACGATTTACAAACAGAATATGCCTATTAAATGGGACCGACACAACCTATTCATGGTTCACCATGTCTTTCAATAAAGAAGTAAGTTCCTTTTTTGGTTTTTTACAGTTTCGCTCTTCGGAAGATCAGTGTCCAATAAAATTGAAAACAACATTCATATTTCTTACTTATTCTGTCATCGGATATTCAGAAATTATCATCTTTGACTAAAACCGCCACCAAGGCGGTTCAAGAACATTCGAAAAGCGCGTTGGAGGAAGAACTTGAAGAAGCCAAAAAAGACCCTAAGGTAAGCCAAAAAAATGAAGTTTATTCAGGGTCCCGCCATCTGGGAAAATTTTTAGTGGCCACTATAGTGTTTTGACGTTTTAGTGGCCTTACAGGGATAAGAGTCTTATAAGGATAAGAGTCAAGTTAGTGGTCACTTAAGGGGTTAAAAATTAGTGGCCGTTATAGAGGTCTAATGCCGTGTTCAAAGTGATTCCGCGAAATTCAAAATAGCCGTCAGAGAAAGAGAAAGATAACTAAATTTTGGAGGGTCAGAGACCATTTTGCATTTCGCGGAAATTACTTTGAACACGGCATAAGTTCTATACTAAACCACTAAAAGTTTTAGTGGCCACTTTAGGGGTCAATGGATCAACATAACTGGTCCAATCTGTTAGTTTTGTAATTATCAGAGTTACTGGAAGGAATACTGGATGAAAAACTACTGAAGTGGCCACTATAGAGGTGGTTTTAGTGGCCACTTTAGAGTCCTCTCAAATTAGTTCTTGGCGAGCCTCTACTGTGACCACTAAAAATTTTCCCAGATTGTTAGAGTTTGAGAAAAAATAAAGGTTTTTTTCAGGCCTATGCTGGAACGATTAAAGAGAAAAGGGTTGACTATGAAAAAAAAGTCGAAAAAGTTGCTTCGGCGGTCGTTGAAGACGTCAAATCTCAATCTACATGAAAACCATTTTTTTTTTTCTGTGAAAATAAATTTTTGATGAAACTTCTTTCGAATTGCAAATCTATGTCGAAACAGCATTTTATTGAGCTTTCAAAAAAAAATTTGCGCTCAAGAATTTCTGCCTTTTTGAAAATTCTAAATTCCGTTATGGTTGAAGCAGTCACAGACAAGTTTACACTAATTATTCATTTTATCAAAGTTATTTGCATTCCTGACGCTAGAATTTTTCTAATTCGAGAAGAACAAGTTCAACGAAAGAAAAGTGAAAAACCAAAAGGCTGGAGAAGAATTTTAGTGAATTTTTGTTTCCTCCTTCTAACAGTTCGAGTTCATTTGAAATAGAATGCAAAAATCTCATATATTTTTCATTGAAAGTTATTGCCGTGTACAAATTTATACACGGTAAAAAATTCAAAATTATCTCTGACGCCCCGAAAATTAACTATTTTTCACTCTCTGACTGTCCTTTTTACACCGGGTAAAATTTGATTCCGCTCAAAATAGCCGTCAGAGAATTGAAAAGATAACTAGACTTTGGATCCATGGAGAGTTATAGATAATTAATTATGTATTTCGTGGAAGTACTTTGAACGCCACTCTCCTCGAGCCGCATGTCGAGAAAAAAGAAATTATGCCCTGCCGTAACGTAAATTGGAATGTCGTCTAAATACTTTTGAAGTTGCAAACGCTGCCAAAATTTTGTCTTTTTTTTAAATTTTCTTTTCTAATCGTTTGCTTGAATATACTTTCGTAAAGCTTATGCCGTGTTCAATTTGATTCCGCGAAATGCAAAATGATCTCTGACTCTCCAAAATTTAGTGATATTTTCCTTTCTCTAACGGGTATTTTGCATTTCGCGGAATCAAATTGAACACGACATTGTCGTTCTACTAATTATATCTGCTGTCAAAGTAACGGCTGAAAAGTGTTCGGTTTTTTGTCTCTAAAATTCTCAAAATAGTTGTACTTTTTACCTTATTCTTGGCATTTTCTTAGCAATGCGTGTTTGCTTGACGTTTAATGATGCTTTTTTCTGTAAATTTATTGCTAAAAAGACTGGACCAAAGTACAAAAAACGTTGCAAATAAGTTTTTTCATTATTTCAGAAGAAAATCCTGTGACGGGCGTTTAAGAAAATGCCTAGAGATCGCAATGAATCTCCCACTCGGTCAATGAGCTCCTCGGGTATGAATTCAATTTTTCTTCTTCTATTTTATGTTTAGAACGTTATTCGAATAGAAAGAATGATGATCGACGGCACGAAAGAGAACATCGCAGAAGACGCTCACCAAGCGAAGATAGAAAATCTCGAAGACGTCGCAGCCGGAGCGAAGACCGCGAAAGACGGAAAGCCTCACGTTCACCTGTTCGTCGACGCTCTCGATCAAACGAAAGGAAACGTCGCGACAGCGGCTCGATGTGGAAGACCAAACAAGAACCGACGTCGCCATCGCCTGAGTCAGTTTGATGGAGAAGTGATTTCTCTTGCTTAAGGTAGTCACGTTTGCTTCAAACCAGAACGCTTCGTAAGAAGAGAATCAATCAATCAATATTTATTGGTTGTTTTAGTCAGATGGTATCGACTAGGCGGTGAAAAAATTGCTCTTTTGAGCGGCACTAACACCGCCTTTGGCGAAAAAGAAGTCAAAACGTGTAGTCGAATGATTTGAAAGCATGGTCTTACGGTCCTTCGCCTCGTTCTTCCACAAGTAGATCCCTCAGTTTCGCGGGTACGGGCACGGCGAGGATGGTAGGGCTCGGGCACGGACGCCGTGTACACTCTAGGGTAGCCTCGGCCGACTGAGAGAGCTACCATTTAGAGTGAAGAAAATACACGGAATAAAAATAAAATCAAGTTTTCTACGGGGAAAAAAAAAATTATTTTCCTTTGTGACCACACATCTTCCATACTTTCTGAAATGAAAAGATTTAGCTTATAATTTCAGTTTTCAGACGAACACGAGATTCGTGGTCTCGAGAAAACAGAAGGCGACGAAGTGATGAAGACGTCAAACCAGAAATTGATCGTGGAAATAAGAAATACGGGCTAGAAGAACGGGGAAACAAGTAGGAGAAAAATGTTTTTTTTTTTATGTTGAAACTGTTCTTTGCAGATGGGGGAAGCCCAACGAAGAAGTGGAAAAGAAGGAGGAACCAGTCATTGAAAAAGAGAAGGTTCATTTTTCATTTTAATAAAGTTCGTGTAGACTAATTTCTTTTGAAAATATTTTTTGAAGCAAACTGAAGGAGTTTAATTTTGTTGAAGTAAGATGCGATCTTTGGATTTGAAAAGTGCAGACAATAGAAAACGAAAGAAAAACTTTTTCTCAATTGAATTAATGAATTTTGCATATTTTTTTTTCGGCTTCAGTTAATAAAATCATGGAAATGATTTTCAACTTGAAGAAGAATAGGTAAAACTGAAGATTTTCTTTAAAGGATCCAGAGAAGCTAAAAAGGTTCCTCTAAAAGCTCCAAAAATAATGTAAAAAAGCTTTCGAGCTTTTTTTTTTTTATAACCTCAGCGGATCCTTTTTGAACCCTCTCCAAACTTTTTAGTTGCTTTACAGCATCTTTTTATTGAAGGATGTGAAAAAGATGCAGAATCGATATAAAAAAGATCTGCTAGGGACCCTTAAGAGGTCATGAGAAAAAAACTTTTGAGGAGCCCTTCAGTTTTTACCTGAAAAGATTCGAAAAAAATGGGCTGAAATTAAAAAAATTTTTTTCCTGTTTTATAAATAATTTTTTTCTTCTCCACATTCTCACTTTTAGATATCAACTCTGTTTCAGTTCAGTTAATTTTATTATTACACTCCAGTTGTTTAGGTGAACATGGCGGTGAGTGGGAAGCTGGCGGAAGACACAAACACTTTCCGGGGAGTCGTCATCAAATACAATGAACCGCCAGAGGCCAAGAAACCCATTGCTAGGTATTTCCATTGGGTTTTTCATAGCAAAATCATTTTTTGGATGGCGATTGTACCCGTTCAAAGGAGAAGAATCGATGCCGCCTCTGCACATCCACAGACAGTCGGCCTATCTGATAGGCCGAGACCGGAAGATTGCCGATTTGCCGGTCGATCATCCCAGTTGCAGCAAACAACACGCCGTCCTTCAGTTTAGGTTTTTCGTTTTTCATCAAATTTTGTTGTACATTTTTGCCAAATCGCCAGAGCACATTGACCGTTTTTACGAACACACTGGGGATTTCCAGAGTGGTCCCTATAGAGGCCCCTTTATCAACCTCTATAGGCTCCACTAAAACTTACAAAAGTGGTCCCTATAGGGGTTTCAGTCGATAATGAACTATAAGCGAAGAAGGATTGCCATGGAAAAAATGAATGAATAAGCGGGTTTTGAATAAAATTGAAAGACCTCTATAGGGTCCACTTGAGCTTTAGGGGCTTCAGGGGCCAAATCCTAAACCACTATAGGGACTATCTTAATTTTACCCCTATGGACCACTTTTTCGGCGCCTATAGGGGTTGTTTTCCTCCCTAACCCCTATAGGGACCACTCTGGATTCCCTAAGCGTTGGCAAATGTAAAGAGATTTTTCCACAAAGCTGCAGGTCAAACGTAATCATGGGAATATGTAGAAAAAATAAATAAATTTTTTATTATTACTTTCATCGTTTAAACTAATATTTTTCAAAACCAGTAACATTAAAAACTGGGAACACTGTCCAATAAAGAAAAAAAAAACATTTTAAAAAGTGGCTCCCGCCAAAAAGCCGCTTCACGTACGCAGCGCTTGGCTTCAAAACGTCTGAAAATTTACCATTTTTGCGATTTTGATCAAGGGCTACTAGTCATGAGCTAAAAAAACATGTTAAAAAAATTCTACTTTTTTTAAATTTTATTTTTTTAAAGATGTTAGAAAGTGCAGCAAAAAAATACGGTAATGAAAGTACCTAATTAGGAAAAATCTCGCAGTTGTTCATTAGCGGATCCTAACTTTTTATTGTAATATGATAGAGCACTTGAAAGCAAAAAAAATTTTATTGAGCTTCAGAGGTTAACAAGAAAAAGCTGTCAAAAATTTGCAGGTTAATTTCAATTTTTGAAAATTTTAAGTAAAACAAATTTGTTCTTGAACTATATCTGTAAATTTTAACATAGGATCTCAGCTTGCGTCATTTCAAAATTCAGATCAATGCCCTTCACTCGGCCAGACGGTTCCAAAGCAAGACGGATAATCCCTTACATAATTGACTTGGGAAGCGGCAACGGCACTTTTCTGAACGATGACAAGATCGACCCCCAGAGGCATTCAAACTTTAAGCACATTCGGTTCTAATCTCCCTCTTTAGATATGTCGAGATAAAAGAGAAAGACGTCCTCAAATTCGGCTTTTCCACTCGAGAATTCGTTGTGATGAAAGATAAGGCCGAAGAAGCTCCGGCTCAAGAGACATCAGACTCGCCAGAGTGACCCTTTTTCGTTGTTACTGTTGTTTTCTTCCAATGTAAATCTTTTTCGTCTAATAAAAATAATATGAGTAAATTTTTTACATATCATTTTAACGAAAAATGAATTATACATACTCGACATGTAGTCGGTTTGCTAAAAGAAATCCCTAAGATTCGAAATTTCCTTCCGTAGTTCCACTATTTTTTGTTCAATCACCTTTTCTAGTCATACACTTCTTTTTTTGAGTTGTAGGTCACCAAAATAAATGCCTTCTTTTCTATCTTTTCGCCCGAAACGCTCTCTAGTGTTTCCTTCTCAATGCCATACTCAACGATGCAAGAGTTGTTTAGCGTTTGTTATCCCAGGGATTGCGAAATGTTCTGAAACTCGTCTGCGAGTTTTCCCCGCGGCCGCCATCGATTACCATTTGAGAGCGTGGCTGTTGACATTATTTACGCGGACCAAATGGCCAGACTTAGATTTTTGCATTGGACTTTTCTTTTTTTCTTTCGAGGTGTACCTAGGAAAGTTGCTCAGAGCAGCTGTCGTTTGCCAGAGAACGGAGGTTCGAGCTCTGTCCTTGCATTTTTTATTTATTTCGAATTTATTTTGCACTCAACTGAATTGCTTTCCGGCCTAAAGCCCCTTTTAAAACGGTTTCATTGTTTTTTCTTTGAATGCAATTTTCCTCAGTCGTTCGCTGAACTAACTATGGCAAAACCCATTAGTAGTGGAAATCGACTTTAACTCTTTTCCAGAGCTTCTGAATGAAATGTGGTCGGTGAACAATTGAAAATGCACGGCTCGGTTGCCATGGGTTCTGTCGCGCTTTCCCAGCTCATTTCGTTTTTGTTCACCGCAAAGCCATCTCCTTCAGATGAGGAGATTTTTAGCTTGAATCTAGAAAAACTATGAAAAAGGACCCCAAAAATGTTACTAGAAAGGCGCGAAAAGATCTTTCAAACAGCCATTTCGCTACTTTTTTCAATATGGTTGGCGTCTTTTTTCAAGATTTTTGATAGCCTTGGCTTCCAGGCGCCATATTTGGGACGGTGCAAAAAAAAAATAGTAAAAATAGTAGTTGAAAAGATAAAATTTTAAAAGAAGATATTTTTTGAAGCCATTGAAAAAATGGCTCTTTCAAAGACCTCATTTTATTTCTAGCGGTTTGATCGAAAATATTTAATATGAAACAACGGCATAAGTGCGCTCTATTGATATGGACAATTTCCGCTAAAGTGACGTCATTTTGTTTGTGTTCATGTTTTTTTTTATTCAAAATGCTGTGGCTGATCAGAATTTTTAGTTTATTTTTCCTTATGCCTACAAGATTTATAGATTTGATATTGATTTATATCGAAAAGATCAGGGAGGTATCGCAAACTTGCATATCAAAAAAATAAATACTCTCAAATTAACATCCAGTTTTTGCTAGAGCCACTCAATTAAGTAAAAACATGTGCGGCGTTGGAAGTAGACTTGCTGCCTTTTTTACGCGCCATCCCTATCGATTTTCTTTTTGAATTCGTCCTCTGGAAACGGCGCCAGAAATTTGCTCGTTTCACTCTCCCAGTAAGCTCATTTTCTTTGCTTCATTCTCTTTTTCCGCTATATCGTTCTCCCCTCCGTTATTGATCTCGACTAAAAATCGTTATTCTCGCGAGAAATCTTCTTTTTTCCTGGAACTTTTCTTTTCTTTTAGAAAACTTTCACCAAAAACAAGTCATGGCTGCGTCACCTCAATTCCATTGGGATGCCCCGGACATTAAGAGAAAGTGGGTTTTTTAAATTCAATTTTTTCACTTTTTGCTTCAAATTTTACAAGTCTGAAAAATTTAATTTTTTTATTCGTCAGCGTCACGATAATTCAGATATGATCACTTCATGAAGTTTGGAGCAGCGACGGCGACCGAAATGACCGGCAAGAATTTTGACAAATGGCTCAAAGACGCAGGAGTACTTGACGGCAAAAATATCACCACTACAATGACCGGCATCGCTTTCAGCAAGATTGCGGGGTACGAAATTTCTCACAGATGTTCCAAAATTTATGCGGGTGCAAAAACTGTAGCAATTAGTGAGAATTGAAAAAGTTTTCTGCAAAGGATAATGACATTCCAATTTGCACTTTTGATTACTGCATCTCTTTGAAAACGAAAAACCAAACTAACTTTTTAAAAATTCGACATTTTCAGAGCCAAAAAAAAGACAAACTTCGAAGAAACCAAAAAGGTTATCATTGGTGTGGCTGAGGACCGAGCAAGGCAAAGCAAGCGAAGTGTTCAGGTATTATGCGACTGGGTTTATTTTATTTTCCAATTGACTTTCAGGAAGAGCTGGACGATATCACAGAAAAATTGTCAAAACTTGATACTCCGACCATAAACAACGTCATCAAGCCTGAAGCACAAGGCGTCTATAGTCGCTTGACCGATCCGAAGAAATACACCGGAGCTTCGAAAGAACGCTTTGATGACGATGGAAAGGGTAAAATAGGAAAATTATGATTTTCACTTTTTTTTAATTTTGAAGGGAAGGGAAAAGCCGGCCGCGAAGACGTTGATGAAAAAACAGGATACGTTGCCGCCTACAAGAACAAAGATACCTACGACAAAACACACGGAAACTAATAATTTAATTTATTTTCTTAAATCAACATTCGCTGCCGATCTTATTATTTCTTCTTTTTTATGTTATGTACATATTAATTTTTACTTTTCACATTATGAGCGGATAAATTTGCGTTTTTGTTTTCCGGGACTTTTTTAGAACGAAGATTCAACACAATAAAATCAGAGCTACTAGTTTATGACGTTTTTCAAATCAATAAGGATGAAAAATAAAAATATAGCGTTCGCAAAAATATTAAAACACACGTTTTCCTTCCAAACAGCCTGTATTCAATTTCGATCCAATATATTATTTTTTTCCCCTTTATCTTATAAGTAAAAAAATGTAATAAGTAAGTAAAAACGTTAAAAAAAATATTTCCTTTTGAAATTGTTAAAAAAATGACTTCATTAGCAAAGCACGAATTATTTTTTGTCCCGATATGACTTTACATGGGTAATTCAAGGGTCACAGTTTGAGACACGATGATTATTGAACACTTTGATTTGCAAATAATCGGAATGTTTTTTGAAAAGATGGATTGCCGTGTTCAAAGCAATTTCCGCGAAATGCAAAATGATCTCTGACTCTCCAAAATTTAGTGATCTTTTTCTTTCTCTAACGGGTATTTTGCATTTCGCGGAAATTACTTTGAACACGGCAGATGAAAAATTTAAAATTTTCTCCGCGAAGTCCTCCGTAAAACAGGCGCTGGGGAAATTGGACCCGCGTGGAAATTAAAGGAGCACTCCTTTACGAAGCCAAAATTTTCCGTACTCGGCTGAGTATTCGACGCCAAACCACAGGCGCCGGTCTTATGCTGCCGACAAATTATTTTTTTTTGAAAATTTTGAATTTGTTTTATTAAATTTTGATTTTCTTTATCTTTTAGGACGTTTTGGGTGACAAGGAAAGTTATTGCGAATCAAACAAAATGATTAAAAATTTTTCTACGAAAAATGCTTAAAATTTTATTGCAAATTTCAAGCCCTACATTATTTTTTGTTGCTTTTTCATTGACTACGAACTGAAATCAAAAATTTTTTTTCTCCTTCTTCCTTTTTGACATACTTTGCAAACTTCATTTCTCGAAATTTTATTGATTGTTGGATCGTTTTTTCATGTTTTCTGTTCATTCATTCTTCTCTATTTCGTTAGTGTTCTAATCACTTTCGTTTTTCTATTCTTCGCCATAGTATCATTTTTTGTTTGGTTTTTTGTTCTGAAAGGAAAACACGTTCGTTTTACTTTTTAGACAAAAACTTTCACAAACCGCAGTTGAATGAAGTTGAAAGTTGTAAGCACCAAAAGATATTTTCCAGTTAACTATTCACAGCTAGTTTCGGAAAAATTGAAATAGCTAAACTTTTAAAAAGTCATTTACTCACAACATTTCGCTGATCGTTATTATTCCTTTGTTAATTTGCTTCTCATGAGTGTTTTAGTGTATATTTTTTATCTACTTTAATCACCATATTAATGAGCAACCAAACTTTTGGAATCGATTGTCAAATCCAGAGCTTAAACTAAAAACAATTCAGTTCTCAATTGCTTTGAAAAACATTTCCAATAATATTTTGTTTTGCTTCTGCCGGTTTCTCAATTTTTAGGATTAAAATTACGTTATCATGCTTCGTAAATATAATCGCTTTCCGAATTATTCATTTTTTTTTTCAGGTAAAATGGCCCCGCGTGGCAATCAAATGTTGGGCAATGCCCATTTCCGCAAGCACTGGTCGCGAAGGGTGAAAACCTGGTTCAATCAGCCTGCCAGAAAAGTCCGAAGACGTGAGAACCGTCAGGAAAAGGCTGCAACTGTTGCTCCTCGTCCTGTGGCCGGACTTTTGAGGTATTCAAACATGTTTTAATCAGTTTTTAAAAAGAGACTTCTAAATTTTCATTTTTTTTTTTTATAAAGTGATTCTTTTTCGAAGTCCGTCTGCGCATTTTAAAACTACGAATTTTTTTTTTCGTAGTTTAAAAGTTGCGCTATATCATAGTTGGAGTGTTTGACGCATGCAAGGATTTCTTTGTATGTGATAGAAGCTGCCTAACATATTATCAATTGACAATTTTAACATTCTTTTTTTATGAAAAATGTTCTGTGTTAGTTACTCGTCAGTCAAACTGCATAAACAACGTGCTGATGGTTAAAAAACCTAGCAGACTGTTTCTAGAAGTTGATTGATATAAATTTCTTTAGATCTGTTGTTCGATGCCCTTCTCGGCGTTTCAACATGAAGCTTCGCCTTGGCCGTGGCTTTTCGCTTCAGGAACTGAAGGCTGCTGGCATTGGAAAGAATGAGGCCCGCACTATTGGTATCGCCGTCGACTACAGAAGGACGAACAAGACCGCAGAAGGACTTAAAGTTGGTTTTTTACTACAATAATTATTTAATGGAAATCCGTGGAAACTGCATTGATTTCATTAATGGCCGGCTTGAGTCAAATTTCGAGAATAGGTGAATAATAGAACGATATGATAAGTGGGAATGAAAATTAAGATAAAGGCTGTTAACAGTATCAGGTGAGGTTTTTATGTTCCTCGTTCTCAAGAAAACGGCTATAGGGTTTCTTAATAGCACTAGAGGTTAATTGGCTTACATGTTGGCTCGGAAGGGTGAAAATGAACTTTTTTCATTTCGTCCACTTTTAGAACCGTTGATTGTATCCGAATATTATTTTCGTGTCCAAAGTTATAAAACTTGTGAAAAAGAGAAACATTTACACTAATTACCTTGGACACAAAATAAAGGATTCAGCGTACGTAATCATGTTATGTGAAAAAAAGAAATCGGTCAAAGTGATTAAGCATAATATGCGGAACTGGAATGTCGAGAGTTTTTAGAAAAAAACTATTTCTACAGCAATATATCGCGATATGGTGGCTTTTAAGCGCAGAACTGAAATTTCGTTTTTTTTTTTTTTGATTGCCCAAATAATTTAAAATTTTGGAGATTCGCGCGTAAAAGCCTTCATCTTGTTGTAGTAGTTGTATTATTTTTTTTGTCATGTTTTCTGATGCTTTTCTTCAGTTTTTGATTGCAGGCAAACGTCGAACGTCTGAAGGAATATAAATCTAAGCTTATTTTGTTCCCGAAGAAGCTCAGTGCACCAAAGAAGGGCGACAGCTCGGTAAGTTTTTTTATTTTTTTAAGTTTTTTTCTAACGTTTTTTTAGCAGATTCAGCAAGTCTATTTTTATTTTTTTAACAGGCTGAAGAGCTCAAGGTTGCCAGCCAACTTCGCGGTGACATCCTTCCAGTCAGCCACGTCATCACTTATGAAGAGCCCCGTGCCATTACTGAAGCCGAGCGAAAAGTTCAAATATTCCGACTTTTGCGCAAGGAGCGTGCCGATAAGAAATACGCCGGAAAACGTGAAAAGAAGGCAAAGGAGGCCGCGGAGGAGAATAAGTAATTCTTGTTGTTGTTTTCTTCTTTTGTTCATAAATGTTATCGAAAAGATTGATAATTTTTATGCATTCACACAATATAAATAATTATTTTTATTTTTACAAGTAACTATAGTTAGCAAAGTACGCGTAAGATCAATATAATTGAGATTCTCTGAGAAACGTTAAATGAAGAAAAATGATCGAAGTTAGTCAATATGTTCCGGTGATTTGATCACGGACCTCGATCTGTTATGCACAATTGGGGAGTCATCTACGAATTCGAATCGTGGTGCACTTCCTATGGGAGATGAAGTGGTGACAGATGAACCCGTTTCGTATCCTGTAGAAGATGATACGTCGCTTATCCTCATTCCTTTTTCAATAACATAGACTTCGCGGGACTGAAATTGAATAAAATTTTTTTCTTAAGGAATGATATGACTACCTTTTCTTTCTTGTCATGGTCCACGGTCATAATGCAACAACCACGCACAAATAACGATAGCAAAACTGGAAGAAAAACTAGACCATGTAGTAGTCCCAAGCTGATGGCTAGCACAACCTTGAAAGCTTTGTTTTCGCTTCGGGCAACCCATCTAATTTTACCGTTTTGAAAAATGTAACCATCATGTAGGCTGGAATATCAGCTAGAACGATTACAGCAATAATAGTTGATAGGGCTCCTTGGAATAGAGGCCAGCCCAAGGCAGAAAGAGCATCTCTAACCCTATCCGAGGGAGTGTCTGCTGTTGAAACAACGTATCCGTAGGTGATGTGGGCAGAGTAATCCACAGAGAAACCGATCGACATAATGATAGTGATCATAGATATGGCGTCCTGAACGTTAAATATGTTTTGTTGGATTGTTGGCTTGAACTCACCAAGTTCACACCCCACAAGGTCATGTAGCCAACGACGCCAAAGTCGATGCTGGCGCAAGCCAAAGCCACCCAAATCGAGCACATCGGCTGTGGAATAAGGACCAGTGCAATCAAGATCATGACCATGAGCGCAATTATAATATTTTGGACCTGTAAAAATTTGTAAAGTTTTTTAAATTTAATCTCCTCAAACGGTGTTGGGAATGATGAGGACGTATTGGTCAGTGAATAGCCACAACGGCATGAAAGTGGTGACGTTGTACTCTGGCCAACGTGACGCGATCTGCAGAAATTTTAAGAGTAGATCCTTGGAACGTCGGAAAAAAACCTCTCTGAAGGACAACGTAGCGTCAGTCTGTTCCATGGTGGTGACGATGTCGCGCATTCCGATCACGAAGCGGAAGCTTTCGACGACGTCGGTTCCGTTCTCGTCCTTGCCCCAGTAAAGGTCTTCGGCCAGCGGATTGTTGTGTTTCGACGCAAGGAAATGGCCCAGCAGACCGTAGAAGGCCGTGTCGATGACCGGCATTTGCAGCTGATCCATGTAGTAGCTGAAGTAAAAAGTCTAGTATATCAGAATGCTTCAAGTCGTGGCCTTCTGAGCATTTTTGTTAGAATAAAAAAGGATTCTAACACATCACAACAGCTTAACAAGGACAAAAAAAAATCACCGCTCCATGTCAAAAAGCCAAAAGTCGACAGACTCGAGGCCAATCGCGTGGCGACTCGTCGCAAAATCGCCCACCATCGCGTGGATTCGGTCGCGCGTCGACGGCTCTCGGAAGTCGGGCGCGTTGTTCACCACGATCTTCAGTTTTCCAAATGAATCCAACCGCCATGAAGATTCTGACCTGTAGTTGGGCTCCATACTTCCAGAAGTACTTTTCGAGAAGGCGATAGTGCGGGATGGCATAAGAGTCCTGAACCAGTAGGTTCACCGGTTCAAGGCCTTCCTGAACAGAGAATTGGATTCTGGTGGATTTCTTGGACGCTGACCTTGATTTTCGAGCAGCCGTAGCCTGCGAAAACCAAGTAGATGACGAACCAGATCATAGCCAGAGCGCGGACAATCGGATTCATCAGCACTGGAGCGTACCTGAAGATGCAGCGTTTTAGGAGGCTTCCAAAGTGTTGAAACCATTCTCCGAAAAATCGTGCTGTCGCCGGCTCCTTGATGTCGTGAGCGGCTTTGGACTTGGGCGCCGATCCCAAGTTGAAAAGTCTCGAGATAAGGGAGACCGAGTCTTTCTTGGACTCGTTGACGGTCGCCACGACGAATGCAGAGTTCCTGCCTTGTTCTTCGAACTTGGTGTAGACGGCAAGGCACGCCGAGAAGAAAGTGATCTGCAGAGGGTACTCCTAAGCTCCAAAGGCATTAATTTGATCGACTGACTTGGTAAATGAATGTGAAGAAGATAGAGACTCCAGTGTAGATACAAAAAATTTGGACGGCGGGAATCGTCGTTATCGTGCCGACGCCGAAGGAAAGAACGTCTAGGAATGGTTTAATCGAGGGCTAGAGCTTCCCGAAAACCTGTGCTCGAAGTGATGAGGATGGAAACGGCGGCGTCAGACAGACACTCGCTCATTCTCTCTTTCGCCGGTAACGTCCGCGACGTCCGTCGCACTGCAGAGACCATCAGGAACATGTTGTCCGTGCCGACAGCTGCAAGCCCAACACACTTTCCGTATGAACAGACCAGCCTTACCGACGACAAGGAAGGGCATCACGCCGACGATGTCGTTGTAGGGCATGCCGAGCAGCGCCAGCGAGCCGATGCCCGTCAGAATGGCCATTCCAGCGCTGATGACACCTGAAAATTCTCTTCTGGATCCGCCTTGGATGGCGGCGACAAACCGAGAATCGAGAGGATCGGCTTTGACAGAACCCAGTCGATGTAGAAGGTTTTGTCGATGAAACTCATCGAGCAGGCCATCGAGAACACGACCAGAAGGGTGAAGGCGACGACGAAGCGAGGAACTGAAAAGCTCAAGTTTACAATTCCGAAGGGACTCTAGAACATATTTGACCATTCCGATTTTCTTCATTTATTCTATATCTGACTTATTGGGTTCACTGTTCAATCGGGAGGTACCGGGTAGTAACAAAGACAATCGGCGTCTGGTAATCGGTGGTCGTTTTTATGCGACCGAGTACCATCTCTATGGTACCTGAATACCACCGGAAAGGTATCGCGATGCTACCGAGTATGATTTCTGACGAACTTATGCTTTCCGATACCATGAAAGTAGCTAACGCTACCCACTACCTGCTTCAATCGTCGGATGTTGCCAGTACTAATTTTTCTCCTACTCATACGAACTCAAAGTGTCGGCGTTGCGTTTGAGCTCGTCGGCGAGGGTCTGCGAGTGAAAGTACGTAATGGAGATGTAGGGGTCCTCGGGATAATCACGCAGTTGTCGGACCATTTCCTGCAAATCCGTTTGAGATGTGCAGAAGAGCCGGCCGACTGACGTTCTCCCATTGGCCGGAGATGTAGCTCAGCTCTTCGGGATGGAACTTGAGGTGGTAGACCATGAACCAGGCGTGCGCTGAGGCCAGGATCTCGGTCCCGTTCTCGTTTTTCATCAGAGAGACGCCGCCAAGACTGCTGCCCAAGTATCCGCCTCTGAAATGGCCTTGCTAGTACTTTGCGACCCTTTCCCAGCCGTACTCGGTTCCGAATCGGAAGTAGGGGTAGGTGATGTTGAAGCCGTGGTTGTAGAAGTCGGACAGGATGTGCACGTGTTTGCTCGACGAGCAGCCACCTCCTCAAACCGGATTTTTTCTTTTGGGAAGCTCGATTTAGTTGCTACCTTTGTATTGGAGGCACAGGTCTTTGTAGCCGTAGTAGCGTCCATCGTGCAAGATTCTGATTCTGAAACTCACGAAGTTGGAAATCCAGAATCGTTCTCATCTTCACCAGCAAAAATAAAAAAAAAACCTGGTCTGAATGAACTTGTCCAAACGATAGACAGCCTCGGCGTAACGTGTTTCCAAGATGTTGCCGTCATTTTTGGCCAGCGCCGTGACCTGAAGGCTAACGTGCTTGCAAAGTTTGAACAATCCCAGTCTAGGCGTAGAAAAAACTAACAAGAGAGGTCATTTTACTTGAAAAACATCCAATTTTTGGAAGTTGGTTTAAAATAGCTAGTACAACATTTTTTTTGAACCGCAAAATTTCTTTCTTTGAAAGAGGAAAATTCAAAAAATCGCAAGAAAAAACAAGAAACTGAGACTTGAGAGAATCTTTTATTTATATTTAATATAAAAGAGTTTTTTAAAAATGCTGAAAAAAATTTAAACTCTATTGCCCTCAGGTTACTGTTTTTTTCAACACCCCTGTTCTCAACAAGCTTTTTGTTTTGAGTTTTTTACTTTTTAGACGTCTTAAAATACCGATATTCGCAGTTCAGCCGGTCCCACAATAGCTTTGAACATTTTACAAAACTTTAAAAAAACTGATTTTTTTTCCGTCTCACCCCAAACGATTTTAATTTTTTTAAACGTATAGTTACCCTTGAAAAATTTACAAGAAACACTAGCTTTTTAAGATTTTTAAAAAGTGGTTGTGCAGGTTTGAGATCTCTAGTGCTACAAAATTGTTTTTCAATTTTTTTTTTCGAAAATTTATCATTGAATTATTGCAAGAGTATAAGAAAAGGTGCTACGAGAAGAGCGATTTTTCATTTGCGTAGAGTACGGTATGCGAATATGTGCATGCACATTGTGTGTTTGCACTCTCATTGCGTGATGTCACCGCCTCGTACACACGCATGTTCAAGGCGGCTGGTCGTATTACGGTTGTCAAGCTAGGTTTTTCAATAATAAAATTGAAACTTGTGTACTTTTTATGAAGTAACTTATCTTGTAACCTCGAGAAATAGGTCCTTAACAGATTGCAAAAAAGAAAAAAGTACTAAAAAACTTTCTGGCTCATTTTTTTTTCTAATTTTTTGTCGGTTTTGTTTTTGGTTGTGCAAATATCATTGAAAAAAAAAAATGCAAATTTTGAAAAAAAAGCGAAAAAAAAAATTGAAGAACAACTTCAGAAAAAAATCGGAGATTTACGAGATGGTGACGTCACGCAACGAGAGTGTAAACACACCTTGTGCAAGCACGCAATGCGCATATTCGCATACCGTACTCTTCACAAAAATCTTAAAAAACTTTCAAAAACCTGGATCTCGCGGCTCTGCGTGACGGCGCGGCCAGGAATGTAATTGTCGCTGGTGAGAGGCCACTTCTCGTGCACCGCCAGCCTTTCCATCTTGCTCTGGGCGCCGACCGGCGTGAAAAGGTAGACGGCGTCGGTCAGGGAGTTCAGGTGCAACATTCCTGAAAATCCTTTTTGTATGTCTTTTTTCAGCTTTATAAGACTAACCGACGCCCATGGCAGCTGTGAAGAGGACGGGGAAGACGAGGAACGGCACTGGATGGTCGGTGATGAGGCGGCCCAACGCAGCGAAGGATTTGGCCGCTCGTCGCTCCACCAAGTCCCACCGCATCACCCTGAAGAATTATTTCTTCGATTTCAAAACAGGGAGCTGGAAGCCATGTAGATTTGATCTTGGGACGCAAATATTCTATCAAATAATCATCGCTGACAAGGGAGGTCGTTTTACTTTGCGGTTGGGAATTTCCTGAAAATTGGCCAGAACGCTCCTCGATGTATAATCTTTTCAGATTTTAAATGTCAAGTCCTCGCTCAAGCTCCGCCCCCTAATGGCGCAATAAACCAATCAGAGAGCGAGCAATCCACAAAGCGTTTTCGAATGACGTCATTCTACTTGACATTCAAAATCTGAACAGACTATAAGAGATGAAGATTCTGAAAGTGTCAAACTACCCCGTTTTTGGTCAAAGAACCCCCTCAAAACCGATAAAAATAGGCTATTTTGGGGCACCTCATTTCTCGAAAACGAGGAAGTTATGCAGGTTGAGACTTTCTGTATCTTCAACATCAAGAAGTGTTCTAGCTAATTTTCAGAAAATTCCAAGCCGCAAAGTAAAATGACCCTCATCTGGGAGAACTTTTTCTAACTTTGGCACACATAGCCACACACATGAAAATACCAAAAACGTCGTTCTCACTTAAAATCTCGGATTTTTTTTGGCTAGAACAATGATGAATGATTGATTGCCCTCAAAGTTTTAAAAAGGACAATTTCTTTATTTTTGAGAGTAATACTTCAAATTCTGCCCTGTTAGGAAATATTGCATCTATTGGAAAATTTGAAGTTGTGCAGATCAAAAACTTTCGAGAACTTACGGTTCAGTCGATCGAAAAAAATGAAAATGAATCCGATTTTTCAAAAACGAGAAAAAAATGAGAAAAATCCAATGGAGCAAGATATACAAAATATTAAAAAAATTTAACTTTGTAATCCTAAAAAAATAAATATTATTGAACCAAAAAAATATAGAAAAAAACTGTCGATGAGAAAATTTCTAGTGATATTGTCAGCGCATAGATGAAATTGAGCGACTAAAATTTTTCCTTTTTTTCTTGCTTTTTTTATTTCGAAGCATCATTAAAGGTTAGGAAATGGTTTGAAACCAGAAAATATCAATAAAAAAATTAAATTTCGCATTCACGGACCCGCCTTTTTGAAAAAAACAGTACAAAACAAAAAAATTAAGAGAATAGAAGTGAGAGTTGGGGAATAAATGTAAAAAACATGCTGGAATTTCTCAAAAATCTGAAAAAGTCGATCAAATCAAAAATTTGAAAAAAAAAAATCTAATGGAAGTGACAGAACTGGAGATCGGAACGACGCCGACTTGAGGCACGGAAAAAAGGTAGGCCAACGCGCCCAAGCAAGATCAAAGATCGTTCGAGCCCTCGGGACGGGGGTCAAAAAGTGTCAGATCGCAGGAGTTGTTCAGGAAAGAGGCGAAAAAAAGGTCGATAAGAAGACGTGGTCAAGCTTGGGATCCCAAACAGGTTCTTAAGCGGCGGCCGATTCGATTCCGCAGTCAGTTTCTGCTTTCTTTATTTCCGAGTGACGTCATTGAGGATCAAGTGTACATGAAAACTTTATTGACTAACGAGAAAAACACGATTTCTACCCTGAATCGAATGGCGAGTGATTTGAGCAAAATGAAAACCCAGTTCTATTTTTTGGTTACCGCTGCGAGTTGTTTCTCCAGAGCTTTCTTGTGGATCGAGCTCTTCCAAACGCGGTTGAGCACTTCTGAAAAAAGTCACGTTCTGGAGGCCTTATAGTCTGTTCAGATTTTGAATGTCAAGTCGTCGCTCAAGCTCCGCTCCTAATGGTGCGATAAACCTATCAGCGAGCGAGCCATCCACAGAGTGTTTTTGAATGACGTCATTGCACTTGACATTCAAAATCTGAACATACTCTCAAACTTTTTAACGACTCCAAGAAATCTGGTTTTTTCCTGGGTAAGTCGATTTTTTTCTACTGACAAGGGAGGTCATTTTACTTTGCGCTTTGGAATTTTCTATAAATTCTCTCAAACACTCTCTGAAGGTTTAGATGAAGATCTTACATAATCGTTATCTGTACAAACCTCTAGTTCTTGAGATATGATTTTTCAAAGTTTCGAAACATGAGTTTTAGACCTAACTTCACGACCTTCAAAATTAATTATCTCAAAAACCAGAATCATTCGCGGGTTGCAACTTCGATGGATCTTCATATAACCCTTCCGAGATTATTTGAGCAAAATTTTAGAAAGTTCCGAGCCGCTAAGTAAAATGAGGGGGAGGGGGGGGTCTAAAAAAAGAGCTGGGAATTTCGTGGAAGAAAGAGGTTTTTTTCCATCCATCAATATTGAAATGATGCTTTGAAACCTATTTTGAGCAAATAGTAAAGACAAAAATATATCTAATGAACCCTGGAAACCTTTCTGAGCCTCGTGACTGTGCTTCACGGCATTGAGCATTTCTTTTTGAGCCTGAGTGAGTCCCGGGTCGGTCCTGCACATCCCATTGATGTATTGCTGGAAAGAAGCGAGTCCAAGATCAGAACCATCGAAAGCGAACCTCCGCTTCGGCCTCCTCGCGGTACACAAAGTCGAGCCAACCGAGTTTGAACGCATCTTCCGCACTGAGGACGCTCGCCGAACTCATCACGTGGAGCGCTTTGCTTCTTCCCAGGATCGCCTGTACAGATCTTCATGTCGTGAAAACACAAAAACTCTTTGGCATATATAATTTTAGTGTGTCATGTGCATGCACTGCGACGCATTCGCACATGCCGTGTTCAAAATAATCTCTGAATTTCCGAAATTCAGTTGTGATTTCCCTTTCTGTTTGAATTTCGCAGAATCACTTTGAACAGGGCAACAGAAAAAATTGCGTTTTTAAATAAGAAAATGATTCGTCTCATGACCCATTGAACATGCGCCTTTAATATTCCCTGTTTATGCGTTTCCTATGACGTCATATGGGAACGTCGGTGTTCGTACTGATAATACAAAGGGAAATTGATTAACCTCCAAATAATATGCGCCGCCCCAGGAAGGTATGATTCCAAGCCTCGATTGTAGGAATCCGATCTGAGAAATGCGATCAAGAGGTACATAGCGAATTCAAACTTTGGAATCGACGTGGGCGACGCGGATGTCGACGGCAGAACAGATTTCGGTGGCGCCGCCGAGGCAATGACCGCGGATGTGGGCCACTGAAATGGCCGGAGACACGTTCAGTTTTTGGAGCACCGAGGACATGAAGTCGAACATCGGGCCGCCGAGGCTCGCGTCGGAAATCTGAAGCCTTGTAAGTGAACAGCAGCTAGTCCATGTTTACGTCTTTGATCAAGCCGAGATCGGCGCCCGTGCAGAAGCTGCTGCCCTTGCCGCTGAGGACGACGACGCCGTGTTCGCGAGACTCGAGATGCTTCACCAGAGGTCAGTTTGGAGGTTGGAGTCTCACCTCAACTCCTCGTCCCAACTCGCACATCATGGCTCCGGAGAGACAGTTTCCTTTGTCGGGGCGGTCCAAAACAACGTTCAATCGTCCTTTCTAGACTTCAATGTAGTATTTGAGGTTGAGAAAGAACCCATTACCACTTTGGGATGTTTCTCGAACCTGACACTGCCACCTGCCCATTTTTGGAGGATTTTCAGCAAGTCTGCCGCCGGTTCTTTCTAAAAACATCTTTTCTTCTGAACTTTCAAACGGCTCACCGACCAACTTCGAGCTCATCTTGCCTCAAAATCAACGATTTCCATTGATATGTCTTTTCCATAAATATTCGCTTCATTACAAATATGATCATTTTCACAGACAAAAACGTCCTAAAATCTATTTATTGCAGGAATTTTTTCACATGTAGACTTGGACAAACTATACAAAAATATAGGCGAAAATGATGTCTTTTTTTTTTTAACTAAGGGATGACAAAATTATGCAAAGTGTTGTTGACAACCGAAAAGACTAGGCCGGGAATATATTTAGAGTACATGGTGGAAGAGCGACCAGCACTCGCCAGGCTTGCACATAATGACATACGATTCGAGTTTAGCACAAAAACAATTGTCAATAATAATAAATTATGAATAAATACAAACTGGTTGGGAACAATCTCAAGGCATCCGAGAACTAGTCAAATTTTTTGAAAGCCACTAGAAGGTGAAATAAAATAACCACTGGTTAGCACGCATAAATAGAACTTTTGATTAAACATCAAAGAGAAGTGAATTGGGTTTGGAACTGGAACAGAACGCGGAGAATATATCCTAATTGAGCCAGGGGCCTCTTAAGAGCCGAACGGATCTTTGGGCAGTTGCTGGTTCGCCTGGGCCTGCTGCTGAGCCGCCGCCGCTTGGTGCACCAGTTGAACCTGAAATTGATCATTTGATAACCAATAAGCAAACTTTTCTCGGAATGAACTTGCATTTAACCGAGTCTAAGCATCTAAAAAAATATTCTGAGAAAATTCATCCAGCTCTAAGCAAATTTTCGATCTATATTGTACTTATTTTTTTTCGGCTTTCGTTTTTATTATCAGAGTCAACTTTGCAGTATTTACATTCATAACCCATTTTTGATGAAAAAATAAAAAAAAACAACAACTTAATAGACAAGTTCCATACCATTGAGATATTGAAAAAACGAATTTTAAATAATATGTCCGTACTGATTCTCAAACTACATTACGCAGTTCTTGTGGAAACACGGCGTTTTTTTTTTTGACGCTTCGCCCATATTTTTCCGTAAAGTGCGGTGTGTTGTGTGCATACACTGCGGCGCACTCGCACATGCCGTATTAAAAATAATCTCTAATATTCCGAATTTCAGTTATATTTTTTTCAATTTCTAGCGGCTATTTTTGAATTTCGCAAAAATCACTTTAAACATAGCTACAGAAAAATTGCGTTTTTATAAATGAAAAACCGATTCGTCTCATGACCCATTGAACATGCGCCTTTAATATCACATATTTTTTACGCTTTTTTTTGTTATGACGTCACATGAGAACGGCGGAGGTTTTGGCTCCGCCCCCTTCATTTTTGGTTTCGCTTTTCCTCCCACTAACAAAAAAGCGGTGGAAAAAGATTTTTAAAAGATTTTCAATTTAAGAAAAGTACCTGTTGCTGCTGTGAGTGGTAAGGTATGTGGCCGGGGTGGGCGAATTGGAAGGGCTGCGGGTAGTTCGCTGCAAAGAAGAGAATGGTTCGTCGAAAAGAGGTAAAATGCAAAAATTGAACGAGTCGAATTGGTCCAAGTGTTGAGGCGGCGATTTTTCTTTTATGAAATGTGTTTCTACTCGTAAAAAAAACTAATTTTCAACCCAAAGACGGACAAAAGAAACGCTCCATTTTCAAGACAAAACGAAAAAATACCGAAGCCAACCATAGTCGCACAAGGTGGGCCCAAAGTTCCGTTTCTGAATATGAAACTGCACACACCGATTGGGTTCCACATGGGGGGCTGCTGTTGTGGTTGTTGTTGTTGGATGGGGAATCCGCCCATCTGCGGATGGTAGCCGCCTACGGGCGCCGTGTACATGCCTGGCTGTCCAGCCATCGCGAATGGATTATTCATGGTCGACGCCGCAGCCGAGGCCGCTGGCGCACCATTGCTCCACGCGTTGTTCGTCCTGAAATAGTTGGTTGGGCGGAATCAGCGTACACCAGATATTGGGATTATTCCAGAATGCAACCCCCCTCCCCATTCTAGAAAAATTGTCTAGGCACTCTAGAATCGCCCCCCCCTCCCCCCCTCCCCACTTAGCATTGGTTAGGACGATTCTAGAGCAAGATACAGCCCCTACATTTGATTCAGCCACCCAACAAAAGCTTTGTGATTTCACCGCACCCCTCACAAGTCAAAATTTGCCTTGGTGGTGGGGGGAAGGGGGCTTGTTCGGACGTGGGGAGCTGTAACCGGTAACCGGGTGAGGGCGCTTCTGGAACTTTCTCTGGATGTTTCTTGTGGGAATTCAGACAAACATATTCCAATGTTTCAAATCCTTCTAAACATTTCATACCCAAAGCTTACCCCGGATTGTTGCTGATCGACATTCGGGACATGCCGTTGTCAACGTCGTTTGGAATTCCATAACCACCGAAAGGAGCTGGGGCACCTAAACATTAGCTTGATGTAAAACAGCATTTTTCCCATTTTCTAATGTTTTTGAGAGCGATTTTTAAGAATTATTCAATCAGTCAACGGAACTTCCTTATTGGGAAAAAGAAAAATCGAACTAAATTCCTTTTTTTTCCAAGTATTGATGAGCCTTTTTCAACAAACCTTGCAATTTTTAAAAATGGGATCATTCCAATTTGCATACTCTATTGAAACTCTGTTCCCCATTTCCAAAGAGACGACTTAGGGACTCCAGAGTGGCCCCCCAAGGGGTAAAATCAAGGATCAAGGTCATTTTTTTTCGAAAACGCTTGTTTATTCAATTTTTCGCATGGGAACGCTTCTTCGCATAGAGTACATAACCCCTATAAGGGCATTAACTAAAACTCCTATAGGGACCCTTTTTGCAAGCTTCAGTCACCCCTATAGGAGTTGGTAAAGTGGTCCCTAGAGGAGAATCTCCAAGAATTTCTAAACGTCGCCCCTATAGAGACCACTCTGGAGTTTCTAAGGAGCCTATCCAGGTCGATGCCAGTAACCTTGTGGATTGAACGGAGCCGAACTTGGAGGAGGAGCGTTTTGGAGTTGTTCCGCGAAAGGATTGAAAACAGCCGGCGAAGAAGAGTGGGAATGGGCCTCGGAAATGGCGGCAGCCGTCGGCGGAGGCGGAACGGGCGGCGCAGGTTGGTGCTGCTCCGACGACGTCAGGAAGGGGTTCTCGTCTAAACCGCGTCGGATGTTCTCGGCAACCAAAGTGAGGACAAAAACTGCGACCACGGTTGGAAAACACGACACGACAGCTACATTCGGAAACCGATGGAGAAAAGAAGACGTCGGTTACTCGAGAAAAACGCCGTATCTTGGGGAAGCTACAGATGAACCACGAGAATCGACAAACACAACAAAACACGGCTACTTTGAAACCCAGGACCTTCTTCGAATTACGTTGAAAAAGAGTAACTTGAACTCTGAACTTACAGCTTCTTCCGTCAAAAATGAATGTGTGGAAGAATTTCAAGGGGAAAATCTGAACTACACAGCGACGCAAAAATCCACTTCTCACGAACCAACCAAAAAAAAAAAAAATTGGAACCTCCATTGCTGGTCGCAGCGTAGAATGGCTGACCTCCATACGGTAGGGCGGCGTGAGGATTCGACGTGGGCGCTGAAATAAAAGTTGTTTAACAAATAAGGGAGGAAAAAACTGCTGGTGAAACGGTGAAGATCAATTCATAAATTGATACAAAAAATGGAAATGAACCTGGCGTGTTGGCGTAAGTCGGCTGCGAGCTGAAATGAGCGAAAGGATTGTTGGCGTCGGAGTTCGAAGCCTGAAAGCGAAGGCTTCGTTTGATATTTCTTCCACGTCAAAAATCCCAGATTAAAAAGAATGGGGCCGATTTGAAAATGGTATATTTAAGCCGATTCACGGCTAGTTTGGAAAGCTATGGGGCGTGGCCTGTCTGCGCTCTCCACCAACCAAGCACTATCTCCTTTTTTATCTTGTCAGGACTTTGTATTGAAATATCGTTCAGTTAGGAACGTGTCTTGTTTTCATTAACGTGTTTCGGGCCATATTTCATATCCATGTGTAGTTTCACAGCAATTGGGATTGATTGAAAAAGTTATAGTCAAAAATATAATAACTATGATCGGTACTGTACGTCTAAAAGGCTACAGCCCTTGTTTACTAACTATTCTGTTCTGTACAAGAAAAATAGAACAATTTGAAGCCTTTGGAATGAGCTGAATATTGTTGGTTGGAAATTCAAAATTATTCTATCCCTACAGAATGTCATTTAAAAAAAGAACCTGAGAGACGGCGGGCGCCTGGAAAAAGTCGAGCAAATCGTTGTTCGGAGCCGGTGGAGCCGCGGTCTCGCTGGCGAACGGATTTTGAGAGCTCACTTAAGCGCCATTTCAGATGAAGTCTTTTTTTTCAAAACCTTGCGCTTGCTTTTTCTGAGCCTCGAACTGACGAAGACGTTCGTTTTCGAGTTCGATGTAGCGCTGGCGATCGGAGTCAGCGACAGCCGGTTGGTGAACCATCGAAAAGTTGGTCAGCTGATGGTGGGCCGCCGACATCTTCAAACCTCACCAATATTTCAATAATTCTTTGAATAATCGTTTTTTGTTGTTTGAACTTTCAAGACCTTCATTTCTTACCAGGTAATGGTCGCCGGTCGCAGTGGGACCCCTAAACGAGACCAAGTTTATTATAACTTATTCACGGCTGGCTTAAGCCATCGAAAAAAGGGTCCTGACACGATAATGATAGAGATAGTACCTGATTGGTGGAGAGCGCAGACAAGCCACGCCCCTCCAAGTTAGCCGTGAATCGAATTTACATGTTATTTTTCAAGCTGATTCCAAATCTGGTCTCGGAAACTTCCGAGGAGAACTGTGAAAAAATTTATGGGCCCTCAAAAGTCGAAAATTTCAGTGCCTTCGATTGAGCTCATTTTCAGAGCATATATAGATCTCACTCTTCTGATAACATACAACGAATTATTTAAGCTCAGATATGATTTCTCAAAGTTCCGCCAAACGTAAGGGAGAGCGAGCGCGGTGACAGTGAAAGTTTTGACTTTTGAGGGTCCATAACTTTTATCACAGATCTCCTCAGCAGTTTTTAAAACCATATTTAGAATTTACGTGAAAAACTACATCTAGTAAACTTGGTTTCATTAGAATTCCCACTGCGACTGGAGATCATTCTCTGGTTATTTGGAGATTTACGGAAAAAATGTCTAGCTTCGGAGATTCGTTAAAAAACTATTATAACCGAGGTTCACAAAAATCTGTAGCAGTTTCTAGATTTATACATCGAAAGCAAGAAACAGCTGAAAGAAGCGGCTTTTAGTGTTCGAAATGTTTTTTTTTCATGAGAAAATAGAGATTTGAACCTGAAAACTCCTCACTTTTAGGTGTATCTAGGAATCTAGGTGTATCCTGAAATCGAAAAGTTACCTGAGAAGGAGGCGGGGCTTTGCCACCTTCAAGATGGATGAGGTGTGCTTCGAGAGCCTCGAGAAGACTCGCCGGAGCCCTCGTCAGATCGGGGATCTCGCCGCGGTCGATTCCGACCGATTCGGCGATTCTCAGGAACTCGGCGACCTTGTCCAGCCGCGTCAGGAACGCCTTGTAGGTGTCGAGGGCGTCGCGACACTGCTTCTTGTTCATGTCGAAGTACTTCTCCAGCACGTTGATGATGCCGTCGTTGTAGCAGGCGAAGAGACGGATCAAGTCGCGGAAAAGGAGGATGAACGAGCAGTTGATCACGCCGTTGTTCAGTTCGCTGCTCGTCACCTGAGAGAAGCCCGTTATGAATCAATAAATCAATTGGAAATGAGAAAATTTTGAAGTTTGAGGAAAATGTCTTCGGTGAAGACCGGCGCGGGGCCTCTAAAGATGTTGATGACTAAAGAAAGTTTCTTTTTTCAAAAAATCGCTATTTCAAGCTTTTGAAGTATCTTAACTCGAAAACCAGATCTATTGCGAGAAATTTGAAAAAAAGAAAATGTGTTTTTCATAATTATAAATTAACTATGGAAGTTAAAAACAATACCAAAAAAACAAAATGAAAACAATTTCGGTCAATATTCGCAGAAAATTCCGTGTATTTTCTTCACTCTAAGTGGTAGTTCTCTCAGTCGGCCGAGGCTACCCTAGAGTGTACACGGCGTCCGTGCCCGAGCCCTACCATCCCCGCCGTGCCCGTACCCGCGAAACTGAGGGATCTACTTGTGGAAGAACGAGGCGAAGGACCGTAAGACCATGCTTTCAAATCATTCGACTACACGTTTTGACTTCTTTTTCGCCAAAGGCGGTGTTAGTGCCGCTCAAAAGAGCAATTTTTTCACCGCCTAGTCGATACCATCTGACTAAAACAACCAATAAATATTGATGATTGATGAAAATGTTGAAAAGAAGTACTTTTTTTTCCTTCGAATCGAATTTTTCTAAACTGAAAATGGGCAAGAAGATTCCTTTCCAGTTTCGGTTTTCTTTTTAGCATGTTATTGGAAGAAAAGAAGATTTGTTGAACACGCAACGCCTGTTTCTCCTAATCCAACCAATCTTTTTCAAAAAAAATCATATATTTTTCGAAAATCAATCAGTTTGATGGTGGGAAATGAAAGTAACCGAAAATTCGAGCAAGGCGTCGATCTGGTTCTGCAAGATGGGCAGGGTCTTGAGCAGCTTGTCCGTGTGCATCGTGCGCAGAAGACCGTCCTCTCTTCCGCGCTTGACCTTGCAGAAGTCGAAGGCGCAGACGCGGTACGTCGCGATCTTTTCGCCAATGTATTTGCCGTAGCGGCGCACGTGGTTCGACATGTCGTACCCTGGAACTTTGTTCCAAGTTCATTTTCTTGCTAGGAAAATAAAAGGGTTAAAAGATACATGATCTCCTCAAAATCCTTTGGATATCAACTATCGATCTATTGTCCTTGTAAAACTACGTGTTTTTAAATTCTTGCTAGTAGATGAAATCAATTGAAAGATGAAAAGCCTTCTTCACAAAAAATATAGGTTAGTTTGGAAAAGCAGCTTACGAAAGTTTTCTGATAAAAAATTTCGATATTTTCAAATCTGGCTCTTATCCCTCTCAGAACACTATGTATATAAAGTATTGAGCTCATGGAAAATTCCGCGAGACAGTATTGAGCCATAGAAATGATACACATCGAATTCAAATAAACAATTTTCTCATTGAAATATAAACAAACCAACCGGTGGCCGAATTTTTGTCGAGAAACGTTCCCAAATTGAAAGTCGTGTTGCACGACGCGAGATACTGGGAGAAGCGCTGCAAATCGATATTTTTTTGGCTCATGGAGCGAAAAAGAACCTCGTTTCCGTAGCACATAATGTTGTGGATGGTTATGAGGGACTTGTAGACGACCGTCCAATTTGGATGTTGGGTTCTCTCGATCAGCAAGTTCGCCATCGACGGGATCGAGACGTTCGGCTCATTCGTGCAGTGGAGCAGATCTTCAAAAGACCGTCTTTAGGAATTCAAATAAATTGGGAAACAAACAATCGAGATGCTTCTTTTTCGGCGCCATCACCTCCTCCGTCGTCGCTTTGCATATCGTTTTTCCCAGTTGGCTACCTGCCAAAGAATGCTTCGCCGCTGTCAACCTTAAAGAAGTATCGATTATAAATTTGTAATATCCCCAGTTTGAAAATTGAAGGATCTTTTAAAAAGAAAGAATGGAATTTTAAAATACGATAGCGCCGCAGTTCCAGTATATGTGCGTTCCGCGCGAGATAGTCACGTTTAAGAAAAAAAAAAGGAAAATTCAAAAAGGTTACCGTACAAAACAGCTAAAAAGACAGCAAAAAACAACGGCCTTGAAGCGAAGATGCTCAATATTGATCTAATATGGTATAAGGTCTTTTTGGCGGAAAAAAAACGTGACAAGCTAGCGCAGAATAATAATAATAATAATAATAATAATAGTTTATTCACTGCCATAAAAAAAAACATTAGGTAGTATAGAAAAATTATAAGTGATCAACATATGACGGGCAGAAGAATAACAATACGCGGGAAGGAGTCAACCCCAACGAGTTGACAGGTACCCGGAAGTAAGAAGAAATTTTTTACAGTAGGCGAGAAGGGATATTTTCATAAAAAGCTTGATTCGGAAGATTATTCAATTTGTTCCGAAGGGTTTCTGGGGTGACGTTAAAATCCAAATAAGAAGTTAATTTGTTCCAAAGAGGAATAGTCCTAGAAAAGTAGTCATTAGAAAACTGACCAGCTGTCCGTAGTCGAAGTGGATTTCTCTGTAACAGGGATTGAGTGAAATACTTATTGCGATCGAGACAATGATCAGAGCCACAGACAATTTTATGTAGGGTGATTATATCACAAATTTTTACGGCGAATGAACAAAGGTTTGATATTAAACTGATTGAGGCGATCGGAATAAGAAGAGAAGCTGACATTACAGCGGATGAAAACTTTCCGACTGAAGAGACGGAGAGATGATTCGAGTTTGTAGGATTCATCAGATGAAATAGCGGGTGAGAAAAAGCTCAGAGCAATATTCAAGGACTGGAACCACGTAAGTTTGAAACATACGAAAGTAGTTAAGAGGAGAAGAAAATTTGAATGTATTAAGTATTTGGTTAGAGCGTAAGGTGGCAAAGGCAGAAATTCGATTTATGTGTTGTTTAAAGGAGAGTTTATCATCAATAAACAGACCAAGATCACGAACAATGGAACTTTGAGGGATTTCAAGACGGTCGACGAAGTATCGGGTTCGAGGGTTTTTCAGGACCAAAAATGAACTGAGAAAGTTTTTTTCGGAAGCAAGGGGGAGAGACCAAATGCGAGACCATTCTAGGATACCATTAATGCTGCTTTTGGAGAGATCTGGGGCAGTTACTAAAAAAATTTTTTTATATCGTCTGCAAAAGATAGAAATGGAGGTGGAGGCATCAATATAATTTTCAATATCGTTAATAAAAATCAAAAAAAGAAGTGGACCACTTACGGTTCCTTGGAGGACACCGGAGGGGTTAGGGAAACTAGAATCAGCAAAGGATTGGTTTACTTTAACAGTCGAAGTTCTATTAGAAAGGAAGTTGGAAAACCAGCGACTGAGAGTTTGATCAAAGCCAAAGTTATGCATTTTGAGGCGTAAGAGGTCATGGTTGACTTTGTCAAACGCTTTACAGAAATCGAAGTAGACAGCATCAACAGAAATTTTAGATGCCAAGGATTTCTGAATATCGGAAATTGAGCTAATAAGAGAGAGCTTACAAGATCTTCGATTTAAAAAACCAAATTGAAATTGAGAAAATCTATGAGAAAAGCGAGTTCTAACCATATTAGTAACAATCCGTTCAAAAACACGGGAAATTGGATGAGTAAGGGGAAATTGGATGAGTAAGGAGAATAAGCTATAAAAAAAAGATTATTTTCAATAACTGAGCTCTTTTTTTTGTATGACAGATTGTTCAAAATTTTCGAAGAAAAGTAAAAATTCAAAGTTGAACATCTTTCTTTAAAACCATAATTGAAAAAACCTGAAAATTTTTTACCAGAGGCCGTGCGCAATGTGGAAAATAATTTTTCCGCCATTTCTTGAAACTCCAAAATAACATGATTATTATTTTTTTCCAACTGAAATTGTTTCTTCTCTATTCGCATGTTTTTATATAAATAAACTGCGCGGAAAATATTTTCCACAATGCATACGGCCTCTGATGCCGCAAAAAAGTTGAATGATGAGGTTTGCGTAAGTATATTTAAGCAAACGTTAAAAAAAAGGAACTTTGAGAAAAGTTGATAAAGAAAAAACAAACTAAAAAAACGTTTTGAAAATCATTGAAAGAGCCGAACCTGTCGGAGATGGTCTGACCGCCGGTGGTGAACGGCATCGGCTGGTGAAGGGCCTTTTCGATAGTCTGCATGACGACGATTCGCCACTAGGCGACGCACTGAAACACTTACAAATCGCTATGACAAACCCAACTTCCGAATGGCCAAATTTCCCGTCTGCATGCAGTGTTACGAAACCCTACACCGCATGATCGTCAAAAACATCATGAAAAATTTTATTTGGCTCGCTGTTTCTTTTTCCCATGGTATACAAGAAATCTGTTTTTTTGATTTTTATAAAAGGAGAGAGGTCTTTTTGAAAAGAAAAAAAGTAAAAAAAGTGACTCACTGCAAAACAATTTTTCTGAAAAAAATGTTCACTTGGTCAAAAAAATGAAGCTTTTTTGCGCTATTTTTTGCGTTTTTTGAATAGATCAAGGTCATAAAGCTCTTTTTAAACTTCATACAGCCTACAAAAAAACTCTTTTTTTCGAAGCGCTCATTTATATAAATAGACATGAAAAAAATAGGTTTTTTTTTTTTTTTTATAGTTTTCGAAGCAGGAAAAGTTTTTCAGCTTATTTTTCAAGAATATTACATTTTTTGAGTGTAATTTTCAAACATTGGAAAAAATTCAGGAGTCTCAAAAAGAGTTCACGTTGCAATTTAACAAAGGTTCAAACTTGATCTTTATACTTGAAACAGAGGGTCATGGTGAAGAAAATTGATTCTCAGAACAAGATGAAAAATAAGACAGTAAAAGATAAGTTTCCGGCTGCCACGAAAAGATGCAGGGAAAAAGGAAAAACGGCAAAAGAGACGTCTTCGGTGTGGCCAAAGGGAATATTTTCGGAAATCGTTTCTCTGAAGGAAAAGCACGGCCGCGCGGCGCTTCTCCCGCCGAATCGATACGTGCAGGCGCGGTAGAAAGAAAAAGAAGACGAGGAAAACCAAGAGAAGTCTGAACAGAATCCGAGACGCCAGAACAAAAAAAAAAAGAAAACTATAAATGTGGGCCGAATCTTCCAAGCAAAAAGCAGTTTGTTCTAACCTCACGGGCAGAGTCCAAAAGGTCTAAGAGGCACTTTTTTCTAGACCTTTTTCTGAAAAGGACCTCTTAAGGGGGTTAAAAAAAAGATTCCGAGAAACTTTTGGAACCTTTTCAGGAACTAAAAAGAGCTTTAGGCTCTTCTTTTCAAGACTCTTTTTAAGGTCGTTTGGACTTTGCCTGTGCTTGGGGCTTGGCGGGGTTGCTGAGATTTTTTCTAGGAAAACAGGTACAAAAAAATCTCAATAGAAAAGTTCAATCAATTTTCTTTATTTTGGAAAAAATGGAAGACGAGCGGATTCCTATTGGAAAAAAAGTGTTAGGAAAAACTGAATACGATTAAAAACTTTTTTTCTGGGAAAAGAAATTTTTTTGTTCGAATAGCCACAAAGTGTTATAGTGCATTCCGCGCGAGACGGTCACGTTCTAGAAGAAAATAAAAGAAAAAGTAACCGTAGAGTACCGTAAACGTAAACGTAAAAATAAAGTATCGTAAACGTAAACCAAAAACGTACCGTAGTACCATAGTAAACGTGTGAAACGTAAAAGTAAAGTACCATAAACGTAAACTGAAAAAGTACCGTAGTACCGTAAAATACAATTTTTTTCTCTACAAAACTTCGAAAGAGACAGCTAAAAACAAAGGTTTTGAAGGGAAGATTTTGATCTAACTTGGTATACGGTATTTTTGGCGGAAAGAAAAACGGGACAAGCTGACGCGGAATAGACTTCCAGAATGGTTCAAATACGTACTCTGGGCGAATAAATGATCAGATCTTTTCAGATAAAGCAAAAGTCCTTGAATTCTTCATTATGGCGAAAGTGAACTAATAACAAACAGCAAATATACAACTGTCAATAAAATGCGCTAATGAATGAAATCACGAATCAACACGAAGGGAGGAGAACTAAATGACCTAGTACAAATACAATCTTACCCATTATTATGTAGAATAAAGAGCAACGGGGTTTGAAGGAAATCGGGTTTATCTTGATAAATATGCACACGAATAAGCCGGGATGCTAAAATGATAACTTTCATGATCAAAAAAAGCCAAATACATAGATCAAATAAAAATGATAATTAGAAATGGGCCCAATCGAACTGCATATTCCGGTGGTCCATATCGTACCGGTTGACGACCTGGAAATGGATTGAAAAAGAAATAGACGGGGAGCTCGAAACCTCTTCAGTGATCCCTTGTTGGATCCAGAGCAACTTGAGTTTGTGGTACAGTTCCGCGTTCAAGTGCAATGGATTACCTCGTCTGAAACAAGACGTATCGATCAGAAGTCAAAGGGAGAGGCAGACCTGAAACCCTGATCAACCTCGCCGAACTCGTCGACGTATGGCGCAGCTCGGAAGCATCCCCGTTTTCTCGTCGTCATCATGAAAACTGTACAATCGCGTACACTGAAGACCGAGTTTGGGCGAGGAATTTTTCGATGACTTACCGCAAAAATGCACCCACAGAACCCGAACAGGTACGCATGTGATACCGACAAGAGCCCAAAGTTTCCTTGTTTATCTGAAGCTCATTCGATTTTAACAACTTGAAGAACAAAGAAACAATTTTCTGGCAGCAGTATCCTTGAGAGCAGAGCACCTGACCACATACAAGACAAATTGTGGGGATGTTCGAAGTTGGTTCTTCGATAGGAATCGAGGGACACCTTCAAAAAAAGAAAAATAAGAAGAAAAAACAAGGTCTAAACCGGAAATTAGACACGTTGTTGATAAGATCGCTGTACTTAAAGGGAAGATCGATGAGGAGATTGGGACGGACTGGCTGACGGACGACGTCGGCCCGAGCACTGGGCTCCTGGGGCAGAGAAGGCGCCCATCTGCAACCGCCAGTTCACCGTGGGTCATGAGGATTGGGCTCACAAAGTGAAAAGATCTTCGACTGTTTGACCCGTAATTTGATCCTCCATGCGATGCGGTAATCCCAAATACCGGTAAAGTGCTTCCGTTGAGTTGATAGAAGGATCTGAAAGCCGTAAGAATCAATCATTTCCACTAATTGGTACCTTTCAAAGCCTCTGGGGGATCAACCAAAGTGAGAAAGTGATAGATAAGAGCGATGGGTCGTAAGAGCAGGACTGATCCCTCCTCGAGAGCCTGAAAATAGTTTCAGTGTAAGTTTGTGAGATGCAAAACCTTATAGAGAGAGTTGACACGACGAAGAGTTTCGCCTGGCCGAGAAATGTTCCAGAGCTTCTGGATTTGTGCGTAGGTGCTTTCCATATCCAACTTTTCCTCCTCATCAAGCATCTCGTCATCTTGCTGATCGTCGTTGAACGTCGCGATGATCTGAAACTCGCCGAATGTCGCTTCCATACTTTGTAAACATTTTGGAACCTGGTAGTAAGAAGCGATGAGACAGAGACGGAGGACGTAGAGCTCGTCGATGGACCCATCCGGCACGAGTTGTCGTATCTGCTTCGGCGTCGGAACGGACGGCTGAAGCTTCTGCACACCATTGTGCCACGTCCAACCAATCGACATCATAAGTGAGACCTGAAGATCGTCTAGTTTTTCTTTGAAACGCAGAGACTGCTTGCCGTCAGACTCAGAATGTCGACGTGAAGAATGTTGAGGTTGGCTTGTTTTTTGGAGCCTGTGGGGCTGAACAGCTGCACGAACAGAGTGAATCGCACTGGAAGTTGATGTGAAGTGACGCGGTTCCCAGAAGGACCGATACTCGAATTGACAGGAGTCGAGGAAAAAGTTTGCAGAACCACTGGAGCCTGAGAACGATATGGGGATCGTGACGGGGAAGCCAGACTCACTCTGGGCTTTGGAGGCTCGCACAGGAGGATTCGAAGCATGTCCGCAATTGCGTTGGGCAGCATCTGCATGTTATAGGAAACAGAAGCGCAAAGACGTGTCATGGCGCATAGACAATCGCGCTGTAATTTTTTATTTTATAAAAACCTAGAAGACCTGTCGAATGAGTTTTCATAACTGGGTTTGGAATTTTTTGGCGAATCACTAAAACTGCTTTTTAAAAATCGAGAATCAACTTAAGAACTTTAGAGTGATCCCTATAGAAGTTAAGGGCAGAGAAAGTGGACACTATAGGGATAAAATCAAGGTGGTCCCTATAGTGGTTTAGAATCTGACCCCTTAAGCTAAAGCTAAAGCTTAAGGGGTCCCTATAGGGGTCTATCAATTCACTTAAAAAAGCTTATTCATTCAGTTTTTCGCATGAAAATACTTCTTCACATAAAGTTCATGAAAAGTGTCGACTAGCATGTCTCCTATAAGAGCCACTGACTGAAACCCCTATAGAGACTACTTTTACAAGCGCTAAGAGTTTCTATAGCGGTTAAGTGGTCCCTCAAAGGGCCATTAAGGTTGCCCCTATAGGGACATTCAGAGAGTGTTTGAAGAAAAGAAGATAACTGACGTGTCGCGTATTCAAAGCGCCAAACAGAGGTTTGTTGTCGAACTGCAGATAAGCGGAGATGGCTCTGGCGACGTGGGCCGTGCTCTGCCAGGTCACCGAAGCCGTGACGATGCCTCGAAGATGCTTCTCCAAGAAACGCGCTTTCTGTTCGCTTCCGCGACGTCGGAACTGAGGCTCTTTTGTTTTCAAGGCTTCAGGGAAAAGGGCAACTAACAGCGACGAGACACTTGCCAAAGTCCTTGATAGCGTCTTCATATTGTTCGACAGCGGGTCCACATAATCTATTAGGGTTGATGATGGCCGGAATGGGACGAATCAGGTTGCACAGGGCGTGTTGGATGGCGCTGAACGCCTTGCGCTCCTCCGAGGGCTTTGAAGGTGTCGAACTTCCGCTTGTAGTTCCGCTTGTGGGCGTCGGTTCTGGCGTGGTGGCAGGAGACAACTGTGCCTGCTACAGTCTCCAGATTATCACGAATAAAACTTCGAACTCACGTTTCCAGAGGCATCATGATTCCAAATGGCTGCCAGTTCGTTGTAAAAATCGCTTGTAGTTTCGTCCGTTTCTTAAATACCAATGATGGGATTCGAGAGATGGAATGAAGAAGAAACCCATTTCAGTGGAAGAAGTCTTGGGAGTGGAAAGGAGAACGGACATGGCCGAAGACGAGGGAACAGACGTCGAGAGGTTCGATTCAGCGCCATCGACCGACGCCGCCACGGCCTCCTCTTCTTTTGCCTTTTCGGTATTCGATTGCTTCTCTAGGTCCAACAAAGACCTCTCCGAATGCGATCTGCATTAACGTGTAAAGAGAGAATGGATTTTTCGAAAAAACCTTTTTCTGCTGTGCCCTTTTTTGCGAACATCCGCGCCGCAGGAAGAGACGTCGAGAAGATGACGAAGTCGAGTGATCCAGTCGTTGAAAGTGTCATTCTCACTAGCAGAGACCGTGGAAAACCTATTCGAAAGGGTTGAAAAGGAAGAAAGATCGGCTTTGTACCCAGAAACGTCTGTGCTTTGCATGGCAGGAAGGATGGGCATTGCCGCGTTGGAAAGGCGTTTGCACAAGGGACACTGGTACTCTCCGCCCTGAACAGAAAAACTTCACTGACAAAAAAAAAGGTGGAGGAACCTCTGGATCGACCATCCTCTGATTGTACATTATTTGTTGGCGCGTTCGAAGCCCGTCTCGGTTTCTAGAAGAATCGGCAAGTCTGAAGGCATGTCTATATTGGAAAAAAAAAAAGAAGATCTGAACTGTTTGTAGCACTCGTAGTGCATGGTGTGCGAGCAGGTGGAGGCGTCGATCCCGTGGCGAAGGGTCGACGGAGCGACGAGTTGGTCGTGGGTTCCCAGAGAGGCCGTTTCGCTCTTGTGCGTGAAGAGTTGCGACCTCAACAGTTTCTTGTTAATTTTTCTCTTTCTTCTTCAATAAAATCAAAAACCCAATAAAAAGCTACATCCTTAGGAAGTCCAGAGTGGTTCCTATAGGGGTACTTGGAGGGTCCCCGCTAAAGACCAGTTTGCCAACCCTTAAGGGGACACTAAAGCTCGTAAAAGCGGTCCTATAGAGGACATTCTAGTGAAAAATACTTAAAATCGAACTCTCTAAATCACAACTATATTTCGCTCTCTCTTTGGCCACAGATCATTGTTTGATCTTATCCTCTTCATCAAATCTTCTCTCATTATTGATCATGATAATCATTTCTCTCTATCACATAATCTCTTTTTTCGTTTCTCTCGTTTTAATAAAATTATTGCGTCTAGTCGTTGTTTCTGAACCATTTTTTGATATTTTTTGTGAATTACTGCCCGAGATATGGATTACCCTGAGCCGTTGTCCCGATACAATTCCGCGTTAATTTATAAGAATTTCCATCTCTACTCAATTTTATTCAAAGTCCACTTGATTCTCGTTCAGCATATGTGAAGTAGTCGATGCCTACAGTCCGTAAAATATTTCTACGATATTTTCGGAGGCACAGTTCTCAATCTAGTGAGTCCTTGTTACACTAGAGAAAATGGGAAAAAATGCAGGATACTTTGCCTTTTCCTTAATTTCCACATCTTTGTGATAAACTATAAAATATAGTTAAGTATAGGGCAGAGCACAGGAAAAAGCCTGGATTGAAGAATATTAAGCTTGATGTTGGGAAAACACAACTTTTGGCTTTTTTCTCTGGAAACTTACTGCTGCACAAAAGCCGCGCAGACCATCGGATTCCCGTTGGTAGGATGGACCAGCTCCTTTTCCTGGCACAAGATACAAGTCAGGGTACGATCTATGACCACCTGTAGACCCAGAACGACCTGATTTCTATGCTTCTTCTCAAACCTCGGCTCTCCACCTGTTGGGGCCCAAACAAACGGGAAAGTTCTGTGAAGACGGAATCTGGCGGACTTTGTCTTCGTCTTCGCTGTGGAGCGCATGTGAGGTGTTCGAATTTTCTTCCGTCATTTCCTCGTTTGTTCGCTCTTCCTCCATTTGATTCATGAACCGTTGCTGCATGTTTGTCATCTGAACAAGATTGGATTTATTTCAGGACAAGCTTAGGAATTTCAGAGTGACTCCTATAGGGGTTAGAGAGAAGAACAGCCCTTATGAGGGCCGAAAAATTGGTCCCTAGAGGGTTAAACTTAAGGTGCTTCCTATAGGGGTTTAAAGTCAGACTCGTTAGTCTCTAAAGCTCATAGATTTCATAAAAGTCATCGATTAGCATGTCCTCTTTGGGAGCCACTAACTAAAACCCCTATAAGGACTTTTTGACTCTTTTGCAAGTCTTAGACTTCTGTAGAGGTTGGTAAAGTGGTCCCTAGAAAAAACCCTCCAAGGGCCCCTATACAGACCACTCTGGAGTTCCTAAGAGTTTTGTCACCTGTTGCATTGCATTCGCTCGCATTTGAGCAGCTCTGGCAGCCCTTCTCGCTTTGGCTTCTTCGACCGTCTCGCGGTTCTCTTCCTCATTTTTCTCTTCCTTCTCCTCCGGACCTTCTATCTTCGTATTCATCAGTTCTCGGTACTTCTGTTCACATATACTTGATAGAAAGAGGATTGAACGAGTTTCCAAACCAGGACGACCCAGTCAATCAGTAGGTGGCAGATCGCACCCTCCTGCCGGTTTCTCAACGCTTCGATGGCAGAGAGTAGATCACACGTTTCTTGGGCGATTCTTGTGAATTCGAAACCGGGATCGCGAGTTTGCTCGTTCAAAGCCATGGCTATAAGGTAGACGCTCTGTAAAATGGGTCTTCGTCGTTGGATGGCGCCTTTCTCAACCTTATGAAGCAGACGATCGCTGGAAAACCGATTGCGACGTGCCGTTCGCTCCAAAACCACACGGAATATTTTGATTAGAACGGGAGTCAACAGGATGTTGGGAATCGACGAGAAAAATGGGGTGAACTTTGGCGGCATCGGTGGAGGACAAGCTCGCAAATTGCTGAAATGCCGATGAACTTTCAAGATAAGTATCCCTTCTTACTTGTCGCTGAGATTTGATCGGATTTTATGCTGGTACTGTTCGGCTTGAGACTGGTCGCTTCTCGAGTAATGGTAGAAGAACGGATTGTACTCGCAATAGAAAGACTCCCTCAAATGGAACTGGCCAGCCGAGGTTGCGACCGGCTTCCTTAAAACAACAAAAAGTGAATTGGAAGAAACGGAAGAACAAACCGGAAGTCCGAAACAGCGTTCACCGCCTCGTGCAGAGGAACCTTTTCCAATAGAATATCATGAGACATTTTTTGTTGAAGCTTAAGCAAATGATTGAAAAATGGAAGGAACTTCTATTCAAACAGTGCTGTATGGTTGAGATCCAGTACAGAGGACATGAACAACTTCTCGCTTCAAGAAGTTCAACAAGGTCGTCTCCCCGACACCAGGAAGATAGCGTTCACCTAAAAATTTGCCAAAATAATTTTGACTCGTTTCCATGGGCATTTGCGGAACCTATTAACCTTCTGGGAATGAAAAACTAGATTTTCTTCTCCTGCGAATAATGATTTGAAAATAAATTTTTTATAGAAAGAAGACTGAAAAATGTTTAACTTAGCTTTCTAATTTTCAGGAATACGTTCTTAGAAAAAATAATTTGTTGATGAGAGCTCATTCTTGAGCTTCAGTCTCATTTTAGCAGTTTCTCAGTATATTACGACATGCTAGTGAGACGAGAAAGTCAGTTGAAAATTCGAGTGATCTGACAGACGTCTGCAAGTTAGGCTTATGCGTCAGGCCAAGCTTCGAAAGAAAAAAAGATTAAATTTCATTGAAAAAATATCCCCTGAAGAGGTAAAATTTTAGGGTCAGAGCCCTTGGCCGCTAAAGCTTAAGTGGAACCTATGGGGGTCTTTCAATTTCATTCAAAAACGTTTATTTACTCAATTATCTTCGGATTCTAATTAGCAAATAAGTCCCTGAAGTTGCCCCTATAGGGACCGCTCTAGAGTCCCTGAGTAGTTTCTGATAACTCTATGTGAGAAAATGAGCACAAAAATCACTTTTCCGTAAAAATACGGCAAAAAGCAGAAAATTTGAGCTTTTCGGGCCGGCCATTTTTCGCTTAAGGCTTCCTAAGGTCGGGCCGGGCTCGGAAAATAAAAAGCTGACGGGCCGGCCCTCTCACAAGCCTGCTGCTTCTCACCCAGTAAGCATCAAAAAAGAAGAACAAACCGATGATAATGATGAGCAAGTGGAAGAGCTCTTCCGCGACGATCACCGTTATTTTGCTCATTTCCTCGGGCTCCATGCGTCCGTAGGGAGTCGCGCCGCGAGTCGTTCCGTCGTGAGCCGCTTCGGCCCAGCTGGCGAGTCTGTAGCGGCTCAGAAGGTGCAGGACAAAGTCCTGGGGCCTCAGACGCGCAGCGCCGACCTTTTTGCAAATAGAAGTCATTCCAAGGGGAGATGTACCTGCATCATCAGGATATCTCTGTCATACATCTCGTTTCGACAGAGAGGCGAGAAATAGTTATGGATTTGGTTGACAAGTGAGAAACCGTTGCGACGCCAAAGCTGAGCGCTGGCTTGAGCACACAGAACAAGGACTCTGGAAAAAGTCTTGTAAAATGAAGTTTTTCCTATCAAATTTCCAACAAGCAAGCTAAAGAAAAAAGGCTGATCTCATAATCAAAATAACTTTTTTTGGCTTCTCGAAGAGGATAAAGGCTAACAGGACTACTATTTTGTCTTGTTTCAAATTTCCCTTGTCCTACTTTTCTAATAAGAGGTCTTATGGCCCTTATAAATGTTTTATTTATTGTAAAATGAATAAACTGATGATGATGATGACGATGAGGGGAGGTCAACTCACTTTGCGGTTGGGAATTTCCTAGAATTTCTGCATTCTGAAGCGTTTTTTTCAGAATTTACGTCTTCTAGAAATTGCCATAATGCTGCAAAAAAAAGCCTAGGTAGAAAACTGGTAGAAAATCGACCGCGCATGGGGCAAATGGCTAAAAATAGCGATTCGGAAGCCAAAATAACTCAGTTCTCCTACAGAAAGTTCTAATCAAGCCCTTCGAACAGAGATGAATTTCTTATTATTTAATTAAAAAACTTGAGCTATTTCACTTCTCTTTAGGTTGAAAAAGTTCCCTAATAAGTTCCACAGCCCAATTTTTTCTAAAACACACAAGAACAAAATCATAAATACCTAAGAGAAGGCTCATAAAAGTCGCGGCCAAGATTCGAAACAGCTTCAACGATTCCTTTCTCCGAATCGGTCAATTCTTCCGGCGATTTCAGAAAGAAATCGACGCAGAAAGGTGAGATGAACAAGGCGGCGGTGAACCGAACCAGCGGATGATGGATCGAGACACCGCCTCGAGAGACTTCGAACGCTTTGACGTACGTTTGCTCGCCATCGACTGCAACTTCCCGAATGAGAATCATTACACATTGACTCACTGTTGACGAGGAAATGAGTTTCGCCGTTTTCACCAGGCAAGACGGTCACTGGATGCCGGTCCCACGCCGTGAGACATCGACTGAGAATCTCGTTGTGGACGACTTTCTGAAAGCTCTTCTTGAATTCAAAGCTCGGGAGAGAGGTCAGACGTCGCTGTTGGCCCAGGCGACCATCATGGAGATGACGTCTTTGATGCGGATCTGGATGTTGAAGGCGGTTTCCCACTCGGAGTCCCAGACTTGGTGTTCGACCGACTGGCGCTTCACCTCGTCCATGCCTTCGATCCGGTCGAGAAACTCGGTGAGGCGGTCGAAAGACTGCAGGAAGTTTTTCCGCAAGTCGTCACTCCATTCGGAGGGAGTGGGCAGGGAATTGAGCATGTACCTGGAAGAAAAGGTGTAGAGAGGAGGAAACCGAATTGGAAGAAACCCTCCGTCTCGTGTCATCTGCATGGCTCTCCGAAGCGAATTCGGGAATGTCCTCGTCGCGAAATCGAACCGAGTGAGCAAGTTTCCCTGTTCATCTCCTAAAAAAATGATCGACGTTGGGGGCTTTCTCGGCCAATGACTACTTTTCAAATAAGACGCGGTGTGACTGAGAAGAGTTTCGATGACTTTCGAGAGCGCGTCTTCTTCTGCTATCAAACGTCTGAATATTGCACAGTGGAACCAATCAAGGATAAAAAGGTCAGATTACTTCGCAATCGTGGGTACAGTCAGAAATTGAACAGTCAAACTGATGACCGAGACGTCCATGTCGTGGTCGTCTTCGATGAAATTGTGGTAGAGCTGGTCGAAATTCTTCAAACAGATGGGAATAAATCAATCAAGGTGCTATCCTCACAAACCCTCATGAAAACTCTTGCAAATTCGTATTTTTGATCCAAATTCATCAGAACAGTCTTCATCAACATCTGGTGGATACTCACACGAGCCGCTGAAAAAGATAAATGAAAGAATAAATTCAATGAGGACCTCGGGGGTTGCAAAGTGGTCCCTATAGGGACAAAATTATGGGCTCTTGAAGAATTCTCGCTAGGGACCACTTTACCAATTCCTATAGGGCCGTTAAAGCGTGCAAAACTGGTCCCTATAGGGGACATGCCAGTCGATAATTGTTATGGACCTTAAGCGAAGAAGCATTTTCATAGGAAACTAAAATATGTAAGCGTTTTTGAATGAAATCCTGTAGGATCTACTAGTTTTAGGAGCTAATGTGTCAGACCCTAGACCCCTATAGGGACCACTTTTTCGGCCCCATAACCCCATTGGGACCATTCTTTTCTTAGACCATTCAAATTCCTAAGTATAAGGACATTCTAAGAGGCCCTTGAAGAGTTAGTAATCCCTACAGGGACCACTTTTTCGGCCCCATAACCCCATTGGGACCATTCTTTTTTTTAGACCATTCAAATTCCTAAGTATAAGGACATTCTAAGAGGCCCTTGAAGAGTTAGTAATCCCTACAGGGACCACTTTTTCGGCCCTGATGGTCTGGTTTTCCCCCTAACCACTATAGGGATCACTGTGGAATACCTAACACTAACAAACCTTTCCACATGACCGAGTCGCACTTCAGGAGAAGTTCGGCAAATGAAAGAATCTGAAGATCTTCGGCCGGGACTTCTTCTTTCTCGTTCGACGGCGTCGTTTCTGGCGGAAGCTCAACCACGACCTCCGTGGGACTCTTGGGCGGCGGCTGGCTCGCGTAATTGTGCTCCATCGACTTGGTCCGCTTCCCTCGCCGTTCCAGTGGAAACGTGCTGTACAGCAGCACGTCGCCGACTATTCTCCGAAGTGGGGCTGAAAAAAACGGCCATTCCGATGTTTTGGCTCGAAAACTAACGAAAGTTCTCCATTTGAGCGCAAAGCCAAGCGAGCAGGCTTATCGCATGGTTCTGATGAGCAAAAAGATCGCTATCCATCACCTCAACCGAATGTTTTAACGCAAGGCTTTTCGAAAACCAAAACCTTGACATGCAACGGGAGGTTTCTATCTTGATTCAACCGTCTCATATTCTGCGCATTGACGTCACGTTGAGTCCGCCGCTGAAAAATAAACATCATAATTAGCCAAAAAGAATAAAAACTCTACTGAAAGCCTGAAAAAGTAATAACTCTAGTTGAATCTAAACACCCAGCCTGACGCACAAAATGGCTCCAGTTTCTTTTCATTTTTTGCTTTCAATAAACTTTTTTGATCCTTAGAGGGGACATGCTAGTCGATAACTTTTTTTTTCAAGAGAACAGTCTAAAATAATGAGGGCCTCGGAGGGTCCCTCTAGTGACAGCTTTACCAACTTCTATAGGGGTCATTAAAGCTTGCAGAAGTGGTCCCTAGAGGGGAGATGCTAGTCGATAATTGTTCTGAACTCTAAGCGAAGAAGTATTTTCATGAGAAAAACAAACGATTTTAGAATAAAATTGAAAGACCCCTATAGGGAACACTTAACCTCTAGGGTTTGAGGGACTCTATACGGGGTTTAGGGTCTGTAAAAGCTATCAAATAGCAGTCTAACACTTGTTTTTATCCCTAGAGGACCACTTTTTCGGCCCCTATATTCGAAAAATGAATACCGTAACACTTGTTTTTACCAATAGAGGGACCACTTTTCGGTCCCTATAGGGGCTGGATTTCCTCCTAACCCCTATAGGGACCACTCTGAAATTCCTAAGATGAAAGAAACCTTTAAATCTCAGATTATCAACTTTCACGCAGAAATCAAGACGAACCATGACATCTTCCTTCACTTTTATGCAATCGCCCTTGTTGGACATTTTGACGGCGCTGCGACCTTCTCGGTCCACAATCGTCGCGACGAGCATGGCCTGGTCTTTGGAGCAGTGAATGCACAGTTCGAGAACTCGAATAACCTTCAGAAAGAACAATTATCTGATGAGAAAAAACGACGTACGTTTTCGTAGGTATGAGTTTCGTCGTTGTAAAGAACTGTTAGGAAGTGATGAGGAGCACAGGGTGCGGTTGAAGAGGCAGCCCTGCAAACTTTGAAAGTGAAAATCAATGAAATATTCTTCATATTTGAAAGTTTCTTCTCGAAATTCTTTAAACGCGGCTTTGAGAACATACATGGCCAGACCATGTTTAAAGGCGCCTCCTCCCGATTTTTACTAAATTAAACTTATTACTACCTTCCTGTGGCTGAAACTTGATTTTGTTCCTGATTATTAAAAAAATTTTGTAGGCCAACCTATCCTCCTGAATGAGTTCTGTACTTGTCTATCTATGTTTTAGAATAAAAATCATGAATTATTTCAACAATAATAATGAGATCTTCCCTATTTTCCCGCTACTCTTTGCTTTCTGTTTGAAGTGGTGATATCAGAAAAAATATATGAAAAAAAAAATTTATGATTCCCTCGGAAAAAAAAAATTGTCAGAGTGCAATTTACCACGGGATAGTACTCTATCTAGGCATCTGGAAAACTCCGAGTAAAAAGAAAATGTAGTTTAAAATTGTTCGAATAATGAAAAGTTAAAACTCTAACCTTCCTTGAAAATTTCTCTTTATTATGACCGGAATATACTCGTTTGCTTCGTGACAAAATATCAAAAAAATTATTCAAGTGAATTTCGAAAAATAGTGCTTACTTTTCCCCTTTTTATTTCAAGTTGCTAGTTTTTAATTGTCGAAAAAACTCTGAACTCAATTTTCCTTCAAGTAATACCTCTGCAGAAGAGGCGGCAAAGTGTCGCACTCCTCATAAGAAATCAAAGAAACGCAGTAGCCGAGGATCATTTCGATGAGCCGTCGGACCCTCACTACGAGGTCTTCTGGCATCATTTGCGTCAATTCCGAGTTTCTAAATCATCCATTTTGAAGAGGAACTATTGGTGGAAGTCTCACTCTTTCACAGAATGGATAGAACAAACGTGGCCTTCGCTCCAGGCGTCGACATCTCCGCAGTCGCAGTAGCCAGAGCCACTCGAGGCGTGCATCTGAAAATGGGTAGTTCGTTTGGAAATTGAAACATCCCGGTTACCTTGTACTTGTGATTCTTGTGAATGGATGATTCAAAACAAGCCAGGCACATGACACACGTAACATCTGTCGCACAATCTCTGAAAAAAAAAACATGAAAGAAACGAAACTATAGTGATTTCTAAGGAAACAAAATGATGAGAAAAGTCGAATCATACTTGCAGGTGTAGGTGAGCTCCCCAGAACGAAAGACATGGCCGCAAATGTGACCGGAAGACTGCTGCGGACTAGTTCCAGCGATATCGTTGAGAGGCAGGAGCGTCGCCGATTGGTTGCCCGAGTCGGCGCAAAATGCGCTCGTCAGAGGAACGAACAGCTCTTCATCTAAATTCCAGCAGCTTCAAAACCACAAGATATTCAAACTGACTAATTAGCTTATCATTGTGAGGCTGTTCCCAAGGATGATCGGGATTTGGAGCGAAAAGTTTGGGACACACAGTCAACCAGTGGTTGTACAGAATCTTCGCGCTCTCGCCCCATTGTTCTTGTTGTGTTGCAGTCACCAAGTCCACGATCATCGCTGCATTTACTCCTGAAAGGAGCCGTTTGAAAAACTTCCTCAACCAAAAAAGGATTAAACGTCGTGAAAAACATAGAAGACCGATTGAAACGACAAACCGAAATCAATCTTATGATCAGACAGATTATCAAAGCTCTCGATGGGATATAAGGATGATAGGTGGGAAGATAAGAAATGAGCAGCGCGTGTGACTTGAAGTCAATAGAGCAAGATTGAAAACAGGCCGACGGCCGGGTCAGCCGAATTTATTTGGAATTCTAGGCCACGTCGCCTAGGGCGCGCTTTTGAAAAAACTTTTCAGCTCGAAATTCAAGTTAATTTTTGAAAGGAAAGAAATTTTTGATAAATTTTAGATTTCAAACGGAAATTGCGGTTTTAAAATCTTCAACAATAGTAAAAATTTCAGAAAGGTCAAACTTTTCGAAGTTTTATCTCATTTCAACACGTCGATTATCTCATTTCAACACGTCGACTGGTCGGTCTCTTTGCCGCTCTCTCATGGGATAATATTCCGACGCCCGTCAGCCCTGGACAAGCTGGGCGCCGTACTGTTCCAACATGGTGAAGCAGTTTATTCGCTGGTACTACTAACGGGCCAAAATTATTTCCCAACGCTAGCTGTCACTCCGGGACGTATTGGACAACAATTGTGGACCGTAACCCGCGCCGACGACTAACTCTTCGGTTATACCATGATTCAGCAGAGATTTTCTTCATCTTACTCTGAAGACTGAATGAATTGAATTGAATTGAAAACTTTTTCGAAAAAAATTTTTTTGATCGAACTCTTTGTAGTCATTTTTAAAAATTTCGTTTTTCGGACAATTTTTTTCATTTTTCGAACATTTTTTTATAAAATTCTACGATTTATCAAAAATGGTCTCCTATCGAATGGGAGTAAAAGTAATAAACACGGTACTGAAAAAAACCCCCATGTCTATCATTATTTTTTTAATAGTTTCTGCAAAGTATGAACTTTTTTTACTTCAGAAAAAAATTAGAAGAAAAAAAGATAGTTTCAGAGAAAAACTCAGAGGTAATATTCCAGCTTTTTGTGAAAGAAAAAAAATAATTTAGAATCTAAAAGTTTAAAAAAAGTCACAATGTGGGATTTTTTTAGCGTTTGCGTCGATGTGTACACGGGATCCAAACTAACACTAATAGTGAAATAAGGCACAAAATGTGCGCACTTTCTTTTTGGTCCGACGGCTCATCAAAATGATCTTCGGCTGTTTGAACTAAAAAAAATATCAGTCCATCGGTTTTTTGAAATCAAGAGCGTGAAATGCTGTGAATAAACTCATTTCCAACAGCTCATCTTTGAAAAGATGTATTTAATAATATTTCTCTTCCCTTTCTTGGTAATAGATGCTTCTGAGGAAGAAATCTTTTTTAGATTTGTTCTAAAGCGCCTGAAACTCCGCAAATGGTCTTTAGGATCAAAATAGCCCCTGCGCCTACGCCGGTAACTTCTGTGCCGAAAACAACAGGTGACTCAAAACCAACGGTATCCTCGAAATCACTTCAGTTCTCACTCTAATTGTATCCCTGTTGCCAGAAAAAAAAACTATTTTCTTAAACAAAGTCGTTTCATCCAAGCCCAATTTGAAAGTAAAGGAAATTTTTCAACAAATTGGGCGCAAGAAGCACATCTTCAACACATCTCTCAAAGCCAAAAGCTCAAATTTCTCTAAAACAGTTTTTAGCGCTAAAAGAATTTGTTTAAATTTCGAAAAAAAAAATACAAATATAGTTAGTTTTTCCCCGAATTGACAAGGGTAACGCAGAGTTACGCCCACCTCCCCTCGGAAAATGTTTTTCTGCGTTTTATTCTTTAAAGCAAAAAGGAAAAAAAATAAAATATTTCCCAATTATATGTAATCGACATCGCTTAACACATCGAGACAAATTTTGAAGCTCTTATCGTCTTTTGTGTTTTTGGACGGATTTTCAAAGCTAAAATCACAAAAAAACGACGAAACGCGTTGCGTACGCGACGCGGCTTTTTGCAGGTAACCCGAGATCATGAAAAAAACAAAACGATCAACCCAAGGATTGACTCTACAACTACTCATTTTTTTTTCAGCTAGTGTGACTTTTGAAGCAAAAAATACGAGTAAAGTTCAACCTGAAAAAACGACTTCGAAAACACTCGTTTCAAGTACAGTTCCGACAATATCTCGTAATGATAATTTCGGTTAAGCTGTGAAAAGTAAACCAGTCTCCACTAAGAAAAGCTCGAAAAGGCCGACTGGAACGACTACGAAATCGAGTGTTACTCCGACCGGTGCTTCAGTTCTGCTGTGGGAACAAAAATTAGTCTTGTAACAGGTTCTTCAAGAAATGAGACGGATACCACTCGAACCTTCGGAAACACCAGCATTTCCCCTATCAACACAACTGTCGATGCAACTACGTTTAAGCTGCATACCAGTACCGCTCCTGGGAGCTCATCGACAGACGAAAGTGAGTATAACTTTCTCCAACTACTAGATCTCCTTTCAGCCTACACGAGCATGACAAGTACACCGTACTTTCCGTCGAGCACCACTTCTGAGACCCATTCGAGCCGTTCAAACACGCCGAACGTAGCCATTACAACTGTTTCTCGTCGGAACCGTCTAAACCCACGGCGAAGACAAGAGACTTCTCCTTCGCATCGTCAAAACAAAGAGTGAGAGCCAAAAAAGACTCAAGTAAAGTCGGAATGTTGGATGAAGTCCGCTAAAAGGGAGAGGGTCAAAAAAGGTCGCAAAAAGAGTCCCTTTATCAAGCCACACCAGTTCAGACCTACAGGGACTCGTCCGGTTTTCTCTGTGCCGTCTCTGCTGGTAGACCATTTTTGACCACTTTTTTCTATTCAATAAAATAAACACCAATATTTTCGACATTAATAGATAAAAAAATTTCAGAAAAAAACGGGTTTTTACTCATTAAGGACGGATTTCTCAAATTAGCCCATTTTTTCAAGACTTAATTAATAAAACTAAAATTTCATCTTTGAAGTTTCTAATTGTGTTTTTCTTCAATTTAGTCTATTTTTTCTCACAAAAAACTCGTTATTAACGGAGATATCGTCCGAAAACGGCGATTGGTGCATACACAATTTAAACCTACAAAAAATATGTGAAATAGTCGATGCTTACAGTCGGTCAAATTTTTCTTTAACATTTTCTGATGCATAATTTGATATTGAAGATAAATGAGCAAATATTGCCTCTTTCTCTTTTTTTAGCTTCAAAAAATTTTTTTGTTGATTTATAAAAAAATTTGGCAGTATGTAAATTTTTCGTCAGCGGTGAATGCACAAGAAACATCTTATTTGACGACTTTTTTGGTGGGGTTTTTTCCACCTTTTCCGACTTTGCCTTTGAATAAACTTTGGATTTTCAAAAAAAAAAGCTTACAGAGGCGATAGCAAGAGTTATTTCACCGAAACATTGTGAGTTGACTCCAAACAATGATTCTTGAAAATCAATTGTCAGACGAACTTTTGGCCTAGTGGCCCTGGTAGCGTTGACGGTGCTGGTGGTGGTGGGTCTCTTCGCGCTTTTAGTGGCTTATTTCCGTCGCTCCAAGGCCGAGAAGAAAGCCCAAAAAACGGCGGAAATAATGAAAAAGAAGCCGAAAAAGGTTTTTCTAGTGAAGTCTCGAGAGCATTCCTCTCTTCAGAATCATCGTCGAGCCTCAGTTCTCCCGAAGAGAAGACACAACCATGACCACGACGTGCCAGTTCCCAAAACACCTACGCTAACTGGTCAATTGGGCAAGTCTTTTCTAGGATTAACCTTGTAAATATTCGAGTGCAGTTCAAAACATTGGAGAGATGGGCGACGCCAACTTGCTCGCTCTTTCTAGAAGCGAGATGCCCAACGAGGGATTGGATCAGGATGAAGTGAGTTCTTGGAAAAGAAGGGCAGCCGGAGTTTAGATCGGGTTTAGGCCTAAATTGAATGCCTCGGTGGGACTCTAAAACGAGATTGAAGCCTAAGAAAAACTTATAAAATTTTCTTAGGAATTTCAGAGTGGTCCCTATAGAGGTTAGGGGGAAAACAGTCCCTATTGAGGACGAAAAAGTGGTCCTTATAGGGTAAAATCAAGGTGGTTCGTACAGGGGTTTAGACTCTGACCCTTTAGCCCCTAAAGTTTGTGGTCCCTATAGGGGTCTTTCAACTTCATTTAAAAAACGCTTAATTTTCCGCATAGGAAAAAAAATTAATTTTTCGCATAGAAAGCTTCTTCTCATGGAGTACATAAAACTTATGGATTAGCATTTCCCCTATAGGGACCGCTTTTGAAAGCTTTAGGGGCCCCTATAGGGGTTGGTCAAGTCGTCCCGAGAGGGGACACCCCTAAGTTTGCCCCTATAGAGACCACTTCGGAGTTCCTAAGTTCTGTACCACCTTTTTCGTTCCTGAGAATACACGCAAACCCGAATCAAACTCCGAGAAGCCCCTTAGAAGATCCTCAAGAGGTTCTTTCCAACTGAATAAATTCTCAGAAAGAGGAAAAGAGCAAGAAAGAAGTCAAGATCGTGGAATCGGCTTCTTCACCTAAACAAGACATCACCACAAGAAACGACGACTTGCACTTTGTCTGTCTTTCTTGATCAAGAACGAGTAAAACTCACGAATTTCAGAGCAGAAGAGGTGAACGAGTGTTCCTACGTTCCGACGATGACATTGTAATCGAAAAAGTAATTGGAGAAAGTTTATAGGGTAGGGAAATTAAGTGAGTTTCAGGAACGAGAAGATCAAATAACACGATGATAAACTGAAAAGTCTACGAGAAAGACAGTATCCTTAATAAACGAGATTATAAACAGCAGCTATACAATGAATATAAAGTACAGTAAACTCGAAAAAAAATAAAGAAATTACACGTTGACGATTATTTTCTTTGAAAACATTTTACTCTTCGATGTCGTGCAAAATTCGATTGATGCCTGAAAGTTCCAGTTCATTGATATAACCCAAATCTCAAATTACGCGTTGATGGCCTTCTAGAAGAGGCGGGAACTGAGTCGATGTGGGACATGTCGAGATCTCCGAAAGTCAACTGAAACGAAATGAAGACATTGACGAAGCTGATAAAATTCCCAATCACATCAAGGTTGTTCTTCTCTGGCAACGGCGTTGAGCACAGCCGGCCTCCGTTCGGCAATAGCGATTCGTCGAGAATTGTCGTTTCCATTGGATTCGGTTTCGTTGTACTGCTTTTCGTCTTCTAAAATTTTCGATATGGGAGCTTTCTATTTGAATCAGTAATGGACCTAAGATTCTTGTAAGATTCTGCTTAGGAACTCCAGAGTGGTCCCTATAGGGGCAACCTTAGGGGCTCTAGGCCCAATGTACGAATCCCTATGGGGTCCACTAAAGCTATCAAAAGTGGACCCTATAGGGGTTTTAGTTAGTGGCCCTTATAGGGGCATGCTAGTCGATAAATTTTTTGAACTCTATACGTTTCCTTGCGAAAACAAGAGACCTTTCTTGAATAAAATTGAATGACCCCTTTACCATCCCCATTAGGGACCATTAAAGCTCGCAAACGTGGTCCCTATAGGGGTTTCAGTTAGACGCCTCTATAGGAGTCATGCTAGTCGACTTGACTTAAGCTTTAAGGGCTAATGGATCAGACCCTGAACTCCTAGAGGGATTACTTGATTTTACCCCTATAGGGACCTCTTTTTCATTTTTTCCTAACATCTATAGGGACCACTCTCAAATTCCTAACACACGTAGAAAACAACTTTTTGGTTTTTCTTTGTTCCGAAGATGTGCTTTGGAAAATTCTGATTCCCCTAAAAATCAGAATTTTCAGAAAACCCTAAAAATTCATTTCACTTTCCTCCGTTTCAAAGCGAGTTCTAAGACTTAGGAACAAATAGTTATTTTTTTCAAGGCGCCATATTTAGATTCCGTATTAGAACAAAGAACATTTTGAGTGAATTTTCAATGATTTCAATAAATGATCTCAGTACATTTTTCTCGCGTGTAGACGTGTTGACCGTGACATTTGTGCAGTTGGAGAGACGTGCACTACGGCGAACAGTCACGTTCCGAGTTTCGTCGAGACGCGGCTTCTTCCACGCAGGCGAGCTCTCGTCGCCGTCCGGTTTGCCTTCTCTGGAGCGTCGCGGTCCGTCGACGCTTTCTTAACATTTCGAATGGGTTCGGAAGTGGGAGCTGAAGTCATACCTGCGCTGTCGCAGTTTTCCTGACCTGCGTCGGCATTTGGTCCAGCTTCGTTCTGAAAATAAATGCATAGTTGCCTCATAACTCTTCACACGGTTTCAAGACATCGTGAAGTTTAGTATAGCTGGTTCACGGCTAACTTGGAATGCTGGCCTGTCTGCCCTCTCCACCAGCCAGGAACTATCTCTTTTCCTATCGTGACAGGACCTTTTTTCCGATGGCTCAAGCTATAAGAAATCGCCGCCTACTTGATCAGAAGCTGCAAAGGCAGCCTCGGAACTGCCGGCAAGGGCAACAACTGGCGTCGATTGCGCAGAAGGAGCCTTCTGGGAAACGTTGACAGGGTTGGACGTGCATCTTCGACTGCTCAGCCGTCGGAAGGAGGTTTTGGGAGTCTCGCTATCCATCTTTTGAGACTCGTCGGCTGGATTCTCTCGCTGTTCCCTCTTTTCACTCTGCCTTGGAGTTTTTTCAGCTTCATCTTGCGTGTCTGAAACTTACTGATAAGCAATGAAACATTTAGGACAAACCATCCAAACAGAGGGGTTTCAGACCGAGGATATTTCCAGCAACAAGAGCCGATATAGATCGTCGCTAAGATGGAATAATCATTATGAAACGACTTTTTATTTTGAAAACCAATTTTCGGACTGTTTTCGGAGAGAGCGGCATTTTCGAAGTTTTCGTCGCAGGTGACGAAAGAACCGACTCGGGCTGCTCGACGGGCGGTTCTTCTTCCATTTCGACTTGGTCTACAGCTTCCTCGACAGGTCTGAATGCAAAAATCAGCCAGGGGAGCTTGATGAAAATCACGTTTCTATGTTCTGTTTCTTGTTGTACTCGACGACTTTCTTCCAATGAGCATGGATGATTTTGTAGGCTTCTTCTTTCCTCTCCTGAAAACTTCTCGTCGGATTTCATATATGTCCTTTTTTTAAAGATGGACTTGGTCTTATTTGAACTTTTAGTATCCTGCTCAGGAATTTCAGAGTGGTCCCTATAGGGCTTTAAGGTCTGAATTTGCCCCTAAAGCTCAAGTGGGCACTAAAGGGGTCTTTCAATCTCATTCAAAAAACGCTTAATTCCCAGTTTTTTTTTCCCATGGAGCTCAGAGTTCATAACAATTATCGACTAGCCTGTCCCCTATAGAGACTATTTTTGCAAGCCTTAGTGGTTCCTTTAGGGTTTAGTAAAGTGGTTCCAGATGGGACCCTCCAAGGGCTCCTAAGGCTTCCCCTATAGGGACCACTCTGGAGTTCCTAAGCCTTTTTTTCATAATAAAAGTGTATAGTTTTTGCTAGCAAAGAAACAATGAAGAAGAAAAACAGTATGACTTCGAGATTTACCTGAATTCTTTTGAGCTCAAAGGCCATCTCGGCCTGGAGCTGCTTGTTGTCTTTCAGGATCTCATCAGTGTCACCTTTGTGTTCGACGCAGATCGATCTGAATAATATCGTTTCATGAAAAGACGTAGGATGCGGGAAACCGAACGGCGAGAAGACAAGTGCGGAGAAGAGGCGAGTGGAATTCTTTCAAATACTCGCGGAGGTTCAAAATCGACGGGACGATCACTTCGAGTGATTCTCGCTGATACGCCTTCTGAATTTCGCTCTGGGCGGCGCCCTAGAGAAAAAAGAAGTCAATGCATGAGAGCCGCTGGAAACCGACCAAGATGGCGTCTGGGACGTCGTCCATCTGAGCCTCGTCGGTCTCGCCGACGCCGACCTCGCCCCGGACCCGCATGTCATCGCAAGCCATTATCTGGAAAAGCATGTCTCAGTTATTTTTCTGAATCCCATCCAGGTAAACCCTCAGAGAGTCATCCAGAATCGCCTGAACGCAAGAATCTTCGTAGGCGTATTCTCCGTTTGCGATCGGGTTCAACACCTAAATATCTCAATCATGTTACGGAGTTGTAAGTTTGAAAGGGGTTCATTTTCTTGATTGATTTGATCGTGTTATTTTTGAATTATGGCAAAAAAAAAAAGCCGCGACGGAGGCAAAAATTGGGTTTCAAAATGCGCTCCATGGAAAAAGTCGTCCAATTGGAAAATGCATTTTTATTTATTTCATTTTTCTCAAACTTCCTTGATTATTCGAAAATGGGTCTCGACACGATAATGCACGAGATAGTGCCTGGCTCGTGGAGAGCGCAGACAGGCCACGCCGCCTTAGCGTGTCAAGCTAGCCGTGAAGACACAGAAACATGGATAGTAACTAAAAATTGAACAAAACCCGGGAAATTCACTTAAAATCGGACACGTTGTCCACAGAGCGCGCTTTCAAGTCCATTTTTCGCCCGCGAAATTTAAGCGGATCGTCACTCGAAGCTATTTCTTGCACGGCAATTTTCGGTTGGCTCGATTTTCGTTTACAGTTCGACGGTTCGATTTTCGCAGCTTTTTTAATCATATACCCAATAAAAAAAAAATTGCGCGAAAACCCGGAAAGTTGAAATTAAATGAAATGAAATGTTTATTTCGCTCACAGACAGATCTGTGGCGTGGAGGAAGAAAACCATGAAAGTTATATTTGAAAGTTATATAGTTCACTTAAATTCGGACAAGTTGTCCACGGAGCGCGCTTTCAGGACCATTTTAGGCCCGCGAAATTTAAGCGGCCCGTCACTCGAAGCTATTTCTTGCACGGCGATTTTTTCGTTGGCTCGATTTTCGCAGCTTTTTTTTTAAATCAAATGATCTCTACCTTAAGACAAATGCTCTTTTTAACGTCGAATCTATCGCGGTCATCAAGGGAGGATATCTGAAACAGAGATCGGTTCGAAGAATCTTGGATGAGACGGAAAACCATGAACTTGTACAAGGCGATGCGCCACGCCTGTGGAATCGGCTGGCCGTCTTCCAAGTTGACCTCCAACCTCTCGCTGAGCTCTTTTCCTGAATTTCCGCGATTAGAAAGTCGAAGATACACGATTTGCTCAACCCGTGTCGCTCTTCTCCCGTTTGGCCTGCGTGAAGTATATCATGTACTCCACGAAACGATCCTTGAACAGTCCCTTGATTTGCTTCTTCAATACTTCGCTCTGAATCGCCACGTTTCGAACAGTTTTTTCTCTCTTAATAGCCAACCAGAGATATTTTCGCGTCTTCTCGGACGTCGGGGTTCTCATCCAAAACGGCCAACATCAGACGCACCATGATCTGAAATCATTTCATCACTAAAGAATATCAGTTTTAACTATATTCGAGTTTATAGCCAATTCACAACTAGTTTGGGACGCTGAGAGGGCATGACCTGTCTGCACTCTCCACCATTCAGGCACTGTCTCTTTTCTTATCGTGTCGGGACCCTTTTTTTCGATGGCTCAAGCCAGCCGTGAATCAGCTATGAAATTCGAAACAAGGCAGAATTATAAAGTTTTGGTAAAAAAAAAAAAATTTCTTTTTTTACTTTTTAAAAAAATCGCAATTTTTTTCATTTTGAATTTGCAAAAGTTACATCTACCAGATTGGAAACTAATCAAATTTCAAAATAATCACGGCGTTTTTTTATTTTTTTCCGTAAAGTGTATTGTATTGTGTGCATGCACCGCGACGCCCTCGCACATACCGTGTCCAAAGTCATTTTCGCGAAATTCAAAATAATCTCTAATATTCCGAAATTCAGTTATATTTTTCACTATCTGGCGGCTATTTTGAATATCGCGGAATCACTTTGAACACGGTAACAGAAAAATTGCGTTTTTAAAATGAGAATTCGATTCGTCTCATGACCCATTGAACATGCGCCTTTAATATTCCCTGTTGTTTGAGCTTGTTTTCTATGACGTCACATGGGAACGGCGAAGGTTTTGACTCCGCCCCATTCGTTTTTTTGTTTCCCATTCTCTTCGACTAACAAAAACGCCGTGAAGTAAAGAATTCAAGTAAAACGATCAAACAATACTCAAAAAATACTCTGCTTTTGTCAAAAGTCCCATGAAAGTCCCAATACCGCTTTCAATGTTCGAGTCTGCTCGCCTAGCAACAAACTTGACATTACCTCGCCCTGGAAGCGCAGAATTTGATTTCCCACAAGACGAGTTATCTGGCCGACGGCCTGTCTTCGGATCAAAACCGACGGATCGTTGAGACAAGCGCCCAACGCGTACGAGTACCTGTCTAGTTTGTACCTGAAACCGATAAAACCTTGAAGTTTCCTTGGTTGAAAACAGACGTTTCAATGACGTCGGACAATCCAACAAGAATATTCGAGCGGATCTGATAGGAAACGTTGTTCTGCAACTGCTTGACCAACCGGGGAATCGTGATAAGGAGCCTCTCGTCCTGTTAACAAGACTACGATGATTTGGGATACGCAGAGTGGACTGACGGCGATGCACATGTTGCAGAAGACGAGGGCGCAGACGGCTCTGACGGAGACGCTGAACGGAACTTCTTTCATGTGAGACCCCTGCAGCCCCTCGAGCATCGTCGGCTGAGATTCGACGAACGGTTGCTGAACAACATCTTCCACTCCTATTTCTCGACGGAGGGCTCACCGATTCGGGATTCTGTGAGAAACGGTTTCGCGGCGAGTTCGGAGCATAAGTCGTCAGGCCGGAAACGGCTGAAAGAAAGATATGAGATAGCGGTCCATTTTTCGCGACTTGAAAGGGCGGGACTTCTCTGCGCCCTCCTCGTCTCTCTTGTTGACGCGCTATTTTCGCTTTTCTATGACCTCGCCGGTGAGGGAACAGAGAGACTCAGACACTCGAAAACTGTCAAGTCACTATAGAATATGTTTGAAAATACTTGCTGAGATATTTCTAAGCGCAAAAAACTCGCGTGGCCTGAAATAGAACCGTGGAAGACATAAAAACAATCTGTACTCCTACAAAAACCTCAGGAAACATTTTTCAGTTGATATCGAAAACTTTTCACAACCTCAATAGGTTTAAATATGAATAGGGCTCTAAATTAATAGATTTTTTTTTCTAAAAATTGTAAGTCAGGTCCAAATTCGAGGTTTTTTTCGGTTCTTGACTCGCCAACCAATAGTCTAGGCTTTTTCAAAAAACTTTTCCAGAAAACCAAAGACATGATGGAAAATAAAAAAAAACTTCTGAAATCTATCGAAGAAAAGAATAAAATGATGATTAAAGACTTCAAATCACGTACAATTGCACAATTCCTCGTCTCTGTACTGGAGAATGAAGAGAAGAGTCTTGGCAAATCGGTCGCATTGTTCCAGAACCGAAGGGGAATACTGAAGGGCTTCGCTGACTGTTTGAAGCGCCCTGATCAGTTTCGTCTCTTCTTCTTCCTGGCTGGAATCATCAATATACTTAATGGGAAGCTATTTTTGAAGAGGTTATAGGTGTTTACAAGTTCCCATTCCGAATAACCGAGGAATCATTTACTCTTTTTATCAGTTATTGAACTAAACAAATACGGTTGCAAAAAGGAAGTGACTGTAAAATGACCGCTAACAAGGTTTTGTTTTCCGGCCTTTATTGAACCTTTCTTTCTTGGTAAGCTAAAAAGATTCAAAAAAGGGGTGAAAAAAGAGAGAGGCCGCAAATAGGGTGAAGAAAGAAGGAGGGTGCAAAAAGTGTGCTGAAAGTCGGCCATTGATGATTTCCGATTTATTCCAGTAGCACATTTTGGTTCGTATACAGTACTGATAAAGATCATTCTCAATACAAAAAATTATTTGTTTCTCAAAAGGGTCCTAAAAGAGTGGATGAAGGCCGATGAAAGGACGGAAAAGGGCAGTAAAAAGGAAACTGTTGCCACCCACTAAGATCAATTAATGAAAACCTATTGCATCCATAACGGAAGCTCAAAGAACCCGTTAAGGCTCCTTCCGACTTTGTCTATGATTTACAGTTTTATTGTTTGGTTTGTGGAAATAAAAGTATGCTCAGACAGTCCTCAGTAATAATTGTAAAGAACCTCTCGAATATCGCAAAAATTACTTATAGCCCTCTACAGACTTGTTACCTTTTCTGAGCTTAGACTTAACTAAATAAAAATGAATAAAAAAAAGGAAACAGTATTTTGTGCGTATCTAATTCGAGTATATCGGAAACGAAATGCATAGTTTTCTTTTTTCAGTGAGGAAAAAAGAGGACCATCTGTCCCAATCGGCCTTGCTCAGCCCGAGTCGCCAGGCCGTGGTCAACACGTCGAAGCACTTGTCGAGCGTCGTCTTGGCGAACGTCTTCAGGGCGTCGGCCCCCGTCGCCTGCTCTCCCACGCCGTCTAGAAGCTTCGCCACACAAAGGTAGACCTCTTTGACGTTCTCTTGATGAATTCTGCGAAAAAGAAATAATGATGTTGCGACTTGTCCAAACCTCAAGTTGAGCAATTGATTTTTCATCGAATTCAACAGTTTGTTCTTTTCATCCGACCCGATTTGCTCCAAACACGAAACGATTAAATTGATGATATACTTCTCCTGGAGGCTTGGATTGAATGAGTTTTAGAAAGGAATCGATTACCGATTTGTTGATTTCCATGTTGTCCATGACGTAGTAAGCGTCGATTGCCATGTTCACATTGGTCTGTAAGGAGAAGTTTTCGCTTTGGAAGCGATAGAAAACCTTGAAAACGATAGAAAGTTGAGAGAAGACCATCCAGGCGCAGGTGCTCCCCTGAGCGTCGTGCAGGTAATTCTCCATGGTCTTAGCGACCGCTGGAGTGATCACTTTAGTGCGCGCGCCTTCTGCCAATGTGGTCATAAAGTACTGCCTGTACTACTTGTCGATTAGAGCTACGGCGCAGAAATACAGACCTGAAGAGGCGATTCCCTTCGATGACTTTGAGAAGCTCCCAAGTCAGGTCGTTAGGAGCTTCGAGGAGGGGAACGACTACGTTCTGAGGCAGAAAAAGTTTTGGACGAACTTAGGGATACGCCTACCAAGACTAATTCCTTCGTGACTGCTTGAACTTCTGACTCGGCGTCTTCGAGCAATGGAAAAAGACAGTTTAGCCATTTCTCACTCATCAAGTCTCTAGAAGAAAGTTTTTTTCATTAAACAATTAAAACATGGGAGAGAATACATAGAATATAGCTGATTCACGGCTAGTTTGGGACGCAAAAAGGCGTGGCCTGTCTGCGCCCTCCATCAACAAACAAGTCACTAACTCTCTTCTTATCGTGTCAGGACCCATTTTTCGATGGCTCAAGCCAGCCGTGAATGAGCTATATAACGCTATTCTACCATAGAAAACGCCCTATGTTTTCCTTTTCAAAACCCATTTTCATCCTAAATGTCCTATTCACCTAAAATGGCTAGAAAGTTCTTTTGAAACCCTTTCGAAAATCCTTTTGAATTTTCCTCATGTAGAAAATCTATTTTAAGGGAAATCCATAGTACAAAAAACAGTTAAAAATAATCTCGGGTTCCAACGTCCTAACGATACTAAATAAAATCTTGGAAACACAAATTCAGTAACCGTGAACATCTACATATTCGCAGGAAGCAAAAAGAGAGAAAGGGCGGGACTTCTCTGCGCCCTCCTCGTCTTTCGACGACACTCTCTTGTTGACGCGTTATTTCCAATTTTCTTTGACCTCACCGGTGAGGGAACAGAGAGACGCAGACACGCGAAAACGCGGCGGGTGCACTAAAGGACTCACTTGAACGAGATTTTGTTCTCCGTCATGAGTTCGTTTATCGTCTGCGCGGCGTGTTTCCTCACGGCCGCTGTATTATCTCGACAAAGTGCCTAAAAATTCGTGACAAAATTCAGAACAAAAACAAAATCAAACCTCCATTAAATTAATAATCGTGCTGAACTTTGAGCGATCCGCGCATCTGCTCAAGTATATTTTCCCAACTTGACAAGAAGCCTTTCTGACTAGAGGCTGAAAGCAAAAGAGATTTTCTTCTCTATAAGAAAAAAAACCTTGGAGTCTGTTAGAAGTCGTTGGACGATGGAAAAAAGGAAATCTTTCTCATAAATCGGCTTTCCTTCGTTCATCTTTTCGAGCACATCGAGCTAGAAAAAAACATCAGAACAAAGTTTTTTTTACTGCTTGAAAACCTTTTTGAAGAGCACATCTGCGTCGTTTTCTTCCTGGACGGCCGTTTTTTCAGCTCCTTCTTCGACGTTCAGTCTCTGGAACTTGTCTTCCAGAGATTGCGCCTACAAAACTGATATTTGAAGGAAAATTGAGTTCTTTTTACGAGATTATTAGTGTGTTTGACGAAATCTTCGCAGTACGACACGTCTTCAATGCATCGGGCGAAATGTCCAACCGACCGGCATCGGATAGTCGGATTCTATGAAAGTCTTGATGAAAAGATTTTCTAATCATTAATACCTTGTCAAGGACTCCCATTAGCAAAATATTGAAGAGAATTTGTTGGGCGTCTTTTCGTACGATTGAAGAGCTAAAATGTTCCGAGTATGTACTTTGAAACAAGAGACAACAAAAAATAAAGAATAAAGAGAAAATAATAACTAAAAGGAGACATTTCGCAAGTGAAAATGAATGATTATACACTGCTCCACATAATTATATATCCACCTGAGATTTTTTTCGAAAAAAATCGAATATTGTGAGAATTTCTAAAAAAATCTTTTTTGTTGTCAAAAAGATGGGAATTTTTGATCAGATTGATATAGCTATCAACAAAGTTTCTATTGAAAAAAATAAATGTTTTTTTAAAAAAATTCAACTTTTTCAAAAAAATCGAATTTTTCCGTTCCACATAATTATATATCCACCTAAGAATTTAAACTTTTTTTGGACCATGTTTTTCCGGTTTTTTTGTATCAGTTATCATTCTCTCATCATTTTTTGAAAATAAGAAGAATAAGAGCAAAAAAAGTTTTTCGAAAAAAAGTGGAGGAACCTTGGATTTGATCAGAAAACGGTCGCGGTGCTGTTCATTACATCAGCTTCTCTTGAATCGATTATGATGTGAATATTTCGATTTCATAAGTACTTTTGTACTTGTGAACAACAATTTAAGTTCAAAAAAACTTCATTTAAATATTTCTTTTGCATTGAAAAGAGGGAGTTTACCGATAACATTTATGAATTTTTCGCAATTTCGCCAAAAATAGGAAGCTTTAAATGTCTTCGGACCATTTCTGTAAACTTTTTCTGAGATAAAATTGTTTTTTTACTTCAAGAGTAGTTGGTCTCATCAAAAAAACCCTGCTTCTAGCAAAGAAGAGTCACCGAAATCGGTAAATAACTAAGGGACTTTCAAGTCAAATTTATAGGAATCTGAATTTTTTTTTCTTCGAATTTTAAATTACTTTTTTCTTCTCATGATTAAGAATTACAGTTATATTTTTGTTTTAAAACATTAAACAAACCATAATTATCCTTATTCAGCGAAGAAAATTAAACAGAAAGTCAACAAAATCGAAATCACCAAATTTTCTTTTTTTTACTCTTGTTTCTCTGAAGTTTTTTCAGCTTTGGGAAACTATTTTTGATTTCTTCCTCAGCCTTGTTCCATTGTAGATTAAGAATTTCTCCGCTCAATAACTGAGAAAAGCGAGTTCAAATTCAAAAAACTGATAGCTTTGTCAAAGGCGCTCACGGTTTTTGAAATTTTTTTCAAAATTTGACGCCCATTTAAGAATCTTTTTTGTGATAAACTCTGTCAAAACTTCAGAGCTAACCCTGATTATGAATGTTCAATCCTCACATTGATGACTGTGGAGCTGGAGTACAAAACAGCACCGTGACCGTTTTCTGATCAAATCCAAGGTTCCTCTACTTTTTCGAAAACCTTTTTGCTCTTATTCTTCTTATTTTTTTAAACAAAAATGATGGGAAAATGATAACTGATACAAAAAACCGGAAAAAAAGGTCCAAGAAGTTTAAAGTCTTAGGTGGATATATAATTATGTGGAACGGAAAATCCGATTTTTTTGAAAATTTGAAATTTTTAAAAAAACATTTATTTTTTTCAATAGGAATTTTGTTGATAGCTATATTAATCTGATCAAAATTCCCATCTTTTGACAACAAAAAGATTTTCAGAAACACTCACAATATTCGATTTTTCGAAAAATCTCAGGTGGATATATAATTATGTGGAGCAGTGTATGTCTCGGGCAAAGTCAGAATGGTGGATAATGACCGCTAGAAGGGAGAGGCTCAAAAAAGGCCGCAAGAAGGTCGCAGAAAGGCAGCAAAAAGGTAGCAAAAAGGTCGCAGAAAGTCCGCAGAAAGGTAGCAAAGAGAGTCCCTTTATCGAACCTTCCATTTTTTTTCTGAGATTTTGAAGGCTCAAGAAATGATGGACAAGGGGAGATTCAGCAAAAAGGGTGCATAATAGCCGATGAAATGGCGCAAAAAGGCAGCAAAAAAGGAACATTTCTATGGACCTTTTTTCCACCCTTTTCGACTATTCCTAGGTGTCAAAAATCAGAATAGAATCTTCCGATTACAAAAATTCAAGTATAGCCCTCTTCTCTCCAACAAAAAAGTTCATGCTGGTCTGATTTTTTCAATCGACTTACGGTGATTTTTTCGACTTTTTCTTTTTCTCTTTTGCCTTGGTGGTATTTTTCTTTTTGTCAACTCTACGGTCCTCATCATCCGATCGGCTTTCATCCTTAAGATAAAAACAAGTGGAAAAGTCTGTTGGAAAAACTTTACCATCCGATCTTCACAGTCAGTCTGATCGGCCTCGGATTCTTCTCCAGGCGCATCTTGTACTTCATCGTCATCATTCTCTTGGACAATTTCCAGAGGTCCAGGATCGGGACTGTCGAATTCTGTAAAAACTGAATATTTTGAAAATTTTATAATGTGTTCAAAGTAATTTCTGCGAAGTGCAAAATGATCTCTGTCTCTCCAAAATTTAGTTATTCTTTTCTTTCTCTGACGGCTATTTTCGATTTCGCAGAATCACTTTGAACACGACTTTCGGTGATATACCGATGGTATCGAGTATTAGACGAGACAACTCAATGGAAATCTGCTTGATACCCGAAGTTTTCATGTTGAGAAACAGATTCATCAATTGGACAAAGTCCTGAAAACATTCAAAAGTGGGGGAATTTTTTAGGCATCATCATGCTTTCATGGAAACTTATGCGCCTTGAAACCACACAGAAATTTTTTAAAAAAAACTACACGATTTTTACTAGATTCGAATGACAGCAAACTATGAGAATATTTTTGAAAGTCCATATATTATAAGAACTGACAAGGAAGGTCATTTTAATTTGGGTAAGAATACTCTGAAAATCTGTCAGAGCACTCCTTACTAAGGGTACCAAAAAAGGATTCTGAAAGCCTCAAACCACACAACTTTGAGAAATAAGGGCCCAGAGTCTAAGAAAACCTTTAAAATCAGTCAAAAAGGCCATTTTTTGGTGCTTTGAGCCCTTATTTCTTGAAATTCTTGAGACTTTCAAGGCTTTAAATTGATACTTTGAGGGATATTGTGACGAACTTTCAGAAAACTCCCAACCGCAAACTAAAATTACCACCCTTGTAAATTAATAAAGCGGTGAAATTGTCCGAGATCCCGGGAATTTTATGAAAAATGTACAGTGGCGAGGAAAAAAGTCAGATTTTAAACTTCAAGCAGCAAACTCCGCCCCCAGCTCTGTGGATGGCCCGCTCTTTGATTGGCTTGATCTACGAATAAGGGGCGGAGTTTGAGCGTTGACTTGGCATTAAAAATTTTAACAGACTATAACGCGACATGTGGCTTTCATTGAGAAACTTTCTTTTTTTTGAGAAAAAATCAGCGTTTTCAACGATGATTCACGAAAATTAATATCAAAAATAGTGCGATCAAACTGACGTATTGGAAGGCATAGCTCATGCTGCCAAGAATCTTGGCCACGTTTTGAGCAATGTTGGTCCGGAAGTCTTGACGGTCGGGACATTGGACGAAAACTTGCATGAGAGTCTGCAAAAAGTCGTTTTAATCGTCTGAAAGGTATTCACGCCACCTTTCGGATCAAGGTGACCTCCAGAACCGAGATTTTATTAGCTGCTCTGCCTGTGACGAAACTGACAGCAAGGTCGGCCCAATGGGACTTCTCTGTCGACTTTTCGCTTTTGTCGCCTTCGTTTGGGAAAGGAATCATTGCGATTCGGGGCCTGATCAGTCGTCCGTACACCTGAAAAAATTTCACAACGATATCTAACAAAACATAAATGTGAAAAATCTTCAAACACGACCAACTCTAGCCGGCAAGTACCAAGATGCGCCCGTTCGGATGTTAGGTTCAAAAATTCTAACTTTTTTTTTGGCATTGTTTAGAGCATGCTTAAAGACATATTCCATGGAAGCAATCACGATGCGATTCTATGGAAACGGAAATACCTACTTTTCAAACACAAAAGTACCGTAACTCAAAAATTTCTACAGTAGTCCGAGATGGTATGTGCTGTAAGAATTCCTAGAATTGGGTTACCTATCGATATATTACTTGCCTATTAAAAACTCTTGAACACTTAGATTTGCGGATGCTCAGCTGCCTACCGTAACCCGGTCACAGTAAGAGGAAATGGCTCAAGAGGTTGTGTCCGCTTTTTTAATGATAGGTTATTACACTGGATGAAGTTTCATCAAAATTAAAAATAATTTTTTTTTTGTAAGGTTGTAATTGCTCGCCAGAGCAACGGTGTTTGTGTTAAAATGAGTTTTTAGGATGGAATGATCATTTTTGACTGATTCCCTCTCAATTATTTGAAAATAGGTGAAAATCTGAGGATTTTTAGCGATTTCCTTACGGATACATAGCGGGAGCAAAGTACAGCCGATTCATCGCTAGCTTGGGACGCTAGGGGCGTGGCCTGTCTGCGCTCTACATCAACCAGACACTATTTCTTTTCTTATCGTGTCAGGACCCTTTTTTCGACCGTGAATCAGCTATATATGATCCCGCTTGATTGTAAGAAGAAATGTTCAGCCACTCACGATCTTGAGACAGCTCGAGAAGGGTCTCTCGGCGACGGCATGTACGATCGCAGAGCAGCGCTCGCACCACTTCGAAAGTCGTTCGAAATGGTCGAGATCTGCGACGCGACTGCACGTCGATCCTCGTTTCATGTCAACTCGGGCCAACTCTTCGACAATATCCATCGTCGACAGTAGACACTCCTCCGGAAGAAAGAACTCGCCTGAAAAAAACCTCAAAAATTTGTGTCAGCGGAAAATCTCACCTTTGGAAATGAATTGATAAAGGGCGGCAAATATAGTTTGGAGATAATTATCTGCGTCTTCTGAGGAAATTTCAACATCTTCCGAATCTGAACGAACCAGGTTTATCAGAAAAACTGCTTTTAACTGACTTTCAACGGCTACCGTCTCGTCGACGTTCTCTTCTAGAGCGACTGCTTTCTTCGAACTTTTCGACTTTGGTTTCCCCTTTTTGTTTTTAGTGACATCTCCAAATCGAAGCACAACGCTCAAACCGCGACAAATCTTCAAGCACTTCTAAACATTCTCAAACTTCAAAAGCAGAAAATCCGAAAACTGCCTGATAAATAGCTTCTTGAAAAAAGCGGACAGTTTTGGACCCTTTCATGATACACATTTCTAAGTATATACTCGCTGCCAGAGGTCCAAGTTCCGGCTTACTGAAAAAAATCCGTGGTAAAAAAAATTATGAAAAGGACGTACGATTCAGCTTTTTTGAAGGTCTCGAGAAAGTACCACAGGAAGAGTAGGAATTTTATAGGATGAATTTCTGCTTTTGAGAACACTTCCGTTAGATCTATTGTTTGATTCGATGTATTGATACGTGTTACCAAATCATGCACTGAAAAAAATTTGAAAAAAATGAAGATAGATAAATACATTTCCGCAGTCCAATCGTCTGATCTTCTTCAAAAACGCTTTCAGAATCAGTTAGAAAAGCTTCGAAATTTTCAAAATTGCAATCAATTGTGCACTTAGTCCACTCTTCGGCAAACTCGTTGACATGTTCGAAAAACGAGCTCAATACTGCTTCTAGTTCATCGCTCAGCGTCATTCTAAATCAGTTTTTATAATCAAAAACGGAATTTCAATTTTACATAGAAAGCGACATTCGAGAAAAATTAAATTAACGTCAAACTGAAGTTTTTCGATTATTCACCAAAAAATAAGTTTCAGTAACATGAAGCCACAATGTGAAATGCATGAAAGAAATAAAAACTATTTTTAAAAGTAGTCTATGCATCTAGAACAAAAATTGAGAAAGAAAAATTATTAGTTAATCGTGGATATCTTTCATTTCCTTTTTTATTTTTACGTACCTTACAAATACGATTAGTGAAGTTCTATTTAAACGATATGAACGAATTTTTATGATTCATAGATAATATAATTACATAATTACATTATAATGCCACGGTAATGAGAAAAATATAAAAATTGAACAGAAATATTAAAAAATTCCAAATTGGCGGCTTTTTTCAAGATTCTCAATGGCGCGAACTAGCTCTTTGATATGTGCTCGAGAGCTCGCGAAGAAATTTCTCTTGATGTTGATGTTTGCCGACTTCGCTGTGCTTTTTATTGTGTGCTATCACGCTTTAAAAATTTGAATTCAAAGAAAGGAAAATAATATTTTTATTTAAAACTATTGCTGCCGGACGGTTCACTTTTCCTTCTCTTCCATCTCGATGAGCTTTTTCACTCCGTCGTACATTTGCTTAACCGCCTGGTATTCCGAAAGACCCAATCTAGCCTGAAATCATACTTTGGTGATGATTTATAAACAGCTATTCGAAACCTTGTTGGAAATATCATAAACACCGCCGACGGCGTCGGAGTGCTCGCCATGGATGCCACGCACTTGGAGATTCAGTTTTTCGCAAATATCCTTAAGTGAAAATGCTGAGTAAACTAGTAAAAGTTTTGAAAAAAACAATGAAGTCCTTGCGCGCGGCGAGTTTAGGCAGCTTGATGTGGACAGAGGCGCGCACCGTCGATCCGAGGTTCGTGGGACAGAACGTCAACCAGCCGAGGCGTTCGTCACGAGAGAACGGCACGACTTTCTCAATGTTCTGCAAGTCGTCATGGGTGATTTGCAAAGAGTCATGTGTACCTTGACTCCGCGAACAAGACGGTCAAGAACCTTTCCAACGTCAGAACCCTCCTCCATCGAGATGATGCGCATGTGGTCTTCCTCGTTCACCCAGATCAGGAAAGTCTTGTCATTGTTGTGGTAGATTCCACGACCCTATAATTCATCCGTGTTAGAGGAAGAGAAATAAAAGAGATCACCTTGGGCCAAAAGTTGCAGGCGTTGGCGTGCTGCAAATGGCGGTCGCCCTCTTTGAACAGGAAATGGTCCGCAATCAGCTGCTTTTGGGTGTCCTTAGACATTCCATCGAGCGGATAGTATTTGCCCTTGAACAAGTTCAAGTCAAAGAGCCTTTGGGAATCGACTGCACTTGAAGTTCCTTGTCCGTGAAAGAATTGAACGCCTTCTTGACCTTCTGCTCCATTTCCAGGTAGTTCTCCTGGTTGAGGCACGGGTTGAATGGATAGCCCTGAAGTGAGCGACCGCAGCGGATTCGCGTCGATTTGATGTATTTTCCCTTGGGGTCGAGTGGAGGAAATTCCTGAAACTGTGGTCTTAGCTCAGCTGCTAGCCACGGCAACCTTGATTTTGTTCTCGCCCAAATCAACAGGCGGCTGTTTCTGCTTCGACGAGAAGCCGTGGTAGTCTTCGATGATTTTGTCGAACAATGGCGCAAATTTACGGTAGGATTCGGCGTCCGGCGCGTACACGCCAACACCGGCGTCCAAGTTGTACACACCTTTAGGAAGATCTAACATGAGAGGTCGTAAAAAAAGCGATTAATTTATTCATATTTTTTTCAAAAATTGATTGAAGATCCTTTGCTAAGCACTTTGTACTACAACTCATGAAATTCAAATTTCACTTTTTGAAAATACAAAGCTCCTTGTATTTTTCGAAGCGCTAAATTTAAAAACTGCTCCGAATCTACAAAATTCTAGTTATTTTTCTCATGCCGTGTTCAAAGTGGCTTCCGCAAAATGCAAAATTATCTCTGACTCTCCAAAATTTTGTTAACTTTTTCTTTCTCTGACGGCTATTTTGCATTTCGCGGAATCACTTTGAACACAGCATTATTCTCTGATATTCATTATATTTTCGTTGAAATAGCTTTACGGAGAACTACTTTTTTTGCGCCCAGGAAAACGACTTAAAAATTTTTTTTTTTTGAACCTCCGGTATGACAAACCTGAGCGTATACAGTCATAAAGAGTAGCTCCAAGCTTTGTCTTTTTCGTTTTCAACTGATCAACAACATCCTGTAAAGGCAGAAAGTTTAAAGAAGCTTTCGTTTTCGAGGGACCTTGGTGAGGTGTTTTTTGAGCAACGATTTGCATTTGGAGCCTTCCGGTCCGTTCAGCTTCTGGTAGGCCTCTTCAATTTTCTTGATGGTCGCCGAGTCGACCTCACTCTTGGCGTGCGCCTGAATACCACGTTCATGCGGAATCTATAGTCTGTTCAGTTTTTGAATGTCAAGTCGTCGCTCAAGCTCCGCCCCTAATGGTGCGATAAACCAATCAGAGAGCGAGCCATCCACAGAGTGTTCTTGAATGACGTCATTGCACTTGACATTAAAAATCTGAACAGACTATATGAAGATCTTCAGTACCTGGGGGGAGAAAACGTAGAGAGCGGAGCCGCCGCCGAGAGCCGCAGCGAGGCCGGCGAAAATTCGCGAAGACTGTGAACGAAGGAGCGGAGAAGCCATCACAACAACTGCGATTCCAACTAAACTGATAGAAATTTGAACGCACAAGCGTTATCTTTTCACGTTTTTTTTTTTCGGTTTTCTTTTGAGCTTAAAAATGAGTGAAATACCAAGACAGAAAAAGCCAAGATCAATTTTCATATATGCGAACAGAGTTCAGTGGAAAAAATTCATAGTACTCAGCAATTGGATTCGCCAAAATAAATGGATGAAAACGAAGTTGAGTAAAAATATTCAAACTCGGACAAAATCGGAAAGGTGGATAATGGCCGCTAAAAGGGAGAGGCTCAAAAAAGGCCGCAGAAAGGCAACAAAAAGGGTCCCTTTATCGAGCCTTTCCTTTTTTCTGGGATTTTAAAGGCTCAAGAAATGGTGAAAAAATGGAGAGGTAGAAAAAAGGGTGCACAACAGCCTAAAAAGGCAGCAAAAAGGAACATTCCTATGGAACCTTTTTCGACCTTTCCGACTTTGCCTATTTTTTTAATGACATATCCTAGATCAGACTATAAAGACATTATGTGGAAAGGCAACTAAAAATGAAAAAGTTAGAGGCTGTCTTAAAAGACAAATGTTAGTTCCTCATTGTGTAATACTAGTACACAGCCGCCTCTTTTCTGCAGACAGCTTACTTTGAAGAAAACGAGAGAAAATAAAGTTTTCAAAATTTATTATTCCATAACGACTAACAAAAAATATAACAAAATTAAACAAGCGAATCCTAACTATCACGTATTTTCCATGAAGTTATTGCGGCCGTAGACGAACGAAGCCATTGATAAGTCGACTTTGCGCTTCAGTCAATGAGCATCTGAAGTTCAATAAAAATTTATAAGCCCGGAAAATGACAAAGATGTGAAGATTTCAAACCTCTCGTGAATCCTTTTGGCGAGCGGCTCTAGTTTGCTTCGGTTGCTGTTGAGAGACATGATTTCGAGACACGTAGCCGCTCTAAATATGCCTTAGACTAGGATAGTTTTTTTTTTTGATAAAGTTGTGATTCTGTTCACCGCAAGATTAGAATAAAAACACGTTCTATGGGAAAAACTGAATAAAAACACGTTTTTTGAACAAAATTGAATGAACCTTATAGGGTCCACTTGAGCATCACGGGCTAAGTGGTCAGACCCTAAACCCCTATAGGAACCACCTTAATTTTACCCCTATAGTGACCACAATTTAGGACCCTATAGGGGTTCTGTTTCCCTCCTAACCCCTATAGGGACCCCTCTGGAACTCATAAGTTGAACAATTCGAATTAATTTTGGGCATTCTTGAAAATTTATGAATACTAGTTCTGCTTCAGAACAAACCTGGAGGCATCTTTCTGACGGAGAGCGTCTTCAAACAGTTCGGCGATAGCCTCATGACGTGCAAAACCTTAAAAGACTTTTAAAATGGGCTTTCATTCAAAATTAACCTTGGCTGGTAACCGTTGCTTCATCGCCCTCTCTCGCGTCCTCGTTCAGGATCAACTCCAGCAACTCGTAGGCTTTCTCAACTTCTCCGATACGTGACAACAACAAGGCACAATCGGAAATCTGAAGTCCAAACTTTAAGGGCCCATTTGATAGAGTACAGAGTACCAATTGGGGAGAGAGCTTTGCCTGGAGACGCTTTGAAACTGGATGGTCTTCAGTGAAACGACTGAACTCCAACCAAATCGATACCATACGTTGGACTAGGGATGAGAACTCTTCCCGTTCTGATACCGATAGTGTCTGAGAAGGGAAATCATTAATGAAACAGTAAACAGAACTAACATGATATTCTATTCGAAGAAGAAGCTGACGGAACTCTGAGGAAACACTGAAATCGGTCATCTGGCGGGATGAGATGCCATCCTCGATCAAACGTCTGAGCAATGGCCAACTCTGCTGCTTCTGAAAAACTCCGGAAAAATTAGAAATATAGGCGCAGAAGTTACCTTCAACTTTTCAATGATGAGTTTGGTCAATGTGCGGCTGACCGATACATGCCGGGGGACAAAAGAACTGAAAAAAACGATTTTTTTTCCACATGGAAGAGAAAATCACCGATAAATTGTTTCAATTTCGTTGATGTTATCACATTTCTCGACAAAAAGTTGCAAGTATCGATTATAGAACCTGCAAAACAAAAAATACATAGCACCTAATGATTCAGGATTGCACGCAAGATATTTGCGGAACTGCGGTTGAATCAAAATTCATGAAAGAAAAGGTTTTTTTCAACAGAGTAAAATTGATAATAGTGAAGTCCATTGAAAGAAAAAAATCGTAAATATATTTTTATACCATTATTTACAAAAAGTCCAAAACCAGATTTACTTTCAAATGTTTTTTGACGATGAAAACTAAATTTAAAAAATTTTTTCGCTATTAATCTTCCTAGGGGAAAGTCGGAATGGTGTACAATGGCCTTTAAAAGAGAGATGCTCAAAAAAGGCCGCAGAAAGGCAGCAAAAAGGCAGCAAAAGACAGCAAAAAGACAGCGAAAGGGAGCAAAGAGACTCCCTTTATCGAGCCTTCCATTTTTCTGAGATTTTAAAAGCTCGAGAAATGGTGGAGAAAGGGAGAGGCAGCAAAAATGGTGCATAAGGGCTGAGAAAATGGAGCAAAAAGGCAGCAGAAAGGGAGCTTTCAGCAAAAAGGCAGCAGAAAGGGAGCTTTCAAAAGTCCAAATACAGCTATTTTACAACTTTACACCCTCCAGAAATTTCGGCACAAGTTTTCATCCGCAAATCTCAGACAGGAAGGAACATACTGAGCTTCTGTTATGAAAGACGGCATCTTCACTTTGTTGAGCTTGGATTCGTAGAGGGAGACGATTCTCCGAGCAACGTCAATGTTAGAAGCCCTGGAATCTCGAAGAAGCTATTTCACGAAACTTGAAACAAAACCTGTATGCGATACCAATGGCTTCTACGAAGAAAAGGTGGCAATTGGACGAAAAAACTTCGATTGCTTGATTCTGTTCGTAGCGTTTTTCAAGGTGGCCTACAATTTCTGATACCCAAGAAATGGCTAGTTTCTGAAAAGAAGAATGTAAAATTTGAGAAATTGATGGAATTTACCAACTGATTCTTGTAAACATCGTTATTTGCTTTATTTTTTGAAGTATCTCTGTCAGATTCTTCGAAAGAGGAGCTCAAGGAGCGGTCAATGAATCCCGAGCAAATTATTTGGAAGGCGGAAAGCGTCGGCTGCATTCCACATTGCTGCATTTCGCCGAGAATCTTCATGAAAGCCTCTGTACGGTCGGAATGCTTCTCAACCTGGAATTTTTCTAGTGGAAAATCTAGAAAGATGAGATCCAACTTTGCTCGCGGAAATCAGCAGGGAGTTCCAAGTCGCTGCCGTTGGCTTCACTTTCTTTGCGAACATGAGTTCGAGCAACATTTTGGCTTCCTTGATCGAAGAGACCGATATAAGCGCGTCGAAAGCTTCTCTTTTTGGCGTTTCTTTCGACTTTTCCAAATCCTTGCAAGCACTTTTTTAAATGTGGCCCACAAATAAGAGAACCTTGAAAAAATTTCGAGCCCTTTCCAAATTTGCTTTACTGGGGTATTTGCATAATGCGGCGATCATGATGGACGTAGAATGAGCATTACGAGGCAACGTCTCGAAAATCATATCAGCGACAGAACCCTGAAAAAAATTCGCTTTAAAAGAAGAGGTCCAACGATAAGCCTCACATTCTGCCAACTTTCGCGATTTCCATGCTTGTCATCTCCGAAATTACGCATTCCGGGCCAATTTTCCCATTCTGAGAACGGGATGTCATGACCGTTGTAGTATGCGACCAATTCTAGCAGCTTCATCTTTAAAAAAAAATACAAATCTTTTGGTGGAAAAGATTCAAACTAAAGTAAAAGTTCTGAAGACCAAAGAAATGTGTTCATTCTTTCTCAGTTTGTGCTTTTTTTATTATACTGATTGTTTTTTTCGGGAAAAAAACTTTCTAAAAAAAAACTATAATTCACGGAGGCCGTAAAAAAGACAGTGGTAAACGGCGTACCAAAGAATGGTGAAGAGTTCAGTTCATTCATTTTTATATTCTTTTCTTCTAATCTTTTAATTCTATAGTTTCCTTTTACAATCCGTGTTTAACCACCTTCAATTTAATTTTCTGTAAATCTTACAAATATCTTTATATAGCTTTATATGAAAGACTCTTCATCCGGGAAAGCTCATTTTGACTTCTAAAAAGCGAGTATCAAAAAGAAAACCTGAACTTCCTCGCTGACCGGTATGTCTTCGGTGCGCATGCGTTCATACAGCATACCCGCGTCTCGAACTTCTCTTTGTTCAATCATCAGCAGCAAGTTTGCCTCTGTTGGATCTACCTGGAGCTCGACAGAAGTTTTTTTTTTAAACAAACCGATCTTGCCTGTAATGGATCCAAAGTTTTATTAGGCCGGAAAACATCCAGACGAGGGAGGTCGCGATCAAATGCGAACAATGTTGGCCATTCCTCCGCCAGCTCACGAGCCGCTCGTTTACCCATTTCCTGAAATATATAACATTAAAAATAATTAGGAATAGAGAAAGTTTACAAGAATTGAAAGTAACTTGCTCTAGCCATGAAGTAAGTTCTCTTCGCGTTCGCTGTTGATGGAATGGTTAAAGGATCATCAATGAAGGAGAAATGTGGAGCTGTGGAATCAACTCCGACTGTTTCAGACAGAGCTTTTAATACATCTGTCGCATCTTTCTGTAAAAAAAAAATGGACATTTAGAAATATAAATATAAACTAACGCTGATTGCCGGCTTCACATTTAGTTTGTGAGAGTTTTTTGCCATTTCAAGAGACAAAGATCTCAAAGAACTGAAAAGCCTCTCATGACCCCGTCGAAACATCCTGAAACATTTTTTGAACAGGCATTTTTTGCAATCAAAATTTTGAAACACAGATTAAACGTTAAAAAAATAGAATTTATATACATAACTCCAAAACTGAAAATTATAAAAAAAATTAGAAAAATTGAATATACTTTTTTAAAAAATACACACAAATATTTGGATAACTAAAATGACAAAAAAAAAACCGAAGCCCGCCATTAATACTCTAGGCCTTATTTATCAATAGATTAAGATTGGAGAGAAACAATTTTAATGTAAAAAAGACGAATTAGAGTCCATTCTAAGTTTCACGAAAAACACCACTAATGATTTGCACTGTCCTGCATATGGCCTTTAAACTCTGATGACTGAAATTAGCCGACGTAACAAGCTTCACTTTAAAGAAACTTTGAAATGAAAATGAATGAAAAAAAAACGCGCGTAAGGTTGGAAACTTGCACAAGGTCCTCGACGTGTTAGCACTTTCCTGCGCACCGTGCGAGGAAAATCATTAGAGCGAACTTGTTCGGATATTTTTAGGGACTTTGACTTCTTCAAATTTGTATATGCTTTTTATTTTGAGATCCAGATCTTTTCAAAGGCAAAGTCGGAAATGTCAAAAAAGGCTTCATAGAAATGTCCTTTTTAGACTCCTTTTCACTGCCATTTTCCACCAAGTCTAGAAAAATTTCTAGAAAAACTGTTGAGAAATTTTATATCCTGAAACCTAGGAGTGCAGACGTGTTTCAACTTCAAGAAAGTCGTTACACATGGTCTTGGAGTTAATCAACTCAAGATCGCCGTTATAATTATCGACTACACGATGCCAAAATCTGGAGAAGATCACAAGAGATCTGAAGAAAATCTGCGCAGTCGGATTAATTATTGGAATGTGCCCGAAGAAGATGGAAACTTTTCTTACCTAGATCATGTGAAGAAAAGCGGTGGGCGATTTGAAACGAGAAAATATTTGGTTTTATGGATTTCTGACTCGTACATCTGTAAAATGTGTACTGGATTTGGTCCGTGGCACGCTTTTGGAATTCGATCAAAGAAATATTGTGGAAATATGTGCCTCGAAAATATTGAAATTTTCTTCGAATTCGGTGTGTTGGATCGCAACAAGTGGTCTCTTTTCAATTTCAAACTTCGGCATGAATCAAGGGAAAGGAAGAGAGTTTTCGAAGTAGAGTTCCGATATTACGAGGAGGAGCGCTTCTGCAGCAGAGTCGCGAGAGGTTTTCTTTTCACATCTAAATGATCTTCTGTACCATTTTACGCTGCCTCACTCTTGTTTTCTGCTACTCTGGAATAAAGTGTTGTTGAAAGCTGAATTGTGCGATGATAACTGCGGTTTATTGCCATATAATGTCTATAAAATTCGAGGGCACGTGGTGATAGGGCGCATTGTTCTTGCTCCGGTCCTTGGCCATGTTGAGAGGTGAGTTGCTCGAATTTGAACATCCACGGTCGAATTTTAGCCGCCGTTCTTGTCGCTCTCGCGTCCTGCATCGCATTTGCGGCGTTGCCTGACCTCGGCTACCCTCAATGGACTTGCGACAGTTCTTTATTCCAGAAGTCTGTTTTGAAAGTGAACTCGAAGGAAAACCTATTTCAGGAGCAAAAAGGTTCCTACATCTGTTCATGGGGTCAGATTTGCTGATATCAAGGTTATCGGCGCTCTAGGAGATTCTTTGACGGTAGGTTTTTTTTTGTTATCAGCTGTGTGAAAGTTCAAGGACAATCATTTGTAAGAATCGCTCTTGATTTTAACTGCTTGATTTTTCAGCGTTAAACGGATGAAATTGACTATTTTTCAACAAATTTTTTAGGTCGCGGAAAATTGTTCATTTTGTTTTAAATTCTGCATAAAAGTATAAAGACAAATGCTTTAAGATAAAAAATTCAAAGAAGAAAATAGCGAGTAGAATAGTTTGCTCTAGACCGCGACGCTTTGCTGACTCGGACCTTGGTAGCTCGAAACGGACGCGAATCGGACGTGTCGGGGCAGTTCTAGTGACCCCTTTAGAAGCGTCAGCGATCTCAAGAGATCCCTAGAAATCCCGAGCACGTCCGTTTTGCGTTACCGAGGTCCGAGGACGTTTTTTTGACGCCGTTTCCATTTTTTGATAACGCTGTGCCGCGGTTCGGAATCCTCTGTCATTAATGGGACCAAAACTCTTTCTCTGGCCTACACTATTCCGTTTATTTTCTTGCAGCTGGAAAACTGTTATTTTTGAATGGTCTTTGGAAAAAGCCGTAAAGATAAACCCGATTTTTGTCACGTTTTGTAGTCCTGAGGGAAAGTTGATAAGGTTTTATTCCCTGAAAAGTGACAATCTTCTCAGGCCGCGAATGGAGCTGGAGCTCCCAAGGGCGATCCTCTTGCCGTGATTCTTCAGTACAGAGGTCTCGCATTTCAAATTGGCGGCGACAAATCTCTATCTGAGCATGTCACTATCGCAAGTGAGGATAATACAGAAAATGGGATGAATATGTGATTTCACAGATATCATGAAGCTGTTCAATCCGAACATTTTGGGGTATTCTAACGGAATCGGGTCTGCTAACGTTTGGGAAGTCAGTTTTTTTCCTACTTCACTTTCAATAAGTATTTCTCAGATTTCAAAGCTGAATCAAGCGATTCCTGGAGCAGAGTCAGGCGATGTTTCAGGTCAGGCGCGAGCTCTGATTCAAATCATCCGAGATCATCCTCAGGTGACTGTATTTTCCAAGATCCTTTCGCAATTTTTTTTTCTCAGATAAGCGTGAAAGATGACTGGAAGCTTATCAATATTTTCATCGGAGCCAACGACATGTGTGCATACTGTGGTAACAACGGAACGGTGTGAAAATGTCATTTTATGGGACTTTCATCTTGATTGTTCAAGGGAGGAAACCATGCGAAAGCCAATTTCAAGCAAAACCTCATCAACGCCGTTCAAATCCTCAAGGACAATTTACCTAGGTAATCTCCAAAAAAAGAAAGGTGCCCTTTAGAGGAATTTTTTCTAAAGTTTCTTTTTGAGACCTTTTGGACTTTGCCCGTGAGTCCCAAAAGGAACGGAACCTTATTCCAAATAATTTTTAAATGAGTCAAAAAACGTCGTTTTTTTTAAGAGCATCAAGTCCACCTTTTCGAAAGCCCGAGTTCAAAATAACTTGATTCAGAACTATCGTCTCCCTAACCGGAATGTTTGATATGGGAATGCTGCGAAAAATCGACCACGACAAGTACTTCTGCGACGGATTGCACGTGTTCGAGTGTCCCTGTGAGAAGAACAGAGGCTTCACCAACGATGACATTTCGGCCGCCTGCCATCTCTACATGGTTTGAGTGCAAAAAGAAGAAAAACGAAAATTGGGCTCCAGGACGCCGAGCAAGAAATTGTCGACTCAGGAATTTTCGACACAACGGATGACTTCACCTTTGTCCTGCAGCCTTTCTTCAATGGTATCACAGTACCACCAATGGTACGGTCTCTGAAAAACTGGGAGTTTTCTGGTTCATTTTCCAGAAACCAGACGGAGAAGTCGACTTGGACTGGTTCGCTCCTGACTGCTTCCATTTCTCGCAGCTGGGTCATGCCAACGTGGCTAAGCATCTCTGGAACAACATCATCCAACCTGTCGGAATGAAGGATCACAAGGCACCTTGACCAAAAAAGAATCTTATAACTGAAGAATTACAGGTGAACCTCTCCGATCCCACGATCCCTCTCCGCTGCCCCGATACGGTATCTCTCATATTTTTACTCTTTTTACTGTTTCTTTTTCAGAGTTGTCCATTCTTCCGCACAACGAAGAACAGTGCCAACTGTGCCGCCTACTACCATGAGTAACATTGGAAACTGCGAGAAGAATAAATCGTTCTCAACATAAAAAACTTTAAAGAATAACGTGAAGCTCAGACTTGGATAGAAAAATCAGAGTCGATAGTAACGTAGGGCTATGCTTTCGCGTTACATATTTTACGTGCTTCGCAAATATAGTCAATGTTTCCCGACTTGAAAGGCGAGGGAGGCGGGGCAAGGTGCGGGATGCGTAGCGTGTGCGTACGCGGTTCTTGACATGAGTTCAATTAAATTGCCGCCGACTATTTAAAAACCTCGGCAACCGCTCTTTATCAATGAGTTCTACTAACTTTTGATGCACACATGAACATAATCAATGAGTAATTGAAAAAAGGAATAAAAAGAGCGAAAAACAGACTGCCCAAAGAGTCGCTGGCGGTTAAATTGGACTCGTGCCAAGAACCGCGTACGCACACGCTACGCGTCCCGCCTCTCTCGCCTTTCAAACCAGGAAACATTGACTATATCGCTCTAATTTTTGACTATCAATCTGACTTTTTCAATTCCTTAAGAACTCGGACATACGTGGGCTGGTCCAGCAGGAGGAGTTGACTTCGAAAATTCTGAAAGCCTAGGTATAAACATCAGTTCTAAGGAGGCCTCGACAAAAATGAACGTAATTTTTAACTCTCAGCGGAATTACTGACTACAATTTATGAAAACTTGGGAGGAGAGGTCGACGGCCTTTAAAATGAAACTCGTATCAGCAGATAGAATCGTATCTCATGAGCTAAGCCCCGTAATCGCTCAGAAATTAGTTGGGAAAAGCTTTGAATCCGACAAGGCTCTATCGGGCGAGACAAGCGGTTGGACAAGTTTCGCACCACTGATTGAATTTGCGTTTGTTTGGCGTTTGAGCAGCGGTCGGCTCATGGAAGGGCTCTCGCGGCGATGAAGACGTCTCCGTGATTGCCGGCGCGCGGTTCCATTTCCACTCTCAATCCGTTTAACGTTATGTCCCCTGGTGATGCTTTTCGGTTGCGCGACTCCTCCCATTCAACTCACTAGCTCCATTTACCGTGCTCCGATGGGTGAAGTCGACGATCCTTCTTACTGGATGGACGTTGCCTGTCAGCTGAACCTGTTCAGCCAGTTGCTGCTTCCTTACTTCAGCACTCCTGTCTTGCTTCCCCCGAATCCCAAAAAGTTAACGTCGCATTTTATTAAAGATATTCTGGACATACCTTCTCAGGACATCGAGATCGACGACTTTGGCAGATTGCGTAAGAGTTTGAACAACTTATTATTCAAGAAAAACAGCAAGTGTTGTATAGTATGGGGAACGATCGATAGCCCTCTTTTAGTAGTAATATAATATATTTGTCTTACAATAAATAAATATACACAACTTAAATACTATACAAAAAATCTAGAACAATAATTAATTGGGGTAAAAACAATGTAGGCCAATAAAGGGTTCTACGCAGGAACAATATACGGTAGCGCGCACATTCATTGTGTGTAGATTTACGGAGATTCCGCATTCCGCAACAGAAAATTTACAGGTACGGCTGTTTATCCTTCAGATGACTCAAGGAAAAAGAAGAAAAAGGCAAGAACAACTTTCAGCGGGCAGCAAGTTTACGAGCTTGAAAAGCAGTGAGATCAAATATTTAAAAAGGAAATTAATTTTTGTAATTTTTGTAATAAAGATTCGAGACGAAAAAGTACCTTTCCAGCGCTGAGCGAAGTGAGTTGGCGAGACGTCTAGGAGTCACCGAAACACAAGTATGATTTTACTTTCCTTCTCGAGGTATTTCTTTGTATTTATTATTCTAATCATTCGGTCTCGGCGTCGTATGTCCTCGCTGTGTTTTCAGAAGAGTCAAAAATTTTATTTTACGTCAAAAAATACAACTTTATTTCATTTTTTTATTCGAAGTTTCTGATTTTCACTCGAAATTCTCTTCCTCACCAATTTTCGAAATCGATTTTTTTAAGACTAAAAGTAGGGAATAGCTATAGGTTAAGCCAGCTCTCTTACGTATACAGAAACTCAAAAGAACAGTGACTTTTTTTTCAGGTAAAGATTTGGTTCCAAAACCGACGAACAAAGTGGAAGAAGCTGGAGTTGGAGAAGGACGACGAAGCGAAAAAGGACGGCGGAGTGACTCGCTGAAATCTGATTTTTCCATTCAAGAGAAAAATGAGCTTTGTTTTTTTTAAAATTAATCCTTGATCCGTGTCGAAACCTGAAAATGAATTGAGAATCTCTTTTTTCGAAATGGCTCCTCGATTGTGTCCAATCAGCGTTAACCACGGCGATGAAAGAGCCTCGGGAGGCGTTTTACGACTTCATCCGAGCTCTTTGCTTTTTGCGTCCTTGGTGACCTGATTGCGTTTACTCATGAAATGGGATGGTTTGAACGAGAAAGGGACTTCTGAACGTCAAACCCAGACGATTAAGGCGACGGCGCAAAATTAGAGGAGTCACTCCTCTTGGCGCGATAATTCGATTTTGCTCATCGGCTCGCTTCACACCACTTGTTCTTCAGTTCGTTCGCGCGGCATGGGATCAGATTTCATTGCTTACTGATAAAAAAAACCTGTAGGCCTTATTGAAAAAAAAATATAACTTTCATTTGGTTCTAATCAGGCACACGAAGCACACAAAAAAATTTATATATGTCTAAAAAATAATGTGTGAAAAATTAATGCAAAGTTCAATTGACCAGTACCTTTTTGCACACGGAGTTGTGGCTAAAGCGAAATCATTTTGAATGAAATGGCCTATAAGATTTCGAATTGAAGAAAGCACATAGCGTTCGAATTCGGATATTGGTAGTGAACGTGTCAGTGCGTTTTTAGTGACCACTTTAGTAGCGTCAGCACTGTTAAGTGATCCCTGGAAATGCTCAGAAACGTCCGGAGCTTGTCCGGGTTCCGTTACCGAGGTCTCGGTTTTGAAATTCTTGTGTATAACAGTTATATACAGTATAACTTTATTCAACTAACAAGGGAAGTTATTTTACTTTGCGGTTGAATTTTCTTGAAAAATTGGCCAGAACGTTCCTTGATGTACCAGAAGACGAATCTGAAAGTCTCAACCTACACAACTTCCTGGTTTTCGGGAAAAGACGGTTCAAGTTCAAGAAAAACCCTCAAAACCCATAAAAATAGGCTTTTTTTGGGACTATAAGCTTTCATTTCTCGAGAACTAGGAAGTTTTGCAGGTTGAGACTTTCCGGAGCTTCTTACATCAAGAAGTGTTCTAGCCAACTTTCAGGGATTCCCCAACCTTGAATTTAAATGACCTCCCCTGTAAGGACTTGCATTAGGATAGTTTCAAAAGAAGAACTGATTTTTCTTTTGTCGCAAGCTTTTTGTTGTCCATTCTTTCAGTGAGACTCTTGAGTTCCATTCCTTTTCCGATTTCAGTTCGAACCGGCTGGTCACTTTGTTCGATCGCAATTTTATCGCTCTTAAACATCTTGCGTCATTGTTTCTCTCGGCTTTCCGGTTTATCAAAGCGCTTTCTGGTCGTTTTCTTTTTTTCCAATTGCGCAATCTTGAACAGGATTTCACCGTCATAACGGTTAGGACATTCATAAATCACATAAAAGATTTCCTCTTGACATTTTGATAGCAAGAAAGCGGAAACTAGCTTGAAAAATATGTAGTCGTGAATAAAATATTTATTTAAAGAATGAAAAACAACTTTGTACAGACAAGTGTCGCCTAGAGAGTTGTTGGCGGTCCGAAGTGGCGACGGGTCGGACGCGAAGGAGGCAAATGGCGGTTTCAGGCTCATTAACAACAAGAAAGGCCTGAGGGTGAGGGCATAAATAAGGTGTGAGTGGCAAGGAAAGACGGTTTGGTCAGGCAAAGACTACAATACTACGGCTAAATGGTGTCGAACGACCTACGAGTTTTGAAAAACCAAAAGAAAAGTCGAAGTTCTTAGTCCTCCCAGGTCAGCGAGTGGCGGTTCTCGTATCTGAGTTGGCAGTTGCGCTTTCCGTACCTGAAAATATGAATTAAGGTTGATTTTTTCGAAATTATGTATTTTCGTTTTGATTATCATATTGTTTTCAGTCGATCAGGGTTATCTTTATTTTTTTTTTTCAGATTTTTTGAAAAATCACAGACCAAATTATTTTTTTCCTAATGATTGTATATTCCGTCGCCACCAAAACTCAGCATAAAAACAGTTTTCTAACATAGGAATACCAGAGTGGTTCCTATAGAGGTTTGCGGTAAAAGAAAACCCTAAAGAGGCCGAAAAAGTTGTCAAGATAGGGGTAAAATATAGGGGGTCCCTATAGGGGTTAGATTCTTGCCCCTTAGCCCCTAAAGCTCAAGTGGAACGTAAAGGAGTCGTTAAATTTTATTCAAAAAAGGTTTTTATAGTTTTCCCATGGAAATGCTTCTTCGCATAGAGTTCATAGAAGGACCCTAGAGGGACCACTTTTGCAAGCTTTATTCGGCCCTATAGGGCTTGGCTACTAACTGAACCCCTATAGGGACCATTCTGGAGCTCCTGAGTATATCAAAAGTAGTATTCTCAACAATCGCGTCATTTTTTAAGCGAAGAGTTGTGCCAAATTTGTTGATTGTTCTAAAAAACTGACCAGTTAACGTAGGCGAACTCGGCGTCGGAGACGATGGCGTTGAAGCGGCCGCCGAATTTGGCGGAAGCGTCTCCTTCGATCTTTCGCGCGGCCTCCAGGTTGTCCTGCAACCCGGTTGTTTTCCGTGTAATGGGCTAATCGCAGACGGCAGTCAGGTGCGCGGACTTGCTTTCTTTTTGATGAGAACGCGGAAGGAGAAAAAGGCTATTTTGGGAGAGAAGAGTCGGAAAATCTCAGCTCAAAGGCTAAAAGTGCGGACCTTCTCCGATTTCAAGGCGGCTTCGACGATGGCCTTGAGCTCTGGGTCGTCGCAGTTGCCCTCGTCGGCAGCTTCGTCGTCGCTGTACTCGGCGGCGTCGTTGGACTCCTACACTTGGATTTGTTTTCAGAAGACTTTGCCGGACTCACAGCAGCCTGGTCGGTCGAAGATGCGGATCCGGTGGCGGCTGGCTGTTCTTCGACGATGTCGTCGTAAGTGCTCTCCTCTGAAATATTCATCAAGTCTTGAATTTTTTTTTGAGGGGATATTTTAAAATAATTTTTATAAAATCGCCAAAAAAATTCCCATTTTGCACGTTCCGTGTCATACAAAATCGCCATTAGAAGTTTACCTGGAGAACTTGGAAATTTTTTTTTTGACTTATAATTGTCTAGTAGGACTGAACAAAGTTACACAGATAAGTTTTAGACATTCGAAAATTTGTTCTGATGGTCTTCCATTATCTTCATCACCCTTCATTTTGAAACAAAATTTTAAAGAAAAAAAAACCTTTGGCCGGGGCAGTGGTTTCGGCTGGAGCGGTTTCCTCGGATTTAGTCTCCGTTTGGGTTTCCTCGTGCTCTTCGGCGGCTGGCTGAGGCTCAGCGGGCTGCTCTTCGTGCGTCTCTTCGTGAGTCTCTTCGTGGGTTTCTTCAGGAGCTGGAGCAGCTGGCGCTGGGGTCTCGGCAACAGTCTCAGCAACGGTTTCAGAGACGGTCTCGGTGGCTGGCTGCGGAGCGTTTCCTTGGTTGTAGCTTCCCTGTGCGACGGTCTCACCGCCACCAACTGCTGGCAAGCTAGGTCCTTGCTGGTACGTTCCGGAAGCGCTTTGAGAAGTTTGTTCAGCTCCGACAGACTGGTATGTGGCTCCTCCAGTGGGTCCAGACTGGTAGGCTCCTCCCTGCGCACCACCGACGGCGGCGTTGCCAGCTCCAGCGTAAGATCCGCCTTGGCTTCCAGAATAAGATCCTCCTTGAGCTCCACCGACAGCAGCGTTTCCGGCTCCAGCGTAGGAACCTCCTTGAGCTCCTCCGATAGCGGCGTTTCCAGCTCCAGCGTAAGATCCTCCTTGAGCTCCTCCGACAGCAGCGTTTCCGGCTCCAGCGTAAGATCCTCCTTGGCTTCCAGCATAAGAACCTCCTTGAGCTCCTCCAATACCAGCGTTACCGGCTCCAGCGTAAGATCCTCCTTGGGTTCCTCCAATAGCGGCATTCTCAGCCCCAGCGTAAGATCCTCCTTGAGCTGCTCCAATACCAGCGTTACTGGCTCCAGCGTAAGAACCTCCTTGAGCTCCTCCGATAGCCGCGTTTCCGGCTCCAGCATAAGATCCTCCTTGCGAACCTCCGAAAGCTTCTTGGGCACCACCAGTCTGATAAGATGCAACCTGGGGTTGAACTTCGAATGGTGCCGAAAGTGGAGGTGAGGCATATGGTCCGCCAGCTCCAACCTATAAAAGATCTTGTTAGATGTTTATCAAACGATCTGGAGGAACTGTGTACATATAACTTGAAAACAAATAGAACATAAGGGACCAAAAAAATAAACTCACTGGTCCAGCGCCGCCTACAGAAGAATAGGAAGCTCCGCCAATCTGTCCGGCTCCAGCGTACGATCCTCCTCCGATAGGCTGGCTGATGCCTTCAGCTCCAGCATAGGATCCACCTCCGATTGGTCCACCGCCGTAGCCGCCGATGGGCGCTGGTGGAGGTGGCGGTGGAGGTGCGATCGGTGCGGGCAAGACCGGCGCGGCAGCGTAGCCTCCGCCACCGCCGCCGCCATAGCTGCAAGTTTTCTCGATTTCAATCGAATACCTAATCAGAGTGGGGGACTCCGGGAACCGCTTTAGGGGACCGTCAGCCCGGTCAGAACAGAGAAAGGACAGGGAAGGGCGGATACGACTTGGAAAAGCCTCCCAAAAGAGATCTGCCGTCGGGGCTGGCGTGTAATTGGGTAAACGACGTGTACACAGTGTTTCTTTTGTGGTTAAGGGTTGGCGTCTTTCTCCTTGTTCTCGCACGACAACCGGATTTCTTCCTTACAAGGGGGCATTTCGAGGGGTTTTCGGCCGAACACATAGTACAATGCAAGATTGGGATCAATTCTAGAGATGATCATCGTCAAGCAATTGACTGCGGTTTGGACTCGATTAAGCGCATTTATGGCGATCTTTCTTCTTGAAAGGAAAGTCGCAAGAAAGAACTTGAAAGGCAGAAAAAGATTTTTTCGTTCTTCCTAGCCGCCAAAATCTTGAATAATGGAAAAGATTGTTGAAAAATAAAATGGTATAAGAGAGATTAAAAAAATTGTTATTTCAAACATAATTCATCAATGTTTTTAGCCCTATATGGACTCCACTTTCAATTTAAAAAGGTTTCTGGCGGAAATTGAGTGTTCTGATGGCAGTAAGAACCTCAATTAATGATTAGGGCTTAGAAAAAAATAAATTATAGATTCCTGACGAAGGCGCAAAGCGTTAGAAAGTCAATCAATGAATAAAAAAACCTAAAAAAAGGTGACAAAATTAAAATTTTTCTCGGTACATTTTTCAGTTTGATTACAAAGTTCTCATTCGGATTATTTGCGATAAGAAGAAAAAAAGTGTATTTTTGTTAAAGGAGATTATAAACCCTTAGAAAATGATTTATTGGTCTCTACAAGATTCAAAAACATTGGTTCGTTTTTAGGAACTCCAAAAAGTGGGAAAAAAAACTTGCTTCTCCACGGGAAAATTTTAAAAAGTCTCAAAAAGGACCTGAAGACCTTTTGAAAAAGTCAAAAAGAAAAGGCGGAAAAAAAGGAGATTCCGAGAAACTTTGGACACTTTAGGAACTCAAAAAAAGCTTTAGACTCTTGTTTTAAGGTCTTCTCGAGATCGTTTGGACGTATGAACACAAATAATGACTTAGTTTGAAGATTTGATGAGTTGGCTTGGAACAAAATTTATCTGGGAAAAATTTTTGTGCCCCAAAAAGGAGTTTCAAAACTGTTTTGCCAATCTCAAGCTAACAGTGAACAGAGTACAGCACAGAGAAGAAAAAAATTAAAATAAATAAAAAAAACAGGTAATATAACGACAAAAAGTACCTGGAACTGGAGCAAGGAGGAACAGCAGCGCCGCAAGACGGCTGGCTCGGCGGACAGCAGCCGGAGCCGCCACCGCCGAGGCCTCCGATGCACGCGGACGCGGGTGCTGCAAGAAGTGCGACGACGCAAAGCACGGCTCGCATCTTGTCAATTAACAGAGGAATCGCGACTGCGAGTCGACGGTCGGGTCCGCGCGCCTTTTCTACCTCTGCCGCAGGCATCCGTCGACTCCGCCTCCGCTTGGCGTCGGCCACCGCTTTTTTCCGCATGCTGCCTGCCTGGTCGGCCGCTGCCATTTCGATCTGGGCGACGGAGATTCTGATCAAAACGATTTTTACAATGGCTTCGGAAGCCGTGGCAGGCATGGTCTCCATGATTGCCCATGTCCAGAAAAGGTTCCTGGTCCACTAAAGACGTCGGAATGGCATTCGGTTGCTGATCGGAGAAGTCTGATCATACACTTGAGGCGAAGGAGACAGAGGAAAAGCTCATTTAAAAATAGTGGGAACATTTTTTCACGGAAAACTGCTTTCCCAATGGCTCTGTACTAGAGAAAGCTTGTTATATCTGCAAAAGAGCAAAATTAGAAAACAGTAAATATTACTCCCCATAAAAATGTCCCTTTTTGCTGCCATTTTGCGCCCTATCATCGGCTCTTATGCACCATTTTTTCTGCCTCTCCCTTTTCCGCCATTTCTTGAGCCTTAAAATTCCAGAAAAATTGGGAGGCTCGGTAAAGGAACTCTCTTTGCAGCCTTTTTGCGGCCTTTTTTGAGCCTCTCCCTTTTAGCGGCCATATTCACCATTCCGGCTTTGTCCGAGAGCCAATTTTTTTTTTTCAAAAAGAACAAATTAATGAGTAAAATGAAGAGAATACCTAAACTTGTGTTAATCTTTATTACCTTCGCGGTCTTATCTTTACATTATTTATTTATTCTTTTCCTTTTGCTCAAAAATTTTAGTCTTAAAAGAAAATTGCCAAATTGTATTTCTTTGGATCAAAGTTTCCGACGCGGAAATTATCGCCATGAAAAGTTCGCTTTTTTTTTTTGGAACGCGACCTCTTCTCAATCTCGCTCTCACAACTGAAAAGGCCGATAACTGAAGATTTCCGAGAAAAAAAAGTGCGTCAAATCGAGATTTCGTCGTGTTTTGACACGAGGCTGTTGAGAATTTTGACCCATTTGCAACAACCTACAGACCATTTACTCTTCCAGGGAAAAATAAATCGGAAAATGACTTTCCGCATGGAGTTTAAGAATAGGTGATGTATGAAACCAGACTTTTTGCTTGTCAGGAAATAAAAATTGTCGCACTTTTTTTTTGCGTGTCTTTTTTTGTGAGCTAGGCCCTAGGGCCGAGAAATCGGTCCTTCGAAAAAATCTAGGTGGTCCCTATAGGGTTTTAGGGTCTGTCCCCTTAGCCCCTAAAGCTTGAGTGGTCCCTATAGGGGTCTCTCAACTTCATTCAAAAAAGCTTATTTATTTAATTTTTTGCATAGAGCTCATAAAATTATCAACTATCATGTCCCCTATAGGCACCACTAACTAAAATCCCTATAAGGACCACTTTTGCAAGCTTTAGGAGCCCTTATAGGGGTTGGCAAAGCCCAAGAACCCCTAAGGTCGCCTCTATAGGGACCACTCTGGAGGTCCTAAGATACTTGAATCGGATTCATTTCACCTGAACGGCGATGGCTTTTCGATAAATTTGTATGAAGCTCGAATGGTATCGATCCAGAGCAGTTTTACGGATAAAATGAGCGAAATATAGTATCTATAAAATCTCTATCCGATTTTAATTACAAAACTGCAAAGAAACTTTGAAATTCTCCAGCGCAACCTTTTTTCACTGGCTGTAAGCCATTTAAATGATATCAATCACCAAACAGATGATGAGAACAATTAACAGGATGCTTCAAGTTGCCGCGTCACGCGTTGCGTAACAAGCGCGGCGTCACTTTTCGCTTTCTTCGACACGAAATCCCTTTCCAAATAACTCAGAACTGATTCCGCGACAGGTTTGGAGCTTTTCGATTGATATCGCTTATCAATTTTGATGAAACCTGGGAAAAAAATATTTTTGAAACTTTTTTGATTTTTCAAGAAGTTTTCAGATATCTCTCTTAAAATGATTGTTCAAGCTTATTTTTCCCACAAAAAAACTCTTAATTTTGTGAATCAAAAGAATAAATACATAAAACTTTATCTTCGAAGTTTTATGTATTTATTCTTGACTGGAGAGTTTGAAAAAACAGGGAATTTCTTATGATCACTCCCAAAAAAATCTATCTCATTTTGTGTATTTTATTTTCAACGCGAGCGGTCTTTGAACTACACAGATTTTCTAATTTACTCGTCATATAAAATTTCTTTTTTTCGAAAACTGAGCCTCAAAAGCTGTTGAAGAATCTTCCAGCGCAGGAAAACTCTAGAAACCGTAGAACCAGTGCATTTTTGGAACATTTTTCTGGCCCATAAGAGAATATTTGAGCTCAATATCAAGTAAATTCTAAATTTTTCAATGAGACTTTTTCAAACATTATCGGCAGAAGACAACTCTAAAAAAAACAGATTGAAAAACATTCCGGTCAGTTTTCCGGAAGTTTGCAAGCTCAAAGTGAATTGACCTTTCCTGTCGTATGGCAAGTTCACACGATCGAGAGCGTCGGATAGGAGATCGTCTAGCGAGTTCGAAGCCGTCCGCAGCCATTCAGGGAGCCATTAAAGGTGCAACACAGCCACCCGTCGTGTTTCTCGAAACGACGTCTTTGCATTCCGGATATTCGAGATCCCGTCAAATGTTGCACTCTTCTCTTTGTATACATAAAAAGGCGTTTGAACAGAGTCAGCTTCGAAAAAAAGGGGAGTACTTTAAGGCCCTCTTTTTTAGTTGAGCTGAAAAACCCTTTTTAAGCCTGGATAACTGCAAAGGCTCACTCTAAACTTGATTTCTGAATCTAAAATAAATTAAGTAATTTTTTCAAATTTTTTCAATTTGACGTACATAGACAAAGCCGGAAAGGGTGAAAAAAAAACTCCTTTTTTGCTGCCTTTCTGCGGCCTTTTGAGTCTCTTCATTATCCAGAAGCCATTATCCACCATTCCGACTTTGTAAAATATAGTATAATAAAAATTTCAAGTAAAGCCGCCCTTTCTCGAAGTGGAGACAAATGAAACTTTCCTGGTCCTCTTCCTTCAGCAAAAGAATCGGGTTCGGAGCGTAATTAAATTAAACTCATTATCGAAAATTATCGAAAAAGCGAGCAAAAACCTCTATCCTCAGCTCGCCATAACTTAAAACTCTGTGACGTTTCTGCGTACTTGTTTCGCCCATTCTTTTCCGTAAAGTGCAGTGTGTCGTGTGCATGCACTGCGACGCTCTCGCACATGCCGTGTTCGAAGTAATTTTCGCGAAATTCAAAATCATCTCTGAATTTCCAAAATTCAGTTATATGAGCGTCGGTTAGATCACAGATACGTCAGACTCTGGAAATTCGAGGCGAAAAACTTTTGAACTGTGAAATTAATTTTAAGGTAGCCGCCTGACAATTCGACAAGAGAATCTTTTTTTCCTCACAAAACTTAATTTTATTGATTTCTAAAGTTCGAACGGAACTCAATGTAAAAATGATACATGCATGAAACAAAACGTCTTTTCAATCAAAATGTATCCTTCTTTCCACAATTTGTAGTTTCATTATAGTCTCCCGGTATCAAAACGGGGTCGGCGAGACATTTCCCGCGCAGGTAGTGATACCGCTGTCCCGCCAGGGCTTTTTGAAGCTTTCAGTCGACAGATCTGATCAAAAACAGCGTTTTTCTTCCTCCTGCGGCGCAACGTGTTTCTCTCTGTGTATGTGTTGCATATCTTTGGCATCTGGCAAAAATCGTGCGGCCAACCGACATCGCCTAAAACGGCGAAAAATCGAATCTCTTACGAGGTTTCATATGTCGTAGATGGTTTTTTTCCCCTGTGCTGTAAAACATACTATGTGTGTGTGTGTTTTCGGCGCCATACGAGGGGGCTAATAGGTGCAGACCGGCCGGAAACCTTCTTGTAGAGGCGGAAAGATGTGTAGCCTTCCATCATTTGCAGATCTCAGACTCCTTTCAAGTTTTTCAACAAGTTCCCACTGCTGGGATATATTAAATGACACTTTTTGAAAGCATCAAAAGGTTCAAGAAAGGCTTGCAGTTAAAGGCATAGGTGCAGTAAAAAACGGGGTTTGAGGTGAAAGAAATACCTTGTAGAGTCCCATTCAAAAAATCACAGATATGACTAATTTTAAACAAGAACGCGATTCTAGATCCCAACCGAAAGCTGTATAAAGTTGCCATTTTTCACCAGAAACGCATTTTACAATAGAGTTTGGAAATTATACATAAAGAGGAAGTTTTTGTGACGGAAAGATCTTGGTATGGTGTCAACAGAAAAAAAAAATTGAAATTTGAAAAAAAAAACGAAAAAGGACTCAGACCTTGGTAACGCAAACGGGACGCGAATCGGACGTGTCGGGGCATTTCTAGGGACCCCTTTAGTAGCCTCAGAATTCTTAAAAGATCCCTAGAATCGCCCAGAAACTTCCGGAGCACGTCCGTTTCGCGTTGCCAATGTCCGAGGAAGCGGAGGCCAGTCGCCCTTAGAGCAACTTTACTGCAAAACGCCCTTTTTGCGAAACTCGAACTTTTTTCTCTTTGATTTCGAATAAATTCTCCGAAAACAGTAACTTCTGTACATTTTCAAGTAACCATTGGATTTGCAATAAAAAGCTGTACAAGATACTGTTCTCACTTGAAACCTCGTTTTTTAGCGCCCCTATGCTTTCAATTCAGATAAGTTTGACTTGAATAATAATGAACTTCGTTTATAGACTCAGGATAAAGGAATCCCTAGGATAAATGATGAAAAAATGAAGCTAGGATTATATGAGAAGACCTTTTGGAAAAATGACCAATTAATCTCGAAGCCTCACTTCAAGCAGGGCTTTTGGTAACCTACAAATTCTACGAGAAAAAAAAATGAATCCAAAAAAAAATTTATGGAATATTTCCGAAATTCATGCTCAGACCCAAAACACCACGACTGAACTTTCTTTTAAAAAGTTGTATTTCTTCTTTCGAAAAAAAAATTTAGAAACACTATGAAATAAAGCTCGGCTTACGGCCATCTTTTGAAGAATAGAGACATATTATTCATATGGTTTCTTGTAAAATGGTGAAGTTTCAAAATTTCATAATGACTCGAAAAAAAAAGCGTGTATCACAAGAAGCAAAGTGACAAAAGGCGGCGTGTATCATGTACAAGGAATTGAGTCAGACGTAGAACTCTTTGTGAAGCGGCGGACTGGAGAGAGTTCCCTTCTTGCCGACGTCGTAAGAATCAGAAGAGCTTCGGGCAAACCGTCGACACAGCCAGAAAGAGGCCAGAAGTGCCGTCGGAGCTGCCACCGCCACCACCCAATGATACCACTCCATCCTGTAATTCCGTCTTCATTTCTTTCAGAACTAACTATTCCAATTTTTCAACTTGGCCGCACGTCGAATGACTGGAAGTGAGTGGCTGCGAAGCTTCTGCACGTCTACAGTCAATTCTTCCCGGTTTGAAAGGCGAGGAAGACGGGCGCGTAGCGTGTGCGTACGCGGTTCTTGGCACGAGTTCAATTCAACCGCCACCGACTATTTTAAGAGCTCCTTTATCGCTCTTTTCGTTTTTTTTGAAATTGTTTATTGATCTTTCTCATGTGTGAATTAAAAACAGTAGAATAGATACCAAAAGAGCTTTTTGAACTCGTGCCAAGAACCGCGTACGCACACGCTACGCGTCCCACATACTTCTCCGCCTCCCTCGCCTTTCAATTCGGAATGGATTTACTATGTTTGAGCGCGAAAAGTTTGAGAAAAAGCTCTGTATTTCAAGTCGGCTATAAAGCAGATATCAACCGAGCCATTCCACGTGCAAACAAGTAGGTTTGAAAATGAAATTTGAATTACATTTGAGGGTAAAATGAGAAAATGTGCGGCGCTGAATAATGATGGTTCTCCCAGAGAAGGGATATAAGACGAGCGCTGAAAAATATGAATGCAATTGGGAGCCGCCAGCAAAATTTGGATCGAGATGCTTCCAGATTGTGGTCGGGTGTTCGATGAATAGGAAAAAGAGAGAAAAAGAGAGTAATGAAATGAGGCGCGACTCTCGCCGTTCCATTCATCCCGCTCCAGTGAGCACACCTCATGTTTCGAGGCTCTATTCAGAAGTCACGCCGGTTTCTTTTTAGTTTTTTGGAAAAATATCCTGCAAACAACGAGGTCGAAAATTTTCTGAGCAGAAACGGGTGTCTAATAGATCTTCTTCAGCAGATGAAGCAGGGCAGGTACAACCAAGCAAAGCCCTGCCTTTGTCGAAATTAAGGTTATTCGTAAAAGTTAGAAGAAGTCCAGAAAAGTTTAGAAATTAGAAATGCTGAAGAGTTGTTGACATGTGTTGAAATGCGCGGTGCGGCAAAGGGTTGTTAAAATTTGTGAAATGCCCCCTGGGAGCCGAACGCGTGTCTTTTGATGAAAACCCGCCGAGCCGATTGCTTCATCTCAACGAATTCGGTCCAGCAATTTTTAGATTACACAAACCGTAGCCATAATCGGCATAAAACAGTACGAGAGTGAGTATTCAATGGCTCATTAACGAGATCAATAAAAGTAAACGTAATTACCAAACGCCATCCCCATTTTTTTCCCTCCATAGCTCGTACACACAGGAAGGGGCCAATAAGCTCGAAATCGCGTCAAATGGCCATTCAAAGTGTCAGTGACCATGACGAAGTACTTCCTTTCGTTAATGATCCTTCAGGTCCTCTATTACATCACAGAATTTTCTGACTAATTCCAAAAAATAAATCAATCGCTAAGTGAAATGGCATTCCTTGTTTAAATATTAATTCTATTAGCCTTCGAAGATAGCTTCAACGCTTTCTGTTAAAAATTCCAGGACCAAGCCGAACTTTATGAATTTCAGGTTACGACATCCAAAAGTACGCACTGCGTCCAAGGCAACTTTTCACGCGCATTTGTTTTTTTCAAAAAAATAATTCTCTCTTTTCTTTTATTTCAATTATAGCAGACTCAATAGTTTGCCAGTTTAGTTTTAGACTCAAGATGGACTGCTTATAATTTTTCAAAAAAACATAAGCTTTTTTTCTACCTTGCTTCATAAGCGGTATCTCATTTTAAATTTAAAAAGGAAAAAAAGTATTAAAATATCACTTCTATATTTTTTTATAATCTATAGACTTCAAAGTGAATGAGAAATAATAAATATTATTTTTTTATAAATTTTGAGAACCCGTATATGTCGGTCATTCTAAGGAAAAATTATTTATTTACGAATTATTTTTGTGTGCTATTTTTCTTAAAAAAGAAGGAATTTTTCTATTTTTTTGTTGTACGTGCATGATTTCATCAAGTCTATTTTTTTCAGTTGAAGAATTCTGAAGTGCTATTATCGAAAATGGCGGACAACTTTTTCCACGCAACTCACGTAATTTTTTTTTTCATATTGATATCGCTTTTTCGATGATAAGACTAACGTGTAGAAAAAAAAAACGAGAAAAAAATTCAGACATTAGCGCTGTACTTATCAAGTTAACTATAAGTATTTCTACTTGAAGTAGAACGAATTTTTCAAAGTAGACCGAAGAGAGAGAGAGTCAAGGATTCTTAAGTTTACGTGTTTTATATATTTTTTATCGCTACAGAGACGCAGAAGCGCACGAAGGAAACTCGGAGGAGGTTAAAGAAGTGGAAGATTCTGGGCAGGAAGAAGTTTCGAAAGCCGTTGAACAGTCCAATGGTGAAGGCAGTTCTGCCGTGCCTTTCAATGAGGCTCCAAATGTCGATGAAGATTTCATTGCACAATACCAAGCCAACTACGGTGTTCAATACGACGACGTTTACAGTTTGTCGTAAATTTTTCGTTGTAAAAAAATTAGATTAACAGAAAAAATGGACGAAGAACTGCAAGAAAGAATCAGGAAGTGTGCTGAGAAGGAAGAGACGAAGAAAAAGAAAAAAGTTGAGAAGCGAAAGATTGGAGGCGCGCCTACTGAGCCTGAAGGTATTTATTTCAGAGGTCATTCCAACTAAGAAGCTGATTTAAGGTTGGATCGACCTCAGCGACAAAGTACATGCAGTTTACGTTTCCAATTTACCAACGGATATCACCGATGAAAACTTTAAGGTGCTTATTTAATGTGTAAAAGTAGAAGAGAAGACATTCAGAACTTCATGGCAAAAGCAGGGGTGATTCAACTGGATCCACGGACCAACAAGCCCAAGGTGAAGTTATACCGCGATGCTGCCGGGGAACTCAAAGGAGACGGTCGATGCAGCTACGTCAGAAAAGTTCTTGTTTAACCTTTATTAGACCGAATTTTATTCAATTTAAGGAGTCTATAGATCTTGCACTGTCGTTACTAGATGGCGCCGATCTCAATGGAAAAAAGGTTCTTTCTAATTCCGCAAATAAATTAATTTCGATTCTTAAGGTGAAAGTAGAGGAAGCGCACTTCGAGCAGAAAGGCAACTTTGACCCAACCAAGAAAAAGAAGAAGCTCACTTCTGCGCAGAAGAAACGCTTCATGGAGAAACAAAACAAGTTTCAAAGCCTATTTCTCAACTTTTTTCAACATAGTCTTGCAGAGCATTTGAATGGCGAGAAAGTTCAACGAGGATCCAACGTCCCGTTTCTGACTGCGTCGTGATAATCAAAAATCGTTTCACCCTCCAAATGTTGATGGTAAATTTACCTCAGGACGTCGAAAAGCGTCCATATTGTGCTCAGGAAAACCCCATCCTCATTTTTACGCTGAAAGAGGACGTCGCAAAAAGCTGCGCAATGTACGGTCTCGTGAAGAAAGTCGTCGTTTTTGATGTGAGCTCATTTTTTTTTCATCGAAAGCTCATTTATTGTCAGAATAATCCCGACGGAGTCGTATCAGTGCACTTTTCGAACACAGACGAGTCAGACATGGCGGTTCATCATTTAAACGGGTCAATGTTCAATGGAAGAATGTTAGTTCTTGAAGACTTTGACATCGAATTTTTTGTTGTTCAGTTTGACGGCCGAGTTGTGGGACGGAAAGACGAAGTATGCAGTCCAAGAAACGAAGGAAGAACACGAAAAACGTATGAACAACTGGCAGAAGTTCCTCTGCGGAGAGAAGGCGCCGGATCAGGACACCGAAGTGAGAGAAACAGAAGACTGAAACAGTAATCTCTTTCTAAGTATGTTGAATCGCATTGAATTTTGAAAACCATTCCGGAAAGATAAACTCTGTTTATTTTTATCATTATTCAAAAAAAAAATTCATCGCCAATATTTTATGAAACCCGTTTTCTGAGTTGCTCGACAGCTCTGTCGACCTGAGCCCGTGTTTCTTCATAGGCCCATAGCGAACAAAAGACAACGTTGCTTTCGTCGATCCGCTCCTTGTTCGTGATTTGGCTTCTCATCCTCGCTTGCGCCTCAAGAAATTTGGTTACTTAGGTACTCCAGAGTGACCCCCATAGGGGCCCTTGGAGGGTCCACTTTACCAAACCCTATAGGGGCCACTAAAGCGTGCAAAAGCCGTCTTTATAAGGGTTTTAGTTAGTGGTCCCTATAGAGAAGATACTAATCGATAATTGCTATGAACTTTAAACTGAGAAGCATTTCCATAAGAAAAACTGAATAAAATAAGCGTTTTTTGAAGAAGTCCAAAGACCCCTATAGGGGCCAACTTCATTTTACCCCTATAGGGACCACTTTTTCGGCCCATATTTTTTCCTGTTTCCCCAAGCCCTTATAGGGACCACTATGGAATTCCTAAGTAAGAAGTTACTTTCATAAGCTATGTTTCTGTTAGACATTTTATTAGACTTACTGTGATGATACCCTCTTTTCCATAAAGCTCTGGGGTTGGACACTAGAGAAATTTCTTCCAACCGTGAAGTCTCTACCTGTTCTTCGGAGACGTTATCACGTTCTACCACGCGTCGGATAGTCTCTGCCTCAGGAACGAAAACGGTCCACAACTCGGGCAAATTTTTCCTCCAACCCGCTTCGACTAAAGCCGCCGCCTCGATGACTGAAGATGGGTAATTAGTAGAATATTGTAATGATCAACAACGAACCTATAAACTTTTTGTCAGAACTCGCAACAATCGATTCCACTTTCTCGTAGACGTGAGGCCAAACGAGTTCGCTCAACTGCCGGAGGAGGTCCTAAACAGTTGATAAGAGCCCGTTTATGTAGGAATAGTCACCTTGTTGCCGAATACGATCCCTCCGAGCTTGCGACGGTCGACAACACCGTTTTTAACGACTTCTTCGCCGAAGGTCTGGGCGATTTCTTGATTTAAACGGCTCCCAGGCTCGTAACATCCATGAGCGAGCTTGTCGCAGTCGATAACCTAATGATCCATTTCGAAAATATCAATCATCAAGGCGAAAACCTGAAAATCCGGCTTCGTAGCCAGGTATTTTGCGATGTTGGATTTTCCTGAAGCAATACCGCCGGTTAGACCAATCATGTATGGTCTTCCAGCAGCTCTCGGAATGTCGTACGGCGGCCTCAGAAGTGTTCCTAACGCCTCTCTAATATCAAAAAGTACTAAAGCGACAGAAGACAAAGGGAACCTTCTTCGCGACGAAGAACTCACTTTCGATTCTTTCATTACTTCGTCGTTGGCCTCTACGAGGCTGATGACTACCACATCCAGTACGCTCATCCCGTTTTCCTGAAAAAAAAAGTTAGTGGGCTAAAAAGCCTCGAAAAAGGGTGCAGAAAATCTCGGCCGTTGATGACTTCCGGCTTTATTGCTTTAGCACATTTTGGTTCATACATACAACTGATAAAGATTATTCTTAATTAAAAAAATGGCGCATTTCTCAAAAGGGTGTATAAAGGCCGATGAAAGAACGGAAAAAGACAGTAAAAAGGAAACCGTTGCCACCCGTTTAGCAACAACTAATCAAAACCTTTTTGGACCCATAAAGGACGCTGAAGAGCCCGTAAAGGGCCCTTCCGACTTTGGCTATGTTAAATTGTTACCCTTGTTTTTTAGGTAGCTTTTGTCTTTCAGATACTATTAGAAACACACTTGATAATAACGCCTAAAGGATAAAATATCGTTTTTATTCAATATTACCTAACAATACTATCAGAACGGCTTTAAATCAAATTCTATTCAGAACCAAGACCTTACTTGGCGCTTTTTGTTGACTGCATCCCCTCCTTTCCTCGTTTCTTCGCTAACGACTATCGCTTCTAGATCTTGGACTCTAGTCGACGGCCCATACATGTCGGGAATGGGCTCAGCGAGCACTCGAACCTGTAGGATTCACTATTTCCCTTTTATTTGGTTGTGAAAATTAAAAAAATGACCAACTGTGTCTGAGACGTCTTCAACGAACTCGACGACGTCCGCGATTCTTTTCTCTACCGGTTCAATCATTTCGAAGAGAGACTTTTCTAAAGCTTCATTCATATTTTTCGGTGATATATACACCTACTCAAGATCATAGTTTTGTCAGTTACTCCGCAAGTGATGCTTTCCGATGCCAACATTGCGGCTTTCGACAGGAGAACCTAAAAAACACTCGAAAAATAGAACTTCTCGAGTAGAAATTGCGAACCTTGTGACCATTGTGAAGCCGGTCAAAAGTTCCGCCAAGGACCACCTTTTTGTATTTCGGTTCAGGTGGCGAAATTTTTCCTACTTCCCCGTCACCTATCAAAGTCGCGCCTCAAAATTCACATAAACGTCTAAAATCGATTCATAAACTCACTTTGTGGAATTTTCTCCCCTAACAAAACCCGAACGTCCAGATTCGGACATTGCTGAGAAGAATCTAAGTAGATTTTAGGAAGAATAGTATCAAGACAGGTATCTTGGACTCTGAGGTTCAATAAAAATAATTTTAAAAAAATATCCCGAAATAATACCTTATGTATAACTTTGAAGTGACGGACGTGGAAGCCGTCGCGAGCAATGATGATAGGCGATTGATATTTCGAGCGGTGAGCACGATGAGCCCTATTTCCGGCGGCATATCTTCAGGATTCTTCAACAACGCTGTGTACATGGCAGCAAGCGTTGGAAAGAAGGTACAATAAATCGATTCAGGAACGGTGCGGGTGCAGAAAGTGTTTCCTTCACTTATCACCCCGCGCCATCAGACACGAATGTTCATACCATTGTATTTGCTTTCTTTTTCCCTTCACACATTTTTCGACGGCACATTTTGGGCCATTCTATCAAAAAATTAATTTTCTTGCAAAGCAATTAATTTCATTACTTGGAAAGAGATGAAAGTTTGTAAATAAAATTGTTTTGAATATTTTAAAATTTTCAAGCGGAATGAGTGCTCTGTCGAACTACTTCTCTCAAGGGGCCTCTTTGAGGACACATTCAAAAGTTGCTCTTTTGCAGAGCAGCTCGAGGAACCTCTTCTTTTTTAACACGTTCAATTTGTTTCGTAACCCTTGTTAGCCTACATGTGAGCATATAGAATAATCATTTAATTTGAAACTCAACGGGAAAGAGTAATCGGAAAAAGAAATGCGTTCGAAATTTTCGAAATATATTTTAATATATTTAAAAAAATTTCTCCATTTCGGAAAAATGATCAATTTTTTTCAGAAAGAGGAATTATTATTAAAAATTTGGAAAGAAAAAGCTGAAAACCTGCCTGGTCGTTCTTGCCTTAGCTTTTTATTGAAATGAAACGCAACACGAGAAAAAAAAAAACTTTAAATTCATTCTCTTCAAATATTAAAAAAAGCAATATGTACAATTTGAACGAAAAAAACAAACAGTGAGAGCCTAAATCTGCAAAAAGTCACAACAAAGTGTTACGCGTTTGGGCCGTCTGCTGTGGAGCATCTTGAGATAGAGAAGGAAAAGGCAACAACCGGTTCAAAGCACCTTATGAGGTCATATCCGTAGAGCGTGAGGGAGTTGCTGGTTGAGAAGCATGTGGTCGGCGCCGCGGATCGGCAGCGGATGTCGTCGGTAATACTGAACTGCCGAGGAGATGGACCGAAAACTGGGACCTTCGCCTGCAAAGTTGCGTTTATTAGATGGAAATTTGACATTTTTTTAAAAGTCGAAAACAAAAAAGAAAAAGCTACCGTAAATACAAACTTTTGCTCTACAAAACTGCTATAAAGACAGCAAAAAACGAAAGTATTGAAGCGAAGATGCTCAATTTTAATCTAAGTTGGTTTACGGTACTTTTGGCGGAAAGAAAAAAGTGACACACGGCGTTTTTTAACGACGCCCCGCCTATATTTTTTTTTCCGTAAAGTGTAGTGTTGTGTGCATGCACTGCGGCGCTCTCGCACATGCCGTGTTCAAAGAAAATTTCTGCGAAATTCAAAATCATCTCTATATTTCCGAATATTAGTTGAATTTTTCACAAAATTGGCACGGAATCGGCTATAACACGTTTTTTCTCTCACCCGTTCAAGAATAATATTTTTTTTTTTTTTTTTTTTTGATAGAAAACCGCTCTAAACCTTTTCATTCACCCAAAAGGCATTTGGAAAAAATGTTTAGTGCAGTTTTGTAGAAAAAAACAGCTAAAATCATTAGTGATTATTTCAGTTTTGCTCATCGTTTGACGGGAAACTACATTATAGCCTCACGTGTGGAACGAAGGACAGAAAAAAGTTTTTGCTTTATTTTTACACTTTTATCGTTGAAATACTTTGAAGCTTCTTGAAAACTGACCGAAAACGCAAATGCATCCGGAGAAACTACAGGTACGCTAATTTTTATAACTAAAGTTCAAAAAAGCTTGAAGAAGTAATGCCATGGATTCTTTTGGTTTTATGAAATCCTACTGGGAAAATGTTCATAACTGTTCCACTTGGACCTTCTTTTCATCACCACATCGGGAGAATCGTGAAAATACTTATGTCAATCAATTTGAAAATGCGAATTGGGAATGAGGTGACGAGTCGGCGGCGCCAAGGTTGAATTTCTCATTCAGCGAACGTTTCATGATAGACCGCGGAACAGGACAAAAAGCCAATAATACGAGGGAATTAGGCCCTCAGGAAAATCAACGCACCGATGATCCATTTATCGCCTTTCTGTTCGATTTTGATGTGGAGGACGCCTCTGGAGGCTCGAAGCGAGAGAGCTGCACTTCCCTCGCCACGGGAACGCAGCAGAAAGTCGCCGAGAGGACGGCTCTCCAAGCGTTTTTCTGCTTCCACTCGATCCACGTTTTTCTCCAGAAGAACTTCGTCCTAAGTTTGAAAATGAGGAGAGCGCGGAAAAAACAACTGACAAGGCTACGAAGTTCCTCTCGTTTGAGCTCTATTCTTCGGTCCTTTGAACGTCGAGCCTCAACCGCCGAGTTGCCAAGGTTGACAAGTTGTTGAACGAACGAAGAAGATTGAGAAAGAGAAGGCGACGCTGTAGTTTGAACTTATTGAAGAGCTGTATTTTCATCACTGATTGCAAAGATTTGGGAAGACTAGGGATCGTTCTGAGCTCACATCTGAATTAACTAGATTTACTAGATGTAGTTTTCCACGCTGATTCCAAATCTGGTATTAAAAGTAGCTCTCGAGGTGTGTGAAAACAGTTGGGGGCTTTCAAAAGTCGAAAATTTGACCGTCTTGTCTTCGATTGAACCTTTTTTTCCAAAGCTCAGCGCATGATAAGAGAGTGCGGGCGCTGAGTGCTATCAAGACCAGATTTGGAATCAGCGTGAAAAACTACATATGGTGAACCTAGTCTCATTCAGAAGTCCCACTGGAAGCTCAGAACACTCCCTGGTGGGAACTTGTTCAGTCTTTGTTGAACATTTCATTCCCTTTTGAAAGAGTTTCAACAAACCATGTGGAGACGGCTGAGGCGAGCCGACGGCAGAAAGACGGGCGTCACGTTGTCTTCTGGCGGCAAACTCGTTGACGTCGGCCGCGGACAGCCGCATCGACGTCGGACGCGACAGGAACTCCCATGGAGTGTCGTAGTGATCTTCCTCCATCACGTCATCCTGGCTTTCGGCGGCTGCGGGTCGGCTCTGCTAGCACTGGAAACTTTTATTGCTTAATGGGCAGCCGGAAGAAGTTTCTGACGAAGAAATACACGAGAAACTATAGGGAAACCTAAAAATTTCAAGGTTAACAATTGATGACTGGAAAAAGAAAAAAGGATCTGCAGTGTGGAAATTCTCGTTTTCTATCAAAGAAAGCAAGCCTGACTTCCAGGAGAAATAACGAGGGCAGACAGAGCCAAACGTCCTTTGGAAGCCTTTTTCTTTTCGACCAAGAAGAGAGACAGGGGATTATTCAAATGAAACAACTAGGGATTAAGCAAATGTGAAGGCTGCGGAGGAAGGAGAACAATTAATTGGCGCCCATGATTGGCAGATTGCTATCATGTCTGCCCAACCTGAGAGATACTGAAGTCGGTCCCAAACTGACGATACAGCTTTTCTCCACAGAAAAAGTGATTCTTAGGAAATGCAGAGTGGTCCCTATAGGGGACATGCTAGTCGATATTGTTATGAACTCTATGCGGAGAAGCATTTCCATGGCAAAAATGAATAAATAAGCGTTTTTAAATGAAATTGAAAGACCCCTAGAGTGACCACTCAAGCTTTAGGGGCTATGGGGTCAAACCCTAATCTCTATAGGGACCAGTTTTTCGGCCTCTATAGGGTTTCCCAAAAAAAGTCGCCAATAGAGCAAAAAAATTCAAAAGTTGAAAGAAAAATTTGCAAAAAATTCTATCGATTTTTTTAACTTATTTTTTTTAGTTCTCTTTTAAAAAAAAATCGAGCCTCAAGGTTTTTTTTCGTCATTTTCTCTTCTACTAAGCATTTCAAAATTAAAAAAACCGCTCACTGAATGAAGAGCATGAAGTTATTCTTTTTTTTTTGATTTTGGATGTTTCGAGAATTTTGAAAAAATTAAAGGTAAAAATAGGCGATAAAACCTAGATTATGAATCGAAAAAGAGCGTTTTGACGGCGTATAGTCAGTTGGTGTGTGTGTGTGGGAAAAAAGGCGTGAGAGTGTCGGAAGAAAATCCTCGGGTGTTGGGTGCTCATTGCAAATGCATTCGAGCTGTCACTGCGGAGAAGCGTCGCCAAACACTCGTTCTTTTCTTCCCGGAACACTTGGCGCCTTTTCAGTCCACTCACCTGACCATTATCTCTTTCCAGTCAAAACAGTTGAATGGATAAATTAGGACAGATAATCTTAGGAATTTTCAGAGTGGCCCCTATAGAGATCAGGGGAAAAACAGCCTCCATAGGTGTCGAAAAAGTGGTCCCTATGAAGATAAAATCAGGTGGTCTCCATAGGGGTTTATGATCTGACCACAGCACCCAAAGCTCAAGTTGACCCTATAGGGGTCTTTCAACTTCATTTTTAAAACGCTTATTCATTTAGTTTTTCGCGTGGAAATGCTTCTTCGCACAGAGTAGATAATAATTATCGACTAGAATGTCCTCTATAGGGACCACTAACTGAAACCCCTACAGAGTTTTTCTGGAGTTCAAAAGGTAGAAACTAAGATCCAAGGTTACAACGACACCTTGTAAAGCTCCTAGTTGCGACTTCAACGGTCTTTTTATTTATTTTCATTTTTGACCATTTGGTATAGTCTGTTCAGATTTTTAATGTCAACCAGCTAACTCCGCCCCCGCTGAGAGGGCACCTTTTCGCGTCGATGTTTTATCGCGCGAGACTAATTTTGATCTTTTTTGATCTAAAAGATAGAAAAAGAAGTCAAAAATGCAGCCTTATTAAAGGGACATCGTCATCTGTAGATAAAAAATTGACGCGAAAGATATTGTAGCCTTGGGGGTGGAGTTAGCTGCTTGACATTAGAAATCTGAACAGACTATATTAAATCCTGTTTCAAATTGATTTATCTTTCATTGAAAAACGTTGAAGGAGTACCATTCAAGTAAATATCACGACGAATAAAGTTTAATCGGATAGGTGCTAGAACTCCAGAGTGGTCCCTATAGAGGCGACCTTAGGGACTACTTTACCAACCGCTAGAGGGGCCACTGAAGCTTTCAAAAGTGGTTCCTATAGGGGTTTAATTAGCGGCCCCTCTAGGGGACATGCTCGTCGATAATTTTTATGAACTCGAAGCGAAGAATCCACAAAATAAGCGTTTTTGAATGAAATCGGAAGACCCCTATAGGGTCCACTTTAGCTCTAGGGGCTAAGGGCTCAGACCCTAAACTCCTACAAGGTCCACCTGGATTTTAGCCCTAAAAGGGCCCTTTTTTGGCCTCTATAGAGGTTTTTTTCTGCCTGATCCCTATAGGGACCTGTCTGGAATTCCTAAGTTGTGGATGAATCGGATCTCAAATCGCTTTTTTCCTCTACAAAAATAATTTCGAATTTTTTCTTCTTTTGTAATTGGGAACCTGTCGCTCGAAATGGACAGACAGCTGCGTGGGGCCATTAGGACATCATAAGCGGATAATGCGCGGGTCAGTGCAGGCCCAAGAAGCTATTTAGGATTTGTAGCAAAAGTGTGGTCATTGTTATTTTTTATTCAATTATTTGAAATGATTTAACGCCTATAAAATCCTGTTTTTTAAGACCGGCTAGAGGCAGTGAAGTCGAAAAATTATAATAAAACGTTTTTTGAAGGATTTTAAGCGAACATAGAAAAAAAAATACAGAGGAAACAATTTAAGGTAACGCTTGAAAATAATATTTTTTTATCAATTTCGAGCCTTTCTGTCAACTCCTTCCAAGATTGTTGGATGAATAATAAAAATTCAAGCAAACTTACAAGTTAAAATCAAAAATTAAACTGAAAAAAAATTTAGTAGCAAAGTATAGTAATGAAATAACAGGTTAATATTACAAAATTGGAAGAAACCTTCAGCTGGCGATAAAATTCAAGGAGCCAAAACTTGAGAAACGGTGGTCAAAGAAAGCTCATAAAGGGAGACTCTGGCAGAAGCCTGGCGGAGATCGATGCTCGTCCGTCTGTCAGTCCGAAATGAGATAATGACGGAACATGCAGTCGTGGCGCAACCACTACAAGCTCCGCCTCTTTTGACCCGCCAGCTGGGCTCGCTGCCATTTCACCACATGCCGTTTTTTGCCCCCCTCGTGCGCCTCCAACACAATCTCAAAACTTTACCGAAACCAAAATCAATGGCTATTCAGGGCAACCAGGACAACTGGGAAAAATTTTAGTGGCCACTATAGTAGTCAAATTAGTGGCCACTATGGGTCTAAGTGGTACTTTTAGTGGTCACTTTAGGGGTCAATGGATCAACATAACTGGTCCAATCTGTTTGTTTTAAAATTATCAGAGTTACTGGATGAAAAGTTACTGAAGTGGCCCCTATAGAGGTGGGTTTAGTGGCCACTTAAGTGTCATCTCCAATTTGGCGAGCCTCTATAGTGGTCACTAAAAATTTTCGCAGAATGGCTCGAAAAAAATATGGAAAACTTAGAAACTCCAGAGAAGTCCCTATAAGAGCAACCTTAGAGGTCCTTGGAGAAAATGGTCATTGTAGAGATAAAATCAAGGTGGTCCCTATAGGGGTTTAAGGTCTGATCCCTAGGGTCTTTCAATTTCATTCAAAAAACGCTCATTTATTTAATTTTTTTTCTCCTGGAAATGCTTATTCGCTTAGAGTTCATGAAAACTATTGACTAGCATGTCCCCTATTGAGGCCACTTTTGCGAGCCCATATAAGGAATGGCAAAGTGGTCCCTACGGTTGACACTATAAGGACTACGCTTGATCATATTTTTTTTGAAAATGAAGTTTTCAAGAAATTAGTCACGTCAAGTTGAACGCATTCGGAAAATCTTGAGCAAACGAGAAAAATAGATCAAATTCTCAATAATGACCCAGTCAAGGAAGATTGATGAGGCTGTAAATGGACACCGTAAAAGCGCCGGAAACAGGGAAAATTGAGTGTAATCCATATATCCAGCGTCTAATCGTTTCGCTAGAGCCCAGAAAATGAAGAGCAGTTGATTCTTTGAAAAAGAAGGAAAACAGGAGAACTGGGGAAGAAGCTGCAAAAGAAGGAATGGCGTGTGGGGCGCTCGCTTGTCAGGCCACCGGACAGGCAGATGATGTGCCGAGTTGGCAGGTGGGCGTGTCGCCGGAAAAACCGCAGCAAATAACCGTCGCAGCTGTGGCGTCGTCTTCCACCACGCCAACTCTACAGTTGTTTCATCGGTCGTCGGGTTCTTGCGCAAGAGGCTTTTCGAGGAAATTTGAAGCTTTATTTATAACCTTTCTCTTTTCTAATATCTATAATGTTCTTGGTGTACACAAAAAAGAAAGATTTTGAAAAATGATATCCTAATTTTTTCCTAATTGTAAATCCCGACGCCTCCAAAACTCAGAATTAAACAGTTTTCTAGCTTATGAATTCTAGAGTGGTCCCTCTAGAGGTTGGGGGAAAAAATTCCTATAGGGGCCGAAGAAGCAGTCCCTTTAGGGGTAAAATTAAGACGCTGTAGGGGTTGGGGTTCTCAGATGGACCCTGGAGGGGTTTGGGTTCTCAGCCTTTAGCCCCTAAAGCTCAAGTAGACCCTATAGGGGTCTTTCAATTCCATTCAAAAATGCTTATTTATTCAGTTTTCCCATGGAAATGCTTCTTTGCTTGAAGTTCATAACAATTATCGATTATTATGTCCCCTATAGGGGCCACTAGCTGGAACCCCTATAGGGACGACTTTTGCAAGCTTCAGCGGGCCCCTATATGGTGAAGTAGTCCCAAGAAGAAACCCTCCAAAGTCCCCTAGGATTGCCCCTATAGGGACCACTCTAGAGTTCCTAAGAAAGACAAAATTTTGGCGAAAATCAAAGACTTTGGCTCTGTTCCAAATTCATTGGCAAAAAAAAAGTTTCAAAATTTCATTTCTGAAGCATGACCAGGTAGAAAAAAAAAAATGAAAAACAAAAAAAAGAAGTTTAATGCAAAAGAGCTACACGAAAATGAGACAGATGTAAAATATAAATACGCTTTATCTATGATTTCATGGCTCTGTGAATAACGGACGACGAACTTAGGCAAAAATTAATGAACGTGATTAAATATAGAGACGAGAAATATAACAATTAAAGCAAAAAAACATCTGAAATCAATGACCCCAGAGAGGCAAGAAATTGACAGGCAAAGTGGCGAATCGTGTCTTGTAGCTGGGGGGCGCGCCAACGGATCCGCCGATAAGATTAGTAGATAAGATTTCCCGTGAGACGCCACCAAAAGAGCTCATGTCCGGCTCCGAGAACACCTATTGGGAATAAGTGTCTCTGGAATATGAAAGACACAGCATCGTCACGAGAGAAATAAACTGCAGAAGATGACGCGGGATTCGCTTCGCCGACTTCTGCGTCTTTCGCAACATCCGACGGCCGTCGAAGAACCCAACGTGGGCACAAAAGAAGAAGAAAAATGAGAAGGGATTTCAGAACGCCGCCGTTCTGATTCTGCTCGACGGCAACAGTGAAGACGTCCGCGTTTTTCTTTGCGTACGCTCCAAGAACCTCAGACGGCATCCTGGAGAGGTCAGAGCACTTTATCGCTAGTCTGACATGTTATTAGGAGTTTCAGAGTTGCCCCTATTGGGTTAAAAACAAAGTGGTCCCTAAAGTGGTTCAGAATCTGACCACTTAGCCTTTAAATCAAGTGGTTCCTAAAGGGGTTTTTAAATTCATATAAAAACATAGGGTTAGGTGAGAACAGCCCCTAGAGGGGCCGAAAAAGTGGTCCCTATGGGGGTTTAAGGTTTGACCCCTTAGCCCTCAAATCTTAAGTGGTCCCTAAAGGGGTTTTTCAAATTCATTTTTAAAAAAAGCGCTTTTTGATTTAACTTTTCACGCAGAATACGTAGAAATTATCGATTAGAATTTTCCATATAGAAACCACTTTTGCAGGCTTTAGTGGCCCTTAAAGGTGTTGGTGAAGTGCTCCCAGGGACCCCTATAGGGACCACTCTTTAGTCAATTCACGTTCTCTTTTCCATCTTTTTTTTCATAAAAGTATCCAGAAATAATTAAATAAATTAAGGAACAATATCTGAATTTTTCGCTTTTTCAAGTCATAATGCATAGTGGGAATGATAAGATTTTCAAGCTAAAAATATTGAAAATGAAATTTATGAACAAAATTCAATGCGTCATTTCTAGTACGTCCAAAATTTCAAATATTCGGATTAGCTGAGATATTCGCTAACAATTGCTACGCGTAGGCAATGTCAGAAGCAAGAAAAAAAAAGTTGGGCCGTTCATCAACGATGTTAATGGGTCGTTTGAAGTTGAACATCGAAAGATTGAGAGAACCAAAAAAAAATGAAACGAGCCGACAAAGATGAACGACCATGTGTCGACCAGCTTCTAGATAGCTTCTTCAGTCACTTTTAACATCTCAAAGACAGCTAGAACTGATTTCCGAAAAAGAAAATCGACTCAATTATCAGGTCTGTTTTCCCGGCGGAATGATGGATCCAGAAGACGAAGACGTGCGCTGGACAGCTATGAGAGAAGCCGAAGAAGTAAGTCAGCGGCTTTCTTTTTTTTTACAAGAAAGGTAATTTTACTTTGCGGTTGGGAATTTCCTGAAAATTGACCAGAACACTCCTTGATGTACCAGAAGAAGTTTCTAATTGCATAACTTCCTAGTGACACCTCAAAGTCAAAGAAAACTCTGAAAACACTTTAAATATCCAGCTTTTGAGTCCATATTTTTTGAAAACTAGGTAGTTTTGCATGTTTAAGAATCTTCTTCTGGAAGATTGGAGAGTATTCAGGCCAATTTTCATAAAAAATCCCAACTGCAAAGTAAAATGACCTCCCTTGTTAAATTATAAACCAGCTTCACTACACTGCTTGAAGCTAAATTCAAAATAGCCGCCGAAAATTGAAAATTACAACTTAACTTTGGATCTTCAGAGATTATTTTGAATTTGGCGAAAATTACATTGAACACGCATGTGCGAGAGCGTCGCAGTGCATGCACAAAACACACCGCATTTTACGGAAAAAATATGGGCCGGGCGTCACCAAAAAAACGCCGTGAATAAAAAAAAATTTGCCTTTATTTCGGAAAAGGAACGAAGGGCATAACGGCAAAGACAAGGTTGCGCGGAAGCGAAAAAGAAAAACTCGGAGAATAGCAAATGAGAGGGTATTATGTACCAGGAAAGAGAAAAGAAAAGTTGAAGGTGTTTGGGGCGGCAAAGGCAATAAATTTGGACGGAGCCGCGCGCGCGAAAAAACGGCGGAGCGATTAATCGGAGGGTCGTCTTTCCTCGGTTGGCCGCGGTTCCCAGACGCGTCGTGCCATTACCGCGCCACGACACGGTCTTCGTCGTTTCCAGAAGTGTCAACATCGCGAAACACCTTCGAACCTCGTTGAACATTGAAAAGCTCCTCGAAACGAATCTCTGTCTCGGGCAAAGTCGGAATGGTGGATAATGGCCGCTAAAAGGGGGAAGCTCGAAAAAGGTAGCGAAAAGAGTCCCTCTATCGAGCCTTCCATTTTTTAAATTTTAAAGGCTCAAGAAATGGTGGAAAAAGGGAGAGGCAGCAAAAAGGGTGCATAAGAGCCGATAAAATAGCGCAAAAAGGCAGAAAAAAAGGAAAATTTCTATGAGACCTTTTTCCACCCTTCCCGACTTTGCCTAGGTAAAGATTTCGCTTGAAAATTAACACTTTTCTCAAATCAATTTTTTTCGCTGCCCCTTTGCCTCTGTTCAAGATGTTAAAATTTTTTGAAAAACTAAATGTTTAACGTTAAAATCATAATTATTTGAAGCAAGTTAACTTGTTTGTCGATTATTTTCAATAGGTTAAATGTTTGCCTTTGTTTTGATGATTCACCTTTATAGCATTCACCCTGCGCAACGTGAAAACAGCCAATAGGGACCACGGAGATTTTCAATTTTTCGGTCAGCACTCTGAGGGAATATGAACCAAAATTGATACCAGCAACAAACTTTTGCAGTAATCATTCCTGACCGTTTAATATTAATATAAATTTTTACAGTACCAAATTTAGTCTATGAAGGAATTATAAAAAAGTGATCCTGAGAGGTCATTTGGAATCAGCGTGAAAAACTACATTTAAAAAAACTTTACCTCATTCAGAAGTCTCCCTGCGATCGGAGACTATTGATGCTACTTCAAACTAACGAGATTTAAAAAATTTCAACAACCATTTTAAAAAAAATTCAAGTTGAAAACTTGAAAAAAAATTTGGATTATGCGATAGTGCCTCTCGGTGTTTACACCCAAAGCACCATAATTTACGAAACTTATCGACAAAACTTGATACGCGTATTAAAAAAAACCGCGTGAGAATATTCAGCACAAAGTATTAAAAAAAGAAAACAAAAATGTGCTAATTTTGCAGGAAGTTGGAATTTTGCCAACGGACTATGAAGTCCTCGGCAACATGCCGATGTTTCGTGCCCGCTTCGGGATCCTGATCCATCCGACCGTCGCTTTTTTGAGGTTGGAATGGAAATGAGGTTGAGCGTCAGTTTTTATTTCCAGAAACTCATGGGAACTGCGTCTGAATCCAGATGAGGTCGAGTTTGTCTTCTGGCTGCCACTTTGTAAGTTTTGCCATCCTTCAATCGAAATATTGAACCAAATGATTGAGCTCGTTTCCTGAATGATGACGTTCATTCATCCATGCAGGTCGATTCCCATTATCTCGTTCATATTTTTAACGTAAGCTTTGTTTCGAAAAAATTACAGTAACATTTTTCTGTTCAAATATGGTAGTTTTGCAGTTCCCTGAGGCAACCACCTATGGAATAACGGCGTTGCTGTGCATTCTGGTCTCGATGGGAGCCCTGCAGCGGAAGCCTGACTTCGACCTGCTTGTCGACTTGTCCGTCGCTGATCTCCCTTCGAATTCTGTCGCTGCCATCATAGTTCACGCCTACTCTGTTTGCAGTCAAAAATTTTTCAATACAGTCGAAAAATTTGAGTTATTTATTTTTTTGAAATGAAAAAAATTTTTGGACAAAATTTTTTTACTATCGATATATAATTTTTTTAGCTTAAAAAAAATTATTTTTTTCCATTCAAAAAAATTATATAAACTTCGACAGTATGTAAATTGTCGTTGGCGGTGTATGCACAAGAAACAGCATATTTGACGACATTTTTGCTCTGGAAACGTCGTTCATCGTAAAATAAAAGGATTTATTGAATTATTCCTATTCAGGAAAGAAACAGATTTTCGATAGAAAAATACATTAATAGTGATAAATTTGTCAGTGGGCCCGTATTGACAACTTGAGCGGATCAAGATGTTCTTGTAGTTCAATACGCGGCGTAGGCATTGTTGGATACCCTCCGAGATTGCCAAAAGCGGAAGGCGCCGTAGATCAGTCCGATGAGAAGAAGTCCGACCAGGAGTCCGACTGAAAGTCGTGAGATTTGAGTGAGACTCTCCGACTTGATCTCACTGAAGAAGGAGCCTGCCGTGAAGGCTGGAGCCCTCGGAATCGAAGGTCTCGCTGTGGTCGTCGTTCCGTTGGCTGCGGCCGTCGAATCGCTCGATTCCAAGGGGTAATCCTGCAAAACGAAAGTGTTCTCGTTTAAATTCCCGTTATCCAACATCCAACTCCGAATAGTAATCCTCTTGGCTTGTTTCGTTATTTTTTGTCGTCAAATGTTCTTCTTCTGAAGAGGAAGAGTCTTTAGAACTATCTGGAAGGAAAATATTAAAAGTTCGCATTTTATTAAAGATAACTTTTTGTAATATTCGCTGCGTCGTCGATAAGTGTACTGTTAGAAAAAACTTCAGTGCTTGAATTTGTGCCCGCTTTTGTCCCTCCACTTCCTTCTATGGTATCCTGTAAGGTTGTGAAAAATCACGAGTATGTTTCTGGATAGATAGGGGTAAGAAAAACTCGAATAATTTTGTATTCATAGCCATCCAGGATAGGCGTTCTATGATCAATCTCCTGCAGAAGATTTCGAAAAACTGAAAAATAAAGAAGCAAAAAAAGATATTAGAGATGTTCCTCCCCCTATCAATTTTCTCTTTCGACTCACACCGAGAGATACAGCGAAAATGACGCTAAACAGGAATATGAATGGCCGCATCTGGGGCTGACGATGAAGCCGAAAAGAGCCGACGGCGATGGCGAGATTCAGGTGTGTGCACCTGTCGGCAGTTCAAACACGATTCCATTGCCGTTTCCAGCCACTTTCTCTCCAAAAAAAAGACGGCTTTTGTGCGTCATTTCAGAAATAATCACCCTGCGGCGGTCGTATCAGTTCCGCAGATTTGTATATTCTGCGATTCTGAAAACAGGCATGAGAAGTCGATCAAAAAAGATCATTATCTTTTGCCGGGATAAAGTAGGGTGACAGAATAATTTATGCAGTACTTAGGAACTCCTTATAGGGGCAACCATAGGGGCCCTTGAAGGGTTTCTTTAAGGAACACTTTATCAACCATATAGGGACCACTCAAGCTTGCAAAAATGGTCCCTATAGGGGACAGACGAAAAGAATGTTCATTGTGGTCTCTAAAAGGGCCCTCGAAGGGTTTTCCAAACCCCTATAGGGTCCACTAATGCTTGCAGAAGTGGTCCCTATAGGGGTTTTAGTGAGTACGCCCAAGAGGGGACATGCTAGTCGATTATTTTTATGAACTCTATACGAAGAATTTCCATGCGAAAAAAAAAGAAACCCCTATAGGGACCACTTCAGCTTTAGGGGTTACGGGGTCAGACCCTTAACCCCTACAGGGATCACTATTCCCCTAACCCATATAGGGATCACTCTGGAATTCCTAAGTGTAGGAGCAACCTTAGGGGCTCTTGGAGTGCCCCCTATAGGGACCAAAAAACCCCTCTAGGGAGCACTCTGGAGTTCCTAAGTGCAATGAGAATATCAAAATGAAGACATGTTTTGTGGATATTTTCTTTTTTGACCTCCAAAAAGCGTTCCGTAAAAGATCAATGATCTTGTTAGGTCAAGAAGTTTTCCGCAACCTTTGCGTCTTCTTGCGAGGTCAGCAAAAATCCTCTCCTGATCGATTATCGATCTATTCGAGCGATTTTCTTCTCATTTCGAAATCCATGTCAAGTCTCGTGCGCTACAGCTTTTTCATAGAGAGGAAACCAATTCAAGTTTTCCAGAACCGGTGTGCTCTATTCAGCGCTAGCTTTTCACAAGCAGAATGCCTAGGAAAGGCTCACGTAATTACTAATTAATAATAAGAAGACAGGTGAGGTCATTGTATTTTGGGAATTCCCTGAAAATTGGCCAGAACACTTATTGGTGTATCAGAGGGGATCCTGAAAGTCTCAACCTGCACAAATTCCTAGTTTTCGAGAAAAAAGGGCCTGAAGTTTCAAACTAGCCTATTTTTATGGGTTTTGAGAGTTTTCTTCGACTTTGAGGCATCTTTTCCCAAAAAAGAGTTGACAAGTTTTAAAAAGCTTTGAAACGATCAGAATCAAAACTGAGAACTGAGAAGAATCTGTCAAGAAAATCTTTTATGTCAAATTTAGGTTCGAAATATCAAGACCATTGAAAAGGATTTTTTGAATCTCTATGATTCTTCGAGGAAAAATATACCGGATTTATTTTTTTTAATGATGATATTATTGAACCCTTTTTTGTGGGAAGAGTCTACTATCATAGGAACTCTAGGTGGTCAGTATAGGGACAACCTTAGGGGCTCTTGAAGGGTCCCCTCTGGGGAACACTTTATCAACCCCTATAGGTAGGGACCACAGACCTATTTTTCGAACTCAAGCTAGCTTCTCGTTTTTGTTATAAAAATAATGATTTTAACATGTAGTATGCAAAAACAGAAAAGAAAAACGAAAAATATTAAGAATAAGAGGAGAAACTATATTTAAAAGTAATTGAAAAGCAAACATTTTTGCACTGAAATTTTGGTTTTGCGAATTCTCATGCAATCTGCGCGCACCCTCATTTGCAAGGTCGGCACGGTTTTAGGAGCCAGAAGAGAAGGTTTTACGAGCTGTAATCCCACTTTACCATCATTTTCGTCTCAGTGACTGCACAAATACAGCCTACAGTGCTCTTTGAAACCCATAAAAATGTAATTTCGCCTACTTTTATTCACCTTTTCTGTTGAGAAAAAAATTTTTTTCGGCGATCTTGAATTTTTCGATTTTATTGCTTTTGTAACAGGAATTAGAAACTTAGGGAATAAAAAAAGGAAAATCAAAAAGGATTGTAAAAAGAAACTTAGGAAACAAAAAAAGGAAAACAAAAAAAGGATTTTTAAAGAAAGGTTAAAAAGGAATTTTTCCAGTGCAGTTGCGAGCAACCGCGCTGCACGACCACTCAAGGGGTAAAACCAAGGGACGAGGAAGCGCCCTCGTCGCGGCGGTCAAAACTAATCGTTTTTTTGTTGATCTTCTTTTTTTAAATTTTTTTGTTTCTTCGTTAAAAAAAGAGCGGGAAACGAATGGAAAGGTTTTTAGGGAAGAGTCTCCTCAGTCGCAACTTTTGTTTGGTTGTTTGACGGGCAAACTCGGTTAATGTAGAGTTTTGGTTGAGCTGAGCTCCCTTGGTTTCCCGCTCTCCCTTGTTATTCCACAGGATCTCGTTTTCGTTCAATTTGAACACTAGGGTTTACTCATCTGTTTTTTTGGATTGAGATTTTGGATTTAGTTTTCATTGGAATTTACCCATGTTGGCCGGGGACAATTTCTTTCTTAGATGGAAGGCGCCCCCAGGGTTAGTTCTAGTCGTTAGCTAATTAGCACTCAGGATATCAGGACTAGGAATCTTTTTGAAAGGTAGTCACAATCCAGGCTAGGTTAAGCTAGGGATCTCTTCGACAACTAGGAGCACGTGTTTTTCCCATTTTTTTTGTGTATGGGTTTTTTGTACATGTGTGATTGGTGCCTCCCCTCCTAACTGTATTTCCGGTATTTTTCGTGTAATAACCAGGTCATAAAGATTTTTGTATTTGAAGCGTTTGTTTGATGATGATGAACCAAATTTATCTGGGATCAACGCCATCAACCCCGGAGTTGTCTCGCTTGGAATCTGTCCTTTTAGGGGAGACTCCGGGGCCAGTCGGCGACATGGGGGCCGAACCAACATCATCATAACGCATCAAAATCTTTATTGTTTCTATAATTCCTCGGATACAATTTAATTATCGGATTACTATGCACTCGCATTCGGAAATGTTCGCGTTAATTGAACTTGACAGGAAAAAGGTTTAATTACCCAAGTTTGAGGTGTCCAAGCGTAACCGGGCAAACGGAAAGCTATGGCGTCGCCAATCCAGTCATCGGATGATGAGTTGTCGGTACCGACGGAGGACGTCAGAGAAGAAGAAGGCTCAGACGCAGGACAGGAAAAGGATCCACTGGAGGCCCAAGGACCTGAGGCAGAGGATCAGGAAGCTAGATCAAGGAAGGGCTCGACTTCCACGGAGTCGTCTGCTGGAAAGGGCAACAGGACCAGCCTTTTGTCGTCAGACAGCGAAGAAGAGCACAAGGAGAAATCGCACCGATTCGCCAAGGAGCGCAACGAATCCCCGACAGGACGAGTCTCGAGACAGGAGGAAGTCTCAGGGTGAGCATCTTAATTTTACGGTTGAAACTCCGATTTTGGCTTTAGACCAAGGAGATAGGAAATATAAGTCTGAGCAGGTTGCGCGCGAGGACTGTAGTGAGGACCCAGGAGTCCTGAAGATGCTTCTGCGCGCTATCAACGAACAAAATAGGATTGCAGCGAACCAGGAACGTAGATCGTTGCTTAGAGATCCGAAACCGTTCAATAGAGAGCAAGGAACCGCTAGAAATAGGACTTTTCAAGAATTTGCGGATGAATTTTGGAACCTTTATGGCCCAGCGGCACTTTCTGAAGACGAAAAGATTGTTATTTTTGGGCCAGAAACTGAAAGGCGAGACAAAAAAACAGCTTTCAATTCTTTGCCCGCAGGAATAAAAAGCGCAAGGACTAGCAGCTATTCTCACGGAACTTGCCGACCGTGAGGAAAAGAAGAGCAACTCTTTAGTCATTGATAGGCTAACTAAGGTCAGCAAACTTAGCTTTGTCAGAGTAGCCAATGTAGAGGAAGCATGCTTTTTGATTGAGGACCTTCTTCCAGCAGAAGGAATGACGGCTAGAGCCAAGGATTTAGAGAGGGCTGGATTCCTCTGTGTATTGCTAGCTAGCAAATGGTCGTCCACAGACATTTCGTTGTTGCGCAATGAGATGGACCGTGTCCAACCTGGTGAAGTTTTTTTGCTGCTATTCACCAGCTTGCACTCAGTATTGAGCGATCGAAAAAAACATGATCGATGTAGGAAGCCGGAGTTTTGGAGGGGTTGAACCTTTTGCAAAAGCGTAGACCTTGGAGAAAGGAGCAGGAAAAATTTTTGCAAACCCCAACCGGCCTGGGCTAGAGGAAGAGCAGGAGCACCTTCCGGCTAGAAAGTGGACGAACCAAAGTGGAAACAAGTCGTTTAGTCATGGACATGATCAGGCAAACGCAGGTTTCAGAAATTTCTCGCGAGATAGAAATAGAAGATCCTTCCATGGTGACAGGAAAGGACCTAGTGGCCGCGCCCTGGCGGACACTACTTGTTTTGGATGCGGCGAAAAAAAGGTCACCTCAGGCCGAATTGTCCAAATAGACAGGGAAATACTTCCCAGAGAAAGGAGCAGGTATCCGGAGCCGCTTCTAGACATTGGGTCAGGCTCGTACAGGTGCAGGATGAGGACGTTCCGACGGCGCCGCGCGCTGCAGATTCTCCCCGCGAAATTTTTGAGCATTCAAAACCAAACGTTCAGTGCGTTAGTTGACACAGGTGCACAAGTGTCGCTAGCTCCAGCTCATTTTTTTCGGAAGACCAAGCAGCGAGGGAATCGTTTTTTTGACAGCCCCGTACATTCAAAGCCTCATAAAACCTACCCAGTTAACCCTTTTGAACGCTAGTAGTGAAGGAATGAACGTTGTTGGAGAAACAGTTCTCAAAGTTCATCTCCCCAGGTTTAAGCGTTGTGTTAAAGTACCTTTTATACTAGTCCAGGACTTGAAGGAATTTATTCTCGGAATGAACCTAGTTGAAGCTTGTAGAGACTTCTTGGACATTGACCTAGTGAAAACGGCGAACCCATTATTGACTATTAGGGAAGGATTAGTCGTGCCGGCAGGAACTGAAGTTTCCATGACCATAGGTAATGTTCCAAAAGGAGAAGCTGTGCTTTGGGGAAATAGACCTGAAGTACCAGACCAAATTGTTGAAGGCTCTGGTGAAGGAAAAGCCGTAGTTAGGATAGTTAACAGGACTAAAACTGACCTCCAATTACCGGCAGATACCCCGATTGGACTAGTAGAGGTAGTAACTTGTTCAAAAATGCATCTTTTGCCGGAGCAATTTAGGATGCACTTTGAAGGAAGATGGAATGACGAAAACCCGTCAGAAATCATCTCAGTTTTGGAACAAACTAGTGGAAAAACCTTGTCGGAAAAGGTGAAAAAGTTAGTTTCCAAGTTTACTGATGTTTTTGTGCAGGACGACAAGGACTTGACGCAGACGCCAGTTTTTACTCATGATATCGAGCTTTTAGATGATAGGCCGATTAGACAAAAGACTAGGCATATCCCTTTCGGACTAAGGAATGAATTCAGGAAAACCTTAGACGAAATGTTGAGTAAAGGAGTAGCAGAACCAAGTAGTTCGCCTTACGCGTCTCCAGTTGTCCTAGTCAAGAAAAAGGATGGTACTATTAGGGTCTGTATAGATTATAGGAAATCAACAAGGTTATCAAACAGGACTCGTACTCCCCTACCTAAAAATGGACTCTATAGTGCAGGACTTAGGCGGAAATAGGTTTTTCTCGACTTTGGATCTTTTAGCCGGCTATTGGCAGATCCCACTCACTGAGAAAGCCAAGGAAGTCACGGCTTTTACGACCTCAGAAGGTCTTTTTTTCAATTTACGGTCCTCCCTGTTCGGTCTAGCCACTTCGCCACCAACTTTTCAGCGAATGATGGAAATAGTGCTTAAAGATCTGATCAGGGACGGAGGTGTCCATTGTTACATTGACGACGTTTTTGGTTGCCTCAAAGACGGAAGAAGAACACCTAGAACTTCTAGAGAAAGTCTTGACGCTTTTTAGAAGAGCAGGACTGAGCCTTAAAGCTAGTAAATGTAAAATAATGCAACAACAGGTGAAATTCCTAGGCCAAATCATTGACAGCAATGGCGTAAGTACGGACCCAGAAAAGATCGCAGCCGTAAAAAGACTTCCCTCAGCCTAGTAAGCGCGACGAATTACGCCTCGTTTTTTTAGGACTTTGCTCTTTTTTATAGAAAGTTCATCTTCAAGTTCGGAACTATATGCAAAACCGTTGTATGAATTGATAAGCGAGAAAGTAAAATTTGAATGGACTACGGAAACGTTAGCCGCTTTCGACCATATCAAGCAGGAGTTAATTAAAGCACCAGTTCTTGCGCAACCGGACATAGAAGGAGCAATCAACGGATCTAAACCTTTTATCATCTACACAGACGCTAGTAGGAAAGGTATAGGAGCAGTTCTGTGCCAAAAAGGTATTGATGAGTTCTTGCACCCGATTTTCTTTTTCTTCAAAAAGGACTTTCGGCGGCAGAAGTTAGGTACGGAATAACTGAACTGGAGGCGTTAGAGTCATCCACGCGGTTAGAAAGTTCCATCAGTTCATTTACGGAATAGGAGCCACTGTGAGGACTGACCATCAACCTTTGTTATGTTTCTTTAAGAGAGGTGAACTCAGTCCCAAAGTCATGCGCTGGGCGTTAGATGTGCAGCGTTATCAAATCAACCTAGAATACGTGAAAGGCAAAGCTAACGTAGTCGCGGACGCACTATCGCGAGGCCCAACGCAGATCCTGGAAATTGATCCGAACGATCAGGACTATGTAGTAGCCGCTGTGAAACTTGAACTCGACAGGACTGAGGACGAGCAAATGGTTAGCAGAGCTCAGAGAAGACCAAGATTGGACCGAAGCCGTAGCAGCCGTAGAACAAGCTAATGACAGTTTTTCTCTTAAGTTACCAGGAATAGAGAAAGACCTTACAATCAATCACTTGGAGGTTCAAAAAGGCAAGCTTTGGATAGTAGGACTAGGTAAAAATGGACTTCTCGTAGTACCTAAGTCAAAAAAAGAAGAGAAATCTTCCGTAGGTATCACTCAGGCCCGTTTGGCATGCACGTCAATTCAGGAAAACTCCTCACAGTTATGAAAAAGGAAGTTTATTGGATAAACATGGCTAAGGACCTTAAGGAATGGACTCGCGCTTGCCAAGGTTGCTTCTTAGCCAATCCGCACCTAAAATTGACGCCTCCGCTGAAGCCTATAGAGGCAAATAAGCCGCTACAACTTGTAGGAGTGGATATTGCGGATATAGGACCCAGTCATAACGGAAACAGGTACATTTTGCTAGTCATAGACGCCTTTTCAAAATGGGTAGCAGCCTATCCAACAGCGGACAAGTCAGCAAATACCGTAGCTAAACTAATAGTAGGACGCTGGATAGGTGAAGCAGGACTTTGTCCAACATTTTTGCATTCGGATCGTGGACGAGAATTTGAAAATAAACTCTTAGACGAAATTTGTAAAATCCTAGGAGTCAAGATCTCTAACACAAAAGGTTATAATCCGCGCGAAAATGGTCTCACGGAACGAGCCATAGGCACGATTATTAGGGCGCTCAAAAAGAGACAGGCAGACCCAGCTTCGTGGGACGAAATTTTGCCGTTAGTAGTTCAGGCGTACAACGCAACTCCTCACGAATCCACTGGCGAATCTCCATTCTATTTACTTCATGGCTTTGATATAGGACTACCTATGGAGACAAAATGGGATAAAAGCCCAGTTTGGATAACGGAAAATCTAGAGGATTATAGGTCTACTGTGACTTTAGCAGTGCAGCAGGCTCGCCAACTAGCGCTAGAACGTCTAGAAGTTGAAAGGAAAAAGATGAAAAAGTTCTACGACGCTAAATTTAGGGTAGAGGACAAGAAATACCCAAAAATAGGTGACCGCGTTTATGTTAAGCTGCCTGCGGAAGGAAGGCAATCAGCGCATAGGAAGCTACTTCCA